CCTCCCAACAATCCCCCCCTGGCTCGCAGACTTCACAGCCCGCCCGTCCACCCCATCGCCAGACGAACCAATGACCCGTCCGCTCCTGAGCTTCCTCGTCCACGCACCAAGCACATACCTCGACTTCGTCCTCCCGCTGCTTGACAGACGTCTAGAGCGTCCAGCCGAAACCCCAACCCTAGATAAACCCAAAAGGGGGCAGATCGAGTTGGACTTGAATGTTGAGCAGACCCTCGCGCTGGACATCTACGCGCACTGGTCCGTGCTCATGATCCTCGTCGGCGAGGAGAGCTGGTGGATTGGCAAGTTGCCCGATATCACGCTGGGCGGCATGGTCGCTGCGTTTGGGGATGATTTTGTGGGCAGGATTTGGGGCTCTGCTGGGGAAAGGGCTGGGGCTGGGGCTGGGGCTGGGGCACCTGCAGAGGGGGAGGGCGAGGGCGAGTGGTGGCCGCGGAGCATGTTGCGGATTGAGCGGGAGATTGGGCGGTATCGATGAGGAGGGGAGCATCTAGCATCCATTGCGGCTGGCGTTGGGTTTATACAACAATAAAATAGAGGGCGTTGGGGCGTTAATAGGCCTGACGGACCTGGCCAGAGTATAACGCTGTTACGAGTAATGAATCTCCCAACTAAGCGAATGTGGTCCCCGTTGTACCGTATATCCTGCTTTTTGTCAGAGCAGACCACACCATACCATCCATAGATGTATGGGTACCGCAGCCGGTCATAAACCGAAGCTGACACCTGCATCAGCAAATCATACTAAAGCGAGGCCAGTTTGAGGCTGAGAACGCCCGAGATATCCCTTGATTCGTGTTCAGGTGCAAGTAATACCGCATCGATGGGATGGACCTCGAGTAGATGAAATGGCTCATCCAAACAACTCCATCCAAGAGGCCAAACAACCCTGATACCCTGAATCATGGAAGCAGACCCAAATAACCCAGGGATAACCCTTCAAATCAAAGACTATCATAGCCACATGCAACAGCGTATCCCATCTCATCAAAATCCTCCTCCCCCCCTTCACCAACAGCATTGATCCTAGCGATCCCCGGGGCGTTAAATATCACTACTACTACTACCAACAGCATTGAAACCCAAATTGCCCGACCCTTCGGTAATAGGGCAGCACAGGTTTTACCATACACATCAGGCCAGTCTTCTGCTTCCGGTGCCGGACCCTCGCGTTCTGGAACCGGGAAGGTTAAAAAAAATTAACGACGGGGGTTTCAGCTGGTCAGATTGCGCGGAAGATATCTGAGATGGAGAATGCAACGTATCTGCAGCAACAAGCAACGGCAATAGACAGCGTTGAGCGCATGATGATTCAAATTTACGTAGCTTGACATGGTTCAATTACATGCTACGACTCGGTTCTACACGTCGCGGTGCGGTCGTATGGCTACTCGAACCGTGTAGGCGTAAGGATAGCATAGTGCAATATAGGTCTATCTTACTGAATGCAATTAGAAACACAGAAGTCTGGCTTTTGAAAACTACCTACTATTCCCTATCCTAAAGCGTATTCGGGTTTGACTAGCCTGGTGCGCAAAACCCCCGAACAATAACTAAGCACACGAAGCAATAATGTATAGTATTGTACTCCGAAAGAATCGAGTACCTATGCAAGATCAATAGTGATGAGGTCCGCCTAACCAAACACCCTATCAAGACAGCAACCGCTAAGGGCTAGATTCGGCCACGTCCTTGGTCTAGTCAACGTCCACTTGGGGAAAGTCGTTGAGAAGCGCGGAGAAACTGTCGTCTATCTCGACATAACCGTGTTCGCCAGCCCTGGCCACTGCCTCGTCAAAATAAGCCACAGCGCTAGCTACCACGTCGGCCCCCTCTGTGGTACCGTAAACATCCTCTGCGGGCACGTCGTTGAGAGCAGCGGGTGAACCTTCGTCTATCTCGAATTCACCATCAGGGTCTCCCACACTGGTATTGGAACTCAGGTCCATAGGTATCACGATGGCATTGAAATGGGGGCTATCTTCCGATGAGTTCGAGTCAATAGCAGCCACAGTGTCAGAGTCCACGTTGGCATTGGTATCAGAGTCTACCACGCTGGCATCGAAATCAGGGCGATTCTCCGGAGATTGTGAGGCAGAAGCAGGCACAGTGTCAAAGTCCACGTTGGCATCGGAAGTCAAGTCTCCCACGCTGGTATCGGAAGTCAAGTCGACCACGCTGGCACCGAAATGAGGGCCATTTTCCGGAGACTGTGAGTCGAAAGCAGCCACAGTGTCAGAGTCCACGCTGACATCGGGATCAGGATTATATTCCAGGAAGGCCGCTTCGAAAGCAGCCACAGTGTCAGGGTCCACGCTGACATCGGGTTCAGGGTTATATTCCAGGAAGGCCGCGTCGTTAGCAGCCACAGCATCAGCGACTACACTGACATCGGGGTCAGGGTTATATTCCAAGAAGGCCGCGTCAGCATCAGCCCCAGCATTAGGCTCCAAACTGGCATCGAGATCAGGGTCATATTCCAGTAAGGCCGTGTCAAAAGCAGCTCCAGCACTAGCTTCCACGCTGGCATTGGGATTGGTGCTGGTGTCCAGCAAGTCCGCGTGAATAGCAGCCACAGCATTAGCCACGATATCGGTATCAGGGTCATCTTCCGATAACGCCGCCGGTGCCGAACTTTGATCATTTTGTAGTTGAGGGCCATGATGCGCTTGTGGGCTTCCGGTAGGCTCAGGAGCCATCGGGGGTAGGCTTGGTGGGAGAGGAGACACATCTACATCACTCAAGTCAGTGCGAACAAGAAACGCTGGAAGGGAGACATACAAGGATCCGGGACTGCGATGGATGGAAACCTTGTCCGCCACATGGTCGCCCAGCGCTGCTCGTCAGTCTCGGGCCGGGGCGCATCCTCATTCACACATCGCCTCCGTCCGGAGTAGTGGTAGGCGGGGGAGACGTGGTTGTGGGCGAAACAGGTGCCGCACACGTATTCATAGTGGACATTTCTCATGTGCGTTCTGGAAGCCCTGTGGTTAGTACAGCTGGACAGCGTGAATGGAGGGTGTACTTGCGTGACGCCAACGATAGTCCCGAATCCTTGCCTGATGCAGTTCGAACGGATCTCCCCATACGTGGCGAGCTGGTGTTTGCGGTAGACGCAGTCGAGCAAGCGTGGGGGTCTATAGACCGGGGGCAGAAAGGTGTAACTATGTCCAGGGGGAGTGTGGTTCTCGCTCATTGCTGATACAATTTATAGATACTAGTAGTTGGGACGAATATAATCAGGCGGTGCGAATGCAGCGGATTGTGAGTCTAGGAGGAGTTGTCTCAGAAGATGGAGTCGAACAGGAAGGCGAGGAAGGAGCAACCGCCAGGCTCACCTGGGCACATCCCTCATGGCAACTGCTCTGTCCGAGGAACTATTAGCAGATGAATATCGTAGGAATGATTCGTGCTTTCCTGGTGGTTACCTTTCATGCCCGTGAACCAACAGCGTTAAGGCTGACAACGGCAGTTAGGGCTGGCATCTAGAAGCCATACTGGAGGTAAGACACTATATTACTGCAGGCTTAGGTTAGGATAGTCTGCCAATAGCGACACGAATCAGGGGCTGCATTGGTCCATGGATATGTTTCCAAGCTTCTTCTCACTCGCACCAGACCGATCAAGATGCGTCTTACCACTCCTTACCAGGCCTCGACCATGTCTGCCAACTTCTTATGGCTAACCACTTTGCCAGCATGTACGCCCTGACATAGCCAACAACACGCTTTACAACGTTTGCAGATGGCATTGCTTCCGCCACATAAAGCTCTGCATCGCCGGCCGCAGAGACCTAGCCAGGTATGTGCAAAAGTGGTTCCATCTCTGGGACAGCCTTCTGGTGCGGCGCTTGACCATCTGGAGAGAAATACATGGCGAGAAACAAGAGGCGAGATGGCCGTTGATGAGGGATTTCCTGCGGGCATCAACCACTCAGACAGTGTGGAAGAATTGACAAATGTCCATCACTCCTACGACTTCTTCACGATGATATAGTCGGTCGCATCGCATTTCCTGGGAGCCGTGCCGACTCTACTTGAGCGTCTCATTGCCCTCGAGGGTCTTGTCTGGGCTGGTTGGACCTTATCATTTCCAACTATACTGAGCGTCCTGAAGAAGAATTGCAAACGGCACAACATGCTGTCCAAACTACCCAGTTTCCCCTACGACACCATCTCAACGAGCCGTGACATCGATGCGAGTTCAGCCTGGCAACAACCCCAAAGCTCATCATCATACCGCCAGACCCTAACACACTGCCCGGAATGCACCGAAATTAACCAGGAAGCCCTTCTCAAGATCATCAAGCTGGCTTTGGGCCTTAAACATGTGGACATCAAGCGGCGAGACCAATGTTGCCTTTGATACACCGATCCTCGAGCGCATCACGAGAGCAGACTAGATTGACTTGCTTCTTCAGGCAACAATCATCAAATTGAAGAATACTAAAAGCTCAATATCCGGCTCCCTGCACCTACTCACAAAGCCCAGCTCGACATAGCATTAACCGCATAATAACATATTTCTCGGGCCCTTGAATCCCACATCCACTCTCGCAGCTCCGCATTATTCAGCTCTGGGAAGTCTAAAGCTCCTGCGAATGGTCGTGATAGAAGATTGCCAGTCTTCATGCCTCGCGTCGCCCGGCTCGATCCGGACTTCGCCGATCAAGAGGAGAAACAGAACCACGGTGACGGCGCAGCATGGGCTCACCAGCAGCCTGCACGGCCTGCAAAGATCCATTTTTCAGCGGGGAGCCAGAGCAGCCATCGCTCTGAGCGTGGTACCCAGGCAATTCTGGAGCATCGCTGCGAGACCGGACCCTGCAGAGGTTATCCCTCATTGGACCGGATGTCTACAACAACAAGAGAGCTCATCGAGGAACATTTCCAATCTCCTACCCATCTGCATCACTCCAAGGGCGGTAGCTATGTGGTCGCAGATCAGTGCTGACTGCATTTCTCTCGATAGGATACCCTGTCATTAAGCCGATCGGCCGAAGGATTCTACGGTCACTTCCCCGTTTCTTGATACGTCTTACGGCATTGGCTGCCCTGACGGGTGCTCCAGCGCTTGAGAGTTTCTTTGTTGCACGCCAGGTCGGATCACGGTGTACAGGCAGCATTACCGATACCATAGGGTATGTCCAGCGCAGCCCTGGTGCTCCTTCTCGACTATATCTAGCCCGGGTCAGTATTGCTACGGTACGCAGAAGGGGCGTTCGATGGGCTAGGGCAGGCACCTCCGCTGAATCTGACGAGAAAGAGGATCGCCGCCAGACGCTGCTTGTATTCGCCTGTTCTCTTTGTTCTGCGCGGGGCATGGCATGGGTGTACCTACTAGGTGATGGACAGGATTTATGCATATACAGGAAGATCCAATCCGAAGTATACAGATAGCGCTTGGGAATGCTACCATGGGTCAAAATTAGCTATGCAACTTGGTCTGCCCTACAACCTCTTGCTCCTGCTACGCCACCAACCATCCCCTAATTATCTAATTTAACATCCCTGTCAGCATCATCATGTCGCAGGCAGATTCACAGCGAGAAAACTTGGCCACACAGTGGCGCCGTCTACGGGGTGAAGACAGATCAGCAAAAATGCGGTGTGACGGCTGCCAGGCAGTGTGACGACCTTGACCTACCGGTTCGTTGGAAAGAGTGAACCCTAGTCTCAGGTGAATATCCTGATTCATTAGGAGGGATTGCCGCAGCGCTGGAGTCGCAGCTTCCGCTTTGAAGCTCGGGCATCCCAGGTTTCCTTTCAACTCACAGTTACTCTCCAAGCACCAACCATTGCAGCCCACCATGCTGTCTGTTTCTTCTCTTTACTCACCGTGGACATGGGTGACCACGGCTCTTCTGGTAGGAGACAGTCACATCCTGGCCGCAGTATCTACTCGCCCAATCTAGTACCTCATCAGCCGCACCATCTACAACATCTACTTCCACCCTCTTTCAATCTTCCCCGGCCCCAAGCTCCGGGCAGCGACTCGCCTGGCGTGGGTGTACTCGATGACCAGCGGTGCCAACCACCGCAACATCAAAAGGCTGCATGAACGCTACGGACCCGTCGTGCGCGTCGCCCCGAACGAGCTCTCCTTCATCTCCCCCAGCGCGTGGCAGGACATCTACACCAAGGGCCCATCAAACAAGGGCCTCGTACGCGCCGAAACAGTGTCTGATGCAGCCGGCCCAAAGCACATCTTCGCCACGCATAACGACAGCCACACCCGTCTCCGCCGGAAGCTCATGCAGACGCTGTCCGAACACGGCGTGGCCAAACACGAGCCCCTGATCCAGGGGTACCTCAACACGCTCATCGCCAAGCTGCATCGGGAAAGCGAGGACGGCCGCCTGGTCAACATCAACGACTGGATCAACTGGTTCGCGTTCGACATCATCGGCGACCTCGCGCTCAGCGAGTCCTTCCACCAGCTCGATAACTCCGCGCCAGACGGCTGGATCGTGCTGCTGACGACGTACATCAAGGGCTTGCTGGTCTCGTTCTGTCTGAACTACTACTGGCCTCTGAATCGCGTGCTCCCGACCCTCGCGCCAAAGACCTACCAGCGCCTGCAGAACCAGTTCATGGACCCGATCCACGAGAAGATCAACCGGCGCCTTGCGCGCCCGGACGCCGAGCACCTCGATGATATAATTGGATCGTGCATGCCGCATGCCAACGGCGGCAAGATGCTGATGGACCCGGAGTACCTGACCGGCACCATGGCGGTGCTTCTCGCCGCGGGCAGTGAGACCGCGGCGACGGCCTTGTCGGCGGTGATGAATCTGCTTGTTAACAATACGCGCGCCATGCAGAAGCTCTGTGCGGAAGTGCGAGCCATTCCCACCAGCCAAGAACTCACCCTCGCTGCAGTCTCGCAGATGCCGTATCTCGACGCGGTCATCACAGAGGGTCTCCGTCTCTGCCATCCGATTACGTGGTCCATTTCACGCCTCACCCCGGCGACTGGCTGTGTGATAGGGGACTGGTTTGTGCCGGGAAACGTAAGGTCACACTGCATTGCGTCGTTCCTCTACTAACTGCCCAGACCCACGTCAACATCCTCCACTACGCCGTCTACAACTCGGACACGCACTTCCCCAACGCCCACGAATTCCTACCGGAGCGCTGGCTCGGCGAGGACGCGCCCGACCAAAGCAGCAACGCCGCGTTCCAGCCCTTCAGCATGGGCGGCCACAGCTGTCCCGGTCGGTACATGGCGCACGCGGAGATGCGGCTTCTTCTCGCGCGGCTCCTGCACGATTTTGATATAGTCCCGTTGAATGTGTTCCGCTGGCAGGATCAGCAGAGTTATTTGACTTGGCTAAAGAGGCCGATGCTGGTGAGGTTGAGACAGGTTAGGTAGGGTAGGGGAGGATTAGGGATGAGGACGAGTTATGTACATGTGCTGAGTGCCATACCCGGACATGCCCTTAATTAGGTTGTTTAGAGCAGGTTACAGGACCTTGCGCTGCTTCTTTCTGTCTGTTTTCTATCTGAATGAGTGCTTGCCTGTTCTCAAATCTTCTGCTTCTTCTGCGCTGTCAACGACGATGGTATAGCACTCACATTGCCAGTATCAGTATCTTCGGCCTTGTTTCGGGTTTACCTACATAGTACCATCGCAACTGCTGCTCACCAAGCAGCTTCTCAATCCTAATCACAAGTCCTCCATCTCAAAAGAACCTGCAATGGACCCTGCTTCCCAAGGCTGGAAGCAGCGAGACCCCAACCCACTCGCCTCCGCGTAACCCTTTCCATTCCAATTGTTGTTCCTGGCGCATTGCATTGGGTCCATTGAGGCTCGCATCCAAGAGAAGAGACGAATCGCCCGCTTGGTATCCATACCTCCCCTAGGCCCTCCAGTCCGCTCTCGGCGCTTACCTCCACAGGGCGTAGGCGTCGGATGCTCCCTGGAAAGCCGCGTGCGTCCGACTTTCCCAGCCCTTCCGGTTGATTCTATGGTAGTCCTACATCGAAATCGGGTTTGTGGACCCGAGGTCCACGGCTGCGCTGTAGCATGCGTGGATATGGATATGGTCTAGTGATATGTCTCTGGTGTGGACGTGGACGTGGACGTGGACGTGGACATGGACATGGACATGGACCTCCATCTCCCGAAGCTGTGCGGTGCTCCCGTGGATCAGTTATCCGCAACCCAACCGTGCCCCTGCAGGGTACCTGGGGTATGTATGGTAGAATGGTATGGTATAGGCTATAGAAGCGAGTGTCGACTATGGTAGTCCCGAACGAATAGAGAGTCCTCGCATCTACCTAACCTTAAGTCTGTATACCTCGCGCCTCAACCCGACCCAAGCCCCGGTCTGGGCTCGCCCTCTAAGGTTGATCTCCGCCGCTTCCTGTCCTGTTGATTCCCGATACCATGGTAGTGCTCTGTCTGCGGCTGGACAGCATGGAGGGGGGCAAAAGTATCAACCCTTGGTCTTGGATCCGTCCACTTCAATCTGGTTTCCGTCAGGATGATAGTTATAGTGCCTGCGCAGAGCTAACCCTCGAGATAGTTTCCATAACAACATCCCGAGAAACTACCGCGCCATATCTACACATATTAGCCAAGGCCCCAATAAACCGGAGAAGAGAGGAGAGGCCAAGCATACCCATGACACTTAACATCCCCCACCAACCTCTGCGCAAGATCCATAATCACGCCCGTCCCGGCTCCTACGACCGCCGGACTCTGGCATAGATATGCCCACACCTGGGTTGCGGTCAGTTCGTCGGCAGTGGTAAGATGCGAGGATAGCTCGAGGAGCCTGTTGAGCGTCTTCTTCGATACATTGAGGAGTTCGTCTTCGCCATTTCCAGACGGCGACGGCGACGGCGACAGCGACGAGGATTCGCCGTAGAGGCGGCAGACTGACGCGGTTAGGGTTAGGGCGTGGCCGTCCGGGTGCCCGCATTCGCTTTCGCATTCGGCGCGGACGGTGCTGGTGCCCAGGGCCGAGCGGACGTGGTCTAGGCACGGTCCTTCCAGGCTACAGTGACATTCAATTAGTTCTGCGGTCCAAGCCGCCCTGGGAGAGACGAACCTGAGGATGAAGTTCATGCCCGTCACGACATCACACTGCCCGTCCTGCCACCCCGGGCCATGCTGAACCGAACCAGGACTCTGGCTCTGACTCAGACTGCCACTGCCACTGCCATTCCTGTTTCCGTTTAAGGCGTCATCAAGAACAACGAAGCGCTTGTTGTAATGAACATCTTGATGAACGCAGACTGTGGCTGTTGGTCCTGGCTCTAGCTCCGGTTCCGGCGGGGAATCGAGGTCGTCTCGGCGAGAAGAAACGTGGACGTCAAACACCGGCGTCGGCGGAAGAGATATCACATTCCGCTCGATGACCTGCCGCAGCCATTGGACCTCAGCAGTAAGCTTCTTCGTCTCGGCGGTTAGATCGGATCGAGCGGTGCGCAGGTGCAGAACTTCATTCTCGAGGGATTTGATGTAGTCTTCTTTTCGCTGGCGGTAGGTTCTGCCTCTGTTAGTTGGCGCCTTCGAAAGGAGACAAGGGATAGGGATACTGCTGCGCCCGCCGGACCTGCTCCCTGCGTCTTATGGCTGGGTCACTCGAGCTACTGGCGTCGTCTGCAACTGGTGAGTTAGGGTAGGACATAGACGCAGGACAACGGAAACCTCATACCCTTAGACGACCACTTATTCGTGAAAGCCTTGAATCTGTCCATCCTTACTCTCCTGGAAGATTTGATAAAGGTGGCCGTTAGACATGTCAGCTGAAGCGTGGATGGTAATGCGAGATGAGGTAAGCCCTGCATGAAACCCCAGCCAATGAGACAAAGCACACGTCGTGCTACCTGGAGTTGTGATATCACTGGAGGAGTTTCTGATCCAGCGTTAGACGGATTGCGGATCGAACTCGGAATATAGATACAGGGCCCAGAGTTCTGCGGGACCGTTAATGCATCGTGGAAGTCATTCATCGGACGCTTGGAAAAGCAAGCGGCTGATGATGAAGCAGAGATTTGGGGAATTGTCCTCAAGTGGAGGGAGACCATGTCAAAAATGTTGGCGTGTTAGCCCTGGTATGGCCGTTTCAAGGACTTAGGGCTCGCTTTCTGGGCTAGTGACCCCGGCGATATGTCTGTTTACGAATGCCCACAGACCCCTACAGCAAGAATAGCTGTGTACCATAGCTGATATACGGTCCAAGAGTGGCAACCCGCTACGGTCTAGTGATACTCATCAAACTCCCAATCTGGGTCTCGTCTCAATGCCCTACCATCGCCACGTCACGTGAGCAAGCAGTAGAAGAATCAGCAACGATCGCCTGCAAGAACCGTCGATAATCCCTCTAAACTCTCGAATCGAGAGGTAACCTGGGTTAAGTCGAAGCTAGATTGCGGTAATGGGTAAAGCACAAAGTATAGAAGACGCCGACCGCGAGGGAGAGGGACCTCGAGTCAAGCGTCCCCACCTGGGAAACGAGAACGAGCTTGAAAATGCCGGCGCCGCTGCCATTGCCATTGCCGCATGCTCTTCACGCACTTTCCCGGTTGTAACTTCGTAACGTGCTTTGACTTGAGGTGAGGTGCTGACGTATGGATGCCGATAGAACACCCCAGCACCACAGAGGAGGAAACCGACAGTGATGACTCGGATTCAACCAGGTCCAGCCAGTTTGAATCTGATTACTCCTCGTGCGGAAATACCCTGAACCGCGAGCTGCTTCGCCGGAAGCAAAGCAGGCTGCGGATGAAGCTAAAGCAGCTAGAAAACACAGAGCCCTGTCCGAGCAAGGACCGGGAGTTTCTAACCCGAGCCTCAAGGTTGACGTGGTCCAGAGCGACCTCAAAGCAACGCCGCAAGCCGTAGACTTCGCGCTCAACGTCTTGACGGACTGTGGGCCGCTCATGCGGCGACGGATCGCAGATCTCGAAGCTGAAATAACGCACCTGCGCGAATTTTCCAAGAGGTCTTCCATTGGGGCTGACGAAGCCGAAGTCAAGAGACTCAGGGCGGGTAGACGGCAAGCGAGAGCCGAGGCAGCGCGGCTGAGGGAGAGAACCACTCGCTGAAGGGACGGGTAACGGCGTTGCAGGATTGGAAGGATAGGTCCAGGGCGCGGAGGAAGCACCTGGAAGCTGAGTTTAGGGATTTGCGGGGGCAGTTGGAGGTCGCAAGGAGGACGTTGGATAAATGGAGGGGGAATATGTGGGCGATGCTTGGTGGTTGAGTTGCGGTGGTACGTTGTCCTTGAATTGGAAATAGAGACTCTGATGTTACCTGTCTTTGAGAGATAGAAAGAAGTGCCTCTGAGGATTGCGGCGGCTCGATTTAATATGGTTTGTAGTCGAGAACTCGGGCCGGTGCGGTTCTGTTAAATTGACCAAACGCAGTCCTCATGCTGCGGTCTCCTCGATTCATGACATTAAGCCAGATGGGGACGGTGGAGGAGAAGATTCACTTGCCTTTGCAGCTCCCGCCAGAGCTGATATTTAGCCCATCATCTCTGCACTGAGTCCCAGCATCCGAGAATACGGATAAAGAAAGTTTCGTTTAAGGATGGCATCGATTGCTGTCTGCATTTTCGTCGCCGTGAGATTTGGCTGATATCGACCATAATAGACTGCTGATGGAGTGGTTTGTTAGGGTGTACACCCTGTTTATCGAGACTGCAAGCTAGGGTTAGCAGCCACCAGTCAGACATCGAGCGGTTTCCATGAACGTATCAGTGCGACCTTCAAGTGCGCAGAGAGATATTCAAATGTTTCTGCACAATTGCTCAGGAACGCTCGGATGCTTTGGTTGGAGTTTGAGGTCCAACTGCCAACCTCGCAGCATGAACAGCATCGCGAATGGGGGTAGAAGAGGGTGTTTCAAGGCAGATGTCCAAATCACACGAAATCTTCCTCAATACCTCTTTTGGATATATGTGGTATACCTCGCTTGCGCAGAGCAATCTTCACCGATGAGTCCCGGTCGAGCACCGCGGTATCCCGGATATAGCCTGCGCAGGAAACAACGCTTGAGCTGAGGTAAGAGAGAACCATGCACGCCCTCTGGTCACAGGATAGTACAGTGTTGGCTGACAAGCCGCTGCAGTACTGAAGGTTTTCAGGAAAATCTAGGAACTCCTGGGGATGGCTGAGTCTCGTGGTATCTATGGGCATCCATGCCCTCAAAGCCTGAAGCGGCATGGACTGTTCTGAATGGCCATGTCGCTTGTACACTCTGGAGAAGGTTTTGTGCCTTGTGCCGGGTTTTGTGGTATACCATACGTTGCGCAAAAGATCCGCCGCGGTCAACTCGGTAGAGGAAATCAAGTGGACGCATTGCATTGATAACGCCCGGAGCACCATGTCCAATGCTTCGTCTGCTTGTTTCCAACCAGTCGCCGGTAGGCTGTTCATAAAGCTCACTGGAATAACACGCACGGCTTAGTATTGTTATCTTGTACCTATATTCGCTCCAGTCCCGTTGCGGTAACTGGGACATTGACAAAGCGGCTGGCTCGAATCAAACGTGGAAAGCTGTACCAAGCAGACGCACAGCCTGTCACGATGGTGTTGCGCCAGGATAGGTATGTCTCGTGGGATTCCTGAAGAAGACTGCGCGGCTGGTAGACTAGTATGGGTACCTAGTTAGCTCGTGGACCGTAGTGGCATAAAGGCGGGACTGTAGGTGGCTTGGGCGAATTGCCGTCTCCAGGACCTTTGAGTTCCCCATGACGATTCAATCCCGAGTGGTATATGTTGGCCAGCATCCATACGTATCCAGCCGTGACGTCCATTAATCCTGGTTTGCCGCAGGCAACGCGAGGCTTAGAAGATTAACAAACTCTGCGTCTGTCTTCCCAAGCGGCTTTGGCCATCCCTTTGCAGGAGCAAGAGGACTAGAGTCTCGTTTGTCTCGTCTTCGAAGAATGCTGACTTGGTGGTTGAAAGATCAAAGGTAAGAGTGCGTCCACACCGCTGGCAATGGACACAGCTAGACACCGTGGTCCCATTACTGCCGGTGACTGCAAAGAAACATCCTCGCTTGATGCGCCGACATGAGTCGCGGCTGAGATTTGGCGGGTTAGTACCATAAACAAAGTAACAAAAGAGGACATCGGTAACAGAAATGCTAAATTGACCTAGACTGCAAATGTACAGAAATAGAAAATAGGACGATGACCAAAACGCCTTTATTGCTGACCGACTCATCCCCACCTTCAACCCACCAGCCCCCGAATATCGTTTCATGGCTTCTGCATTTGCCGGCTGGCTCAGTACAGGTGCTTCACTGATTCGAGCCACGCCGCCGCACCATGTCTGCGGGTGCTTAATTCGAATGCAACTTGCGCACCCGGCTAACGCCCTCGTAGAGCGTTCGGTCCACCGCGGCCGCAACGGTCAGCGTTCCACCAACAATCGCGCAGACCCCCGTCAAAAAGCCGGTGAAGGTCTTTGGCCGGGCTTCGCGGTTGATAACCTTCATCGGGGAGATGTCGTAGTTGAAAAACACGCCGGGGATACCGCCGGCAGCGTGGATGCGCTCCTTGTGTGCTTCATCGGAGGCGTCGCCGCCCCGTAGCGAGCGCTTGTGGGAGGTTACGCTGTATTGGTGCGTTTCGATGGAGCCTTGGGAGCCTGCGCTCAGGCCTTGGGCGCCCAGGGGTGTCGTTGTGTCTGCCGCGGCGTGGAGAGAGCTCGAGTACAATGGGTCCCAGCCGAGAGGGAGATATGATGTGGAGACGACCTTGATGAAGTACATGAAGCTGTAGGCGGGCTCGGGGGCTTCCTGAGAAGTGCTGTCGAGCGGGTTGGTGTGGTGGTGGTCCGTCCATTGCCAGCGGTCGCTCAGCTCGTCTGGGAGTTGAGGGCCAAAGCGCAGGCTGTGGATGATGTGCGACATGGTGTGCTGCTGGTCGGCGGGAAGACCGCGCTCCTCGTAGTTTGCGATGTCATGGATGTGCATGTTGTTCGCGGAGAAGGATCGGCCTGGCGCGACGTGGAAGTTGCCGACGACCTTGTTGACGCGAATCACACCCTCCAGGCGGCATCCCTCGCGGCGCTGCGCGTCAATTCGCTCGGCGTAGTGCTCGCGCTCGCACTGCTCAATGTTGGTTCCCTTGCCGAAGCCCCATTGCTTCTGGGCGTACGCTTCGCGGACCTCGTCACAGGTGCTGCAGCATCCGGGTTTGATGGCGTTGGGGGGTGCGGGCGCGCCGCCGCATTCGCCGCAGTAGTCCGGGTCGAGGTGTTTGGCTTCTTCGGCGTGGAGTTGCAGGGCCTGGACGTCAAGGACACGGCCGCCCTCCGCAGCAGGCGCAAGGCGGACCTTGTTCACGCCGTGCGCGACACCAACTTGCTGCTCGCCCGAGACGTCCATAACATCCAGCGTCGTGAGCTCACAGGGAAGACGCGGGAATGTGATGTTCAGGTGGATTTCCATCTTCTCTCCTCTGGACTTATCGACGACCAGCTCGGGCATCACTGCCACCCGCCTGTAGTCCAACCATTCTCCCCACGTAAGCCATATTATGATAAGCAGCGAGGCGATTGTGATGATTCCTCCGGACGTCGTGCGGATGCGTGCTTCGTCGACTGTTTTGGCGAAGGCGTCGAGCCTCGTGAACCGTGATTTGGCCGGCATGGCTTATGGCTTCAATCGATCGACGATCATACGGGTGCAGATGGAATTGTATCCTAGTCCGGCTAGGCTGTAAAGAGCGTCTAGGTGGAATTGAATGTCAGCCGAGGTGGTCTCAAATCCAGAAGCAGTGAAGTAGCCATTCGAGGATCTACAAAGGATCCTCGAGAGTAAGCCGAGGGATTGCACCCACCTGATCTGAGCAGGCCGTAGACGCCAATGGCCAATTGTGTATACCGGGAGATCTCCCTGGTCCTTGACTGCGTGAAGGTGTCTAGGAGTTGCGCTGGATGAATTGGAGAGTTTGGCCGACGTTGTTTCTCTCGCTGACTCGAGAGGAGAAGACACGTAACGCGTAATCTATTTGTGTGTCGGGAATTCCAGGCGCGTACTGGTATTACCCAGAGGACAGACTGCATCTCACCATTGGCTGACGTCCGGACCCACCTTTCTCTGCCCCGCCGTGCCTGGATTCCGTCACGTGCTTTGAGCCCCATCGGCGCCTATTCACGTGACGGGGCTTCTGCCTGCAGAAATGATTCAGGCGGACGTCACTTTTTTGCTTTGACTCCGCTGTCGTTCCTCGCGCCTCAGACAGGAGGTTGCTTTGTCTCGGTCGAAATATAGAACATCAGCAAGTCTTTCTTTATCGCCTTCTTTCATCGACCTTGCTCCCTCACATGCCGATCGACTTGTCGAAACACTAAGGCGCTCTGCGCTTTGTTTGCTCTGCGCAGCCCGATTTTCACCTCGACGAGCGACCATCTTCTACCCTCCGATATTTTTCCGTCCTTTTTACCTCCGCATACCTGAAATCTCCAACTCCTACAAGATGATGAAAAGAGGCAGAGCGTCTCGCGGCCGCGCGACGAGCACTCGCAGTTCGACTAGTGATCGCGGGGGGATTCGCAAGCGGAGCGGTGCCCCTCCGACAAAGACCGACCGGGATGGCGATTTGGCGATGGGTGCAGGCGCAGGCGCTATTCGTGGACAGAGAACTCGTGGAGGCCCTGGTCGACCTACCCCCTCCGGGCGAACACACGCTCTCGACAGGAGCATCAACCAGATTCAAAAAGCTCTATCGACCTCGGGTGCCCAAGCGAACATTCGACAAGGCGGTCGCGGAGGACCGTCAGAGCAGGTCGCTATCCGTGGGTGGAAGCAGAGCAAGGCCGCATCCAACCGTGATGGTGGCGTCGAAAGCCTGATCGCCTTTCTCGAGAAAAAACTCACACCTCCCGATTCGAAATCTGGCCCCCGCGTAAAAATAAACAAGGTATGTGCAACACTGCTGAACTGGCGGCCACCGACATGAACACAAATTACCAACGCCCACCTCTCCTTTCCGATATGTTCTCGTTTTCAAGGATGGTACCCTCCAGAACGACGATCGGCGGATGCTCAGGCAATATGGGCGTTATGTTTATTTGGATGGCTGCAGTTTTCAAGGTCTCTTACGCCTTGCTAACGTTGATTAGTCGCGGGTTGAGGGCGACGCTCTGATAGTGTCCGTCCGACCGGAATCACTAGAGAGAATGCTTCAGCTTAATGGTTTTTCGTTTGCAGGAGCGCCTCTTGCCGTCGAAAAATTCGACCAGGCATCAGCTCCTTTGTTGAACTCCGTACCGGCGCAGAACGGTACCACGCCGTCCACTGCAGACACAAAAGCGAAAATGACAGCGATACTGGGGAAGCGATACTACCAAGACTCCAAACTGCTCGATCTGTCCAAGCTGGGCACCGATCCGGACTTGGTGGCTATGGGGATATTTGGCACGACTTCTACCGAATCCAAGTTCTTCCCTGCGCTCATGAAGGTGTGGGAGCTGAACTTTGATAACACTACAGCGCGGCGTGAGGCTGTCGAAAGTGTCAGTCTCGCTGACAATCAGCTCGCCAACATCACCGTCGTCACCACTCTTTCTCAAACCTTCCCCGACTTGAAGAACCTCGATCTCTCGAACAATAACTTTGCCGACGCTCAGGCGCTCATTGGATGGCGATGGAAATTCCGGAAACTACAGTTCCTCGATCTCACTGGCAACCCTTTCAGCGCCGATCCTACGTTCAAGGATTCCATGCTCAAGTGGTATCCGGAACTCAAGATCCTGAACAACACCCAGGTTCGCACCGATGAGGAAATCGCTGCGCAAAAGAAAACGCCGATCCCCGTCCGAGCTCCTCATTTCCACGACGAAGGCCAAATCGCGGAGAACTTCATTCGTGCGTTCTTCACCGGCTACGACGGCAATCGCGCCGATATTCTCAACGGCTTCTATGACACAACCTCCACTTTCTCACTTAATGTCAATACATCCGCCCCGAGGGCGTTACAAACCGAGCCCGCTCCTTGGGACCCGTATCTCAAAAAGAGTCGGAACCTCCTCAAAATCAGTCATCTACCCGCGAGAATGTCTCGCACATATACAGGCGTGGAGAAGATCCGGGAATTATGGACGGCGCTTCCACCAACGAGGCATCCCGACATTGTGGCCCATCCCGAAGAATGGCTCATTGAATGCTTCCCGATTCCTGGGCTGCCGGATATGACGGGTCAGAGTTCGACCGGCGTTGGTGGATTCCTTATTATGGTGCACGGGAAGTTTGAGGAGGACAATTCAGGGAAGGTCGAGACTCGAAGTTTCGACCGCACATTTATTCTCGGGCCGGGCAATGGCGTAGGGGGGATCAGGGTTATCAGCGATGTGCTATGTCTGCGAGCATATGGCGGTAATGAAGCATGGCAACTCGAACCTCAACCTGCTGCCGCTCCACCAGCAGCAGTCCCTGCTGCGGCCCCCGCGGCGAATCCAGCCGCGCCTGTAGGCTACGGTCTTCCAGCCCCCGGCAAGACCGATGCCCAAGTGCAACAAGAGCAGTTAGTGATGCAGCTGAGTACCAAAACAATGATGACCCTGCAATACTCGGAACTCGCACTTTCGGGGAACAGTTGGAACATGGAAGCTGCTCTGAAAAACTTCCAGGAGCTGAAGGTAAGATCCCGCAAATGCATTTGTTTGATAATGCTAACCACCTGGGTAGACTCAAGGTCAGCTACCTCCCGAAGCTTTTCTTCCTGGAGCTACGGCATAGTCCCCGACAACCATCACGCGATCTCTAAGATCTGCTCGGTATATGAGAGGAGGCGATTTTGGATGGTGCTATTTCTCTCACAATTTGATATTATTTGATGGATGCATGGCTTAGGCGAAATGGCTCAAGGATCATATTTGTTCAAATATCCCAATTGATTGTACTATAAAGACCACGAAGACACGTCATAGAGACGAGCGAGAATCACAGACCACATTGTCTTGCTCATTGACCGCAGTGTAGACCTGTACTCCGTAAGGTGGCTGACTTGGCGACGGGCGGGGACCGATCACTTCCCAAAGCTGGAGTTCCCGCCAACTCTCCGCACCAGAAGTTCAGACCATCCGCACAGCTCATCCCCGCTGAATCATTCCACGAAACGCAACAATACAGCGCATGTGTTACGGTCGGATCTGCAGCATGAGCCTTGCGTCAATTCCCAAGAGCTAATGGAATGCCCGCTACGACTTTCTCACCCAGCACCGGCCAGATGGCTTCCAACGGGGCCGCGCCCCTCGATCCCCTAGACGCAGGTAAGTCGGCGAAGTGAGACAACAGTCATTGCTAGCTACCTTGCTGATACACGATAAAACTCCCAGCGGACTACGACCCGATCGATCACTTGAACGACATCTTTTCGCACCCCTCTACCCTCTCCTCCGTCTCCGATGTGTCCCACCGGCTGCGTGACTACGAAACCGAGCTAGACACCGAAATCGGCGCGCTGGTAGAAGACCAGGTCACATCCAACGCGGAAAGCGTCGAGCGCATTCAAGCCGCCAAAGCAGATCTGTCCGAGCTGTTCAAGAAGATCGACGATGTGCGCGACCGCGCGTCCAGGACGGAGCTCTCCATCACGGAGATGACGGCGGATATAAAGCAGTTGGACAATGCGAAGAAGAACCTGACGCAGTCTATGACCGCACTTAAACGGCTTCAGATGTTGACGACGGCGTACGACCAGCTACGTGTCCTCAGCCGGACGCGGCAGTACCGCGACTGCTCGCAGCTACTTCAGGCCGTGATCCAGCTCGTCGCGCACTTCAAATCATACCGGTCGATCGACCAGGTCGCTCTCCTGAGTCGGAATGTGGCGGATATACAACGGGATTTGCTGGAGCAGATATGCGAGGACTTTGAGCTGGCGTTCGCCAAGGGCGAGGTCGGCGCGAGGAACACGGCGCTCGCGGAGGCATGCTCTGTCATGGATGCGCTGGGGGAGCATGCGAGGTCTAGGCTGATGACGTGGTACTGCAATTTCCAGCTGCGCGAGTACCGGCAGGTCTTCCGGAATAACGAGGAAGCGGGCTCTTTGGATAATATCTCGCGAAGGTACTCATGGTTTCGCCGGATCCTGCGAATCTACGATGAGGAGTACGCTCCCATCTTCCCTGCGTCGTGGAGAGTCGATGAGATACTGGCGAATGCGTTTTGCGAGGGAACTAGAGATGACTTTAAGGGGATTCTGTCTCGGTCCGTGCGAAATGGCCAGACAATTGATGTCAACCTGTTGCTCTCATGTCTACAGGAGACGCTGGACTTTGAGCATTCCCTTGAGAGACGGTTCACGATTGATTCTCGGCCATCCACTGATACATTTGCATCGGCGGAGACCCCAGTCTTCGGACAGGCTATCTCCGAGGCCTTCGAACCGTACCTCAGCGTATGGGTAAATGCCCAGGACAAGCAACTGGCCGGCTTGATACCCAAGTATCGTCAGCAGCCTGTCAAACCGCCTGGGGAGGAATTTGACTCGAACATTGTCATTTCTTCTTCTATGGAACTCTTTACCTTCTACAGGCATGCTCTTCAGCAGTGTGCAAAGCTCTCCACGGGCGCAAGTCTCGCAGACCTGTCAAAAGTGTTCGCAAAATATCTCGACCAGTACGCTCAGCAGGTGTTGCTGTACTACATCAGCGATCAACCTACCGTTCACAGTCCCCTAGGAACGCCGACATCCGAGGACTACATTGCCGTGCTGAACACAGCGGACTACTGTTATACAACATGTAATCAGTTGGAAGAGAAGATCAAGGGCCGCCTTGACAAGAACCTGAAGCAGAGTGTAGACTTGCAAAGTCAAGCAGACTCTTTCATGGGTATAGCGTCTGCTGCCGTGCGAGGTCTTGTGCGCAAGGTCGAGACCGAGCTGGAGCCTTGCTGGCGAGAAATGCGCAACACACCCTGGAACCGGCTGGAGGGAGTGAGCGACCAAAGCTCCTATGTCGGGGAGGTCCTGTCGAAAACCAACTCAAAAGCGTCGGAAATACTGCAATTGATTCACAAACAGCAGTACGCCAGAGCCTTCGCAGACCACATAGTTGAGCTGGTATCGAATATTTTCCTCCAGAACATCTTCCAGTGCAAGCCTGTTTCGGAGACGGGCGCAGAGCAGGTAGGCTCATTTCCCCGCATCAAGAATTATATCTAACCCTTAGCAGATGCTTCTAGACACATACACCCTCAAAACAGGCCTATCCTCACTCCTCCCCGCTCCTCCCCCGGCCGGCTTCGTCAAGCGCGTAAACAACAGCTTCGCAAAGATCGAAACACTGCTCAAAACCCTCCAAGTCCAACCCTCACCCCCCGAAGCCCTCGTCCAAGCATACCTAATCCACATCGCGGACCGAAACAACAACAACTTCCGCAAAATCCTCGACCTCAAGGGCATCCGCAGCCGCCAGGAGCAGAACCACCTCGTCGAACTCTTCCAGATCCACCGCACCTCCGACCGATACGCGTCAAACATCCAGGAAACAAACCCCGTCCTGGCCGCGCTTCAAACAACCTCCGCTTCCTCCTCGGCCTCCGTCTCCCAGGGCCTCGGCCTCGGCACCCTCGGCACCCTCGGCACCACTGCCGCGGCGTCGACGAGCCGCTTTGATGCTTCGCTGCTAGGCTCCGCACTTATCTCCGCTGCGAAGGACGGTGTTGATAGGCTGGGTACACCGATGGGCTCGTCTACACCTGTTAACCCACCTGCGGCTGGAGCGGGTACCTCGTTGTCCGCTTCGGGCACGCCCGTAACACCTGGCCCCTCTGGACCAAATCAGCAGGCCGGTGACATGGGTTCTAATCTGAATGAGAACCTCAAAAACCTCGGCAAGTTCTTTCGTAGGGATTTGGGGTTTGGGGGTAGGTTTGGCAGGGGTGGCGATGATGGGTGATGGATGTAGATGGGCCTTTTCGTATATAGTCTACGTTTCAGCGATGGCGGTCATGGATATATATATTGGTATCATTATGCCGCATACAAATCTTTCAGAGTCGTTTTTTTGTCTAGAGCAGCATGCAGAACTGGTTTTGAGGATATACCTTCGATGCTGATCGACATGACCTTGTAATATATATATAAATATTTTGTGTTCCAAGCATCATATTAGTTCTATACATAGTATACTTTTAATCATCCCAACAAGTCTATGCCTTTATATTTACAAACACACAACCGAGGAAACATAACCCGTCCGCTTTACTTTATTCCCATCTAAAACACAGTCTCCTCGCCAGCCCAACCGTGCTTCCTCAAATTCTCAAGTCCATAAAGAACCCCATTCAGCGCCTCCTTCTCCTTCTCCTCGGCACCCTCCGTCAAACCCACAGGTACAGTCCCCGTAGCATTAATCGTGCCGAGCATCTGGTCCGAGACAGACTCCCACTCGGTCGTGCCTTGCTTCAGCTGGAACGCTTCGAGGAGCGTTGTCGACGTCGCAGAGCGCCATTCTTGCGTCGACCCAGGGGCCCGGATGCAGTCTACTGAGACAAGGACTGTGTTCATGTGCACCTCGACGTCGAGGATGTTGCCTGATGTTTGGATTGGCTTGTGCGGCGTCATGGACCCGTTGGGCTCTAGTGTGAAGGGGAGAAGGGTTGGGTTGCTGATCTTGTTAGCTTGATTCAATCGCGGCAGAAAGAAGAATAGAACAGGGCCTTGCTTACCCTTCCAGAGCAACAAAGATGATGCGCTGCGAGTCCGCGCCACGCGTAGCCGCCCAGATACCGCGCACGGCGATTTCCTTGGGCTGGCCTTCAGCGTCAGCTTCGGATCCTTGTTCCGCGAGAGGCACGGTGTGCAGGAGCTCCCCGGTCGCCCATTTCCAGACGATAAGATGCGGGTCTCCGCCGCCTGAGATGAGGAGCTCCGGCGCCCACTCCGGAATGCAGAGTTTCGAGACAAACGCTGTATGACCGAAACATTGGCTCTCGATGATATGCGCCTGGGGCCGGCTGCGCGAGACACGAATATGCTCGTCTTTATCCGCGCTGAGGATGTAGTTTCTCCTCTTTGTGGATGACGGGTCTGGAGAGGGTAAAGAGGCAAAGGCTACATCTGTGAGGAGGGAGACGTGGCCCAGGAGTAGGTCATGGTCGAAGACGGGTTTCTCTGAAGCCTTCTTATGCTCCTGCTGCTGGCTTTTCATGTTGATTTGCATCTCCAGCGATTTGAGGTTGCGCGCCGTGTGCACGGTTAGGTTTGTTGCTGCGATTGCTGTGGATCGCTGAGCTGGTGTCTTTGGCGCTGGGCGAGGCTCAGCGCTGGGAATTAGTGGCATGGACCAGACGTCTCCGAACTTGTCGCCTGTTAAGATGTCGTTGTTTTCCATGAATTTGATGGCGCTGGGCCGTTTGGGCATTGGTCTGATGGTTGTTAGTCGCTGTTAATCGGCTCGCAACCAAGTATATTTGGACGCACCTTTCGCTTAGCTGCTGGAATGAACCGTCCTCTTCAATCTGGAAAACACGGATGCACTTGTCCTCCCCCGTGAGCGCAACCAGATATTCCCCATCCGGAGTAGATGTCAAGATGGGAATGTTGGTCCAGGCAGGGGTCTTCTTTGCGGGGGCATCGCCGTTTTTCTTCTGCTCAGCTGGATCGACCTTCCTCTTCTTCCCCGGCGGGCCTTCAGTCTCCGGGTTAGATCCAGCGCCGTTGGCATCGGGGATGGCAATGTCCGCACCGTCTAGCGGCCAGGAAGACAGGCGCTGTCCGGACTCCGCGGCGTAGGAGAAGAGCCTTGCGCCGGCAGATGCTACGAGCACATTTCTAGATTCGCCGTTCTTTCTCTTGACGAAGTGTATGCATTGAAATGGGTGTTGGAAGTTTTGCGCCATGGTGTATAGTTGGCGCACGGCGGATTATCCCCACGAAATCGTTTGACAGTATCGGCCGCAAGACAGAAAGCAAGCGACTATGACTCCTGATCCAACAAGCAAGATGCGATATCAACAAATGCTGATATCATTCAGATCTCCATGGCCTTGCGTATCCGCTCAAGTTCTACGGCGGAGCCTGGGCGGGGCCCACGTGACCGTCGGCTAGCGAGCGGAAAGCCACAACAAAATCGGCGACGCACAAATTCCAAAGCTTCAATCGTCCCGAACGACAACAAACCACATCCACGAATTTTCCCTTGCCCTTAAACATCCTATCTTCAGTGAAATAAGGAGAAATGGGGGGCAAGTCAGCTACCAAGGCCGCTTACTTCGAGAAGCTGAAGAACCTGCTCGATGAGTACAGCACTGTGTTCATCGTCGGTGTCGACAATGTCAGCTCTCAGCAGATGCACGAGATCCGTATCGCCCTCCGTGGCGAGGGTGTTGTTCTGATGGGAAAGAACACCATGGTAAGCTTGGAGCGCCCTGCGATGTCTTGCGACAGCAATTAACCTGATTTTCTCTAGGTTCGTCGTGCCCTCAAGGGTTTCATCAACGACAACCCCGAGTACGAGCGTCTGCTTCCTCACGTTAAGGGTGCGTACAAGTTCGATTGGGTGGATGGACAAGATGGCTGATGATGAATAGGCAACGTTGGTTTCATCTTCACCAACGGCGACCTCAAGGAGACCAAGGAGAAGATCCTTGCCAACCGTGTCGCTGCCCCCGCCCGTGCTGGTGCCGTCGCTCCCGCCGATGTCTGGATTCCTGCTGGTAACACCGGTATGGAACCCGGTAAGACCTCTTTCTTCCAGGCTCTCGGTGTCCCCACCAAGATTGCTCGTGGTACCATTGAAATCACCACCGATCTCAAGCTCGTTGAGGAGGGCAGCAAGGTCGGTCCTTCCGAGGCCACCCTGCTCAACATGCTCAACATCTCCCCCTTCACCTACGGTATGACCATCCAGCAGGTCTACCAGGACGGCCAGACCTTCAGCGTCGAGGTCCTCGACATCACCGAGGAGCAGCTCCTGAAGGCCTTCTCCAGCGCCATCAACGCCATCACCACCATCTCCCTGGCTGCCAACTACCCCACCCTTCCTTCCGTCATCCACTCCGTCATCAACGGATACAAGAAGGTCTTGGCTGTTGCTGTTGAGACTGAGTACAGCTGGCCCGAGATTGAGGAGCTCAAGGACCGTATCGCCAACCCTGACGCTTACGCCGCCGCCGCTCCCGCCGCTGCCGCTGCCACCTCTGACGCCCCTGCTGCTGCTGCGGCTGCTCCTGAAGAGGAGGAGGAGGCTTCTGACGAGGACATGGGCTTCGGTCTCTTCGACTAAGCGTCTCGTGTCGCTGCACGAGATGCGATTGCCATGTATTAGATACTGTTTATGACCGATCACGAGATTGGGTAAATGAAGAATGACACTGGTGCACATTAACTCTTAGTAAGATATGAACGTAGCCACGTTTCATATCCTACGGAGTCATCAAGGTACGTTTCATGTCTCTCTCTCTTGCACTACACACTGCTCTTATCTGTTCCTGGCGGAGGATGATACCATTTTTAACTCGTAACACCATCCGGTGTCATGAAGATTAAAAACGCAACAACAAACACTCTAATTTTTTGCTGACGCCTCAACCCACTCTCAATTGCTTCTCACTCATGTCCTGTTTTTCATCTGCTAACAGTCGACATAGGATTTTTACGATGTAGGCATCTGCTCGTGATAGAATCTCGACTTGTAGACCGTGAGATTTCCCGGCTTCCTTGGTCTTTAGATTGGCTTAGGCTTTTTGGGGCTATCTCACCGTCCGGACACGGACGCGGCATTGAGGACATTAGGAAAGAAAATAATATCAATCATTCCTTTCGAATTATCTCTTTTCTGTAGACTTCTTTTATTGTAGACTCAATCATGAAATCGAACCTTAAAATCGGACGCGGCGTGGATCACGGGGCAGACGGCCCGAGGCACTCAGCAAGAATATCGTCCGAGAGTTGCTACCAAGTTCCTCTCTCACAACTATTTCCACCCCTCCAAAATGACACAATTCGCCCCATTGAAGAATGATTTATTGTTGAGGGCTGCTAAGGGTAATGCTTTATCTTTTCTTGACGGATTCCGATCTAACAATGTCCAGGCGAGAAGGTGCACCGCCCGCCGATATGGGTCATGCGACAGGGTATGGATTTCTTCCACATCTCAATTCCCCAAGCATTTACATTACTTAACCCAAACCGCAAGCTTCGTACAGAACGGCAAGCTAACTTATTTGCCTCCTCCAGCTGGCCGCTACCTCCCCGAGTACCACGAAGCCAAGGGCAACCGCGACTTTTTCGAGTGCTGCCGCGACCCGGAAATCGCCTCCGCGATTACCATCCAACCCATTGACCGATATGAAGGCCTCATCGATGCCGCGATTATCTTCTCGGACATCCTCGTCATCCCGCAAGCCATGGGCATGACCGTCGAGATGGTCGACAAGAAAGGTCCCCATTTCCCCGAGCCCCTCCGCTCCCCCACCGACGGACAGTATGAGAAGGTCATGGCGCGCGATGTGGATGTCAAGGCCGAGCTGGACTACGTGTACAAGGCCATCACGCTCACGCGAACAAAGCTCAATGGACGCGTTCCGCTGATCGGATTCTGCGGCGCCCCGTGGACGCTGCTTTGCTACATGGTTGAGGGTGGCGGCAGTAAGATGTTTATCCAGAGCAAGACCTGGGTTTACAGATATCCCAAGGAGTCACAGGTGCTGCTGCAGAAGATCGCCGAGATATGCGTTGAGTACCTGGCGCTCCAGGTTGCTGCTGGTGCCCAGCTTGTCCAGGTGTTCGACTCGTGGGCTGGGGAGCTGTCGCCCGCGTCGTTCAAGGACTTCTCGCTGCCGTACCTGAGACATATCTCGGCAAACCTGCCCCGGAGGCTGAAGGAGATGGGACTCGAGCCGGTGCCGATGACGGTCTTCGCCAAAGGCGCCTGGTATGCTCTTGAGGATCTCTGCGAGTCGGGATACAATGTTGTTGGGCTGGACTGGCTGCATGACCCGGCTGAGGCTTTCAAGATCGCCAACGGGCGGGTTACGATTCAGGGCAATGCGGACCCCGGTGTTCTCTATGGAGGCCGCGAGGCTATTACGCAGGCTGTCGAGACTATGGTTGCTGGATTCAAGAAGGGCAAGCAAGGATGGATTGCCAACTTGGGTCATGGTATGTTCTCTCATTCCTCGTGTTATGCAAATGCTAATTTCTCAGGCGTGACTCCTTTCGTCAAGCCGGACGATCTCAAATTCTACTTTGAGGAAATCCACCGGCTGACAGCCGACTAAGCAGGGGATATGTCGACCGCGTGCGTTTGAAGAAAAGCTGATCTATTCGCCAATGTCCTCATTCCTGCGTTGTGATAGTCAGCACCAAATGCGCCAACTTGCGGGTCCATATAAGAAACCAGAAAGAATGAACATACCAGAGCTCAGGCTTCTCCTTGATAAACTTCTCCATCATCTGCTTGCACTCCTCATCATCCAAAACGACCAGCTCCTTCCCGCGGCTCTTCAGATATTCCTCCCCACCCATGAAGTTCTTGTTCTCCCCGATAACAACCCGCTTGATCTTGTACAGGATGCACGCCCCGGTGCACATATCGCAAGGCGACAGCGTCGTGTACATCGTAGCGCCCTCGTACGCGGAAGCAGGCAGACGGCCAGAGTTCTCGAGCGCGGACATCTCAGCCTGGTAACATTAGCCACCCTTGTAGACCTGATAGGTAGAAGGTCAGAAAGACGAACATGTAGCGTCGCACTTCCGTTCTGCACACGCATGTTATGTCCCCGGCCGAGAATGGTCCCGTCCTTGCCGACCAAGGCCGCACCGATAGGCACGCCACCCTCGGCAGCGCCCTTCTTGGCCTCCTCGACGGCGGCGATGAATCCGGGGTCTGTGTTCATGTTGGGTGTGGGGTTGGACAGTTGGAATGTAGAGATGCGTAGGCCGTAAAGATAAGAGCTCTGCCTTGCAGAAAATATCGATATCAGCGGCCCGTTGGTTGCCGCTCTGGCTCTAGTTTGACCCGCATTTTGAGCTCCACGGAGTTATCTAGATTGTACGGAGGAGATGAGGCTAGATTGCAAACGGCAAGGCATTGAGGGTTCTCGACCGGACTGTGCAACCTAGACTAGGTGGGCAGCTCTACGGAGTATGGTGGATTACAGGTCAAGAGGATAAAGTCTTAGCACTCTGCTGCATGGGGACTGGCAGCCACCCCTCGATGATCCTTATCGATAAGCACGGTATCCTTGCAGTTCCGAAAGAGGTCGCCGCCTGAGCGCTGAGGCAAAAGCCAGTGCCACTGGTTGGTTTGGAAATCTCTTGCTTAGAATATGACAACGGGAACACAATGGATACCAAAAATACTTTCCTGGACGCAAGACATAAAGCGGACAAAGCCCCATTTTGTACTTGTATTACGGAAGCTGGCAGAAGAAAGCGCACGAAGCCGATGGAAGAGCATCGAAGAGCGTCGAATCCGCTTGGCACGAAATTCAGTGGGCAGCCTGATCGATCGAAACAACGAGAACCTCAGTACAAAGATAGAAATCCAACCGCGGGCAGTAAGACGCTGGTTCAAGCTGGATCTAAAAATTCATTTCGATTTGCCTTAGAAAGACCCTTTGATCTCCAGATCCATATCCTCTGCGCCTGCCCAGATTAATCCCGTTGCTGGGTCGTATCTCCGGTATCTGCGATACTCAAGTCTCGATAAGAATACACTGTCAAAAGAGTCCGTTGGTGCCTGGTCCTGGTATCAAATACGCGAGCTTACGCCGTAATCTTACCAGCCTTTGCCATCCCCGTCAGGTTCTCTCTCAGCGTTCGGTCCAATTCTTCAAGCCCGGCCGCCTTCCACTCTCATCCTTTTAAATCCTCCTCTCAGCCTCTCAAATCTCCCCTCCACATTCCAAGCCTCTCCGACGCCTCTCCTACGTCTTTCCTTCTCCTCTGACGTCCGGCGACTACATTTCTCTTCGACTCCTATCCTCCTGGGCTTGCTTTCCGTTCAAAAGTCTTCGTGTTTATTCGGAACCTCGTCCCACCCCTCGCGAGTTCTCTTCTCCTTTTCGAGTCACCTTAGATTTAGACCACATTCACAATGGTTAAAGATACGAAGTTCTACGACATTCTCGGGGTAAGTAGCTATACTGCGTTCTCTGCTAGTTTGCAGCGACACTAACGGAGACTCCTGTAGGTTGACCCGTCAGCCTCCGACGCCCAGCTGCGAAGCGCTTACAAGAAGGGTGCCCTCAAATACCACCCTGGTAGGTGAACAAGAAGAAACGCGAAAGAAAGCAATCATCGTTCTAATCCGACCCGTACAGACAAGAACCCCAACAACCCCGAGGCCGCCGAAACGTTCAAGGAAATGTCCAAAGCCTACGAAGTCCTTTCCGATTCTCAGAAGCGAAGCGTCTACGATCAGCTCGGTGAGGAGGGTCTCGAGGGCGGTGGTGGTGCCGGTGGAATGGGCGCGGAGGACCTCTTCGCTCAGTTCTTCGGCGGCGGCGGCGGCTTCGGTGGTATGTTTGGCGGTGGCATGCGGGACCAGGGCCCCAAGAAGGCTCGCACCATTCACCATGTCCACAAGGTCAACCTGGAAGACATCTACCGCGGCAAGGTGTCCAAGCTCGCTCTCCAGAAGTCCGTCATCTGTTCCACTTGCGATGGCCGCGGTGGTAAGGAGGGCGCCGTCAAGTCGTGTACCGGCTGTAACGGCTCGGGTATGAAGACGATGATGCGCCAGATGGGTCCCATGATCCAGCGCTTCCAGACTGTCTGCCCCGACTGTAACGGTGAGGGAGAGAACATCCGTGAGAAGGACCGCTGCCGCAACTGTCATGGTAAGAAGACTGTTGTCGAGCGCAAGGTTCTCCACGTCCACGTCGACCGTGGTGTCAAGAACGGTCACAAGATTGAGTTCCGCGGCGAGGGTGACCAGCTCCCTGGCGTCATGCCTGGAGATGTTGTTTTCGAGATTGAGCAGAAGCCCCACCCCCGGTTCCAGCGCAAGGACGACGACCTCTTCTACCACGCCGAGATTGACCTCCTTACTGCCCTTGCCGGCGGTACTATCAACATTGAGCACCTTGATGAGCGGTGGTTGTCCGTGACGATCGCCCCTGGCGAGGTTATCACTCCTGGTATGTCACAAATTCGTGAAACTCGGCGATATGAGGCTAACGTGTTTTCAGGTGTCATCAAGGTCATCAAGGGCCAGGGTATGCCCTCGTTCCGCCACCACGACCATGGTAACCTCTACATCCAGTTCGACGTCAAGTTCCCCGAGAAGGACGAGCTCAAGAACCTCGAGCTTCTGGAGCAGGTTCTGCCTCCCCGACAGGAGACGAACAAGGCCCCCGCCGATGCTATGGTGGAAGACTTTGAGCTCGAGGAGGTCGACGGCAACGAGCGCTCACAAGCGCGTGCTCACGGTGCGGCGGGTATGGACGAGGATGACGATGATGTTCCTCCTGGAGCTGAGCGGGTGCAGTGTGCTTCTCAGTAAGCTAGGAGGGAGGTGTTATGATTGGGTGTGGCAGGGCCTCATGAACTTCGCTTATGATACCATGTTGAAGATTAGCCCTGGGCACTGCTCTTTTCTGCTTTGATTTCCGACGACTTGCTTTGCGATGGCGTTTGCACCGAAGATTCGGCTGATTGATGACTGGAGATTCTGTTTCTTTTTCTTTTCTCACCTTTCCCTGTGGCATCCCATCCACTCGCATCATTGATTCTATACATAATCTCCTTCCCTTTTCCCTTTTCTTAGGCGGGATCTGTTCGTGTTAGTGGGATTTAGGGATGCGGTTCGCGTTCGCATTTCCGCGGCTGCAGGTGAGGTAGTTGCTTTGGGGTGGGTACCAACATTATAGACTCGCATGAACTTGGTTATGATTCTTCACGATGTCCTATTTTGAATGTGTAGTCTTGAGTTTCATGTAATGGTAGCGGGTGATACGGCTGGGGGTATGGACCAAGTTATATATGGCGATCCTAGTGAGGACCCTGGCGGTTACGAGGCAACATGGTCCTTTGTTCCAGACGTCAAGGTAAGTAAGCCGCTACACTAAGGTACTCTGAGACTACCTAGTACTGAATAGGTCAAAGGCTTCCTACACAATTTTCGTGCTCAACTTGCGACACCGTATCCAACAACTGGCTCTTGCTCTTCGCTCTCGAAGCATATCAAGCTCCGAGCTCATCTCAGCAGCTACACCGTCCAGCTACAGGTCGATTGCTCCCAGCGCTCTCGACAGGTTCATAACGTCCCAGACTACTCCGCCCAGTCAAGCCCCCAGGCCCGATGCCAGCACCTTGTACGCTTGGGTTCCCGCATCGGACAATTGGAGACGCTCCTTGCGTACCCGTTGTGAAATGTGTACGTGTACGAGGCGGGACATCGATGTCGAATTCCTATCCGTTTCATCAGCATGGGCATGGGCATGGGCTGCCGAGGCAACAGTTCGCTGTAAGACATAAGGCCGCTAGCTAGGTACTCAATTCGACTCACCTCATCCAGCGCCACGTCAACTCAACCATATCAGCGATTTGTGCCCAGGTTCATTACTATGTGGGCGTTCTTAAGGCTTGTGGACCATGAGCGGAGGAGCCCTATCAGCTGGAGCATTTCATCTGGAGGCCGTCGAGCCAAGGCCTCATAAGATCAAGCGAGCCGTCACCATTACCAGTGATTGACACCTGGTACGATCCGCAAACTGGCGGCGGTGCGCTGGCTAGCGGCTGAGGGTGTGTCAGTGGCCTTGACCTTGATCCATGATCTCTGCTCATTGGCTCGCACTATTGCAAGGAAAACATGATCCAAGTGATGTTTTCTCTGGACTGGCGGGGCGTATGCTTAATATGGCCTGTCCTGCGCTGTCGCGGAAGTTGGACATCATCTCTCATTGAGGGCCCTGCAACTGAAGCGCCGAGTTCGGCTGCGAGCGTGAACACCAAGCACGTTAGGGAAGAAAGGAAGGATGACATTGCACTTGAGACCTCGAGCTTTTGTTCCAGACTTCTGGGACTCAATGTGTCCCCCTGGGCTGAAAGCTTCGACGGCCGCAAGTTCTGGGTATAGATGCTTATGGAAAGCCATAGCTAATGCATGTGATCGGCCTGCCCTCCTACTCATGGGACTACTTCACCATTAATCCTGCACGGCTTACCATTCATTCTTGACTCGCGAACCGACAGGACCAGTCACTACAGAACAAGAACAACGGAGTCTGCGGATCACCACGATGATGCAACGGCGCACATCATCACCAGCGCAGTTGTGTGGCTGAAAGACCTTGGAATGGCAGGGCCAGCGTGCTGTCCGATTATGTGGTATATGCCCAAGGGCGCTGGAGGCACTGCTCTGCGTGGATAAACACAGGCCTCATCGATTTCCTTTGGGTGGCTATCTTTCATTGAGAAGGTTTGCCGTGACATCGGCGGGACGAGTGCATTGAAACCGGGTTCGCTTTAGGTACGACAAGGGTTCGTTGAGCTCTGTCTTCTTGAGCAAATGAGCTATGCTTTGTGATGTTGACAACGTTGTGAACAACATATCCATCGAGAACAGCTTATAACAAGATGATGATCTTATCCTCCCAAATCCATACCGACCTCAGGACCCTCGGATCCGGCACACAAACAAGGCTTTCGTGAGGCCTGAAGACAGCCTGTACAAGATTTTCCAACCCAGAGCTGCAGCAAATTAGACCTTTACCCCGGGGACAATCGGCTCGCCCCGCAGCGACGCAGGACGTTGTTCTCAAAGTCAGAGATCTAGCGGCGCACCTAGCGTTGATGCTTGAGCATAGCCTTCGACGTTTCTCGGTCTATCTTAGACAATTGTACGCCTAGAACGCTGCGCGAGTGAAGAGAGATTATTCAGGGTTTCAGTGCAGGGTGATAGGAACATGCTTTACCGACATTCTGGGATTCATATGACTTTCATTCCTTTTTCATATCGTCCCGTTCTGATGGTGTATCTCAGAGCGCGTCTGTTTCAGACAGTTCATGAAGACTAACTTGTTGCTGTGCTGCGCAAGAGTTTGGTCCCGGCGAGGAAGTGGACGATGTAGGCGCGGACTATTTGGACATCTTGATACCAGGCAGGAGTGACAGTCCCATCTGACTCTCGGTCTCGGCCTCAGTGCATGGAAGGGAGATTCTGGCAATTGACAGCCTGGACTTCTGTGCGTCTCTTACAATATATTAGCCCGACGCAGGACGGGAGTATGGCTGTGCTCCTTTTTTCTAATTCTAATATGCCAGTATTTTGGTATGTTGGACCTGATGCATTGGATCGCAGCAGAATCCTGCAGGTTCTCAGGGTTACCATCGATTTCCTCACTGCGGTTGCTCCGCTCAATCCGAGCGATGAACGGCGCATGTGCATCCGATCCCTCGGGAGCCAGGCAGGAACAACCATTCGTACCGCAGATTGTGGAGTATACGGATCTGATGACGGCCTTAGCCGCTTGGGAAGTTCGACGGAAGGCACTTCGCTGCAACCAAGGTGACAGTTAAAGTTGGTGGTTGGTAGGAATGCTGGAGACGTCGCCTTGTCTGGTCCCTGTGAGTAGGAGGGCTGACTAGATAGGTATGAAGTGAGCTTGTGCTAGCTCTATACGGCTACATATCACTTCACGCAGTGAGAAACATATGCCCAGGGGCCGGTGGGATAAACGGAGGCCAGAAATGCACTGCCCTGTTTATAGCTTGGATTGCTCCTGACGCTGCCTTACATTACTTCCTAGTCCCGGATTCATGAATCAACTTAACGCTCAGGTGGTTAGGGCTCGTGGCATGTAGGCTCCAGCTTGCGCCCAAGAGACTTCCACAAGCTAGCCCTAAGCGCAAGTATTCTTTTCTCACTGCACGCGTTGACGAATCCCTATGCCGCGAGTGGAAATCAGGACCGCGACTGCCTCTTCGAAAACAAACATTCCGCTTTCAACACGGACGCAGCCGGTCAATGGCTACATGGTCGGACTAGGCAAAGCACGAAGAGCCCGGGACAAGTTGCGTCCGTCATCAGACTTGGTAGCAAGGCAGAAGACGCTACATCGGCGAGCCCCTGCAACAAGCGGTGGGGATTCCGCAGCTAGAAACCCAACTGGCAGACGAAGAGTATGACAGTCACATTCCGACAGGACGTTCTCGGCCAGCTGGAGCTGGAGAGGATGCTCCTCATAGATGGCACCGGGATACTCTCGACCAGACCACCGCGTTGCAACCAAGCTATGCAATGCATGACTTGCTGCCTGTCGGAATGCGATGTGGTCTATGTTATGCTCAAGTTGGGCGTGGATGTTCTCCTCCCGGTTTTAGGGTCCTGGTGGAAGAGATGAGAGACGCTATCAAAACGTGGATTAGTCTGGGACCGTCGTAAGAAGCCCGGGGGCCAAGAAGGAGGAATAACTCGCGCAAGAAAACACGAGCCGCAATATAGTCATGAGCGCATGTCCTACTTCGGGTCTACCTATGCCTGAGCAAGGAACAATGACATGGCATCGCATGGCATGGCATGGCATGGCATTGGCCGCAAGTTGCCTAGGGGCCTGGTCATCCCCTTCACCTGCTAGGACCACGTCAGGAAGCCTTTGACGTGGCTGTACGTCCATCCACTATTATCAACGACCGCACATCGAACCAAAAGCCCAGCGACAAGATAGGGCCAATGCCACCAATTGCGTAGCCCTGACAATACAGCACCATCCCAGCCTAGAGAATTAGGCCTGGACGCTTTACGGAGGCGCGGGTGGCCTAGATGAATGGAGGTACTTGCTGGTGATACGGTATAGCGTTAAGGTCTAGGGGCATTTCGAAGCGAAAGAGCGCAGTGAACGTCTGGCTTTGAGGCGAGATACGGTATGGTAGGCTGCTGCCCGGTCGATCCGGATGGGTGAGCGTCGAATGAGTCCGGGAAGGGATCGTGGGCCTGCCTTGCATCGATGTCCCGCGGTCTTCTACTCTTGCTTCTTCTTTCGTATCGGGGGTTCGAAGGGGACTGTGGCCGTCCATTTGTCGTGGTTGCAGCTATCGGACCTTACTCATATAGCCATCTGAATTGCAACCCACCACAATAGCCAGCGCAGTGTAGTGCAGTGTGGCATCATCTCTATGAGCAGGACGATCTAATGGGACTGGGAAACAGGCGAAGGGAGTGGATGGGCGAAATGGGATGTATCGGATATCCCGGCATTTTGTAGCTGGAATATGTGCTTCGAAGGTTAGATGATGATAGACACGGGGGTCATGGGTGTGGTTTAGCATTGAAATGAATCAATTCTGGGACTGTGATTGTCAGATAATAGAAGATTACTTACGTTGTGTTCTGTGTTCGCATGGGAGACCAAGATTCGGTGTGGGGATATATATATTTGCGCGGTGCAACTCCCCTTGACCGTTTATGGTGCAATACCTTGTCTACCTCGCTGCGGTTTTATATCTGGCCCTAAGCTTATCCCCCCCCCGCAATAGACACTGTTTGTCTGTTGTCTTGAGGTAGTTGGTACTCCCAGTCTCCCTACTTACTCCGTACAAGTCCACTGAATACAGCGGCTGTCGCTAAAGCATGCCCTAGATTCCGCACCCACAATTCCGTGAAGAAAACCCGACCACGAACAACGCCGTCGTATTTAGAGAGAAAAAAAGCCCAGATATGCCTACAGATCACTGGAAAAATCGATGTAAAATGCGGAATGTGTCTTGGCACCCCATAGACGCAGCAAAAATGCAAAAAAGAAAGCCGAACGGGGGGGTCGAACCCCCAACCTTGAGATTAAGAGTCTCACGCTCTGCCGATTGAGCTAGCCCGGCTGTGATTGGTTGATGGACTCCTAACTATTATGTCTTATTAGGGCATGGCGTAAAGCAGGACAGACAGGTCGACCAGCAATGTTGTCCATGCGGGCTCGGTGCTGGGAGAATTGTTCTGGACTGGACATGACATGCGAGGGATGGCTATCACGGTCTCGACGGAGAGTATGTGCAGGATTGCATCGCATATACGCTGAGATAAGAGGCGAGACCGAGGACCGGTTGGTTTGGGATATGTATCGGCATGCCGCAAGGGGTCAATGTAATGTCACCGTTTGTGTCACAGTGTCACAACAGCGATAAGGCCAAGAACTCGAATCAAAGCTTGTCAAAAGGTAAGTCTCCTAGGCAGAATCTAGATTCACTGTAGTACTGGAGGAGGGGTTGGATGCAAGGGGCCAGTCGCGTGTCGTCCGGGTTGGAAATCAGTAGACCATCCACCCCGCGACTCTCTCCGACGCTTGGAGATTCCTGAACGGTTTTGGTACGCGCTACACAGCAGTATCACCTTGGGATGCTCCATGCGAGAACAACGACTGGTAGTCGGCTACTGCGTAGACAGAGAAATCAACGCCTCCAGCTGAACAGATGGCTGTGATCGATGTCGGGAACAATCAGCATACTGAATCGAGCGCCACAGACTGATGGCGACACCGAGCGCATCACAGATTGGCAGATGCGAGCAGAACAAGAGCCACGGGACGCGATCACTAATGGAAACTCTGCTGCAAGTGAAGCGAGGGGGTATCCATCCAGCTCGCAGAACAAGCGAGTCTAGAGTCTAGACGATCAGGGCAGCGAGACGAACGCACGCAACAAAGCCGCAGTGTCTGCACCCTAGCAAGCCAATACGAAGAACAATGCGGCCAGAATACGAGGTTAGTCGACGGTCATCAGAATAAGCGTCGGCTGAGGATGCCAATGTGCTCGTCCTGCTTGTCGGAGTCAAGCTTGCCCCAAGGGATCTTGGGTGCTGTGGCGGGCGGGCAGCGATGGCTCATCAGCGGCTAAAATGGCGACATTAAGGTTAATTGGGGGAATCGTTCCAGAAGGCTGAAGCCCAGCGGCCAGTGCCAAAGGGGGTTGTCAGCCGGCGTCGTGTCGTGGGGTGGGCGGTGGTTAGATTGGATATTGCGAGCATCGTGTGACTCCGCGGACATGGTTTATGGTGTTTGGTTCTGTGAGGCTCATGATAGGTCGTGATGCGAGTGCAGGGACAAGGGGTTCATGGTTCATCGCATGCGTGCTGTTGATGCGGATCCAGATGGAATTCGGTAGCTGTCATATCTGTCATACACGCGGTGCATCGCTGGATGTTTCTGGAATCTGACAATCACCGCGATGATCCTGACGGTCATTTCTGTTCAGGAGTCGGGATATGCGGTTTGGTGGGTTTGGATGCAGGTGATGATGACGCGATTTTACTGTTGATGAGGTGACGGGATGGTGGGGAGCCAGGGTTCTTGATTCCTGCAGGAGCATCTTGGCTGCATTTGCAATCTTGAATCCTCCAGCTTGATATCACTGTTGCAGTCTGCAGAGGCAGACATCTCCGATGCATTTCCGATACAAAGGGCGAGGATAGTGTTTCAAGGGGGAGTCGTCGTTGCGTCGTCGTAATTGAGTCCGACAACGGCAAGGCGTGCCAAGACGCTAAATTAGTCAGCGCCACTACGAACTACTCTGTGCATTTTCATTCTACACATGTCTACGGAGTGTTCGATACTAGATTGTAGCCATGATCAGATATCTATTGACAGTAATAATAAATGCATTCCTACTCTCTGACTCTGCCAACGATGTCATACTCATCTGTGCCGAGAACCCACACGTGGAGCGAGAGCTTTCACCATCTGGCCGAACGATGGCGTGTTCTCCCGGCCCTCCCATTGGCTGGCTGCTCTCCAGTCGCCCGTGATTGGCGGGTTTCCTGTCCCTGCGCGGCGGTCGGCAGCGGCAGTATCGGCCTCTATCAACTTTTGCTTCTCTGCCTTTTGACCAAAGTCTGCCGGTTTTTCATCGGGGTCATCGGTATTTATCAGTTTCATCGCATGAGCTCATCAATCGACATCAAAATCTGCCCCGAAGGACAGTTCCTGGCCAGATCCCGTGCCAGAGACCGCACAACCATGGAAGACGAGAGCTTCCAGACCAAGCGGCGCAAGCCCACTCAACCAGCGGATGGGCCCTATTACGCCAGCGCCTGGACAAGCTTAAACGCCCGCTGCCCACTGCCGCTGCTCGCTTGCTGACCGCTGACGATCCTGCTGGCCTCTGCTGGTCTTCCCTCTTCGGGCCTGCTTTTTCTGCTGCGTGGCGCGGCCCTGTGTGACGATTGATTGCTCTCGTGCAGCCCCCACAGTCTCCCGTCTCGCAAGATCGCCTCAAAGCCTAAAACCATACTTAAAACTTTCCCCCAGGCTTCATCTCTGCTGTTTTTCTTTTTCCATCATCGGTTGCTGTTGACTCGTATCCAGCTTCCCCCGGCCTTTACTTCCTCGCCGGCCTCTCGCCTCGCCCTGCCGTCTCAACGTGCCCGGTGCATTCTTCCCATCCTATCGCTCCTCTGAGTTTGCGCTATACCTTCTATATCCTTGGCTTTACGAGATCCGTGGGGGACCCTTATTCGCATTTACACCTCTCGATCACGACATCCTTGGTCCGTCTTGGTTCATTTAAAGCTTGCCTCCTCATCTACAGACATGGCTAGCCAGTTCGCTTAAATCTCTGATTTATCCGTTCTCCTCTGTCTTATCTGCGATTCACCATCTGCTAGCATTTTGTCGTGACCCCGGTGGTCTACGAACTAGGGCTCGTGTCCGCCCGACTTATATACTCTCGCCGTCTCCTCCATCTTCCCAACCACACCATGCCTAGCGATCTCGCCACAAAGCTCGGCCACGGCGCGGCCAAGGTCTTGCGCCTGAAACTGCCCGAGAAGCAACAACACGATGCCGTCACCCGCGGCGAGTCGACCTTCTCAGTCGGCACCTTTGACACCTACTCCTATGTCGAGCCCGAGCCCACCGCGGCCGAATGGTTCGCCGAAATCACGCCCTCGTGGAGAGACGTCGGCATGTACTTTTACAGACTTTTCCCCTTCCTATCCTGGATCACCCGTTATAACCGGACGTGGCTTATTGGAGATCTGGTCGCCGGTATCACCGTCGGAGCCGTCGTCGTCCCTCAGGGAATGGCCTACGCCCAGCTTGCGCAGCTGGATGTAGAATACGGGCTGTACTCGTCCTTCATGGGCGTCCTGATCTACTGGTTTTTTGCAACGTCAAAAGACATTACCATTGGTGTACGTATCTCCAGATTTTTCTCACTTCGGCACTAACAAGTAACAGCCCGTCGCTGTCATGTCCACTCTGGTTGGAAACATCGTCACGGGCGCCCAAGAAACTCATCCTGAACTTGAAGGTCACGTTATTGCATCCTGTTTAGCGATCATTTGCGGCGGAATTGTGTGCTTCATGGGCCTGGCTCGTCTCGGATTCATCGTCGATTTTATCCCTCTCCCAGCCATCACAGCGTTCATGACGGGCTCCGCCATCAACATCTGTTCCGGACAGGTTTCCACGATGCTTGGCGAGTCGGGCGTCAACACCCGAGGCGCCACCTATAGGACCATCATCGATACTCTCAAGCAACTCCCAACGTCCACCCTTGATGCCGCGATGGGTGTTACCGCGTGTGCCATGTTGTACATCATCCGCTCTGGCTGCAACTTCGCTGCCAAAAAGCAGCCGCACCGTGCCAAGGTGTGGTTCTTCGTCTCCACCCTGCGCACTGTGTTTGTGATCCTCTTCTACACCATGATCAGCGCCGCGACCAACCTTCATCGGAAAGACAACCCCGCATTCAAGGTTCTTGGACACGTTCCTCGAGGTTTCCAGCACGCCGCCGTTCCCACCGTCAATGCGGAAATCATCACGACGTTTGCTAGCGAACTGCCCGCCGCCGTCATCGTCCTTCTCATCGAGCACATTGCCATTTCCAAGTCGTTCGGCCGCGTCAACAACTACACCATCGACCCGTCCCAGGAACTGGTTGCCATCGGTGTCAGCAACCTGCTTGGCCCGTTCCTCGGCGGCTATCCCGCCACCGGTTCCTTCTCCCGAACTGCTATCAAGTCCAAGGCAGGTGTTCGAACCCCGCTGGCCGGTGTCATCACTGCTGTTGTCGTCCTCCTTGCCATCTACGCTCTGCCCGCGCTTTTCTGGTACATCCCCAAGGCTTCTTTGGCGGGTGTCATCATCCACGCAGTCGGCGACCTGATTACCCCGCCGGATGTTGTCTACCAGTTCTACCGCGTTTCGCCGTTTGACTGTGTGATCTTCTTCATCGGTGTAATTGTCACCGTATTCACCACGATTGAAATCGGCGTCTACTGCACGGTCTGTATTTCCGTTGCAGTGCTCCTGTTCCGCGTGGCCAAGGCCCGCGGTGAGTTCCTGGGTCGCGTCACCATCCACTCTGTCGTTGGCGACCACGTTATGGAAGAGACCAAGCCGGTCGGCGATGTCGACCGCACCCGCTCCATCTTCCTCCCTATCAACCACACCGACGGCTCCAACCCCGAAGTCGAGATCGAGCAGCCCTTTCCCGGCATCTTTATCTACCGGTTCTCCGAAGGCTTCAACTACCCGAACGCCAACCACTACACCGACTACCTCGTCGACACCATCTTCAAGCAAACCCGCCGAACCAACCCCTTTACATACAGCAACCCTGGCGACCGCCCGTGGAACAACCCCGGCCCTCGCAAGGGCAAGCAGGAGGAAGACCGCTCCCACCTGCCGACTCTCCGCGCAGTCATCCTCGACTTCTCATCCGTCAACAACGTCGACGTCACCTCAGTGCAGAACCTGATCGACGTCCGCAACCAACTCGACATCTACGCCTCCCCCCGCACCGTCCAGTGGCACTTCGCCCACGTCAAGAACCGCTGGACCAAGCGCGCTCTCGCCGCCGCCGGCTTCGGCTACCCCACCCCGGCCTCAGACGACGGCTTCCACCGCTGGAAGCCCATCTTCAGCGTGACCGAGATTGAAGGACAAGCCTCCGCCGCCGCGCACGCCGAGCTCGTCGCCAACGAGAACACCCGCCACGCCGGTGCCGGCGATCTCGAAAGCGGCCTTAAGCGCCCATCGCACACCGCCGAGCGGGAGACGCACGGTATTGAAGAATCGTCAAACTCGAGCATCGGCGACGACGACAAGCTGCAGCGTGATCTGAAGGATAGCAAGGCGTACCGCAACCGGCGCAAGATGGCCATGGTGCAGGGCGTCAACCTGCCGTTCTTCCACATCGACATCACGAGCGCGTTGGAGAGTGCCCTGGCCAACTCGCCGGGTGAGGACCCTGTCGAGGTGTCGAGTGAGTGAGCGTGAGCGTGAGCGTGAGCGTGAGCGTGATTGTTTAGCGATATACTCCCTGGCTGGAGCTTTGTTTTGGTCGGTTTATATATTCCCCTCGTGTTGTGTCTTGAGCGAGTGTGTCTTCGGTTATCTACTCTTACCATTATAATCTTGTTGATTCAACCAAAGGTTGATTGATTGATTGATTGATCGCACATCGTGCTCCGTATACCCATTAGCATCGCTATACTGTCGCCGCATGTACATAGATCTATCTACGAACAAATAGATTGATGCAACGCAGGTGCATCCTAGCTGTCAACCTCAACGTACAACTCCATATCCCATGCAGACCTATGCCTGCGCATACTGTAAATGTCTTCCTACCTAACCACTCAATCTATCTCACCTGCCTCACCGTGCAGGCCGTATGCATTCGTTGTTGTCATACCTACAATCCTACATACCTACTTACCTACCATAGATCTAACGTTAGTTGGTTTGTGCTCACTGCTGATGGTTACGCTGGCCAACGCCGAATCGTACATTTGCGGAGTCACCGCGTATGAACTGTCGTCGTAGTGTTGTGGAGAAGAAGAAGAAGAGAAAGAGAAGTGGAGGCCGGGAGGGTCGGTTTTGTAGGGAGGGGATTAAGGTTCTTGGTAATGCTTGCTTCGCTTCTCTTCTCTTCTGTGCCGTGGCTTAGATGTCATGGTATTTGTAAGCTCTTCTTTGTAAGCTTCTTCTGTGATTGTAGATATACTTTACATAGGACTCAAGGAGAATCAGTGGAGAAACCAACATCGACATCGAATCGACATCCGAGACGAGGTCACCCAGAGTCAGACTGTAGGTAGAGCTGGAAGGGAGCGGGGGTATCTTCGCCATGATTCCTGCTTTCCTTGCTCTCCCGTATCTGTCATTATCACCGGGATTGATCATCGTCATCATCGTCATCCTCATCATCGCTATCCCGTTTCTTCGTTGCTTGGCTAACTCTCTCTAGGTCTACGCATTTTCGGTCCTTTTCCATTCCAAGGTAAGTCGTTGTGTAGTGGTGTTCATCGTCGTCGTCTTCGTCTCCGTCTGCGTCTTCTCTAGTCATCGTCATCCTCATCGTCGTCCTCATCAGCGTCCTCGTACTCCTTATCGAGGCCCTCCTGTTCATCATCATGTCGGCCTAGTAGCATAGTGTAAGTGTTAGTGTTAGTATTTCTCATCGTCCCCCTCGTCATCGTCATCATCGCCATTCTCGTCCTCGTCCTCGTCCTCCTCGTCCTCGTCCTCCTCGTCCTCGTCCTCCTCGTCCTCGTCCTCCTCGTCCTCGTCCTCGTCTTCGTCTTCATCTTCATCGTCGTCATCGCCATCAGGGCGTCCTCTGGATTAACCGGGTTGATGTGACGTGGAATTTGACTCGAGAGCGATAGCGAGTCCAGGGGCAACCCCTCGTCCAAATCTACATCGTACTTACCTTACCGTTCATTCACAAACTCTCGTTGAAAAGCGTTATTCTCGTCAGTCGATACTCAAAGATAAGTTAGGGAAGGGAGAAAGGAAGGGAAAGCAGGCGGATTAATAATAGGTACGTCGGAACTAACAGCAGGTGCTTGGAAATCAGAAATCAGGACCCGAATCGAACCGAACCGGTTCGAAGAGAAGAGGCTTTAGTAAGGTAAATATGGTAGGTAAGGTTTCTGGAGTCATCGTATCATGCCAGTGACTCATCCCGTAGACCGGCGTGTCTATTATAAGATCCGCATCCGCATGAATCCGCTCCCAATGGAAATCAAACACCCGACCAACTACCACGTGTCCATTCGCTGTATGTCCCGTCATCCACTCTGCGATCTTGACTATGGTAGTTATCAATCAACCACTCCATAATGGTTGAGATCGCCGAGTGGATGATATATAGCAAATGCCGGAACTTAGCATGCGATATGAGAGGGTCCTAAAAACTCTGAGCCGATACCTACAATGGTAGTCTTGCGCCAACGCAAGCAACTCAGGTAGCTATCCTAATGGTTGTAATAAACATAGGTATTTTAGGCTAGATGGTTCTGGTGCAGCGGACCAAAGCAAGCTGGATGGAAATTTTCCCTCGAACCCGGATTGATGGTCAAATGTTCCACCCGGACCCCTACGACATGACGCATGCGTAAAATACTGAGCTTCACAGAACGTCCTGAGTATCTGTTCTACTGATTGTAATTGACATAGGGTAGGTAGGTGAGAGGTTGAAGCGGCTGCTGCGGGGCTCGTATATTATTCTGGTCTACAATTGTCAGTTGAGCTATGTGTCTTTTGGATTCTTATTGACAAGCAAGAGATTTCTTTCTGCACCGACTACACTACGTAGATAAACCAGCAGATTAACCAGGTTGGCGGCGTTCTTGTTCTGGATTCGGCGGAAACCACGACCGAGATAAAATGTGTGCTACTTTACGCTGGAATAGGGAGCTGGGCTTCTCGAAGCCTTTCCATACCGCAAGAGCACTCCGGACCTTAAAGTCGTAAACGATGAGAACGGAAAAGTCGAAGCTCGAGCGCGGCTGCCTTTAAGCTTTTCGATTTGTCATTGCTGGCCGTGTAGCCTCAGCCGCGAGGATGTGTGGACCGAGTGTCCCTTGGAGAAGCCGGTCTCAAACTTCAACCTCTACACTAGTAAGACCTCTACATTAGTAAGAGGGTGACTCACCGGGGAACGACGGAACTCAAGCCTGAAGGTTCGTCTCGTGCAAGCGGACTGGCTCGGGCAGTTAAATAGCCCAGAGCAGCCCAAAGCACTCGAGCAAAAGCATCTTCCAGCAAAAGGATACCCAGTAAGCAGACCCGATGCGGGAGAAAGAAGAAAAGGATATCGAGATTCGAGTCTCATCGCCGTCGTAGTAAGGAAGATCGGGGAGGGTCGTAGGGGATGTGAAAAAAGTGAATAGCGCGGTCCCTGCACGCGCAGTGCAATATAACAATAAATCGATGATCAATAGCCCGTAGGTAAGTTGCGATATCTGTGTTTTGTTAGTCTATCAGTGGAGGAAGGCTGTATCATGTCTCTTGTCGCCATTCAGGATCCGCCTGTCTTTGTCGGTAGGAAAGTTGGACGTTTTTTGTGTGCTGGATTTAGGTGGAGGATTGGTTTTGAGATCTTCATGGGTGACTTCCGTCTTCTTTGTATGAGCTATGGAAGGACGTGGAAGGGATATTAATAATGGGGTTCTATCCTTACAAATCATGACGCTCGGTTCTCTGATATCCAGGTAACAATAGCCCAGGCCAGTCGGACAAGGCACAAAAGATCCTGACCATACATTGTGAGGGCTCACCACATCCGCCAGACAAGTCTTAGGCAACAAGGGAATTCCCTGGAGGAGAAAAGCTTACTAGCCTCCAGCTTCATGGAACAGGAGATGGGAGAAGAGATGACCAGGATGCGGAAGATATTAGCCAGTCGTGGCCGGCAGTTATTTTATTTTGAAATGCTCGGAATATCAGATTCTCGCCGTTCTGGTTAAAGATTAAGAGTCTAGAAAGCATGATGTCGGTGAAATTATGTATTAAAACGTTAATATAAGTGTAATCTAATAAACGGCGATATCTAAAGCCGTTGTTGCGTATATGAATTAAACTTCCGGTGGCTTGTAAGATATAAAGTGTAGAGCTCCTATACTGCAAGGCGGATTTAAGAGGGCTGGACTTAAGATGACTACCTGGGCTTACAAATATTCTGCAAAGAACTTACGCTCTTCCTTCCTGTACAATCCAAACGTCCATCCGCGTCACCATCCCCTCTTATAACTAAATCTTCACCACGGGCCGCACTCCAGCTACCTATGCCTGCCAACACATACCGTCCCTTCGAGCAACCTAAAGATGGCCAGTAAACAAAGACACCGTGAGAATTGCCTATATCTATCTATCTTCGCCTTCAGCCTACAATTGTGAGTTGGATTCATCCGGGCCTCCCAGCTCCCCCAGATTTATAATCATGTTGACTAATCACCAACGCTTCGGACATTTTTGCCCTAAGTTGGTGCGGACAAACTAGCCTACTTTCCGCACCAATGCTTCCATACTTCTATTTCGGGCTTATACAAAACGGATCCAGGCACCAAAATGCTCAATATTACTCCGTTACCTTGGACCTGGATTTCAGGACAAATGACCCTTATTGGCCTTGCATCGGTACACCCGGCAAGGTCCTCCGCCCTAACTAGCAGGAAGGGAAAAAACACAGCATTGTTAATATAGCTATGCTAGCCATTCTGTTTTCTCTATTGCGAGGCTCTGCTACCCATCAACGTGTCCGAAACATTCGGATCGGACGTTTCATACAATATTAATACTGAATTATAAATGGCGGCTTTCACGCCCCATAGGTACGGAGTACCAATAGATATTGTCTAGCAAATACAGCACCTGCACTGGAGAACAATTACCTCAGAACCCTAGCCCTACCGCAAGGCTCCGTAAAATTTGGAATCCCAATTCTGTGGAGATTCGGCACTTCGTTCAATGCCTTTGAGGATTGCCAATTGGATTGGCAGAGCCCAAGCGCTGCTGAGGCTCTGTGTTTTCTTCTTCTTAAACGTTCAATATTTTAAAGGCATTGGATTCGCCCGAATAACGCGAATGATTGGCGCGGGATTTGGAAAGAAATACGTAGCGCTTGGAACGACCGTCCGCAGATGTGACGATTAATAGCTAAGCTCACGGAGTTGGTTGGTCACTGTACCGAACAATTCGGGCGTCCAGCCCTAAACCTACATCCACCCATAATAAAACCAAACATGTCATGCTTTGCAAAGTCCACCTCATCCCATCCAAGTACCGACCGACCACCGTGATATCAAACCCGATGATGGTCTATTTTCGAGTCGCCTTCATGTTGCAGTTCCAGGTGGTTTGCATTATGATCTTGCTAGATACCGTAGTGTAGGAAGAAAGGATTACGTTGTAGAGCGAATCTGAAGTCGGATGAGATAGAAGTAAAAGTGCAGCTGATGATGATTCCGAATGATCTGAAGACGTGAGTAGAGTAGGATGTTACGGCAGAAGTAGCAAGGATCTCGATTAACGGGATTCACTGGACTACAAGCGCTACCTGCAAAGGTGTCGAAGCTGAAAGAATTTTGGATTTATAATCATGCTTATTAATACCTACATGATTCCCTCCAGCCACCAAGGCCAACTCGCAAGACCTGAAATAATCTACAACAAATGTACCTAAACAATCCAGCACCACGCCGACAACCAACAAGTTCAACTACCGACATCGTCTTGAGCCACGACTGCATCGTTCGTAAAAGAAATCCAAACACCGATGGAGACACGTCCATCTCGGTGTCCGTCTCAGTCTCGCCAGCCGTATTATCTTTGGATTTTCTTCGGGAACTGGGTGTTGTGTTGAAGTTCGTCGACCCGTCTGTATCCGATTCTGTTAGTTCTGTTCTTATTGTTGTGTTTTTGATTTCTAGCTGTGCTTTTACGCTTTGATTGCGGATGGAGAGCGGAGGCAGCCATGCTTGCCTATAATCTCCATTGCTTATAAATACACCTAATTGGGCTTTGTAATAGCCTACCTAGGGTTAGGTTCCTATGGTAGCTTGAGCTTATTGGCGTGCCTGAGGCCTGCGGAGCCTAGTCGGGAAGTCAGACAGTTGCATTTCGCCTTGCAGGTTTCTTTTGATGCGCATTGGGACCGTGATTTGCCAGATTGAAAGGTAGCACTCATATTCATCACCTTGTCCAGTTACCCAGTCCGAAGGTAGGTAGGTGCCAAAACTGCCTTCCAACCCTTACGGAGTATTGGGGGGAGTATCCAACCAAGCAGTTAAAACCCTAACCAACAAATTTAGACCAACTGGGAATAAGAATCTGTCTCTAGCCTGTCTTTGGTGCAGTACTCTAGGTATTTCACGGCCTTCCTACCAGTTCAGTATACGAGCCTAATCTTTCCATCGAATGCGCTTTTTAAGGGACAAACTCAATGGAAATCAGAGAACTTGGGCTTCTGGAGGAACAGCAAATATTGGACAGTAGCAGTAGTAGTGGTAGTAGCAGTAGTGCATTCACAGCATGTGATCCTCACAATATCTTTCCTTTGGCTTATCCACCCCCTTGCAATCGCAGGCCCCGGTTGTTCTTCTTTGTTTCCCGAGCCGGCGTAAGGATGGACAGCGTTGCCACCGACCAGCAAAATACGGATGGGAAACAAAGAAGTGAGACAGGGAACGCGCTTGATGGAGTCTGGAGATGGTGGAGTGGAGCTCTTGCTATTCGATAGCATCCCACCATAGTATCTGACTGACTTATTACGGCTTCGCTTTATTAATCACAGTTGAAGCTGGGAAAGGTGAGCAGAATGCCGCTGGCTAATTGTAAACAATAGGTTGTATAGGGTCCTGTGCACGCACGCTCTACCTAGGTAGTAATAACTTGTCTTTATTGTTTGTTTGTAATTCCTGTTCCCTGGTCCTTGGCCGGATTAACTTATTAAGGTAAGATGACCACCCTATCATTCTTCAAGGGATTATCCAAACTGCACCGTATCCTGACTCCCCAGCATTCTCGTCGTAACTCCCACCCGTCACGTCTATCATGGGCCCGGGCAAGAGAAAGCTAAAGAGAGCTGACCCTCACCTAGCGGTATATCATCCTTCTCACACTTTGGGTCTTGTTTCTCCAGGAGGGGGAGCAGAAGAAGAAGAAGAAAACCAAGATTAACAGTGACTCCAGTGACCAAGATCTCGAACTCTGGTCCGCACCGAACGACCTCAAATCTCTTGCGTTACGCGGATTCGGCTTTCCGCTCCACGAGCCCAGCGACCTCAAGGGCACAGCCAAAGGCTTCGCCGACGAGCTATAGGGCAAAGTATCAGCATGGGTTGAGAAATACACTGGGAATAACATAGCAAAGCTAGAGAAGAAGCTATCCGCAAAGCAGTGGGAAGACATTATCAAGGCAGCGGTGCTCTACTGCGTCCAATGTCCCTTGGAGCTCTGGAAGACCCTCCTTCCTGCCTCTGTTTACCAGCGTCTCCCAGCCTTCTGGCGCACGTGATTATCAATAAGAGGCTGTGGAGCGTCATGCGTAACCCGTTCTATTTCATGGATCCCGACTATAACCACGACAAGGTGGTACCCCCTGCCCTTTCCACCTCGACCCGCCGGCAGGCTTCGCCCCCTATATCCAGCAGCTCTTTGAGCGGATGGTGGACGGTATGCTATGTTCCCCCACCCCGGATGTTTATGTTCGCCGACAACCTTCCAGCTACTGACTCTCCCTCACAGGCAGACGCGACGACGCCATCAAGTGCCGCCAACTCATGCTCCGGGCAATAACAAAGACAGCCACCCCGGCAATCCCTGGACCTTGGCTGCAGAGATGGAGCCACGCATGGATATGGCGAAGGAGAAACTCACTGAACGGCTTCTGCGCGCCAGCCCACTCAACCTCTTACTTAGGGGCCCAGTTAGCAAAGAACAGCGCGAGGGGACCGCCGAGCTGTTTACCCTGGCCTCTAAGTTCTCCATCCTCTGTGGCCTCACTGATAAGGAGTTCTAGTACCGCGAGTGGAACAAGCTCCCGCTTTACGGGAGCCGGTACTCGCGACTCATAGAGCTCGATGCCGTCAGCAAGGCCGCGCTGAACGACGACGACGACGTTGACCGGGTCCTCGAAAGCCGAATCGTTGTATTGACGCTGCGCCCAGCGTTCAGTTACAAGGCTGACGGGCGCCGTGCCGGCCCAGAAAGCAGCGAGCATGTTATTGCCAAGGCGATTGTGGTGGTGGCCAGGATGGAGGCCCCGCTGGTTGAGGACGAAACGGCTCGGCCGGACTTTCGCTCGGGGAAGAACAGGCTCTTTGGAAATTTCACCTCGGAGATCGCGGGCAAGCTCTAGGGGTACTTCAAGTCGCTGTTCTAGAGGTACGATGATGACGGCGATAACGTCACGCAGGTTACTCGCCTGGGGGAGCAGGTGTCATATGCGGTCTATGACGCTTGAGACAGCCTGCGTTGGTCTGTGAGTCGTGACTTTACCGTATCCGAGTGGAGTTTGCTTTTCTGATCCAACTTTGCCGCAATCGCTCTCACTCTATCTGATGTACGGAGTATCTAGTTCTGGTTCTGTGTGCTATTCTCCACCACCATTTGCAGTGCATGAGGCAGTTCAGTGTGCCTGCCTCAGGTGGCTCCCGTACCGTGGGTAGCGAAGCGAAATGGCCCTGTCCTTGTTGAGCAAATGCGAGATGGTGGCCGGAGCAAAATAGAGAGTTGTGCCTTGGCAGTGAACGGAAGGTTGTCGTGGTTGCCTGAGCTGTTTGAGACATGAAGCCCTCTCTTAGGTACCTACCCTCCTACCCACCTGGGTAGGTGCTCCTCACTTGATCCCTTCAACACACCCCGGTCGTATGTACTACACACCTGCACCTGCACCCCATGTAGATTGCCACTCCGTTGCAGAGTCCTCCGTAATGATCTATTCCTCCACTGCGCAGTACCCCCCGACCACTTACATAACTTCCACCCAGAAAGAGCCGCTCTTCTCACCCATTCCCGTACCTCTTTGACCATTCCCTTTTTACATCCATTCTTCTTCTAGTCACGCAAGTCCTAAGCTAAAGCCCCGCGAATGCATCGTCTGACGCAAGGCTCACAATCTTATCCTGTGCAGGGCATCGTGTCGCCTTGCTGAGAGAGAGCAGTTCGGCGTCCTTCTCTTCGTGATATTAGTCGGTTTGCGTACTACGTGGGGAATTGTGAGCCTACGGGACAGGAGTTCTACGTGGAGATATTTGTGTCTAGAGCAGAAAAGGAACTCAATTGGCAGTCTGGTTAAGGAAATACTAAGCCAACGCGATCTGGTAGATAGGAAAGAAGGGCACAAGGAAAGGAAAGCAGAAGCAAAGGAAAGCAGAAGGTAGCAAAAGCAAAGTCAAAGGAAGACCCATCTTTGTGTATCTAATCTCAACCTAACAATCATGCCAGTCAGGGCGTCCGTCTCCAAACATCGTCAGAATGTCGGTGGCAATTGGGGTTCAGCAAAAGCAGGCTTTCGCGTAACCTATCATATCTCGAAAGGTTAGCATCCTTGTCAGATGGACTGAGTGTTGGCTAAGGAGAGCAGGAACACATCGCGTAGGGGTACGTACCTCGCTACCTAGCATCTAACATCGCAGCAACACGAAATGCACACCCCGAAGCGCCTGTAAACGCACTTGAAGCTCTGTTATCCATCTTGCTGTGCTCCACTCGGTACCAATAAGCACCACTGTCTAAGATATTGTCAGCATGCCAATGATTTGCGAAGTTGAGTGGCGATTTGAAGAGAATGCGAGGGTGCACTGCTCTGTTGGGGAACTTACTACCGCGTTATCAGAGCGGGTTCGCAATCTGTCACCGATCCATCCGTACAGATCGTTTTGGGTCCACAAGAAAGTCGGTAAACCAGTCGCCCTGAGATCCGTTTCTTCGTCGCTGGTTGTTTGGGTCTCAAAACTCCGAACGCGCTGTGGGTAGGTTAGATGTCTCCTTGGAAAGGATGCAGGGCAACATGTAAGTCACTTACGATTTCGCTCTCACGGTATATAACCTCCAGCAGTTGATCGCCCGTCTGTGCGAATCCCGATGCGTTAGTAGACTTCGTAGTGTCGAGGGGCCGAATCTTTATCCATCCTAAGTTGGACTTCACTCCCCTCGTACACGCGCCTAATCAAGCTCTCCGATTCCTGAGAAAATGTTTCACCGGTGAGGCGAACTTGGTCGTTCCACCCCGGCCGTTGAAGGGCGTACTCAAACGCCTGCTGATTCACCACCTGGGCCATCCCCTCCGGGAAATGGACTACCCATTGTATGGGATGAAGGTTGGTAAGATCTCGACCGAGAGGAAGGCAAGTCCTGATAGACTGCCTCACTCTTCCCCCGAGCCAAGATAACCATTGCCCCGGGTCGGATACATTGACGTGATCGAATCGTGCAATACGAATGGGTGTCCCGGGCTCGGCAAGAAGTTGTTGGCTGTTGAAAGGGCGAATGTTGGAGCTGGATGGGCGAGTGTTGAAGCTGGGGGGCTAGCGTCGGAATCGTAGGAGCAGTAGACGACACACCCTGCATGGCTGTTATTAGTATGATCTCTTGATAACGAAGCGGAGGACTGTCTGAAGTAATGACCCACAAGTATAGAAGGTGCTCATACAGACCACAACGGTCAAGCCAATCTGCGACATTTTGTAGCGTTCAAAAACGATACGAGATGGTCAACGACGGATTTGAGCGGGGAAAAATGGGAGAGAAGGTTGTGCGGATAGGAAAGCAAGCTCTGAGGAAGGTAGAGAAGGCGAATTGCAGAACTCAACTGTGCGGCCGTCACACCTTTATGTAGGCCACAGCCAGGTGGGGTGGGCAACGAGGTTGAGAGGCAGCTGAGTAGAGCTCAGACATGGCGGTTTGATCCTGGTAGTGGTCTTATGCGCTGTAAGAGCTGTTCTGCGTCAAAGCTAATCAGCAGCCGGGAGCTGGACTCAGTTGTGATAGCAGGCACCGCCAGCGGTGGTCTTTACGCTTCTAGAAGCTTGACCACGGCCCAAGCCACCTTCCTTGGCGCAAGAAACAGCTTCTGCACGTTTCCTGGCCTGGATACCGTTGTGAGAGACGCGAGTCGGAGTGGGAAACGCGGCGAACGTATGGAAGCTGGGTTCCCATGACCTCACTGAGTCATTCGCATGGGCGCAGGTTGCGGGCATTCGGACGGACCGGGGCAGTGGGACGGTGCCGATGAATTGTTTTGGGAGTTGTCTAAAGCCATCTCAAAACAAAGGCCTGCGGGATTGGCCGATGGAAGGTGGACGCTGGCAGGGCACAAGGTTTGCGTGTCTGAGTTCTGGAAGAAGTCAGTCTCCTCACTGGCATTTCTGTCTTTCCCAGGGCCGATGGTAAAAATCAGGAGGGCACCCACAGTTCTATTATCAGGGGAGATCTTTCCGGCCGCGATGGGTGGTGGTTGCCAGAGAAGGACCATGGGAAAACAAAGAGGGAAGAGATGTGTTGCAGGTGGCTGGAAATACCTAAGGTTGCACAGGGTCATGTGCCGCTACCGTAGGTAGGTCGGAATGCGGTGGTTGTCTTTGTCTCTTTCCTGTGCCCTCGTCACTTCGCCACCCACATCCCTGAGGTCAGCCATGGCTACTGCCTTATTAAAGGCTTCTGCAGAGGCTCATTCTTCAGTCGTTCTACTGTCCTGCAACACTATCGTCCCATCATCATGCCCAAAAGAAAGCCAAAGAACGCCGGACGCGCCGCAGCGGTATGCTATCTTCCATATTCCTGGCCTTCTGCGCTAACACCCCTGCTTTCACAACCAGGAAAACAAAAAGGCGAAAGAGGACCCTTCGGACGAAACGAAGATCGAACCGCTTGACCAGGACTTCGAGCTTTTGGGCATTCCGAGCCCCGTCGATGAGATGAAGGAGCGAGGGATCTGCTTTCCAGAGCGCTACCCACGAGGCTACCTGAAAGGGACGGCTAAAGGGCTTGCCGCTGAGCTCGAGAACAAAGTCGCCTCTTGGTCGGAAAAGTACGCGGTAAATGATATGGCGAAACTGGAAAAGAAACTGTCGTCAAAACAATGGGGAGAGGTCATCCAGGCGGCTGCAACCTACTGCGCCCAATGCCCGGTTGATCTGCTGAAGGGCTTGCTCCCTTCCTCGGTCTACCGGCGTCTGCCTGAGCTTCTTGCACATGCTATTGTAAATAGAACCGTGTGGCGGATCGTGCAAACCCCGTTCTATTTTGTCGAGCCAGAGTACCTCAACGACAAAGTAGCAAAGGTAAACCCCTTCGTCTACCAACCCCCTGCAGGTTTTGGGTTATATCTCCGCCAGCTTTTTCAGACGACAATGTGGGGTAAGTTGGCCTTCATATTTCTGGTCAATGATGAACTCACTTCCGCAGCCAGACGCGAGGACACCATCAAATGGCGACAACTCCTGCTTCGATCCATCGCGACACACACGTCAGCCGTTGACCTACATTGCGGTGGCGGCATGAGCCTCAGCTTCGAGATGCAAGGCCGGATGGACACTGCGAAAGAAAAGCTCACCAGTCTGCTTCTCCAGGGCCCGCTTCACCTCCTCCTCAAGCATTCCTCTATCAGCAAGGAGCAGCGCAACAAGCTAGCCGACATCATTATGCTAGCAACCAAGTTCTCCATCGTATGCGGCATAACAGACAAGGAATTTAACTTCCGGCTCTTCGACCAGCTGCCGCTCTACGGAAGCCGGCACTCGCGCATGATGGAACCCGATGCCACGAGCAAGGCCGCACAGAGCGACAAAGACGTTGACCGTGTCCTCGAGAACCGGCTTGTTGTCTTGACGCTCCGCCCGGTTTTCACCTACAAAATCGGAGTCCAGCGCATGGGTCCGCCCTCGAGCGAGCACGTTGTCGCCAAGGCAATCGTCGTATTGGCTAAGAAGGAAGCGCCGAGGCCTGTGGTCGACGAAGCAACGCACGCTGGCCCCGCTGGGAGCGAGTCTAAACACCATTTGTTCAGCAACTTGGACCCCGGCGTCGCTGACAAGCTCAAGAAGCCGTTCAAACACCAGTTCAACATGTACGATGACGACGGTGACGTTGCATCCAGCAATATCACCCCGCTGGGAACTGTGATGTCCTCTGTGATCAAGGATGAGTAAGTCCATTGCCAATATGGCTCTGCCCAGGGTGACCTTGAAGACCTTCGCGTTTTGCGCGTTTGCCTTTCCGTTACCTATTGGGTCGCGGGGGAGGGAGGTGCCTACCAAAAAAGCTTTTCTGATTTCTTCCTACTTGGTTTGTAACCTGTGTTTTGTTCTGATTGCTTGCTCTTCTGTCTATGTATTGATTTCTATGTCTCCTACAAATTGCTTTCGTCCTATAGCCCAGTAAGCCGCTCTTCTTTCCATCTTATACAGTGCGTAGCCCTTCCCACTCCACTATGTGCGCCGTCGCCGGAATACGTACGTGAGGACTAAACTTGGACATGTCAATGACCTAACAAGCAGAGGTTAAGCCCTAGCATAACAGTACTGTGTCCGATACTGTGTCCGCCCCCCGTCCATAGGAGGAAACTCTACTTTGCATTTTGCTTCCCTACTTAAGAATTGTCATACGGGCCACACCGCATGCGCGTCTCGCGGACCCGCCAAGAGCGTTCGGAAAATGCGATCGGGAGCCGCTGCCAAGACTTACAGTACCGTACCGTATTACGGCCTGGCAGCCGGCGCGGCTGTTAGCAATACGGTACGATGCAACAGACGAAGAAACAACAGGGTTGATTGCGAGTTATGGAGATGCACTTGCTCTTTATTGCTGGCTACTGAGTCTGTCTCCTAGTGAGAGGCAGCAACCGGATCCCGACGCGACGACTTTACCGTACCGTACAGTTTACACCCCGGCCAAGGCGAGGGAAGCTCTTCTGGGATACCGTAATTTGAGCGCGTTGCGCCCTCCTCCTGGATTTATTGAGATACCTTCACGGTCAATCGGCGCTGGATATATACTCCGTACAGCTACCCTTCAAGCCCGAGGGCAATAGGTCGACACGTAGAAGAGCCTGAACACGCACAGTGCGCAAGTGGATTCCATGGGCCCAGGTTCCTCCTCCCCCCAAGACACCGACGGCGCCCTGGCGCAGAACACTGGGATCCAGCGCATTGGGTCGGTGCCCTGTTCGGCGTTCGAGAATTCCAGGTATTGATTTCACGGTCCTGAGCAACACCGGAAGCAAGACTCCCCATACAAGTCCACCTCCTCCGTCCAATTGTAAATGGGCTGCAGACCGGAGAGATGCCGCGACTAGCCCTTCAATCGCCGTGCTAGCGCCGCTAACCCAGGGAGTTCGATCGAGACGAGGGACCGGAGGGGACCAATACGAATCGTAGGAAAGGGATTCGAGTCAAGACAGCCCGGCGCCAAATGCTCTGGCTTTGGCCTTTTTCGAGGACCCGTGCGATCCATTCGGCATCGAGCAACCGTTGAAATCGAAACTGGCTGATTGGAGAGGAGGAAGGACCACCGTTCACGTAGATTCGTCGCCGACAAGCGAAGGCACCTGCATCTTTCCAGTAGGACAGGAGGACTCGGGAGAACTCACAGTACGAAGGAGTGGGCGGCCTTTGCGGGATGCAGAAGCATGTTTTGTGTGACCGACCTTGTTGCGCACCCACCCGGAGTGTGCTTTTGCTTCTGCTTCTGCGACCTAGGCGCGAAAGGCCATGTCGGAAGCTTCGCGAGCCCGGGTCCGTACGCATATAATATCGCGGTGGTCAAGGATGAGGGCGACGCGAAGGGGGCTTAAAAGAGTAATGGGCGACTGCAAGCATGATCGGAGGCTGAGCGGCGTCACGAACCTTGCGGCAAGGCAAGCGGAGTTCCAATACTGTTATTGCTGGGCGGAGGCCGAGTGAGGGCAGCGAAGTCTGAGTCGAGGCAGATCCGTTTGTACTCATCGGATGAGCTTACTTCGCGGTACGGTAACAGGAATCGAGCTTTCGCGCGCTGGGCTTCCTGAGAACTTGTCATGATGCGCAGTGAAAGGAAGAAGCGGCTACTGCACTGCCTCCTGCTTTAGACTTAGTTGCTTTGCTACCAATGCCAATAGTGCTGACGAACATGTGGGCGCTTGAATGGTGGATTGAAGGAGAATGGAATATTTAGCCTGGTCTGACTCTGGTGGGATATATGGAAAAAGAAAAGACCATACAACGCGTCGCGCTTGTGTGTTTTGTTCCCATGACAACCGTCAGTGATCCCTCGCTGCCTTGGTCAAGGTGAGTATGCCTGATTGATCTTTTTATTTCTTATTGATTTGGGCTTTATTTGCGCTTCAGCAGCTACATGATATATTGTGAGATAGACGGCGAACACTGGGGAATGACAACTGTTCAATGACACTCTGCGGGATAACCAGGATCACAATGTGGGCAGATCGGACCATTATATATCTCGATATTATTTCCCGACCCTGTGGCGTAGATGAAGCAGTAGCATAGAATACAATATGTGGTAGTACCAGTAATAAAATGACTTAACTAAGAAGAATATATGAAGTGTTTTTTTAACACATTGCTGGCATATTTATGGACCTTCACGATCTGCTCCAAGGACAAACTTAGTTCGAAGGTATTTAAAAGCCCTCCAGGTGGGCGAAGGACTTTTGCATGTTGAAAGAGGGTCTGGAGAGTCACTTTTACATTTACTTGGGAGAGGTGGTTAGAGCTGCTCCTACTACCCAGACTGTAAAATGTTTCGACTTTCAGCATGTCCGGGTCGTAGGCTCCCAAGCTTATTGGCTTCTTTGTGTTCTTCTAGAATCGCCTGAGCTGGGCTGGGAGCCAACAAAGAGACAAGAACAGACAACGATTACCCCACGGGAACAGCACGGTCTCAACCCAGCAGGGCTAGAGAGTCAATTGAGTTCTGAATCGAGCCGTGAGCGTGCTTTTCCAACGAGATGCCGCTTGCTCCTCTTGTAAGTGGGAAGGCCACCGTTCTGACAAAGGCAGCCAGTCAACCTGATCGCAGCGACAGCGGTGGTGAGATTGGCATTGAGCAGATCCTCGGGGACGTCTTCCATGGCTGGTGCTCTTGAAGTGCGCAGTTCTTTGTCGAAAGCGCCGCCATTGCGACTGTGCGAGTTCGGGCGCTGAAGAAGTTGAGCCGTAAAGGCAAACAAAGAATACGGTACCCAGTGCTCTTCGCCGTGTCCCCGCCCATCAACAATGGCATGCGATCTGGAAATATATTGGCGATGACGTGACACGCGGAGCTCGCAGTCCTAGGTACGGTATTGCCTCTAATTCCAAACATACTCCGTCAACACTGTATCATCGCAACCAAACACCGCAAAATGCCGCGCCAACCCAAACACCCAACCAACCTGACCATCATCTTCAACTGCCGCGAGACCTATACATGTGAGCCTGAATCGGCCCCCGTTGCCCACTCCGCATCTAACAACCCGTAGGGTGCGCAGTCTACGACCGCCTACCACGCGCAATAAACCCGCCCCTTCATCTCGCAGAGTCGAACCCAATCCGCCCCCTTCGCAGTCTGGACGGACTCACAGTAAAAGCGAAGCTCAGGAGCCTGAGACGCGCCGTCTTTGACTTTGGTGCTTCGCTCCAGCCCCTCGGCCGCGAATGGACCACCGCCCCCACTATGAAATGGGAGGTCCATATTGGCCGGAAACTGAAATACAGCGCTGAGCGAGAGCCGTTTGAGACAGCGCTGCGTCGCACTGGTTGCGAAGACGTGGTCCATCTGGTTGCGCAGTGGTTTGATGAAGACCGGGCTACCTTGGCCTGGGCTGCTGCTAGCTTTAGAGAGATACCTTCTGGTTCTTTTGGGGTGAGTGAAATCACCATTGTTTGGATTTTCCGACCATACCACGTGGCGGACAGAGTTGACATGAGTTGATGCGCATTTATAGTCGGCCGACCAGCTCATCACGGTGAGAAGGCTCGCCAAATGGACTGTGAGTACCACGCCATGCCATCCCAAAGTCGTAGCGTCGTCCTCACTCGAAACCCCCAGCCGGCCAGACCTGACCCATTCCACATAGGACCTAAGCTCCTACGCTGAAATAACCAACGCGGACGGAATATTCACAGCGACCGATTTCGTCTCTCGCTCAATGGCCAAAGCCCAGATCCAACAGTGGGTGCTTGAGAAGCTGCTGCATGTGCGAGATCTCCGGGATGGCCCCCGCCCCCGGCCGGTAACCTCTCACTCTGGCAATGCTTCACAACTAAATCGGCTGCTTGCAACGCCGCGCAAGTGGTTTGGTCTTGGTTCTGACACGGGGCCACTGAATGCTGCCCAAGGGGCTGGAGCGCCACGAAGTACATCCCCAACCAAGACCGAGCAGATGCTTGCAACCTTATCGGAGGGCCCTGATACGGCGGTAAGCTCCCGCCTTGTACCTCGACGTCGCGTATCTCACGGAAGAACTGACCTTGGCAAATATCAGGCAGTTGTTGTCCTCGCAGGGTCACGAGGGGAAGAGTACTTCGGACACGCCCAAGCGGCCTTGGAGAGTCTCCCAATGGTCCGGGTGCTAGTGCTCAAGTGGATAGGTGGTTAAATACCATACTATGCTACCCGAAGCTTCTTCGACTACTCTAAGCCCTTTTCAACTGTGAAGGAGCTCATCTAGCTGCGCTCAGCGAGGCTGGGGATGGTTTCCCCGACAAGCTAGCGCGAGTTTTGTACTGGGCTTGCATTTCATATGGCCCAAAAGCACGAATGAGTTGTAGATTGACGCGATACGGGCATTGGTTTGTTTCCGCAAGCAATGATCAATGAGTCAAAGGTACGTTTGGGGTGAGTAGATCCGTTTGACTGGGCGTGACCTATATCTCGCATCGAAATGAATCGTCGTATCATTCTTTGCGGATGAGATCCAGAGGGGTTCTGCACTTGGGGAATCCGTATGGCTAGCTCCGCTTCGGGGAGCGTCATGCGACTCACGGGTTAGAACTGGGACACGGTCGGGCCCTCTGGTGCGAATGTCTGGTCTGGCCTGAGGTGGCATCGGAGCGGGTGGATGGAGGGCTCTTGGTGCGGTTTCGGACAATGTTCTGAAGGAAACCTGGACCTGAGGTATCGTCAAGAGCCAAAGAGGCATGCAGAGTGAATTGGATATCCGCTGATAGCAGGTACAAGTAGAATCAAAATTGAGGCCGACTTGGAGGAAATGGAATGGATCACCCTGGGCAGTGGAATCAAATTGGGGAGGACCAATGGCAGGGAGAGGGTGCCTGGCCGGTGGGTCCGTTTGTGACTCCTCCCACTTCCTCCAGGCGCCCGGACTCACTCCCGACACCCCAACACATCCATCTCCTTCACACCACCGACAGTTTCTCCATCATCTCCTTCGTTCTGGAATTCTTTTCTCATCACCCATTGCTCATTCTACCTTCTTTCGCACCCCCTCTCTAATCACCGAGCCCCTCGATCTCAACCCCGCCCACTACCCCGCCATGATTGGAGACCCCCAGTGTTATCGTCCTTCCTGACTGCCAGCCATCGTTGGGGCATCATCATGGAGGTTTTCGTACACAATCTCCCGGCCGAGCTCAGCAAAGATGCGTTCCAGCACCTGCTTGAGCCCTTTATGCGGTCCCTCGCTATCGCCAACTACGACTGTGAGAAGCCGAGGAGGAAACGATTCGGACGCATCCTCTTCCTTATTTCTTCTGACGGCGAACGGTTTCTGGCACGACATGGGGAAGAGCTCCGAGACGGTGACTCGCGACCGATCTCGAAGCTGTGCATCCTCGGATCCCATGTGTTCTGCAAACCGAGTAATCGGAAACCCGACCAGATCGACCTTCGAGCTCTGGCCAACGAGGTCGAAGAGCGGATCAATCCCTCGCGAGTGATTGAGGAAGAAGGAGCGTCCGTGTCATTCACTTTGAGAAAGTCTAGCTGTGGGTACACTACCTTCTCCGGCAACGATTTCGCCTACCTCCCCGAGGTCCTTTGGCAGGAACACGGCACCGTCATCTTCAAAAAGCGCAACATGATTGTCCAATTCGCTCCCTCTCGGCGCCGCATAAGAATTCCTTTGAATACCATCCACGAGCTTGTGTGGACTTACGCTGGGTCAGTTTTACTCACTTTGACTACTGTCCCATTGTTCTTCGAATCGGACGGAGCCTCGCACGTCCGCCTCCTCTCGCTAGGAGACTCCCACAGTGCAATTGTCGGCCAATGCCTTGTTTACGAGTTCGAAGTGATCCCTGTGGACTTGAAGAGAAAGTTGGGTGGGCTGGCAGATCGGGTGACCGTTGTTCCTTACGATCGCAACTGGACTGCTGCTGGCTACGCTCACAAGGAGCTCCACGCTCACGAGGAGTTCTACGCTTACGGAAGCTGGCGATCGCAGCTGCAGATCCTCAAAGCGGAGTTGACCCGCTTTACGAAGAATGCATTACTCCCGTTTGGGGTATTGTTCTTACTACAGGGGCTGGTTTACAATGCATACCTTCCTCCATTCACTGTCCTCAACCTAGCAAACAGACTGGTGGGGATCTTTAGGACGAGGAAGGCTCAAGGAAAACGAGCCATCTCAATAAGCTCTTTCAAAAGGCTGTACGCCATTCTCGGCTGGCCCTCGCCCCACGCGGATCCCGCTGAATTTACCACGCAAGGCTTGATCGACATCATTACGGGCAGTGACCAGGAGCTTTACGACGGGATGATCCAGGCAGAAGGCTTCCGACCAGCTCGGAACTTTGCGTACGTCTACAGAGTGCAGGTAACGCCTTCTCGCATAACCCTGCATGGTCCGGAAGTAGAGGCTCTGAACCGAATTCTCCGACGCTTTCCCAACCATCACGAGTATTTCATCCGCGTGCAGTTCTGCGAAGAGGATGGGCAAGATGTCCACTTTAATCCCAAGATTAACAACGACCGCGTGTTTGAAAAGTTCAGGGATGTGTTCCAGTATGGCTTCCACATTGCCGGTCGCACTTACACTTTCTTGGGGTTCTCTCACTCTTCCCTGAGGTCCCATTCCGCCTGGGTAAGCACTCCCCAGATACAGTAACTGTGCGCTTATTAACGTGGGCAGTTCTCTGCACCATTCGTGGACGATGATCTCAAGCTCCAAACCTATTTCACCATAATCAAAGCAATCGGAATATTCTCGAATATAACCTCACCCGCTAGATGCGCGGCTCGCATTGGACAGGCCTTTTCCGACACGCCCTTCGCAATCAATCTGAAAGAGAATAAGATCAGCGTGTGGAAAATACCAGATGTGGAAGCCAACGGGCGAGTCTACAGCGACGGCGTCGGAACCATCTCCCAGGATGCGGTCGACGCCATTCACACGGTATTGCCAATGCGAAAGGGGCGGCCTACATGCTTTCAGATACGCTTAGGTGGTGCGAAAGGCATGTTATCTTTGGATCCTAGCCTCCAGGGCTCGAAGATTTACATTAGACCATCAATGATCAAGTTCCAGGCAGAGGAGACGACGGACGTTGAAATCTGCGACTCCGGATCGAAGCCCATCCCGCTTGTTCTGAATCGCCAAGTGATTAAGATAATGGAGGACATGGGTGTGAACGAAGAGTGGTTTTTTAGGCTTCAAGGGCTGCGCATCGAGCAGCTTCGAAAGGCAACCGCCACTACCAAGAATACAGCGAACTTTATCAGAGGCCAAGGCGTTGCTGACTGCGTTAGGTTATATCGACTGTTTCTGTTGTTTAACAACCTGAAGCTTGACTTTAAGGACGTCCCCTTCCTCCGGGCTGTTGTTGAGGCCTTGGTCCTTCGCGAACTACGGCTCTTGAAGCATAAGGCACGCATTCCGGTCGACAAGGGAATCACACTGTTTGGTATTATGGATGAGACTGGCTTTTTACAAGAGAACGAAGTGTTCGTTACGTACGACACCATGGGCGGCAGATTTGCAGCTCGACCTGGTCACTGTCGACTTCTCGTTACTCGATCCCCGGCTTTGCACGACGGTGATATCCAATACGCGTACCATGTCCCGCCTCCGGAACGCCACCCTCTGTGGCATCACAAAAATTGCATCATCTTCAGTAAAAAGGGCGCTCGAGATCTTCCAAGCCAACTCAGCGGCGGCGACCTGGACGGCGACTTGTACAACATCATCTGGGACCCTGCAGCCACCCCGAAGCAGGTCTTTGCGCCTGCGGACTACCCCCGCACTCCGCCGCTCGACATAAAGCGTGTGGTCGAGAGAAAGGACATGGCCGACTTTTTCGTTGACTTTATGCAGACCGACAAACTTGGGGTTATCGCGACAAAACACATGATCCTGGCCGATCAGATGGAACTCGGAACCTCGCACTCAGACTGCCGGAAGCTTGCGCAGCTGCACTCGACAGCAGTTGACTTCTCGAAAACTGGCGTCCCGGTCAGGCTGGAAGAAATGCCGTTTGTCAATCGGAACAGGCCAGATTTGTAAGCCTCTGAATGGGAGAAATAAATATCACTAGCTAATACAAACAGCCTCGCCCCGGGTCCCTTGGCCCAGATCCACGATAAACTAGACGTCCAGCTCGAAGCCCGCTATGTGCACCCCTATCCAGATGACGATATTGACTCCGCCCCAGTGCACAAGTATTACCGGTCTGAGAAAATACTTGGCAAGCTTTACCGAGCCATTGATGAACATGAGATCTGGAAAAAAGACATTCATACGACAAAGAAGCCGAACCCGATTGCTGTATGGAAGAAATTTGTTAACTCGCTAACAACGCGATGTATTGCACTTGGCGCTTCCGTAAACTGGAAAGACCACGTAGAGACCGCCCGACAACTTCGCTCAGCGTACGAACCTTTCTCCCCAAGATTACTCAATGCTAAAAATCCATTCAGATACGAAGGCGCCATATACACCGCGATGGAGAATTTCTCCGAGCATCCCATCCATCCCATTACCGAGCTCGAAGTCTTCGTCGGCCAGATCCTCAACAACAGCGGCGTGCAAACCCATCGCCAACGCGAACGGTCCATCAAACTGAAAGATGAATTCGAGCGAACCACGTCCTGGATCTTAGCCCAGATACGTCCTCGCGGCCCGATTACCGGATACGCAGGTCAGTACGATTCGCTGGAACGCTGCCTTGCTTGTTTCCATGTTGCGTCCGAGAACCGACGGAGTCAGAGTAAGAAAGACCGAGGATGGAATGATCTCCAGAGCTTCCAGGTTGTAGCTGCTTGCGCTTTGTTGATGGAGGTTGAAGAGTTGGAGAAGAATGCGCGGGTTTATGGGGAGAATGTGCGAATGTCGCCTGCACGCGCATCTCCATTTTCTGAGGGAGACGATCAAAGCGACAGCGACCGTGACTATGACCGTGCTACGAGATACACTCCTCTTGACTCTGCTGAGGGCTGGACACTCGCTGATATTCAGATCATGCTGCGTCAGCTTCGGATCAACTCCATTTGACTTGATACGGAAACGCCGCGGGCTAGTTGGATGCATGTATCTTGTATCTAGTTGCAACGTTCGATTGTATATTACTACTACTGCAATAGACTTTTTCATGGCGATCCTTCTCGAACATTGGGCGAACGCTTACGGCTCTCTAGCACAGCGTACTTACCAATTCACTGCAGCTGCTGACGGTACATCTTTGGAGGATGAATGTTTGTGCTACTGTACGCGCCAAGGTGCATCGTGTGTATGCATCTACGATAGTGACAGTCTGGTACGTACATTCTTACCTACCTCACAATCTGCCTATATTAACCCGAAGGACAACCAGGAGTAATCCTACCCTCTTGAATCTAACGATGAGCCAAACTCCACTCAAGATTTCTGAGTAGCTGAAGCTGCACCGCGAGCCCAGAGCATCAGAGCATCCGCCCATATCAATCCCAACTGCAGATGCAATAGCATGCAGGGCTTGTCCTTGCGTCAATACTTGACATGATCAGATGTACGGCGTACCTGCCAAGGCGGACAGCATAGTCGCTTGTTACACCGCATTGCGTCCGGGGGATGCAGATGCCAGAATCCATACCTAGCGGGATAGAATCCCGATTGCTTGACAGTACCAAGTCGGGGTATCGTGGATAGGGGCTGGCGGGGACATCCCGGGTTGACTCGACTCGACTCGAGACACGAAGCTTTGGCGAGAAGATGACTTGCAACTGGAAATTCGGGACGACAGCTCACCTTGCCCACCCAGTTCGAGACGCAGGGTTGGGCACAGAATGTCCGAAGGCATTGCACTACGGGCCATCCGCAGTAAGTAAGAGGTCGAACACCCTGTCCAGCTTTCGTCAGGCCCGCTCCTGTTCAATTACGCCTCACCTTGCTCCGCAAGGGTTATCCCTGAATTACGGTCGCGAATTGCTTGTTCCAGCCCGGCTGATATTGGAATACTTCCGACTTTTCCTATTGGCCGCCTACAGTATCAGCCCCCTACTCCGTATCTCGATGATCGGGAATGCTTTCCTCAGCTACTCGCAACGTGCCGTCCCCAACGAGATCGCAATATCACTCCTCGCAGCTACGAGGCTATGCTGCGAGAGAATGTCCACTAGCCGTTTTGCTACAATCAGCGAATGCCAATATTCTTCTGGTTCCAACTAACAAACGCCATCCCTACCAAGTGCAGGTCAACCAGCATAGCGATCGACAGCCCTAATTTCCGGATAACCTCGCTGCAACTGATAGTCCGTTTACTAGCTGCGACTCCGCGCCAATCGAAGACGCAGGGTTCTCTGGACGCAGAGTGATATTGCTGACATGCATGACAGGCCGTACTCTCGCATCACTTGGCGTCTATACTCGACCAGCAAGGGTCCTCCGTATGGTGCGAGTCTTTCAACTGATGATCACTTGAAAGGGGTATGCGAATACTCAACCAAGGTGGCGTCTGGGGAGTAGGAGAGAAACGAGAACCAATATATAAGTGACGCGACCATTTACCACCCACACAGTACACACTGCTCAGTACAAGCCGCAGGCATTCCTTCCTCCCAATCTGCCCTCCCGAATCCCAGTACAAATGCACGTCCTCACCTGCATCGCTGCCCTCGCGGCCCTCTCCCAAGCGGCTCCTATTCGCCCCGAGTTCACCTTCGCCTATGAATTCCCACCATTGCCCTTCCCTACCGCCGTCAACGTAGCCCCTCTCGTCAGCCCCAGTCCCGACCAAGAGGGGTCTCTGGTTGCGCGGGCATACACGACCACCGCTGCCCGTGCCGCTCGGCAGTATACCGCCGCCGGCGCCCAGACCACCGCGGATTCCGCCGTTGCACCGAGTTTCCCGACCCCGACACCAGCTCAGTCGTCTTTCGCGGCTGCAGGCGGCGGCGCAGGCGCAGGCGTTAATGCTCCTGCTGGCCCTCAGCCTCCCAGCGACGCCACTGCATTTTCCACCGGCGGTCGTCAAGCCTCGTCCACAAATGACCCTTCGACACCGTCCGGAGGAAACGCTGGTACAAGCGCGGCTGGTGAAGGCTCTGCTAGGCTTCCCGCCGGTGGGACCCCAGCAGTTCCGATCCCGATGAACATCAATGTTTACGGCCAAGGCCAAGGCCACGGCCAAATGCAGGGCGCTGGACCCGGACGTTCACCCGTAGGCTTTGGTTCAGCCAGTGCTGGCGGAAGCTTCACGTTTGGCCCCTTCGCATCCGGGATGCACGTTGATGTTTACGGCCAACGCCAGGACGATGCCGTGCCCGGTTCATTCGGGGTTGGTGCACCGGGTACGGCTGGAAGTTCGACTGTTGCCTCTTCCGCATCCCAGAACGCTAACTCTCAGCATCAAGGCGACTCCCCCGGTGACGGCCTGCTGGGTGGTCTTGGTCTTCGTGGCCGCAGAACCGGCACTGGTGGACTCGGCGCTCGGCAGCTCCCGAGCAGCTTCTTTTCCGGACTTTCGGGGACCGCTGACAACCAGGATAACGGGCAAGCTGGTTCCAACGGTCCTTTCGGAAACCCGTTCGGCGGGCTTGGGGGACCTGGTAGCCAGGGTGGTGGGCTGAACGGACCGGCTTCCTCTACTGGAAGTCTTCTTGGTGGTTTTGATGGCTCTGACGACCGGGATACCCCGACCGGCGCCGTGAGACCCTTCGCCGGTCAGGTTGGTGGCGCTACCGCTGGCAAAGATGACGGACAACAGAACGGTCCTGCTGCGGGCGCTGGGGGCTTAGCTGGTGTTCTTACACGTGGCGACAGTGTTAATGCCCGCGGGCAACTTCCGGCGACCCGCCCTGCTGCTGGATTCCCGACTGGAATGCCGGTCCCTTCGCCTCTAGACGTTTTTACTAGCCTACAGTCTGCGGGTCCTCAGGGTGGTTCTGCGTGAAGGTTCAAAAGGTGATACGGTATGTTTGTAGGGCGTCTAGCTTCATTTGACTGGATTGCTATGATAATGTTACACGTATTCAAAAAGTCGTATGTTCGCATACGAGGGAGGGCAAGGCAGGCTTGGCTAGACCGACGTTCAGCACGGATTGATGTACTACTTTGGCACTCTAGAGGTTGATTTCGCGTTCACTGCTTATTTGCTGGTGTGTCGTACATTTCCAACCCATAGCCTGGGGTTGCCGGGCCTGGCCTGGACACCTTTAGCTATGCCCCGGTTGCGTTGGCTTTATATATGTAATTTTAAGTATTATCTATACCCAGATTCCGCTACGAGGAGATATCTTAACGTAGCTGTTGTGTTCTGCTTACCATGCTCTGGCAAGAATCGTATTGCGGTGGCACGTGCACACGCCCGCCCGGAATTAGCCCTAACTCGAGGTCGGTATGACGGATCTAGAAAGTTCTTCGAGATTCCACTCGATCAAAAGGCACTATACAAGGTCAAAGGTGGCCAGGCACGTTATGGTCGGCCGTTTATCGGCAAATGTCAACTCCGCTGGGCTAGTAGAGTAGATACCCGTCCACCTATGTATGTAATAGCTGTAGACAAAGTGGCTAGGTATTGCCACTGTTATGTGATGTACAAGACACCCTGAGTTGACGGAGCATGACATTGCTGCACCGGGGTAGCGTCCGATGCAGTGGTAGGCTGCTGGGATTGGGGTATGCGGGATCGACGTGCTGATTGCGACCTGGAGAAGCTGCTAGATCGGTAAGTTTGCTGCCTGTAGTTGACTGTTGCGGTGGTGGCAAAGACGAGCTGCTTAGGCTGTACCATCTTACTCTGCGGCTCCTCACTGTCCTTCACTGTGTTGACTTGCATATCCTTTCTTAGGTAGAAGACAGAAAATGAACTCCCTCCAGCTGGCTACTCACGCCCTGCCCGCTTCTCCTGCAGGCAATTCTAGTGCGAAACTAGATTGCAGATCTCGTCGCCCGGCAGTCAGTGGTGGGGAGGGGTGGATAACATAACATATAGCAGCCGGCTTTACTTGCGGTGATGAGTGAGATGATGGGTGAGATGAATAGTACAATCGCGCCGTGGTCTACCCCACCAGGGCATAGATACAAATACATAGTCCCAGCCCAACTGCACCAAAACATAACATACCAAATCAACCCTTACGCGTAGGTACCTATATCTACCGCTTCCTCCCAAACGCCTCATACGTAACGGTCACCTCATCCGTCCTCTCAATGCCCGCCGCACCCCTCAAAATATCCTCATCGCTGCCATTCCCACCCCCATGCGATATCACCGTCTTCTGCGCCTGATACTCGTTCACCGTCCCCAGATCCGTGCTCGCAATCCCAAACTCATCGACCTTGCCGCCGGATTTCGAGGAATACCCGGATCGTCCGAACCGGCGCTGCGCGTACATCGGCAGCTGGTACGAGGAGTTCTCGTTTGAGCTCCCTTTGCTCGTGCCGTATTTCAGGCGTGTGTAGAGCGGGCGCAGCACGGGGATCGAAGAGCACATTATTGTTGCGGTGCTTTCGGTTGCGGACCAGATGAGCATGGGGACTGTGTCGTCTGCACGCGAAGCGATTAGTTTGTCGTGTCAATGATATGGAACGATGCTGAGGACGGAGTGACGTACAGATGTATTCCTGCGCATTAAGGCCGGAGAGGGCCTCGGTGCGAATGATCCCGCAGATTCCAGCGCTATGCATATTAGACACGTAAAAGCGAACCGACAGGATGAGCGCAAGGTAAGATGGACATGGACGTACAAAATCCCCAAACTCAACCCACACGCAACGGTAATCTTCTCCTTATGCTTCATATTCAAATCCCACACCACAAACCACGGCAGCACCGCAAACGCAAAGTCCATCGCCACGAACCACGAGCCCACCGTATACCCGATATTCGAAAAGTCGATCCAACACGTTCCGGGGACCGTTTGGTTCCAGCTGCGCTCCACAGGGTCGCACTGCACTATCGCCGTGATACTCGCGAACAGCGTGATGATCACCGTTATCACCAGGCAGACGTGGATGAACGCGATCTGGACCTTATTCCGGATGATGCGGAGTAAGAACGTGCCGACCGCGCACTTGCCCACGCCTATCACCATAATCCCGGCGAACTGGCTGAGGATCTCGTACTTGACGGCTTCGAAGTAGATGCTTTGGTTGCCGACGTCGGCGGAGAGGCGGCCGAGGCCGTAGGCGCTTGCTATGGTGACGAAGATCGTGTAGAGGAGGTGGAAGACCTGTTCGTTGGAATCCGTCAGCATCGACCTTGGTCGCCTGCGGTTTGGGGAATTGGCTGACCAGCGCAACGCAGCAGAGGTAATCGTCAATCCCAACGGCATTGAGAATCTGGTGCCGTGTGTAGAGGCGCAGCGCCACGAAGACCGCGAAGATCACGACCTCCATCCAGAGGACGCCGTTGACCATGGGCCCCTTACCGCCATAGTAGCCCATACCGACGAAGGCAAAATAGATGAAGAACGCAAGTTTCCGGGGTCTGAGTTGTAAAGCCAGACGAAAAAAAGGCCGAGGGCCTGGCGAGCTCGGAAACACCCCCAATTTGAACGCCGCGCAGGATTCCCTGAAACACGCCGCTCGAATAGTCGGCTTCACTAAATCCTGCGAGTCACTAATGGCATGACCTGTCGACTGCGGCCTGCCAAATGCAACGATGGAGCCGACCTGTCAACCACGAGGGCCGAACGCCCTTGGCGCAGACGCCGACCCACATGGGGCCCCCGGCCCGGGCGTCCGCACGCAAATCCCTGGCCGAGTTAGGGCTCGTGGCGCCTGTTATCCCCGATCGGGCCTGGCGGACTCCAACACTCTCATATCGGCCGTGCATGATCCATGTGGACCGCCACAATTGACAGATAACGGCTGCACTTGCAGAGCGTTGCGGCTTGCCCGGAACTGTGGGGACGTCATTTCCCTACATACGTACTCCGTAGTACGTCCTACTCCGAATCTACCTGTGGAGCCATGGACCTTGCCATTGAGACAACGGGCGACCCGGTCGTCGCTAGCGCAGAGCCAATGCAGGCTATAAAAGCCCGGCTGCGTCTCAGCCTTCAGGGGCAGAAGCCGGTCTGATAGATCAATCGCTTCCCCGTCTGAAAAGAATCCGACCAGTCAAGACCATGTCCAGCCCCCAAACACAGCAAATCATCGCCGGCCTCGACGCCATCACGCCCGAGGCATTCGGCGGCAATGAAGTCGAGCGCCTGCAGGTTCGTGCCGCGGCGCGGAGACTCCTCGCGCGACTTGAGAGTCCGTACGAGCGCGCGTGGGGGTTCTGCTTCGAACACCCCGTTGTTTTTGCCGCGCTGCAGACGTGCATTGATCTTGGGCTCTGGAAGGCGTGGACGGATGCAGGCGGTGGTGAGAAGAGTCTGCATGAGCTGGTGGGGTTGACGAGTCCAACCGTTGAGACGAACCTGCTGCGTGAGTGCTATATTCGCTTTCTCTCCGTACCTATCTTGGGTGGGATTGCTAATGGAGACACGGATTAGGCCGCTTCTTCCGCCTCCTCGCCGCCTTCAACGTAGTCGAAGAAACCGGCGTCGACAGATTCACGCCCACGCCGTTCTCATTTGCAATCGGCGACGAGAGCACCAAGGTCCGCGCCTCGCTTCAGGCCGCGTACGTCCCACTCATCCCAACCGCCCTCGCTTCTATCCAATCCATACTCACTATACCTTGTGCAGGACAAACCAGTACATCGCCGCAGGGCACAACCTCCCCTCGTACCTCGCGAAAACCGCCTACAGAGAGCCCACGGACGCCATAAGCAACAACTACACCGACTCAGACCCCGAACACCTCAACTTCTTCACCCGCCTGCAGAAGAGTCCCAGCCACTACGAGGCGTTCACGGGGCACATGGAAGCGTGGACGGCGTGGAAAACGCCGTGGACGAGGGTGTACGATACGGGTAAACTGCTGCAGGGCGCGAATCTAGATGCCGCGCCCTTCGTCGTCGATGTAGGCGGGAACACGGGCATCGATATCGGGCATGTCCTGGCTAAACATCCCGATCTCCCTGCGGGCTCGTTAGTCCTGCAGGATCTGCCGGAGATCATTGAAGTTGCGAAGGGCCAGGTTGATGGGAAGATCACGGCGATGGTGCATGATTTCTTCAACGAGCAGCCGGTTACGGGTCCGTCACCTTCCCATCCCCCCTTTCCCTCACTTACGTATCCATCGATGCATAAGAATGGTACGGTACTAACATAGCCCAGGAAGCCGCGCCTACTTCCTCCACGCGGTCCTGCACGACTGGCCCGACGACAAAGCCTCCCTCCTGCTATCCAACACCCGCGCCGCCATGGTCCCCGGCTACTCGAAGCTTATTATCTATGATATCGTCCTTCCCCCGACGGGCGCGAGTATCAGCCAGACGACGATGGACGTCAATATGATGGCGTTGCTGTCGGCGGCGGAGAGGACGCAGGGGGATTGGGAGGGGTTGTTGACGAAGGCGGGGTTCAGGATTGTCAGGTTTTGGCCGGATCCGCAGGGGTATGAGATGGTTATTGAGGCGGAGGTTGGGGTTGATGGGGTTGGGGAGGGGAGGGGTGCGCAGGCGCATTTGTGAGGGCCGGTCTCGAGGGGATGGGGACGGGGATGGGATGGTGCGTGCTTTGGGCGGCATGGCGTGGTACTGTAGGTTGTTGGGATATAGATAGCGGAATATGATTATTTTCTTCGTTTTATAGAATAGGCTGAAAAAGATGAACGTGTGAAGCAGTTCGTCAATCGAGAGACGTTACCTACCTAGATAGGAAGTATCCATGGCCTAGATAAGGAATATATAAGCTACACAGGCCAAGAAAGAGGATTAGCATAAACCCAAACTTAGTCACAAGATTAGTACGAAATGACTTGACCCCAGCATACAAAGACGGTCTGGGAGTACCCTGTCTGCAGACGCCCAGCGGTAGTGAGTATTCCTGACGCCATCGCCAGCCGTGAAATATCTATACGACAACACGTGACTTAGGGCTACGATCGTACAACCATCCCCAAGGGCTGTAGCCCTAACTCGGCTTCGATGCAAAGGCTGCTGGCTCAGCATTCGGTGTGGTCCAATTAAGTTAGTATTATTGTGTATCAACGAGGACTTTCAGCTGTTCAAACCACCTCAGGCTCTCATAAATGTCTAATCACTGAGATTGGAGGATTGGGGCTCGGTAGCATAGTTAAGCCACAAATCGGCTCGTGATACATCGGACTCATCCTAGAGAAGAGAGGCAAGGTTACATATAATGACTTATCATTGTTTCACAAACTACACTAACGACTAAGGTCATGAAGATGCCGCCGAAGCTGTACAAACAATACAGCAAGACGTAAACAAGTATAAATATGATAATCACTTGTCAACACCAACCAAAAACAAGCATGGAAAGAACAGAACCGCCTTAGAATCCGAGCAGCGAGTACCAGTCGTATCCACCGGTAGCCGAAGCCTGGGCATTGGCCACAACCGTAGCATCCGCGGCGCTGCTGAACGTCGTCGAGAAGGAAGTGGCGAACGAGGTGCTGAAGGTGGTAGGCGTTCCGGAGGCCCAGGTAATGATGTTGGAGATGTCGATGCCGTGGTTCGAGGTCGAGGTTCCTGAGGCGTTGTCGGAGCCTTCACCAGAGGCAGATGCACTGCCAGATCCTCCGATGCTGGCGGATCCAGAGGCACTTCCAGACCCGGACGCACCGGTGCTTCCAGATCCAGTGGCGCTGCCAGAGCCCTCAGTGTTGCCAGAAGCTTCAGCACTTCCGGAGCCTTCAGCGTCAGCCGATCCACTAGCAGAGCCTTCAGCACTGCCGGAAGCCTCAGTGTCTGCGCTTCCAGAACCTTCAACACTGCCAGAGCCACCAATACCAGCCGAACCTTCAGCACTGCCACCTGCAGATCCTCCAACAGCTCCAGAGGCTTCGGCTCCAGTCGATCCGGTGGCTGTACCAGACGCAGAAGCGTCAGGCCCGGTGCTCGTGGCATCAACGCCAACCCCAGCACCACCAGAGCCTCCAGCACTTCCAGATCCCTCAACATCACCGGATCCTCCAATGCTGCCAGAGCCACTCAGACCAGCTGAGCCTCCGGCACTCCCAGATACCCCAGCGCCACCGCTACCACCAACACTTCCAGTTGCTCCAGCGCCAGCAGCCCCTGTAGCGCTCCCAGAGGCAGCCGCACCGGCAGCGCCAGTAGAAGTGCCAGAAGCTCCAGCGCCAATGTCCCCGGAACCACCAACACTTCCAGAGCCAGCAACGCTTCCAGAACCTCCAATGGTTCCAGACTCCCCGATACTGCCAGAACCTCCCAGACTGCCAGAGCCTCCAGCACCAGAGGACCCAACTGCACTGCCGGATGCAGCAGCTCCAGCAGCTCCGGCGTGGGTTGCAGAAACTCCAACTCCAGCACCGCCAGATCCGCCAACGCTGCCAGATGCAGCGGCACCAGCAGAGCCGGTGCCTGATCCTCCCAGCCCAGCTGAGCCACCAACGGTAGCGGTTCCGCCGACACCACCGGAGCCTTCAGCACCACCAGATCCTGAAACGCCAGCTGATCCTCCGATGCTTCCTGATCCACCAACGCTACCAGATCCTCCGACCGCTCCAGACGCCTGAGCGCCAGCGGCACCTGTTCCAGAGGCTCCTAGGCCTGCCGACCCCCCAAGTGACGCGGAGCCACCAATGCTGCCTGATCCACCAACGCTGCCAGATCCCCCGACGGCTCCAGATGCCTGAGCGCCAGCGGCACCTGTTCCAGAGGCTCCTAGGCCTGCTGATCCTCCGAGAGAAGCGGAGCCACCAAGACCAGCGTGGCCTCCAACACCACCCGATCCCCCAACTGCTCCTGAGGCTTGAGCACCAGCGGCGCCTGTGGCAGACCCGGATCCTCCAACGCCAGCCGAGCCGCCGACACTTCCAGAACCGCTGACACCTGCTGATCCGCCCAGGGAGGCAGAACCACCAAGACCAGCGTGACCTCCGGCACTACCAGATCCTCCAACCGCTCCCGAGGCTTGAGCGCCAGCGGCACCGGTAGCAGATCCAGAACCTCCAATGCCAGCCGAGCCACCGATACTGCCAGAGCCGCTGAGGCCTGCGGATCCGCCTAGCGAGCCACCGAGTCCAGCGTGGCCTCCGATGCTACCAGAGCCACCGGCCATCCCAGACGCTTCGGCGCCAGCGGCACCGGTAGCAGACCCAGAGCCTCCAATACCAGCTGATCCACCAAGAGTCGCTGATCCACCAAGACCCGCGGAACCGCCGAGGCCGGCTTGACCTGCGGCACTACCTGAAGCGGCGGCACCGGCAGCTCCGGTGGCTGATCCGGACCCGCCAATACCAGCTGATCCTCCAATACTTCCTGATCCTCCAAGGCTGGCGGAGCCCCCAAGGCCAGCGTGACCAGCAGCGGCTCCCGAGGCTTCCGCGCCAGCAGCTCCCGTAGCAGATCCAGATCCTCCAATGCCGGCGGAGCCCCCAAGGCTTCCAGAGGCGCCGAGGCCGGCAGAGCCTCCAGCGGATCCTCCAACACTTCCCGATCCACCAAGACTAGCAGAGCCGCCCAGGCCAGCGTGGCCAGCGGCGCTTCCAGAGGCCTCCGCGCCAGCCGCTCCAGTAGCAGATCCAGAACCTCCAATGCCAGCGGATCCTCCTAAGCTACCCGAGGCCTCAAGGCCGCCAGAGGCACCCAGTCCGGCTGAACCTCCAGCAGACCCTTCAAGACCACCGGCGGCACCTCCAGAAGCAGCAGCGCCAGCGGCTCCGGTAGCCGATCCAGAGCCTTCAACACCTGCAGAACCTCCCAAGCTTCCAGAGGCTTCAAGGCCACCGGAGGCACCAAGTCCAGCTGAACCGCCAACGCTTCCTGATCCACCAAGTCCACCCGCTGCAGTTCCAGAGGCAGCGGCGCCAGCTGCTCCCGTAGCGGATCCAGATCCTCCAACGCCTGCTGATCCGCCTAAAGTACCGGAGGCCTCAAGGCCACCGGAGGCACCTAGGCCAGCTGAGCCTCCGGCAGAACCTCCAACGCTTCCAGAACCGCCCAAGCTAGCAGAACCACCAAGACCTGCATGACCACCAATACCGCCCGCAGCAGCACCAGAGGCTTCAGCACTAGCGGAACCAGTTGCACTTCCGGATGCTCCAAGTCCTGCTTGGCCTGCGAGACCAGCGGATCCTCCAATGGAGCCCTCAATACTTCCTGATCCTCCAAGGCCTGCGTGACCACCAAGGCTACCGGCTGCACTGCCAGAGGCTTCGGCGCCAGTGGAGCCAGTTGCAGTTCCAGACGCACCGAGTCCGGCGGATCCTCCAATACCGCCGGACGCGGAGCCTCCAATGCTGCCTGATCCACCAATGCCAGCAGAACCACCAAGGCCTGCGTGGCCACCAATACCACCTTCGGCACTACCAGAAGCTTCGGCGCCAGCGGAACCTGTCGCAGTTCCAGATGCACCGAGGCCAGCAGATCCTCCAATCGATCCGCCAATGCCTCCTGCAATGCCTCCTGATCCTCCAATGCTACCGGAGACAGAGCCAGTAGCGCCTCCAGATGCGCCGAGGCCAGCGGAGCCGCCGACACCACCGGATGCTTCAGCGCCGGCGCCACCAGTCGCTGTACCGGATGCTCCCAGGCCAGCAGAGCCTGATGCGGAACCTCCGATGCCTCCAGATGCACCGCCACTCAAGGACCCCGAGGCACCGAGTCCAGCGGATCCTGATCCTTCCACTGAACCTCCAGCACTGCCAGAGGCGCCTGCTTCACCCCCACCACCGGCAGATCCTCCGATGCCAGCAGCACCACTAGCAGCGCCGCCAAGAGATCCGGTGGCACTGCCTGATCCTCCAATTGTGCCTGATGCACCGAGGCCAGCGGATCCGGATCCTTCGGCTACACCACCGATACCTCCAGATGCGCCAGCAGATCCGCCGATCCCAGCAGAACCACCAACAGAGCCAGATCCACCAATCCCTGCTGAGCCGCTAGCAGAGCCAGTCAAGGATCCCGTTGCGCTGCCTGATCCTCCAACTGTGCCCGAGGCACCAAGTCCAGCAGATCCCTCGGCTGAACCCTCAGCACCGCCAGAGACACCTGCTGAACCGCCGATACTTCCAGATCCACTGATACCAGCTGAGCCGCTGGCCTCTCCACCCAAGGAGCCTGTTGCACTTCCTGATCCTCCAACTGTGCCCGAGGCACCAAGTCCAGCAGATCCTTCAGCCGAACCTTCAGCACCGCCAGAGAGACCAGCGGAACCTCCAGCAGAACCACCAAGGCCAGCAGAGCCGCTCAGGGAACCTTCAGCAGAGCCGCTGACACCACCACTAGCACTCCCAGATCCCTCAGCATCACCACTAGCAGACGCGCCCGCAGATCCAGATCCAGAAGCGCTTCCACTTCCGCTCCCCTCCGCGCCACCAGCAGCAGCCAGACCAGCTGACCCGCCACCAGAGAGACTAGCGCTCCCACCAACGCTCAGCGAAGCAGAACCAGAGACTGAGCCTGAGGTCTCGCTGCCAATGCTCACGGCGCGTGCGGTCAGAGTCCCTGCGTTGGCGTTGGAGTTATCGGGGTACGCGAGATCCCGGGTCGTGAGTTTGCGCGAGGGGGCGGGCGCGGGCGCGCTGAGGGCGCCGGCGAGGAGGGTTAGAGCGAGGGCGAGGTTGGGGGTGGTTTTCATTTTGGTGAGATGGACGAGTTGAGATGAGATGGATAAGTGATATGAAATGGTTGAATGAGTTGACGTGAGGGAACGATTAGCGATTGTGATTGAATGAGCGCAGCTCAATGGAATTCGAATTGATTAGGGTGATTAGGATTAGAGCAAGAAGTATAGATCTTGCAAGAAGAAACGAGGGGAAAGGAGATGGCTGCTGGGAGCGCAGGGAACGATTGAATGTGATGATGATGAAGAAGAAAGGTGAGAGGATCGGGACTCAGGTGGTTTATATAGACTTGACCCACGACCATTCGTCTAGAGGGAAAGAGCCACTAACTGCAGGTCCGTCCACTGCTTCCGTGTTCCCGATGTCAGGGGAAGGAGAAGTTAGGGCAAGGTTCATCGGAAGCCCGAGTGCTGGAGCTGCAGCGCCCGCGTGTTTCGCCGCTGACTCCATTGCACCGCGGTGACGTGGACAAGATGCCAACGAGGATTTGTCGGTTCACGATTCCGGTGTTTGGAATAGTAGAGGCTCGCTGAGTAGCTTGCTTGTATTTTTAGGTTCTAATTGTGACACTTTGATTGTCAAAGCAGTCCGGTGTGGGGACGGGGAACCTGCCAAACGATCAAACGATGGAGCAGATGGCTTCGATCCGAAATCAGCCATGGCGAACGCTAACACCGGACTAGGGGGTTTACGATAGATGAGTGTAGTTCACGGGCACGAGTCAGGTTGAAACTGAAGAAGTTCCCGGGGCCCGACCTGCCTCCCTACCAACACCGTGCAGCCGCGTATAGGAGGCGCAAGTATTCGTAACTAGTTGGATTTCAGCCCGAGCCTATACCTCACAGGTCGCAGCCTCCATATGCACACTTCAGGGCTGGCTGCAGGCGATGAGGACACCTGTGGAGGCACAACCGGAACCCTCAATCCAGGGAGTCAGCCACCGACCCCCAAGAACGCCCGATCTCAGATAAACCACGCAACAGCAACACGATCCGATCTGATACAAACTAGTGGCATCTAAAACAACTCTAAAGCCTAATCTGGCGTGTTCGAACACCGCATGACAAATGGTTCATCCTTGGCTCCACTGCAACTCCACAGAGCCGAAGCTTGAGTTAGGGTGTTGCGGGCCGTCGTTTCACCACCGGTTCACGGTCAAAGTGCCAAAAATAGACATCTATCTGTCTAACTATATGGATGATTGATTCACCCGAGGTGGTCATGTTGGTTCGAGCTTTTCTCGGAGTTAGCAGCCTCGAGGTCGTGTCTTATTCCGAGCTTTTTATAGTTCACGCTCATGCGCGGCGAAGGGAGTGAGACGTCCGGGGTATCATCTATATCTACTATATTGTGCGGAATCCGGCCATTGTCTAGGGAGTGTGCGTTATTCCCGGTTCGGACAGCCCCTAGCACATGCCACTGACCTTCGAAAGTCAAAGACCATAGTCCAGTGCGCACCTGCAGGGGAGAATTGCGCATCTGGAACTGTACCTTGCTGGCTACATAACTCGTGCACTGCCCCTACATTGACCTTCATTATCCCCTGGTGGAACTTCGTTGCAGGGACAGCACACAGACCTGGGCCCATTCAAGTAACTAATTCCGAGTCGCAGGCATGAGCTCTGAAGCACGGGTCAACTCGCGCATCCCCGGGTGAACGTGTTTCAGACACTCTCTATCTGACACTTTATCAAGTGGGCTCTGCAGATCGCGAACGCTGCATACGCGTCCTCCATATCCAGCATGGGTAAGTAGGCTGGGAATGTCGAACGTCCTGCAACTGGACGGCCGCGGTGCTTGCGGCATTTTTGACGGCAGCAGTCCACCGCTATCTCTCAGGCGATCATGTAGACGCACTAGAATGTGACAATCTTGAGTCTTATGAGCTGTGGACTGTTGAAGCCTGAGACTCCTGGATTGCGTATCTTTCTGCACGCCGTGTATAGAGTTCTAGGCAGTGATGGCTATGGTAATATTCTTTCAGGTTTTTCATCGTACCTACCTACCATATCGCAAGCGCGCCATTCTCTTCAAGATACATTGTACAAGTTGTCAACTGTGGATGGCCAAGATCAGAGGCCATTGCTGCATGGCCATTCTCGTGGGCAATGAATGTATAGGCATCAACGCAGTCCGTCATGTTTGCTTAGGGCCATGCAGGTCTGGATGTGACTAAACTAACTTGTAACTACACTCGAAATCGGCTACTGTTGACCACGGTGGTATATAGCTTTTTGGCATTGGTATACAAAGATACACTCTTGGGGAAAATGAACCTCTTCCCTGCATCTGCATTATCGTATAGAGACTATGAAAAGCGCACCATGAAGCACCGGTGCACTAAATTGCGCAATGTAAAGCAACAGCCTCTCTTTCAGGCATGGGTGTCGTAGTATGCAGTATGCATGTAAATATTCCTGCAGTCAGGGTTTGTCTTTGGCGAAAATATGGCCAAAGGGCAAATATATGTATTCCCCAACGCCAGCCTATGCCAACCAGGTCTCTAATACATGGTGATTCTTGGTTAACACAAAATAAAACCTTATCTACTCGAAGCCAGGGGTCTTACTGCAATAGCGACACTTAAGCATCCACCACAGCTTTGGTAGTTTAGTGAAACCATATATTGGATGGAGGCGTCGAAACCTGCCCCAGACCTTCATCAAGCCGCCGGCAAAATAGCAGGAAATGTGCAAGCGTCAGTTAAACCAGCTACTAGAGCGTGTAAGCTTTGGAATATAATCAGATTATGTTGTTTGATTCTGTCTTTCCTAGTAAACCCGGGGTGTACACGTCCTCTTTGCATACAGATCAAGGAACACAGGGAAGAATTGTCTCAGGGTCTAAATAGATCTATTATGATAAGCAACCGTTTGTATACAAACAGACTGGGGTAAAAAAGTCCTCCGGGCTAATAATCTCTCAGCATATAGCATACTGCTAGACAATAAAAATCATTGACTATAATCCAGTCTTTATACCCAATACCACGGGGACCCCAATCAACCATTACTTCCAAGTATCGAAACTGCTTTGCTGGGTTTAAAACATGCAAGTCTTTCATGACGTAGACCACTATGCCTCTGTTTAGCATCCTGTTTGACACCTATCCTACCTGGGTATGATTAATTAAAACGCCTACGTAGAGAGGTAACCGGCCCCGTGCCATTGGAAGTATACCCTCATTCCCTCCCAACATCATACATTCACCCCGGCGCCTCCGGCAAAACAAGCCTAGCCCCAGGCATAAACTCCTGCACCCAAGTCCGAATATCATCAATAGCCGTACAGAATCCAAAACTTTGTTCCGCAAACCCACCAAAGCACAGCGACACTGCAGACCCATGCACGATCCCGCAGACCCGGCCATAGTTGTCAAGGAGTCCGGCGCCGTAGTCACCGGCTTGCAGGAAAGAGCCCTGCGTGCGGATCCCGCCGGTGTCGGTTTCTGTGCTTATTGCGTATTCTTCGGTTATACCTCTGGTATTTGGCGGCGACGTTGGCATCGTTGCCCGAGCATGCGGGTCCGCAGTGTCCTGGTTCTTATGTGTCTCGGCCTCGTGCTCAGCAGCCTAGTTCACATACGCAGGAACGCCGTTGCATATCCCCGACGTTATATTCGTTGGCCTTCCCATCTTGAAGTACCATTTCCCGCCGGACAGGTGGCCGAATTCGTCGTCTAGGGGTTGGCCTGGTCTCAACAGTAAGCTGGCCGGACCGTCTGTCACAGGGTTGAATGGCGTGTCGCGGGGGTAAAGGCGCGGCATTGTAGTGAAGTAGTTTAGTTTGTTGTTGTTGAAGGGCTCAGGATTAAGCTCGAGGAGCGCCCAGTCTTGGACCCTCTTGCGCCCAGTATTTGCGCGTTCAGCCCTTGCCTTAGGGCTGATCTGGCAGGATGAGGAGGAGAGAAGCACCCTGCCGAGTTTCACGGGCATTTTATCCAGCGCGGTTTTTTTCAACTCTGCCTCTGCAACCCGCTCTTTCAGGCTTGCGATATGCCCCTCCTTGACGGGTTGCTTGGCCTCTGCGTCGTGTAAGGCCTTCTTCAGGAACCTCAGGGTATCTCTGGCCATCTCCTTCGTCTGTTCCACATCTTTGGGCGCAAAGCTCAAGATGTTATACTTGGTTTCCGCGCCAGCTTTTGAGGTAGTCTCGTTGGTGGCGGGTCCCGAATTTCCGGCTGCTTTGTGGGCAAGCTGGAGCCCGAGTGCGCGCTGGCTTGTCAGCGCGCATCTCCACGTTTTATCGCCCCGGGTAAGCGTCACAAAGGGACCGAGGGTACCGGTTGGACGTTCCAGATGACCCTGCACGGCGATCGAGGTCCCCGGCGTCGGCATGCCATCCGCTCTCATGCGGCCATCCAGGTATACCCCCTTTTCTGACCTGGTATGTTCCGGCGGCGACAGAATGCCGGGTAGGAAGTCGACCTTCATATCCCTTGAAACAGCGCTGTCTTGCGGTAGTAGTTGTTTTATCTTCCTCGCTAGGCCGCTCCAGTCTGCGATTGTGAAGGGCTTGACGTAGATGACGATCGTGGGATTGCTCTTGTGTTTTACCAGTCCCAACCAGAACATGCACCAATTATTACAAAGAGTGTGGTTGACCAGCTGCATAATCTCTTCTTTCACAGCATTGTATACCGCGACCGCAGGATGGGCTGGGACAATGGCGAACGCTGATGGGCGCCAGCACATATTTCAGAGACAATTTCAACATCGACGTTGACGCCAGTATCATTCACCTTTTGAATGTTTGCGATGCCTTTTTTCGCAAGAAGCTCGGCCACGGCATCCCTAGCCTGATCAATGCGCAGCCGATCAGGGACGTATGGTGCCTCCACAAACGAAATCTTTAGGACCGTCCGGGGATTTTCCTCGTCAGCGTTCGGATACTCGGGCTTTGTAATCTCCGTTAAACCAATCCATATATAATGGTGCTTTGTTGGAAAACCGTGCGTTGTAAGGATATGCATAATCTCGGCTTTACACGCCTCGACCGTGTTCGTGAGCGCTGGGTCCGCATCCGCGAAAGTAAGGGGGTATGGCCACGGATCTTGCATCGTTGTGCTGCGGTACCCGTCTGTCAGGTGCAGATATTCCTCGATGGAGATTGGCCATGGCCATCTCTTTCTATATTCTTGGTGACGATATTAGACAGGCGTGCCTCCGGGTAAAGTTTTCTCGGCGTGAACATCCGCGGCGTCTACCATATGACCGGATTGCTCCCTGGAAGGTTTTATTAGCGGAGGCGCAATTGGGATTCCTGCGTTATCTGCGTGGGAAGCTCGTGCTACGGAGCCAGAGCCCGCAATGGCAACAAGGGCTTCGAAAACGCACCTTCCCTATCTAGGTACGAAACCGTACTCGCTCAGCCATGTGGTGCCTATGGGCAACGTGGAGCCATTCTTTTCAGATTCACTCCGAATTCGAGGATCTTGTACGGTTCACTACACAACATAAAGCCGCGTTTGGTTTGTTTTCGGACTCTTCGAGATATACCTATGGAGATATCAGAACAAGCCAACACTTTCTGACAGCTGGCCCAATTCTCCGTATCATTACGCGTCGTCTATCGTAGATTATGCTGTAGAAAAGCTTGTTTTGAGTCCCGGCCACGGCAACCTATATATAAGACATCGGCACCTGCAACAAACAGCAGCATGCTTCTCTTCTCTTCCCCTTTCCTTTTACCCTATACCAAGAAGTCTTCACCTCCAGCGTCTTCATCTCAACATGTCGATGTCTGCTCCCACTTCCACTCCCCCGCGCCCTGACCCCCGCCAACGCCGGGCCCAGCTCAAAAGCCCCGAGAACAGCAACGCGCAAAGAACATCGAGTCTGGAAGAATACATCCACCAGACGGATAGTTATCTGAGCACCACAATGCGTGATCCCTGGCCCTACCATCTCACACTCGCACCAGCCGAGGCAACACTTACAGCAGCGGTGCAAGAGAAATGTAGACCCGCGATCATAGATATCCCTACTCAGCGTGGATTTAGTAAAGAAAACCCTCTACTCAGCATTGACCTAAAGCCGGTTATAAAATCAGGGTCTCTGGGTGCCCAAGAGATATCCCCGAACAACGCTGCGGCTCGCGTGGACGCATATGGATGCCCCCTCCGCCCCCAGCCGGACGGAGCTAGGCAAAGCCAGGGACGCCATCGCAGCCTTCCTTATTGAAAAGGACATTCCGGCCCAGATCGCAGATGGCGACACGCAAGCCAAGAGGGATATCGACGTCGAGCTCGTTTTCCCGGACATGTGTTTCCGGCCGTCGACACTTTCCATCCCGTCTACGCATCCCGCGGCTGCGGCGTACGAGACTGTCCGCAAAGAGATTATGGAGTTGATTGACCAGACACTACAAGATAAATGGTGCGGTTTATCGCTTCATCTACTTGGCCTTGTGAAAGAAAGAAGTGACCCTACTGTTGTGGTTTATCTGTTGCCGTACACCGTTGCAGACTGGGGTGGTCTTGCCGCGCTGATCCAGGGTCTTCTTCCGCCGGGGGAGAGTATCAATGTTGAGTTCCTTCCTGGGAGCTTTGCGTTTACACTTGATGGTAGGTAGCTGTGAAATGGAATGGTCTATTGGTGGTTTGGGGCGTGTGGAAAAGGGGTAGTCTTTGGCTAGAGCAGGAGCTAGGGTAGTACCTACCTGTTCACCGAAACTATGCTAGGGTGAGCTCGATCATCTATGTACGGGTGCTATTAGGAAATGGATTGAGGTGGAGATATGAAATTAAACTGGATCAGAATGCCCGAGCTGTTTCTCAAACCTACCTAGACCAGAGACCGCGTCCTGCGCATGCGGGAGATGGATCTGGAACATCATTTTCTATTCCCAATGGTTGAAGCCAACGTCACTGCTAACGTAGCTGAAATGTCAGCTATTCTGAACGCAGTGCAACAACGATGCGGACTGTTCCTGTAGACTATCAACAGAGCAGTCATTGGCTTTGTCAGAGTATTGAGTCTGTACAACGTTCGGGTAGCGTTAGATATTGCTGCTTTGGAATTATCTCCTCTCAAGCATGCACAGGGGGGTGGTACCAATTGTACTAGTCCATTAGGGGCTTTTATCTTTCTACTAGCGGTTATGTTCCTCCAATCTGCAATAGTAAACGGCAACACAGAGGCTGTCAGGCTACTTGTACTATTCTCAAGACCAAGTAGAAAGCTATATTGCCATAATCGAGGCCCGCCAAGGCAGCAGCCTATGTTATGGACCCCGGTCAGCATTGACAAACTACTAGCGCATTTATCTCCCAGAGCATATCAAGAATTCCAGTCATAGCCCTTATAGATCTTAGATTAAAGGATATGCTAAGGTAACGGTCATTGCGTTTGCTGTACGACCGAGGGCGGGGTATCAAGATCATTCCCTTACAAACGCAGGATGAGAACTTTTTCAAAATCGAAACCCGGAAGATCTGAATCCTTTTCTCTTATTCACCCCTAAGCTAGCAACGCAATCGAGATAAAGGCAGTTTTTCTCTAATTCCATCTGCCAACGTGACACCTTCTATCACTCCCCACACGCAAGACCACCATGGCCGCCCCAATGGCCCTGATCATCCTAGTTCTCTGTTGCTTCCTCATACCCGGCTTCTTCCACTGGCTCCTCATGCTCCTACTACGCTTCCTCGGGTTCGGACCGCTCGGCCCAGTCGCTAGTAAGTTGCATACCATACCCTCTCTATCCCTTGTACCTACCCTATCATACCCCGCAAATCATCGGATTCTATCCAGCTAACCATATCTACCACAGACTCCTGGGCTGCATTCTGGCAGTCCTTCTTCGGACCAATTGCCCGCGGCTCCCTCTTCGCGTTCTTTCAGAGTCTCGCTATGAACGGACATGCGTGGTGGGCGGTTGTGAAGGGGTTCGCTCCGGTTCGAGTCCTCGCGTATATTTTGGGTTTTTTGTTCTAGTGGAAGTGTTGGAGAGCTTTCCTGAAAGCTTGTTGGGTGTGGGAGATACCACAGTGGGAAGGGAGAAACGGCTGCGGAGTCTAGGGCAATGCTGTATTATGCTTAAGCAACGTCGTTGGACTGGGTGAAGCGTGCGTGGGTCAGTGTCTGCGATGCTCTGGTGGAGGGACCTGCATTGGACTTGGGGTACACGCTGCGATTAAGTATTTAACTTGGCGTATGCCTTCACAGTGGATGCAGTAGCAACGCTCCTGTTAGGTATCTATGCGTTTATATGGTGATTATGCTAGGCTGTCTGTCCTACGCGGTCCATTAGGATGGCATGCAACCTACGGAGTACCCATGGACTATGTGTGCGTAACAGTGCGGTAGTCTGACTCCCAGCTCTGGGTTTACCGTGTCTGCTTAGCCGGGCATATAAGTAGGGTACCATGCAAACGTACTCGCCTAACACGGCTGAGAGATGTCTCAGACAATCCCATTACCCCCCAAAGAAACCTCGTCATTCACAATTCAGACAAAGAAGCGCAGGCACCTAGCAACCTTATCCTCAAACCTACCGAGTCATGCACAGTGCTATACGAAGTGGCGCAGGCAAGGCTGCGGCTCTCAGGTCCCTTGCCAAGCCCTCCTCCCAAAACCCCTGCATCGTACTGGCCATGTGAGAAATGGCTAATTTAAAGGCTTAAGATGCCATTGGCCCGGGGCGGCTCACGCCGCCATGTTCCTCGTATTCCTCCACTTGGGCCTGCAGCCAAGCGTGAATACGGGCCTTGGCGCGGCTGATAGACATTGCTGGAGGAATGCGATTATGCGAGACTGTTTTGGTGAGCTGTGCGAGACTATCTCAAGTGTCTCAACCGTGGAGGTATAAATTACCTTTGTTCCCCGTGGAGAAATTCCCGTCTTCTTTTCCTCCACCCGCGCGAGAATCACCCGGCTTACGCGGCCCATCCATCCCAACCTTCCAAACCTCAAACGCCCAACACCAACACAATGCACGCCTTTCTCACCCTCCTCGCCCTAACCGGCCTAACACTAGACCTCACCTCCGCCAGCGCAGACCCCGCAAAAGCCCGCGTCACCACCCCCCCAAGCACCCCCCCTCTCTTCCGCCGGCAAGACGGATCCTCCGACGTCTGCCCCGAGGGCGACTACACCATGTGCCCGGACGGCTTCGGGTGCTGCGAGCGCGGCGCCCCCTGCACGACGATCCGGGGCGAGCCAGCGTGCGATACGGAGTGCAGCGGGCTGCCGTGCGGCGACTCCGGGCTTTGCTGCGATGGGACGTGTACGAGGTCACTTGGGAGCGCGATTTGTTTGGTGGGGGGGTTGGATTTTCCGACGCTTACGGCTACGGTTGATGAGGATGGGAGCTCTACGAGTGGGAGTGTGACGAGTACGGGGTCGAGCTTTGATGGGGATGAGGAGGATGAGACGACCACGACGATGGATAGTGAGACTGAGAGTGAGACTGAGACTGAGACTGAGACTGAAACAAGCACGAGCACAAGGAGCACAACCAGCACGGTGACGGAGAACGATGTCATCCCTGGGGAGACGGGGTCTGCTGATGATGAGGACGATACCTCCTCGGCGGCACCCACGCAGACACTCTTCAATGGTGGTGACGATGGGTCCGTGGATACGGGAAGTAACCCCGATGAGCCGGGTGCTGCTACCGGCCTCTCGGTCAGTTATGCCCTCACGGCGATGGTTGTTGGGTTGATTGGGGGAGCAGCTATACTGCTGTAGATGCTATGTAGGAGTGGCTGAAGGGCGATTGGCACGTTGATATAGGATTCCAGATGTGGCTCAGGGATAGCTTGGGTTGTACAGTAGTCCTGCTCTCGGTCTTGCATATATTAGTCTTAAATGACGAAACGATAATATGGTGCGGTTATATTTACTCGTCACACCGCTGAGCCTTCGGCCAAACCCAGGTTAGGGCTGGCCATATTTACGCCTGAGCCTTCAGGCCGCAATACGCTGGGTAGTCCTCTGATTGGCCGCCTTGACCAGGGAGTCTTGGCAACTGCCCCACTTCTCCCCTCCTCTTCCTCGCTATCCTCCGACCTTCAACCCCATCAACCTGGAATCCAAGGCTAAAACCATGGTCTCCCTCGACAAAATCAAACAGGCAAACTCAACCCTCAAGTCCTACGGACCCGGTCTAGTCGGAGTCTTCGGTACGCATCACCCCTCCCACCAACCCCGCTAACAATACACCCCAGTCGGCGGCACAAGCGGCATCGGCGAAGCGACCGCGCGCTCCTTCGTGCGCCATGCTGTCTCACCACGCATCTACCTGATCGGGCGGAACGAGGCCCAAGCATCAAAGATCATCGCGGACTTCAAGGCCCTGAATCCCGAAAGCACCACCACATTCCTAAAATGCGAGGTCTCCCTCCTCAAGAACGTCGATGAAGTCTGCACGGAGATCCAGAAGGAGGAGAAGGTGCACGTGCTGCTTTTCACGTCGGGGTCGATGCCGAGTAGGAAGCGGGATGGTACGTTCTCTTTCTATTTCCATTTGCATTTGCGTTTGCATATACTCCGTGTGAGCTCGTCCGCTATTGACGAGGTACGGTGTAGAATCGGCAGAAGGCCTCGACAAAACCCTCGCCCTGCACTACTACGCCCGCATGCGCTTCATCGCAAACCTCCTCCCGCAGCTAACCGCAGCCGCATCTCCAATCGAAGGGGAAGGAGAAAGACAAGGAGAAACTAAACCCGGCCTCGCATCCGCGATCTCCGTCCTCGAACCCGGCGGCGAGGGAGAGATGATACGCGACGACCTCTCGCTGAAAACACACTACAGCTTGTCCAACGCGCGCACGCACGCAATCACAATGACAAGACTGTCTCTCTCGCACCTCGCGACATCAAATCCGACCGTGTCCTTCACGCACTCCTTCCCCGGCGTCGTTAGGACGGGCATAATCCGGGACATGGGGCTTGCGGTTAGATTGGCGATCAGGGCGCTCTGGGTGCTTGCGAGGCCGTGGATGGTGACAGTTGCGGAGAGTGGAGAGAGGCATCTGTATGCTGCGGTGGGTTTGAAGAGCGACGGGGGCGCTGGGACTGCGGGTGAGAAGGCTCATCTTGTGGGCGCTGATAGTGAGCCGCGTGGGAATTGGGGGGTTTTGGAGAGGTATCAGGCGGAGGGGATGGGGGAGGTGGTGTGGGGGCATACGGAGGATGTGTTTAGGGAGGTTTGTGGGTAGCTTTGTTGATTTCTCGGACTTCATGGTAGGTTTGGTGGGAGTATGTCTTGTTGCCTGGATCGATTCTAAGGTGGATGGATAGCCCTAATTTGGTTGCTGTTTGTCAGCTGAAGGGCGTATTGCTTGGTATATTTGCTCATTATTTAAAAGAGTATGAAAATTACAGAATGCTTTGTCCTCTATATTGGATCCGGAATCACTTTAAAATTTTAACGCTTGTTTCCATCGCGAGTTGTATTGTCCTGCACTTGAAGCAAGTGACCCAAAAATATATTTTGACTCTCCGGGACTTGGGGACAGGACTCTTACCTTGAAACAGTGTACACAATGGAACCACTTAGGTTAGGTACACTATCATCCAACCGTACTTGACCATCTGCAGGATTATACTTACTTAGTACCTGACGCGGGGTAATAGGTCGTACCGAGAGCCGCGGCTACCCCTGCAGCACAACTCAGTGCAACCTCAACCTACCCAACCTCACCTCCACCATCGCTCTCCCAACCAACAAACATAACCAACATGCCGCCAACATACACCCACATCAAAGTTGAAATAACCGACCAGATCGGGATCATCAAAGTACACCCCCGCCCAGCCTACCTCCTACCCGCAACAATACTGACAACGTGACCATACAGCTCAACAGACCCCACGTCCTAAACGCCTGGAACGAGGCCATGCTCGGCGAGATGGTCGCCGCATTCCGCGACCTAGACGCCCACCCAGAGACCGTCTTCACGGTTCTAACCGGCGAAGGCCGGTTCTTCTCTGCGGGCGCTGATATCCGGGGTTCGTCCACCTGCACCCACATCCCCATTCCGCATCAATGGTGTAGCGGAGATCCAGATAGGTGTTGACAAGTCGGGGACGGGTTAGAAGGCCTCCCCAAACCATCAGAGTCCTCGTCCAACGCCGAGAAGAAACTCTTCTACATGCGCAAGTTCTCGCGCGGTACGCGCCCCTCCAACCCTTCCCGATCTCTCCCCATCTTCCACCCAAATACCCCACCCCACCCTACCCTACCCTATCCTCCCGCCTAACAGAGCCAAACCAGAAATGGAACTCATGCGCCTCCTAATAACACACCCCAAAATCCTCGTGCTAGCTCTAAACGGCCCGGCCGTGGGCGGCGGCGCCGCCTGGTTCACGGGTGTCGCGGACATCGTGCTCGGCGCGGCAGGCGCGTACCTATCCATCCCGTTCAGCAGATTGGGATTGGTGCCTGAGTTCGGGGCCGTCAGGACGTTTGCGGAGTGTATGGGCGTGCATCGCGCGAATGAGATGCTGATGTTTGGGAGGAGGTGTTCGGTTGAGGAGTTGGAGGGGTGGGGGGTTGTGAATCGGGTTTTCAGCAGTAAGGGAGAGGGGTTTCAGGATGAAGTGATGCGGTATCTTAGGAGCCAGCTGGAAGTTAATGACAGCGGGAGTTTGCTGGAGTGTAAGAGGTTGATGGCTGAGCCGTTGCGGGCGGGGAGGATGGCGGCGATGGTTGAGGCGGCGGATGCGCTGGCGGAGAGGTTTGTTAGTGGGGTGCCGGGGGAGAGGTTTGAGAGGAGGAATCGGGAGTTGGAGAGGGGTGGGTTTCTCTCTTGTTCTTCCTATTGTTGTTGTGGTTGCGGATTTCAAGAGTGTGCTGACTTTCCTCTTTAGCAAGCGCGATGCGCCGTGCGAAGGGGAAACTGTAGCTTTACGTAGGGCGAAGAATCAACCAGCCCCGAGGCTTACGATTGGAATGTGGAACAGGATTATGGTCTAATGGCGACTTCTGGGCGAGGTGTTGATGTTACTCGGATGAACCCAGTATGGACAGGGTCGAAGCCGAGGATTGCGCGGTGGGTAGAGATGCTGCGCAGAACGGATGCACTAATCTATATCTCTATAAATACGAAGTCTTCTGCTTGCTCAATTAACAGATAGGCTCTCTTCTACCACTACACTTAGGGTACAATCTCATCTGCGTTCCTCCTCCCGTTCTTCCCCCTCCACACTCGCAAGCCTCTCAACATCCTCAATAGCCCTCCGCAGAATCCTCCTCATATCCCCTATCGCCGCCGTAATCTCACCACCGCTATCAATCTCCTGCATCCTGCCCAGCCGCGCCATAATGGAACTAAGGGAGCCCGCACCGCCATCAACCTCGCCCGTCGTGATCGTATCATTCGGCTCAGTCCTCGTCGCAGGACTCCGTCCATCCCCGTCAGCCAAGGTCCCCGGATCTAAATCACCATGGCTGAGCTCGTGGTGATCGCCGACGAATCTAAAGACCCATCCCAGCTCCCGTTCCTCAACTAACTCCTTCCAATCCCCGTACGCATCAGCGTATGTAATAAGGCACGGTTCGGGCCGATAGTTTCTAGCGTCATACAGCGCCAGCCGTTCCGCATGCTGAACCGTCTCAACGCGGTAGACGAAGCCAGTAACAACAGAATCCGGATCCCCATCTGATTCGAACGCCGAGTCGTCGTTTTGCTTGTGCACGGACACTAAAGCCGGATACGCACCCCACATCCTGACCGCGTACCCTGTTATCCGTGCCGGACGGAGATGAGGGACGGTATCGAGTTTTAGGATCTCGGATAGCAGCGACGGTTCGGAGAGAGTGCCGTAGAAAAAGTACGGTCCTGTTGGGGCGGGGGTTGCGGAGGAGGATGCGGGTGTCGACTGCAGAAACGGCGTTGGAGCAGTCCGTCCGACGATTGGCGAGACTTTGGAATCGGGGGTCTCGGGTGGAGGAGGCGGAGGAGGCGGGGGACGGGGTGGTCGTGGTGGAGTTGGAGGAGGGGCTCTATCGTCTGACATGGTCGCGCGGAATCAATGGCCTCGTGAAGCAAGGGAAAGCCAAGGGCAACTTTCACAGTGACATGGAGGCGTGAAGATGATCTGGATCGAGCGCTATGGGGTTCTCTGGGTTGTGTTCGCGGAAGGCAGGAGCAGCCCTGGCCAAATGCACAAGGGGACAGCGGATAATGTAATCTGGATTACGGTATGTAACGATGCAGCTCTCAAGCTCCAGGGCTTCTACCGGAAAGAGCGCCTCTGGGCCCTGCCCGCAGGTGCACCTATTCAGTGCAGCGATAATGGGCTTCCACATGCAGAGACTGAAAGTGGAACGAACCCATTCCAGCTAACCAAGCTCTGCAGCGGTCCCCAATGACCAAGATCGATGCCGTACTCGAGGAATTCATTGCTCCAGAAACCCACAAGGACCGATGTCTAGTTTAACAGGAGAATATTATATTGGGCAAGATAAAGAAGAAGATTGCACATAATATGTTAGTGTTAACACAAATATAGCCTAAAGTATCTAACTAAGACTAAAGGCAAGCCCAGTGACACCTGACGGCTGGAGTTTGGCTACTTTTACAAAGCCAATAACTGGCGAGTCCCTGGCTCCAATCAATGCAAAAGATGAGCTGACACAGGCAGCATCTGCCCCCTCAAAAAGGTGCATTGGTTTCTGCTAATATAAACAAACAACCCGGTGATTTCTATATCAAAGATACCAAAGTCAGTAGGTCCAAGTTTTATGATGCCAGTGGTATGGTGCCCAGTTATATTATGCACCATTATATCGCCGAACATCTTGCACGAAAATTGGAGCTAATGGCAGCAACATTAGAAAGCTGTGGCTCCTTCATCTTTTCACTCTTTTACAGCTCCATTACCAAGGCCATTGTCAAGACACTCCTGCACGGCTCGCGCGCACGTCTGACCGCACATCATAGCTGCCGAGGCCTTCCTCGTCCTATGTTCGACTTACAAGCACATATTTTAGCATGTTCAACAAGATCTGCATCAAATACTGGAAGAGGAATATGAGGATATCGCGCGTCCTGCCGCTTTGCCCAACTGTCCGGACACGTTTTAGTTCCTATAGCTATCATCAATTATGCAGCCGGCGCCGCCAAACGCTTTCACGTACTAGAAAGCGGGGGTCAGAAACCTGTGGAAAGATCGAATTTACCCCTCCACTTGTATCCGGAGTATTCAAGTATACCCTTAGTTTCTTCTTTTCTGACGTGTCAATATAACGGAGCAGATTTGGATTCTTTATGACGCCCGTGCAAGACTCAGGGTTCTCAAAGTGGTTGTCGAAGCGGGCGCCGATGTCAACAGCCTGAATCGGGAGAGACGCCTTGAGCTTCTGACGCCCATGGGAAAACGTGGGAGTCCGAGTACGGACGAAAATAATATCGAGCAGTACCTAAACAGTATGGGGCAGTACTCCAAGAGCGCGGGCGAGAAAGAGGACACATAGATCAGGTTGGTGCTTCAGAGACGCTTCGTATATTTGGCGGCGTCAATTGACATGTCCTTGACTCATTAATCAAATGCCTTCTAGCCAAACTCACCCCTAACTTTAGGCAGCCTTCCAATTGCGACCAACTACTGTAATACATGCAACCGTCCGTCGTAGTAGAATCGGCCATCCATAATTGCCAGGTGCCTTTCTTGACGTACCTAGAAGAAGATGATGGCGGCACAAACTGGGAATCAAACAAGAATATATTCCGATTCCAATCTATGTACAGAACAAATATGCAATCTGAGTCTTAATTAATAACCGAACGCCATGCAAAATAACCTGATTGCAATCTTCGCCGGCTCGAAAAACATGCCAAACCAAACCAAACACCTGCTCAACACCAAGAAAAGAAACCATAAAAAATGCAAAATCTCAAGTTGCCCCATAAGAAAAACAGAATCCAAACAACGGACATTGGAATTAATACTTCCCAGCGGTCCCCATAACAGCCCTAACAACGCCCCAAACCGCCACAACACGCCCCCAAACACCCGCGCCCAGAATAACAAGCAGACTCCGTCTTGCAGCATAAGCACCAAGCTGAAGCCCGCTAGAGGTCCGCTCTTTGAGCATACTAAGGTCCGCCTCGGTCTCGGAAATCGTCTGCAGGGCTAGATCCGTAACAACCGGGTGGGTGTCTTCCTCCTGCTTGACGCGTCGGATGGAAAAGTACCCGCCCTGACTACTGTGGTGCTCAACCCAGGACCCTGCAAGATGGCCGGTCTTGATAGCATCCCGGACGATCCCTGAGCGTGTCAAGAGCATCCCCTGCACGCCGTCAACTTGAACAAGCGCGTTATGCCACGCCGTCGGGATCTGAAACTCGTAGAGCGTGTTGGTCAGTGGCCCCGACGATCCCTTGGAGGTATAGCTGGAGCTGGAGCTGGACGCGGAGTCGCACAGCGCGAGGAGGGACTGCGTGCTCGGCGCGGCGCGCACAGAGCCATGCGGGAAGAGCCGGATGCCGAATTTGGGGCCCGCGTTTGTGTGTCTGTACCCTGTTAGTCCTTCCAAACAAGAAAGGAAAGGCGGATGCGGAAGGAAGGGAGGGCAAGGGTGGGGAGGGAGGCGTACGCATGGATGCTAAGCCGGATATGATGCGGGAAAAGCAATTCGACGAGGTTGGAGTAGGCGTGGTTTCTCTGCCGGGAAGCCAAGTTAGCACACCCTTCTCAGTCCACAGAAACACCTGGACAAAGGAAAGGAAAGGAAAGGAAAGGAAAGGAAAGGGCGGACATACAGCAATCATCTCCTCCGCAACCTTACTCGCAAGCCTCTTCCGCGCCTTTCCGCCCAGCATCCGTGCATCCATATACGCGCCCAGATCCTCGAGCATGAAGCGCGATTGTCCCTGATACAGGGCGAGTGTATCGGCGTGTTTAGCGTCGATCAGACCCCTCAAATGGCCGCGGTCGATACCGCCAATTCGCTCGAGGAGAAGCCGGCATTTCTGCGCGCTCTCTGTGACGACCGTTTCGATGGGCTGCGGGATCGAGACCTCGGATAGCATGTCCGTGGTGAATGAGGATGTTGATTCAGGCGACGAGAAGAAGAGGTCCTCCAGCCCCGTGAACTGGATGTGTTTCTTCTCGCGCTGGGTGGGTGATAGGCCGGACATGTAGGTGTTTGCTAGGATTTCGCCGTAGGAGTCGACGAGGGCGTCGTCTACGCCGACTATGGTACGCGTTAGCATCTCCGCTCTGCAAAGAGGTGAAATGGGTGAATGGGAAAGGGAGACATACTGTTATCCGAAAACACGTGCCCATCACTAACGATCCACAGCGTCGCGCCGGGGTGGTAAATCTCGCAGACCCTCTCGATGAACCCGCTTAAATGAGACAGGGCGAGGTACTCCGCTGCATCGGGGACCACGCCGGCCACTTTCTCTGGGTTTGACGATTTGCAGGGGAATGCGGGGAGACAGAATTCGATGCGCGCGTTGTCTTTGATGAAGGTGTGGACTCGGGCCTGGAAGTATTGCCTGCCTGTGACGTGCCAGAGGTCGTGGTGGGATGTGTTCTTGAGGGTTTCTTCGAAGAGGGTTGTTATTCTTTCGGCGACGGCAATTTGGACGGAGGTTGGTGCGGAGGTCGGGGATGTGGTGAGGTGGCGGGTGTTTAGCAGGAGGAAGGTCTTTGCCCAGGTCAAGAAGGTCGTGTCTGTGTTTGACTCTGACTCGAGTGGGAATGTGACAAGGCCGCGGATGACGGGGGTGGTAGGGTCGTAGAGTTCGTGGATATGCAGAGTGGGTTGCTTGTGCTGGGGGGTTAAGGGGCTGGACGGGGTTATGTCGGTGGTGGTTATCGTCTTGCCCGAGGCCAGTTCAGTCATTTCCGACGCCTCTGTGTTGAAGAAGAGCTGGTATAACTCTGTCCATTGAGACTGGATGTTTGTAGCGTATCGGCCGTCGACGACGAGCAGTGTGCCGGTGCTGTCGCGCTGGTAGGACGCGGCGACGCGGTGGTAGACAGATGTTCCGTGGTTGATGGACATATTGATGCGAGGGTATGAAGATGCGCTAGAAGAAACTAGAAGTGATGCTGTTTGGATAATAAAGTAAAGAAAGCTTTGTTTGATGCTGATGTGTCGAGAATGATCTTCTTTCGACCCCAACCACCCGTCTTTATACCCTGTGTCACCCCGACTCCGAGGGATGAGGTACCCCTGTCTCGAGTCAGTAACAAGGTAAATCAAAATAGCTGAGGATTCACTGCCTCTGCTAGCTGGCTGCATCAGTCTACACGCCTTGTCCATTCAGACTCCCCGACCAAGGTCGACCTCGATGTCCCACAGAACCAGGCTGTACAACCTCACCCAGCCAGAGCCGCGATAACACCAACAAACTCGTCGAAATAGCGCACTGGTGATTCGCTCGGTAGTTATTTTTGCTTACGGCGCCCAGACGCGGCAGTGGCACATCAGATCATCAGCCATGCCGCGCAGGGACTGCGCAGGTGGGTATTCCTTCAAGCCGCACGGGAATTGGGCAGCCCGCTTGAGAAAGGCCGGCTTGGCGTCAGGCGTGAAATGCTGTGTTACTATTTGCATGTCGGAGCTGGGAAGGTCACACGTGGAGGGGCACAGTTAGCCCTAATTTTGGACCTGCCAAGAGATCCGATCTGACGCCAAGCCTCAGCCATGCTGTGCCACTTAGGCACGCTCAGCCTCTCTATTCTTGTCATGTCAAGGGTTATGTTCATATCTCCCCATCCCTCTCAGCAACACCAGTCTACCCGATCATCCTCAACCCACCACCATACCGACACAATGCTTCTTACCCTCGCAATCTTCTCCCTCGCCATCATTGGCATCGTCGTCACCTTCCTAACATACCTCTTCACCCCACCCCCGTCCTTCCCAACCTCCCTCCCGACAATCCCATTCTACTACACGCTCCTCCCCCTGCTCAACCAAACCCTCAAGTGCCCTCCAACCTCCCAAGTGACATTATACCAACAATACCTCTCCACCCCCCTGAAAACCCACGGCGCCGTCAAGCTCTTCTTCGGCGGCCGCTGGAACATCCTCATCACGAAACCGTCGTACATCGCCGAAGTCTTCAAGAACGAGGGCCTCTATGCAAAGTCCGGCAACCAGAAGAAGATCCCGCATGGCGTGCTGGCGCAGTATACGGGGGATAATATCATCTCCTCGCATGGGCGAAATTGGAAGCTTTACACGGGTGTCTTTAAGCCTGGCTTGCAGAGGGACTATGACCCGTCTGGCGTGTGGGCGAATGCCGAGAAGTTGGTGCAGTTGGTGAAGGCCGAGATGAAGGGGCGAGGCTGGGTGGACGTCAACCCGCTGATGCAGCGGTATGCGCTTGCGAATCTGAGTGAGGTTTTGCTGGGGAGTGCGTTTGGGGTACGTATCATGCCCTTCTATCCGACAGGAACCGTACTGATGAGAGGAACAGACGATGGAAAAAGCAAACGCGCCCCTGCACGCCTTCCAGCTCCTCATCAAGCCCAAGATCTTCGACCCCATCTTCCTCAACTTCCCGGTCCTCGACTACCTCCCGCTTCCGACGCGGCAGGACGCACGGAAGCTCGTCTCGAACTTTACAGACGAACTCGTCGACACAGTCCGCAGGGGTCATGAAGAATGTGACCACGAGAAAGAAACCAAGAACCTCGGTTGCCGGCTCCTCCACGCTTACGAAAGCGGCCTGTTCACCGAGACACAGCTGCGGCACAACATGATCAGTGCGTTTCTGGCGGGCCACGAGAACCCGCAGCTCCTGCTTATCTCGGCTTTATTCCTGCTGGCTGATCATCCTGTACGCACTCTTCCCTGCCTGCCACCCAGCAAAAGCTGGGCGCTAACTGCATGTAGGAAATACAGCAAGCCCTCCGCACCGAACTCTCCACCCTCGACTCCAACTCCGACTCGTCAGAGAAACCGTCCTACAACGCCCTTTCCTCCCTCCCCCTCCTCACAAGCACAATCTACGAAGTCCTCCGCCTCTACCCCCCAATCTCGCAACTGATCAACCGCCGCACCACAGCCCCAGCCTTGCTCGGCGGAGAAATCCCCATCCCGACAGGAACATACGTCGGCTACAACGCATACGCGACAAACCGCGACGTGCAATTCTGGGGTCCCGACGCAGAGGAATTCAGACCATCCCGCTGGGGAAAGAGTCTGGACGAGATCAATGCGTGTTTTCGGAGGGCGAATGCCAAGGGCGCGTTTATCAGTTTCCATGGGGGGAGGCGCGCTTGTCTTGGGCAGAGGTTTGCGTTGCTCGAGGGGAGGGTTACGCTTGCGAGGCTTCTGAGGGTGTTTAGGTGGGATGTTGAGCCGGGGTGGGAGCGGGGGATGACGCCTGCGGGGCCATTGTATGCGCGGAATCTGAGGTTGAGGTTTTTTTGAGGTGGAGAGTGAAGACCAGGGGGTTCTGGGTTTGTGATTTGTGTCACAGTCAAACAATCTTGGTTTGTTTCCTCGGTGTTTAGCCTTGATCTATTACACGGGTAATATAGTCCGGTTTTATAACAGATAATAAACCAACTACCATTTTTTGGAGCCTCAAATACCATACCTATCGTGATCATCCTATCCTAACGTACCCATCAGAGCCCGAACAGCAGCCCACGCACTGTAAGCAGAAGCCTAAAGCGCCATAATCTGCGGAGATTATCCTCCGAGCTACCTGGACATTGTACCCCGAGATCCAGAAAGTAAGACCTACGAATCGGCCCAACCCGCCAATCCCACAATTCACCGTGCCATGCCGTGTAACAATAAAAGCCAAGGCGCGCCAAATCACCATCAATTCTGACCTTAGGTTATAGTAGAAGCTATGGAGCTCAATATCGGTGGCCGAGCTCTAGTTCTCGCCACCAAGGGTCTGATAGACTAATATCTTTCTGGCCGGCGGGTGGAGGCGGAGGCGGAGGTGCCACGTTCAAGTTGAGGCCGCCCGCATTAGGGCTGAGCTCGGATCGCAGGATTAGGGCTTAGAATGCAGAATTAGGGCTTACCAAGTGTCCACTCTTTCACGAAGCGGCGCGGAAACGGGGAAAGCGCCAAGAGGCCGGCGCTCAGCTATGGCTATTTCTGGCCTCCGAGTCTAGATTCAACTGCCGATGTGGTGGAATGCAGGTCAAGACGTGTCTAGGGCTTGGGGCTGTAGGGTACGGGGTAGGTAAGCCCTAACTCGTGCCTGGTCGGGTGGCAGTGGGCTTGGGTCTTGGCAGTGACATGGCTGGTTATTTTGATTGTGGCACTGTGCTTATTTTGCTGCTCACTTGCCAAGAGGATCCTCCGGCTGTGTAACCCGATAATAGATCGGTTGGTATTCTTAGACGCGTGCATTTGAGCTGGTAAATGTAGGCATGCACAGCTCAGCCTCCTGCTTGTACCCCCACCCCATCTCAATGAACCATCTTGGCATTATAATCACACCTACATCCGAGGTCTTCTTCTATCCAAATCCTAAACAACCTCCTTACGTTCCATTCCAATCTCCTCCATCTAAACTCACTCACCATGGACTCCCCCAAATCTCCCACTGGCGCCCCCCTCCTCCCAGACCGCGCACCCCCCTACTCCGCCTTCACCGAGGGCAAGAAACGCCTCTACCTTTCCATCGTCACAGCAGCCGGCTTCTTCGGACCCCTCTGCGGCGCCGTCTACCTCCCCTCACTGAACCTCTACGAAGACGTCTTCAATGCATCCGGCACAACCATCAACGCCACAGTCTCAGTGTACATGGCCGTTTTTGCAGTTGCAGTGCGTCCTCCTCCAAAATCCTCATCTGATCATCCGTAAAAAGCGCAGATGTACTAACAAAAGCGCCAGCCCCTCCTCGGCGCCGCCCTCTCCGACCTCGGCGGCCGCAAAACAATCTACATCACAACCCTCGCCTCCTTCCTCCTCGCAAACATCCTCCTCGCCTCCCTCCCCGCAAACATAACCGCCCTCTTCATCCTGCGCATCTTCCAGGCCTTCGGCGCCTGCATCGTCACCTCCATCGGCGCCGGCACAATAACAGACATCTTCGAGCCCGCGCGGCGCGGCACAGCCCTCGCAATATTCCTACTGGGTCCACAGCTCGGTCCCGTCCTCGGCCCATTGATAGGCGGGCAATTCGCGACGCACACGAAATGGCGCTGGGCGTTTGGGTTCCTCGCGCTCTCTTGCTTCCCCGTGTACCTGGCCATTCTATTCGTTCTCCCCGAGACGCTGCGGTGTCTGGTGGGGAACGGGGAAGTCGTGTCTGCACGGCCGCTCTTCACGATGCCTCAGCTGCGTCAGAAATGTCTCGTGGACCAGGGCAAGTATCCGCGGCCGCCGAAGCCGAGTCTGCGGAACTGGATTGCCCTGCTTATCCAGCCGACGCAGGCTATTGTCTTCCTGAACGGCGCGCTCTCCTTCGCGGGGCTGTACCTCATGTACGTCTCTTTCCCGGATGTCTGGGGGCAACGGTACGGGTTTAGTACGGCGGAGGTGGGGTATGCTTATTTGAGTCCGGGTGCGTTTTCCCATTCCTTCTCTTTTATGTTGGGCTAGACTGATGGGTGGCGTAGGAATCGCCCTCTTCATCGCCTCCCTCCTCACAGGGCGGTTTTCAGACTGGCACCGCGCAAAACTGCGCGCTCAAACCCCCAACGCAAAAATCAAGCCCGAGACGCGCCTGCCGATTCAGATCGTCGGATTTGTGGTCTCGGCGGCCGGCAAGGTTCTCTTTGGGTGGTTTACGCAGCTGGAACTCCATCCGGTCTCGGGGCTTTTTGCGGCGGCATTGGGTATGTTTCATTTTTCCTTTTTCCTTCCAAACTCAAATGGAGCTCGATATGTTGAGTGTTGGACTAACGGGTGTGTATAGCTGGCATCGGCACAGCAATAATCTTCGTCACGAGCACGTCCTTCCAAACGGAATGCGCGCCCGCGCAATCGGCGACCATCGTTGCGCTGGCTGGGTTGCTGCGGAACATTGCGGCGGCGATTTCGGCGGTTCTTGTCGACGCGCTGGTGAGGGGGATGGGGTACGGGTGGTGTTTCACGGGGCTGGGGATTCTCGATGGTGTTTGTGCGCTGGGGATTCTTTATATTATGTGGAAGGGGTGGAGAGGTGGGAAAGGGGAGATGAAGGGGGGTGAGGCGGGTTGGTTCCGGATTAATTCTTGGAGGAGTTCGTAGGCTTGAGTGGAGTTTCGGTGGACACTACTACAGATATACTGGGTGTGTGGATATAGAAGGCATGATTGAATGAATAGATACACCTTGTTATCCATGTCTCCTATCTTTACAGTGCGCCCAATGGAATTCGAATCTAAGAGCTCTTACCAGTTCGTTCTCGGCATCATCAGCAGGGCTGTAAGATTGAACAACCTCCACTGGTTAGGATAATGCAGCTCAAGCCCTCGTACGGAGATCCTTAATATCCATATAGAATGCGAAGGATCCGCCGGACTCAGCTGAGCCAGCTCAGTAAGCTTAGGCCACTTACTGCCTACCCTGCCATCCATAGTAGACAATGTTATTGCACAGCCCCCTACCATTATTTATCACGGACCTACATGCTATATAGTCAGCGTGTCCTCATGAGAAAGCTTCCTGTCAGATTTCCAAGCCAAAATTGTTTCCCGCTCTCTTTTCCCGCTTCCTCTCAACGCTGCTCCTTTCAAATCGCAACAATTATATACCGTACGCAATCTCCCACAATGACCCCATCAACAACAGCCCAAACTCCATCGCCAGTCCACCTCTTCGACCTCGCACCGGACCCATGGTCCGCAAATGTCCTTAAGACCCGCCTAATCCTAAACCACAAATCAATCCCCTACACCGAGTCCCGGATTTCCTACCCGGACATCACGCCTGTCCTGCAGTCCCTAGGCATCGCACCGCACCCGCCTGCGTCAAAGCAGCCAGCACCATACACACTCCCCGCAATTCTGCACAATGGGCTCAGAAGCGACGAGAATACCCACGGGGCGCTGATGGACTCGCTCCCCATCGCCGTATATCTTGACAAGGCATTCCCCGCCGAACATGGACGGGGGATCTTCCCGCGCGGCGAAGAGAGTATCCGACAAGCCGTCAAGGTCAATAAAGGTCTAGGCGGCGTTGTTCGCGCGGGGATCTGCCTCATCGCGCCGAATATGCCGTCTATTCTTGACTCGCGCGGGGCGGAGTACTTTAGGCGAACTCGCGAGGCGAGATTCGGAAAGCCGCTGGAGCAGCTGCGGCCGGCGGCGGAGGAGGGTGTGCAAGGCGTCTTGAAGAATGTTGAAGCTGAAATGGCGGGAGTTGTGGAGATGCTGAGGGTTGATGGCGGGGGACCGTTCTTTGAGGGTGAGATGGTTAGCTATGCGGATTTCGTGCTTGTTGCGTTTCTGGAGTGGTTTTGGAAGGTCAATCTCAGCGTGTTTGAGGCTGTTCCTGGGGTTGGGGATGGAGAGGTTAGAGCAGTTTGGGATGCTTGCCGGTGTTGGCTTCGTCAGAGGGGTGTTGAGAGGGAGTGGAAGGTTGAGGGGGATGAAAGCTGAGAGACTGGGCATCTGTGTTGTGCAATACCGTGTCTCTAGTCGTGCGTAATATGTCCAGGGGTGCTACTTATACTTTAGTTAGTAATGTTGTATGTCCTTGTAGGTCCTTGGACAAATCACTCCCACTTAACTGGTATCTTTTTTAGACCAAATGCAGCACTTGGCCTAAACCAGAAAGAGAAGGGTATACCTACCTAAATGCCACAGCCCACACCAACCGGCCTATGCACCCCTTGTGGCCCGATACCGCGAGAGCCATGGGATAAAGGCGCGAAGAAGAAAGCCGGTGGACGAGGTGTCGATTCGCGAAGTTCATACCCCCAGATTCCAGTGCTAGTTAAAACTGCCAAAGAGATTCTCAAAGAGCCGGTCGCTTATACTACTGGTAGAGAGATTATGATCTAATCTTGGAACCCTTGGAAGAGCGAATCTCGCGTCGAGCCATCGGATCGTCCCCATACCGAAGGGGTTCGCGAGAAACCTTGCTGGGCGCCTTGACCTTACTGCCTAATGCCAATTGGGCTGATGTACCAGTACGGTGATACAAAGACAGCGGGCGCCTGAACTTCAGTGGCCAATGCAGGTGCCAAAGGTGTGCATACCCTGCGCACATTTGCCCATGTCTGGCGAACTAGTAAGGCTCTGAATCCGCCGCGTTCCTGGTATCAGCGAATTACGTCGAGTCGATGGAAGGTTAGATAAGATGACGCAGCAAAAAGCTCAATTTTTAGAGTTGCAAATTGGCGCCTTGCGTATCCTGATACCCCAGCTGTTCTTTGACAGTCGTTACCTCTCTTACTGTAAAGCCCAGATGGCAAGATCAAATCCGAGCTGGCTTTTTGCTTCCTAACATTTCGCCTTCTAGAATCTTGTTGTCTAAGGATCATCAAGGTCCAGCCCTCGAATTATCCCTCACTCAGGGACAGCTCAACTGCTTGCCATGTTACCGAGATCTACCATAGCCTTGGTAGCGCTGTTCGTCGTATGCTCTGTAGGAGTTTGGGTGGTTCTGAGGGAAAACGCCAGCATTCGCCGTTGGTGGTTTGGCACACAGGTATAGTAGCCTTCGTGATTTTCAGCGCCTATTTACATTGTACTACCCTGTCTCAATGAGATAAACATACATCAAAGATTGTATGGACTTAAGGGTGGCTTCGGCACCATGTGTCTTTGTAAAGGAGCAGGTTTTATACCTCAAGGCGGCGTAGTCCTCTAGCTACATATAAAGACCTCTTAAGAGAAAGTCTGATCGACTGTGGCGAATGCCCTATCAACGAAGACCTTCTCCTGTGGTACCGTACGCACCTTTAAACCAAGGCTGTAAGACCTCCAATGTCAATTCTTCAATGGAGATTGTGTTCCATGCCGGAGCAAGCCCTAACCTACCACCAGATAGTGGTTGGATCCCATTATCAATACATTCATAAAGTAAGGTTATTGAAGTGAATAACCCATGAGGTGACCACCCAGTGCCCGAATATTCTGTCACCCGAACTACCGTACCAAGGTACTCTACTCCATCATGTCCACCCTGGGGCAGTAATCAAGTAAGCAATCCTACCAGCCCTAAGCTATACAGACCAAAGGTTCTGCTACCTCGCAGTCTTCCAAGCAAACGCCTCAAAAGAACCCTGCACGCCCTCCCGCACCCTCAATTCAATACGCAACAGACACTCAATCCTACACGACCACAGCACCCTCGCATTGGAAGACCCCTCTACGCCTCGACACCCCCAGTAGCACTAGCGCATACAATCCACAACAGAAATCAAGTCAACAGCTACAGAATTCACAGTCACACCCACGACCCAAACGCAACCTACAGATCTCGCATTAAACTCTCCCAACGAGACCAAGACTGAGACCGAGACCGAGACCGACACCGCGGCCGGAAATGGCAATGGCGTGACTAGTCCTAGGCTTCACCACCAGAACCAGAGCCCCATATCTCGTCAGCGAGCGTGTACCGGCGGGCGTCTTTCTTTATTTACCATTTGACGAAGTGGACTGGACAATTCCCATGGTTCCAGAGCCGGGCCGGGCTTAGCCGCTTCCGCTCCTCGCATGCAGGTGGATTCGAAGAGGGCGTTACGCGAGACGGGGATCTCGGCACTTGCGTACGCCGCGCGGTAGCTGGAGGAGGTTGGAATGGAATGGGATGGGAGGGATGGAATTGGCGTACATGGTATGGTATGGGTGCCTTGCATTTACGTTGGGAAGCTGGTGAGGGCCCGGTCGAGCACGGGGCGCGATTGGCGAGGACTTCGGCCTCGGCCTCGAGGGGGGGAGATTAGAGGGGGTCAAAGTCGAGATGAGGCGAAGGGAAGGGAAGGGAAGGTGCGCTGAAGGGAAGGAATATGATGAATTGGTGGCTGGGAATGGACTAGCTGCTATAGACTATCAAGATAACTTTGGAAACAATAGTCAAAACAAAACAAGAGACGGGAAAGATACTGGTACATCCATTGGTACAGTACAAGACTCCATGTCCATAAGACACGACGGTACGGTACGGTACGGTAGCATACGGTACCTCCCTAAAAGACGGGGATCTTGAAAGCCGGAAAATCATACGTCCAGCTCTGCACCGACTTCTCATCCCGCACACAGCTAAACGTATCGCTGCCATTCTGCCACAGAGGCCGGGTCGGCCACTGGCACAGCATCTGCGTCTCGCCCGCATAGTCGCCCGAGGACACGGTCGCGTTGAGGCGGGACGGCTTGGTCCCGTTCTCCACCCACTCGATCATGGTCTCCATGTTGTTCTGCGGGTATGGGCCTGGCTGCAGGGTGTTTGTGCCGCAGTGCGCTGCTCCGGGAATGAGGTAGAACTGATAGAAGTCGCTCATGTCTGCGTCGCTTTCGTCGGGGTACATGATTGCGCGGACGGACTGCCAGTAGTGGACGGAGGAGGCGGCGGGGACGGAGGGGTCGGATTCGCCGTGGTAGTGCAGGAGCTTGCCGCCGCTTTGCTTGAAGGCGGTCAGGTCGGGGTGGGTTGTTTGCAGCGTGTCGTAGTAGCGGACCATGGCTGTGTCCATCCAGCCGACGACGGTGTCGTAGGTCACGCCGTCGAGGGTGTCGAGGTTGTCGAGGTCGAGGAGCTGCACGAACTTGCGCACGTACTCGCCGCCCATGGATGTGATGTCCAGCTCCCACTTGCCGGTGGTGGAGTTGTAGGTTGAGGATGCGTCGGAGAGCTCGGAGGCGATTTGCCAGGAGAGGTAGGCGCGCTCGCCTTGGGTGGTGTGCAGGCCGTTGTAGATGGCTTGGGCGACGGCGACGCCTTGCGCGGAGACGGTGCCGTTTTGGGCCGGCTGGTAGGAGGTTTCGCTGCCGGCGGCCTGGCGCTTGTGCTTGTGGTCGTTGCGCTTGCTGAAGCCGAAGCCGAGGGAGGTGGAGGTTTGCGCGGCGCAGGAGTAGGGGGTGCCGATGATGGAGGTCAGGTTGAAGTTCAGCTTGCAGAGGTCGGTGCGCGAGACGACGCCGTCGGTGCGGCCGTCGAGGGGGTCGCAGGCGGCGATGGTGGCGTTGACGATTTTGGCCAGCTCACAGGGAGGAGGGTAGTAGTCGAGGGTGTGCTCGACGACGGAGGAGAAGATGTGCTGCAGAAGTAAAATAACCTGTTAGTAAAGGTTGCAACAGCATTTACCCTGGATTACAAACCAGCACTTGTTGTTGAGCATATCTGAAAGCAGGAGCACCGGTAATAACACCGTCGTACTCCTCACCCCAGCGCTGGACCTGGCTCATACCCTCACGGCCTCCATCAGAGCAGCCCTCGTAGTAGGTGTAGACCTTGTCATCGGAGGCAAGACCATAGAAGCCCTTGGACAGCTCCTTCCCAATAAGAGTCATCTCACCAAGAGCCTGGTAACCAAACATGTGAGTGGCATCCCAGTTAACACTGCCATTTCCCTGCAAAACAACCGAGTCGTAGTCGTTGTTGAACGCATCATAGCCAGCATCCGTTGCGCCCGAAACAGCGCCGTATTCGAGGCCTCCAGTGGCGTCACTGTTGAGCGAGTATCCACCGCCGCCGGCGACGTAGAAGCGGTTCTTGAAGTCGGAGGGGCTGGGGAAGGCGTACTTGATGACGACGGTGTCGTCCTTGCCGGGGTGGGTGTACGAGACGGTCACGTTGCAGTAGTTGTATGAGGACGAGGAGCCGCCCATGCCCATGCCGCCCGAGCTGGAGGATGAGGAGCTGGAGCTGGCGTTGTAGACGCTTGCGGTGACGGCCGAGGGAAGCATGTTGATGCCGAGGAGGGTGCCATCGCTGGGCAGGATGTTCTTGACGTGGGAGACGGTGCAGACGTCGGAGAGAGAGGCGGCGGAGGCCGTGGTGGCCAGCGCGAAGAGAGCGTTGCGCGGTTGGCGCATGATGATGGTAAAGAGTGTGGATGAAAGAGTAAAGGAGAGTGGTTTCTGGCAGGTAGATGATCTGCGGCGGTCTATATAAGCTGTCGAACCATGGCCGATAACAGGAACAATGCAGTAGGTGGGTCAGGCAGGCGCCCAAAGTCCAAACAAAGTCATCTCCAGACGTCGTCACGCATTGCGCGGCACGGGGAAGTGGCTGAGGCTTCAAACGGTAGCCTGGAAGTTGGACTGAACCTTGGAAGGTGAGGTCTTGTGCAGGCGAGTGGGTACGTGGATCCCTGACGGATTCAGCAACCAATGCCTAAGCCCGAGACCGAGGAATCTCCTGCCAAGAATGCTCATCATTTCGGAGACTTCGGAGATTGATAACCTTTTAGTCGGTGGGCCATGGCCTGTTCGTCGCGGTCGCTGGAATCGTGACGTGATCAGGGACTCCGTATCAGCCCTACTGTACCTATACGAAGCATAGGCATGAGACATTGGGGACCTGCAGATCTGGACCTCAGCAGCTTTTGATGCAGGATAAGATGCTTACCCCTGGACAAGCTCATCGTGAAGCTTGAAATTGGTCCAACGGCGATCTGCACCGACTTTCCTTGCAGAGAAGTGGAGTGTGGGTGTTTGTGGGAGTGTGGGAGTGTGGGTTTGGGAATTGTGGGAGCTGTGGGAGATCGGTCTTTTCGCAGCCAAGATGAAGGAACATCGTGCTCTGCTCATTACACGAGGCTAGGTGTTTGGTTCGCATCCGAGTGACGTGTTTGCCCCGGAAATGTGTCAAGTTAAGCACGAGGTGTGTCATTGTGTCGAAGTTGAACAAGGCCTTTGGCTGTTTTCCGCAGACAACGACCACCGATGCCGATGATCAGGATCTGGTGAGAAAAGGACGCAGAAGTAATCCAGCAGCACCGTCGTTGCTGTGCATGGATACGACAGGCAACAAGCAAGGAAGAAGCACCGAGTGACGGGACATGGAACGTGGTCTATCCCCGTCTACATCACTACCATAGACTGTCTGGCAGCTCAACCTGCGCCCACTCGCCAAAGCCATACGCCCCAGGCACAGTTTCACCATCGAACAAACTAGCCAGAACAACGCGATCCCCCTGCTCCCCTCCCCACGGCTCCCGCCCATGCTGCGCAACGACATTGTCGTAAACCAGCACGTCGCCCTCCCGCCATCGATGTAGCACGCGGATCTCGTCCGTGATGCGCGCCAGCGCCGCCAGGTCCTCCTCCGGAATCGGCGTGCCGTCGCCAAACGCCCGATGCGCGACGTTCTTGCCCGGGCGCCCGGCGCGACTTCCCTTCTTGGCTTCGATCGCGTTCCTGTGGTACGCCGCTAGCCCTGAAGGGCGTGGGAAGCGGGAAGGTTCGTTCCGGGTTGCGTGCGGATGGCACCCTAGGGAGATGGTGTGTCAGGACGAGCTGGAGTCGTTCCCTGTCGTCGTCTGTCCACTCGGACGTTGTATGCCGTCCGCGGCCATACCGGGCTATCTGCGCCTCGACCTTCCGTCTCTTTGTCTCGTCGTCGTCTGTGTCCGCGAACTCCTTCCGAACGCCTGTCTCATCGTCGACCCGCCCACGAACTGCCGCTCGACCGTATACATGACCTGGCTCATGATGCCCTCTCCGCCAGCAGGTCAATGAAGTCGGCATCTCAGCCCTCGCACGACGGAAGAGCTCTAGACTCGACGGAATCGTTGTCTCCCCTCCCGTCGCTGGTGCCCTGTGCAGTAGAAGAAGATATACTCCGGCGCGTGCGGGACGCGGGGATTCGTTGTGGTTATAGATCCTCGCCTCTTTCAACGCTTCGTTTGCGGGGGCCATGTTGGGTGCTAGCACAGGCCGATCGAAGACGATGCCGATGATCTCATGCGGCGTGTATCCGAAGGCGTGGGCAATGCACTGAAGTCTTCGGCGGAGTGGATGGGGAGGCCGCGGGAAAGGAGCGTGCCGTGCTTTGCGAGGAGCGACGTCAGGATTTTGGTGCGCTGGAGCGCCTTTATTGTTGCGATGGTGGATTCCAATGTGGGTTTGGCATCGCCGGACGGTTTGAGAGCAAGTGGTGACACGGTGCTTGGGGGGTGAGGGGGTCCGAGGATGCGCTGGTTCGTTGGTGGAAGAACGAACGGCTCGAGGGTGAGGTCTCTCAGATTCAGAGATCCAATACTCAGTTGCTCCATGGTTGTCATCTTTGCACATTGGTGCTGGTTTGAATCCATTGCGATGGGAAGGGCTGATAAGGGCTTCAGATTGCTCATCTTCCCCGCACATCACGACTTCGTACGCCCCGATCGACATGTTGGAATATTCGCCGATAGGCCATTATAGCAGTGCACATGGAGTCATTGAATTGGTCACTCGCCGGCAATAAGGCTATCATCCTTCTGGTGTTATGCAAGCCACAGGCGTAGTCCATTATCAGGTCCGATCGAGAACCCTACCGCGGCATCTATGCTTTCACTGTCCGCACGTTAAGCGAGAGCATTATCCAATATCCAGATTGAAGTGTGCAGGAACAGCAATTGACATGTTGACATGCCTGTTGACAATACCAAAAGGGCTCTTGGACTCATGCCCCCCCTCGCTCTCCAACACATTCAATCCCTCATCCCCAGAATGGCCTTGATCGAACCTCCTGCTTCGCAGCACACTCTCCCAAATCCTCGTCGTCGGCCTTGTGCCTTCTGCGCACCAGAATTTGGTCAGCGATGAATGGCCTCGGCGTCGGCTCCCAGTCACCAAGTCTCGTCAACACAACAAAAGCTCTCCTCTACGCCTTCATGACTCTGACTTGCTTTCTGCTTTCAGGTAATCCAGAAAGTCATCAGAAACGATGGGACAGATCTCAACGACCAGTGACACATCCACTGCAACAGAGCTGAAGGCAACCTTATGTGGGAAAGAGGGAAAAGCAGACCGATCGTTCTTCACTCGGCGGTTCTGGTATTTGCATGGGTCCAAGCATACCTTGCAGCATACTTCACCGTCCGCTCGCGCGCACTGGGAAGCTTTCTCTCTGCCATTGTTGGCAGGCTTGCACGCTTGCAACGTGGCTCGGCGGCTCAATTGTTAATACCCTGTGGACACCGAACCGCAAACACCGCGCCCTCGCCACTTGATGCTCGTCGCTGCCCTTGGTAGTGTAACGTGTTTAGGCCGCAGTCATCAATACGAGTATCATCGCACCAACCCCGTCGTCGAGGTGATCAACGCACTTTACCCGTGGGTTCGGGATCAACCGTTTCGGGCGCTGGAGTGTCGGATAGTCGAGAACTGCATAAATTGGTGTATTGGAAACCCTGCCAATTAGCTATAGGAAGTATGTAAAGGCCGCCTGCAGGTGGGAGGCTCCCCGTCCCGAGGTCGGAACCGGATCTGGCGGGAACCAGGACATCAATGACCACAGACACAGCGTGAGCCGGGTCCGCACGCTCAATCAATTAGAGCAGCAGAACCGTGTCTCCCATTTGCAATCCATCGTCCCCAAGTCCTCCTAGATGTCGATGGTGCAGGCTGTATGTACTTCAGACGCTCACCATGTAAATGTAACATTTCATATGCCTGTAGTAGATAGTACTAAAAAACACACTAAGTTTAATACTAGTCTTGGACTTCGGGACTCGGGGACGGCGTAGCGTCTGGCTTTTGACTCAGGTCTGCTCTATCTACTAGGGGTGCTGACATGGTGCAAAGTACACGTCCCCGACAGAGAGAATGAGCAAGTGGAATGCACGACACGCGAGACTTGGCGAGGCGACGACAGCAAGAGATGCAGGTGGACATGGTCAATGACGAGACGTTGAGATGAGACGGGGGGGTGGAAAAGGATCCCGAGGTCGAGGAGGCACTGCAGGCAGTCTCCGGGGGAGAGGTCCAAGTGCTCCTTTCTCTCTCTAGTACATCTGATAATTGATTACGCAGTAGTCCTAACTCATTATACCAGATCATGGGATGCTGGGGTGAAGAAGAGCCTTAGTTACTATACGATATGGTCCAACATGATGTATCTCATTATGTATCTGCACTGCCACTGCCAAGAACATCAATCCATTGTGAAGATAGTTAGGAATATAGCCAATGAGCTGGTATGGCCTAGATGCACATATGTATCCATTGATGTATATACACCGGTATACCGACCAAGATAGTACTTGGTGCGGACCTAGGCGCCATACCCTAACCATACCCTAGGGTACCCTAAGGTAAGAAAGACTACCGTACCGTAACATGCGAGTTTGGCAAATATCTTTAATATTATGCCTATAATAACAGGAGTAGAACTGCATCTATACACATTATCCCGTCTCACACCCTGCCCATGCCCATGCCCATACCATAGCTACGTAAACAAGCCCAGCCAATCCCCCTACTCCCTCCGCAGTCTCTGAAACACAAGCACGCCCTCTCCCCCCTCAACGCCCTCCAACACCGCCGCAACAAGCCCGCTCATGCCCGCCTCCCTCGCCCGGCTGATCCACTGACCCAGGGGCACCTCCTGCACCTCCGATTCGCCCGCATCCTCATCCATTAAAAGCGCCCTCAGCTCCGTAAGCGGGACCACGGCGTCGCCGCAGTGATGCCGGAACTGAACCGGAACGCCCGCTTCACCTCTCCTTGGACTACCCTTCTCGATCTCCCGCACGATCCCCCGCGCCACGGTCCCCACGCACACGAAATCAAGGCTCCCGGTCCAGTGCTCGCTTACGGGGACGGCGCGTAGGAGGCGCGAGAAGCGGAGGACGTTGTGCATTAGGTCGAGCGGGGGGATATCTTCTTCGTTGCCTTCGGGGTCTTCGCGTTCTTCGGTGCCGGTGCCGTTGACGTTGCCGTTGCCGTTGCCGTTGACAGTACGTACAGGGAGCTGCGACTTGCGTGCGGTGCCGTTGCTATTTGGGATACCCGTAAAGATAGGCCCCAGCATAGCCGGCACCGTCACGCTCGACAAGCGATGAGTCACCACGGGGAGTCCGACGGTCTTGTTCGCGCGCTCGAGCACAACCTCGCTAGCCCACTTGGTCATGCCATACGCATCGCTGTATCCCGGGGGCGGGGGGAACGAAGAAACCGAGACGGGTGGGAATTCCGCATCCAAATACGGAGACGATGCATTGCTTGTCGAAGAAGAAGAAGTTTGAGCCAGCATGAGCCGCCCCACCACCGCACTGGACACATAATGCAGCGGGACGGCGCGGCCGGCCTGCATCGCGAGCTTGATCAGCGTCTTTGTGGAGGTGACGTTTGCCGCGCGCAGGGAGGCATAGCTCTTCATGAAGGAGACGTCGGCGCCGTTGTGGATGATGCAGTCAAGGGATGCGGAGAGGGCGGCGAAGGTGGATGGGGACAGGCCGAGGGTTGGGGATGCGAGGTCGCCGTCGTGGATTGTGATTTTTATGTCTGGGCGTGGGTGCGAGAAGAAGGGGGTTAGGGAGGTAGGGTTCCGGACGGCCAGGCAGTGGATGTGCAGTCCTTGTGTCGTCGGGGAGGCGAGGAGTCTGCGCAGGATGTGGCGGCCGACGAAGCCCGTTGCGCCGGTTAGGGCTATGGTGCGTGGGGGGTGGACTGGGGCTGGGAGGGAGAGGGAGGGGAGGGATGTCTCGGCCGTCCAGTCGATCTCGTCTGTATCCATGTTGCGAGTATGGCTGTCGTTATTGGCGGCAATGCTGCCGTTCTTGGTGGTGGCACTACCGGTAATCGCGTCCGCCATCTTGCCCAGCGAACTGCTCTGGAACAACGCCGCGAGGGTCAGCGAGCTCGGGGCGTCAAGCTCCTTCCGGATCAGCGCGTGAAGAGCAACCAGCGACATCGAGTTCCCGCCGACCTGGAAGAAGTCCGAGGCTGGGGACAGGCTGTGGAAGCCCAGGATATCCGGCGGGATGACGCGCTCCCAGAGGGCTCTCAATTGAGCTTCGGCAGGGGTCAGGATGTTACTCGCCCCATTGGTGTCTAGCGTCGGTGGAATATCAAGCTCGAGCGCGGCGAGAGACTTCCGGTCCAGCTTGCCGTGCGCGTTGAGAGGGAGTGCGCGGATGGGAGCCATCACGGCGGGACGCATGGTCTCAGGCAGGGGAAGGGCACGGCGCAGCGTCTTAAGGAACGACGCGTGCTCCTCTGTAGGAAGTATCCCTGGCGACTGGTCAGTAAACACAACATGCGCGACCAGATACGCCGGTGGCTCTCCACGCGGCGTCACAACCACCCCGGCCAGCCGGCCCCCAGCACACTGCAAGACGGCCTTCTCAACCTCCTCCACCTCGATGCGGATCCCGCGGATCTTGACCTGCGTGTCGCCGTCCATCCGGCCCAGGATAACGAGCGCCCCGTCGCGCAGCATCCCGCGGTCCCCTGTGCGGTACATGCGCGTCCAGCCGTGAGACTGCGCAAACTCCGAGGCGAACGGGTCAGGCAGGAATCGCGCTGCCGTGAGGGCGTCGTCCAGGTATCCGCCGACACCGGCGCCGCCGATGAAGACCTCGCCGGGGTATCCTGGCGGCAGGGCGTTCAGGGCATGGTCGAGGATGTACACGGCGCAGTTGGGAAGTGTGAACCCGGCGGGGATGCGACCCCGTCCCATCGCCTCTGCCTCCGTAAGCTCGATCTTGCTACACGCAACCGTAACCTCCGTGGGCCCGTAGATGTTCAGCAATTGCAGCCCCTTGCCCAACCCCGTCAGTGCACGGTACAGGTCCGGCGTGTACTGCTCGCCGCCGGCAACCACGACCTGGAGATCTGACGCCTTTAGATCCGGCGCCCCATACTGGACCCACGACAGCAGCTCCAACGGGGTCCCAGCCGCATATGTGACATGGGACTCGCGGATGGTCCTAGCAATACTCGCGGGATCGCCCCTCTTCTCGCGCGGCACAATCACCAGCGTCCCGCCCAGCGCCAGCGCCGTGAAGATCTGCTCGAGGGAGAAGTCGAAGCTCAGCGCCGTCTGCTGCAGGACGTTGTGCGCGGTAATCCCATAGCTCATCACGTATCCCTCCATCAGGTTGCGTAGGCCCGCGTGCGTCAGCTTGACGCCCTTGGGGGTCCCGGTTGTGCCGCTGGTGTAGAGGAGGGCGGCGGTGTCGGTGGCCGTCGTGGAGATGGGCACGGTCGAAGTGGTCGAGGCAAGATTGGCAATGCTGACGACGGGGCAGTTGGCGCCCAGTGCCCCCGCGTCGCTCTTCCCATCCGTGAGCAGCGCCGCTGGCATGCAGTCGGTTACTATCGTCGCCAGTCGGGACGCTGGGCTCCGCACATCCAGTGGGACGTAGACGGCGCCCAGCCGCATGGTGGCGAGCATGCAGCAGACGGCGTCGGCCGAGGGCTCGACGTACATGGCAACCAGGGAGCGCCGTTTGATCCCCGAATGCTGCAGCACAGAGGCGATTTGGGTAGTGCGGAGCGCCATCTGGGCGTAGGTCACCGCGCCGCTGCCGTCGCTTAGGGCAAGGACGTCGGGGCTCTGGGACGTGATGTCGTCGACGCGGTGGATAAGCGTTTCCGGCCAGGTCGAGCGCATTGTGGACCCTTGTAAGTGGCAGTTAGCAGGAACCATGGTGTGAGATGGGAAATGTCAGTCATACCTCGCCCCATCCGCAACCCCCGCTCGACCTCGTCCTTCGCAAACAGCGAGACGGTGTGCACATCAGCCATCACATCCGCCGAAAACACATCCAGCAGCCGCATGTACATCTCCAGCAACACCCGCGCATTGTCCTTCGTATACAGCCCCTCCAGCACGGAGAGCATCACCAGCGACCCGCTCTCGTTGCCCTCCAGCACATCCACCGTGATATCGTACGCCGTCCCTCCAGCCGCGTACTCCTCGCCCAGCGCCTCGCAGCCCGCAAACGTCCGTTTCTCATTTACACTCGAGCGGTAATTCATGAACGCCTGGAAGAGCGGGTTGTGCGTGCTTGAGCGGGACGCATGAACAAGGTCAAGAATGGCGTCGAAGGGGTACGCCGAGTGCGCCAACGCCGCGAGCATGGTCCTGCGAGCGTTCTTCAGCAGGTGCACGAACGGTGTCCCATCAGTATCAGGGTCTTTGTTTGACAGCCGCAGCCGCAGCGGCAGGATGTTCAGGAACAGCCCAATGCTGCCTCGGGCATCGGGATCCGAGCGCCCGCTATCCCCAACGCCGATGATCAGGTCGGTGGTGCTGAAGAGGCGGGAGAGAAGGGTGGCGTAGACGGCCAGGTGGAAGGTATACGGCGACACCTTGTTCGCTGCCGCGACGGCGCGAATGCGGCTGTTCAGCGAGGCCGGGATGCGCGCGTCCACACGGATATTCGAGTAGCTCGGAGTGGTTGGGCGGGAGGCAGACGCAGCTGCAAAAGGGAGGATGGGCAGTGCGCCTGGCGCATCGTGGAGCTCGCGCCGCCAGAACGCCGCGGCCTCGTCCATGGTGCCCCTGGCGCTTGATATCGCGGCTCGCTGGCGCACTGCGTAGTCAGGGTACTGCAGTAGCGCCTGGTCAGGCAGAGAGCCGGCCTTATAGAGCAGATCCAGCTCCCCGAGAAGCACCTCGAAGCTGACGCCATCCATATTGATATGGTGGTATCCGACCAGCAGGAAGTTAACCAGGGGCGAAAGCGAGAGCAGGCGGATGCGCATGGTGCGTCCGGTTTCGAGATCGTAGACGTGCGCTTTGAGCTCCCTGTACTCTTTCTCCACCTCGTCCTCGCTCGTGACCCGGCAGTATTCCAGAGACAGAGGCGATGCGGCAAGGACGACCTGCATGGGACCGCCATGCTGGGCATCTGTGGCAAACGCCGTGCGCAAGGCCTCGTGTCGTCTCCCGACGGCTGCTACGGCGGCAGCCAGCCGTCGATATCGCAAGGGGCCATTGAGCCGTGCGCGGAAGGTGATGTTCAATGCGGTCTGATCTGGGACCAGCTGCGACAGGAACCAGAAGCGCGATTGCCCGTAGGAGAGAGGTACGGTGCGTTCTACCGTAGGTTCAGGATTTGGGTGCTCTTTGCCGTTTGGCACTGGCACCGCCACTGGCTGGGATGGGCGGACAAGGGACATGTTGGCTGGTCGAGTAGGTGGGTACGCTGCAGTCCATGGAGTGCAGAAGGTATAGTTATGACGGGGACCAGTGTCGGCGATGAGGAAGGAGCAACTCGCCAGGGCTGCGGCATGTAAGACGGACCAGTCGGTGCCCCGACCTGCATCCGAATTGATGTCCGATTGCCTACTGCCCCGACCATGGCCAATCGGGGCATGGGCATGCATGGAGGTGAATAAGCTGACTGCCGGATGACTGCATGTGTGCGCCGACCAGGGATCGGCGGAGAGCTCGTGCTGCTGGGAGACTAGCAGGCCCAAGTCTCTGAAGGTGCAAGCGTTGCCCCTACGACTGTTAAGGGGAAGGAACAAGTTGCGACTCTGTTGAAACGGCATGGATGGTGGTTGCTATACAGCGTCCCTAAGCGGATTGCTGATACAAGAAAAACATAGTCAATGCAGTACGCATAGACAGTATCGATATCAACTAACAGTTCTCATTCCGCAACCCTAACCCCATCGACAGTGTAATGCAGTACACAAGAACCCTACCCTAGCAACCTAAGCCCTGCCCAAACCCCCCCAAACCCCCTCCCAAACCCTCCCCAGCATGCCAATCCCAAAAACAACCCAGACGCGCCACCGCGCAAGCTCCTCCGGAAACCGCGCCTCCTCCGACCACGCACTGCCAACATACACACTCCCCTCACCATCCCCCCCAAGCACGCGATTCGTAAACCCAACAGCCCCATACGGCCCGCCCAGCGCCATCCCAAAATGCCTGTTCGCATGCTCAACATCAAACGCGTAGCTCCTGTTCTCGGACGTCGTAAAGCGCAGCGCATGTCCTGTCGTCTTGCTGCTGCTGCCTCCAGAACCAGGGAGACCACCCGGCGTCCCATACCCTGCAAACCCCGTAATCGGCTTTAACGAGACGCAGTCCCCTGAGACCGCGTCGCAATACTCGTTCCCCCCCGTAGCAGCGCCCGCAGCAGCAGCAGCAGTAGCCCTAACCTCCGCAACCACAACCCCGTCCCTGCTCACCCAAGCCCTCACGAATCCCACCCCGGCCCAAACCCGCGACGCAAACTCCCAGAACGCGAACTCGAAGGGCCCCGCGCGCCCGCGCACAATGTGGAAGCCCTCTGTTACCTTGAGTAGTCCCGCCGCGGCCCACATGTGCATGTGGCTGCCGGACCCGGCGTAGGAGATCTTCTTTCCGGGTGACAGGGCCATGGTCATGGTCATGGTGAAGGTGGTGGAGCGCGCTGTGGGTGCGAGTGTGAAGAGCGGGAGGTGGAGCGCAGTCTCCGTCTCTGTCTCTGGCCCCGGTGCTGGTCCTAGACTTGACGCAGGCGCAGCGAACTCCACGACGCCGCTGGCGCGCGGCGTATCAAACCGCACCTGCGCCTCTCCAGTCTGCGTATCGATCGAGAACGCATACTCCCTATCCCAGTCCCTACCCCTACCTCTACCAGCCCGCCAAACCCCCTCCACCATACTACCATTGCCACTGTTCCCATTCCCACCGGGGCGACAAGCACCCCACGCCAATCCACTCTCGGCCGCGAAATCCAGCTCCTGCAATACACTCCCATCCTCGAAAACCAGATAGAATTCGACGCGCAGGTTCCCGCGCCCGAAGAACGCGTAGGTCGCGTCGCGGCTGAAGCTCAGCACGAAGCCGGCCTTCCCGGAGGAGCTGACGCCCTCGAAGAACCACTGTTCCCAGGCGGTGGTGTTGGTTGGGGTGGGGAGGCGCGGGAGGGCGGGGTGCATGGGTTTGTTTTTGTCGTCGTCTTTGCTTGTGAGGAAGGGGATTGGGGCGTCCGGGGATGAGAGGGCGAAGGCTGTTGTGTTTGAGTGTGTGCAGCTGGGGGGTGAGGGTGAGGGGTCGGTTATTGGGACTGGCAGTTCGGAGAATGGCTGAGGGGCGCTTTGGAGGGATTGAGGCATGGGCATTGCCATCTGGGGTTGCTGGTGCAAGGCGAGCATCTCGGTTTGGGCACGGGCTTGCCAGGTTGTGGGGTGCTGGAAGGTGAAGAGGAGGGAGAGGAGGAGGATGTTTAGGACTGGGGCCATGGCCCAGTGGATGCGGTGGTGCATGGCTGGTGGTGAGTGATGGAGTCTTAAAGTTGGGATTGCGGCAGAGGGGGTAGGGTTATATACGTCGGACGGTCGGGACTGTCTGCAGGACGTCGGAGAGAATACATCCACGGATAGATTATCACATAAGTACAACCCAAACCTTCACATAGACTTCTTCCTACCTACCTATCCTGTTCCATCCTTTACCTTTACCGTCACCATATTAGAAGCTAGAGAACAACAACCACCGCCCCAAGCGCACAAAGCAACCCAGGCAAATCCACAAACACCGTACGCCTCCAATTCACCCCCCGAAAGAGCCTCAGCAGCTCCCAAACCTCCCTCTCGCTCTCCGCCCCGCTACCAGCAACCTTCCCATCCCCGTACGCCATGAGTCTGAGGCCAACCGCATACGGAAACCCATGCGCGAGCGCAAAGACAATATTCAGTCCCCACAGCTTCCGCGCGACGCCGTTTGATGAAATGCAGATGTTTGCCGCGCAGGATATGATTGTTGCCAGGTGCAGCGGGACGGCGATGTACAGGATTCGCGTGAAGGCTTGGATCCAGCCACGCCAGACGAGGGGGGTGTAGGGGTAGGCACTGCCCGATGACGGGGTGGATATGGAGGGGTGCAGGAAGCCCGGGATTGCGTGGTGCTGGGCGATGGAGAACATGAGGCTGCATGAGGTTGGTGTTAGTAGGGACATGGACGGAGGAGAATGAGAGCGTTGAGCGCGTACAAGGCTGAGCCTGTCATGGCGGGGATGATGGCGAGAAGGCCGGTGGTGTTCATTGTGACGATGATGCCAGGTAGACGGTGTCGGATGAAGGGTTCAACGAGATGGTGCTTCGGAGACAAGCTTTGTACCCTATTGAGTTCCCCGAACACCGAGCCCCGACACCCCTGTTCGGTGCCACCGGAGATCCACTCGGAGGGTTGAAGGTGAAAAGCAAAAGCAATGGGCGAGCCATGACAGACAGACGCCCTGCCCCTCTTGCCCGCGCAGCTCAACTCAGAGGTGATACCAGCATGCCCCTCCGCCCCTCCTTCAACTTCAACACCATCCCGCCTCAATCCCAAATGCACCTCCTCAGCGCCTCACCCTTCCAAAACTTCGAGCTCACGCGCATCCTCGGCACCGCGCCAACAGGCGGGTGCGCCGTCGCAGAGCTCCTCGAGGCCATCGCGCGCATCCGCAAGCACGACCCGGAGTCCTGGTACAGCCAGTTCCACGCCCTCGCCGTCAAGGCCGAGAGCCAGGCGCACGAGCTCCTGAACAGCGGCCAGCGGCATGCAGCGCACAGGGCGTTCCTCCGCGCGACGAGCTATTTCCGCGCGGCGCCGTATATGCTTGTCCCGACGCCCTCGCCTCCCGACGTGGACAGACGCGTCCTGCACTGCGCGGAGCGCTCGGCGCTGGCGTTCCAGCATGCCGCGCGATATTCGGACGAGTATAGCCTCGTTGATTTTGAGATCCCGTTTGAGGGGCATCGGCTGCCGGGATACCTGCTGCTGCCGCGGCCGTTGCCACTGCCATCAGCACCTGCGGGTACGTCCACGAGCAGTGTGCGCCACCATCCCGTCCTCCTGAACATCGGCGGCGCAGACAGCACGAAGGAAGAACTCTTCTTCATGCTGGGCGCGCCGGCCCTCAAGCTCGACTACGCCGTGATTCTCTTCGACGGGCCGGGGCAGGGTCTCGCGCTTAAGCGCGACAAGATCCCAATGACGCCTGCGTTTGAGCGCGTCACTGACGCAGTCCTCGATGCGCTCTGGGACACGGCAGAGCGGCACCCGGAGTACGGGCTTGATTTGGGCCGCGTCGCGGTGGCGGGGACGAGTCTGGGCGGGCACTTTGCGCTGAGGGCGGCGGCGGGGGATGGAAAGCGCGGCGCCAGCGCTTCGAGCACGTCCACGTCCACGTCTGAGAATGAGCATGAGAGTGCGAATGCGAAGACGACCGCTGCCCCCCGCATCGCCGCCTGCGCCGCCGTCGACGCCGTCTACAGCATGTGGGACGTTGCGGCGACGCGCATGCCCGGCTGGTACCTGGGCCTCTGGACGAGCGGGTACCTGCCCGAGAGCGTGTTCGACTGGTCGTGCCAGCAGCACATGGGGCTGGACTTTGCGACGCGGTGGGAGTTCGCGCTCGTCATGTGGATTATGGGCTGCGGCACGCCGGGCGAGGTGCTGCGTGCGTTTCAGCGGTACTCGCTGCGCACGGCCGAGGGCGCGGAGATGCTGGCGGACGTGCGATGTCCGGTTCTGCTGACTGGTGCTCCGGATACGATCTATGTGCATCCGGCGTTGAGCTCGGAGAGGATCCGGCGCGAGTTGTCGGGCGTTCGGGAGGTGCAGGTTTGGGTTCCTGAGGGCCCGGGGGAGGGCAGTTTGACGGGGAAGGTGGGAGCTTGGGAGGGGCTTGCGGGGAGGGTGTTTGCTTTTTTGGACCGGGTGATGGGTGTGAGGAGGTGATGCTCTCTGAGATTGCCGTAGCATCTCTCATCTGCAGGCTTCTGTTGTGGCGTTCGGCCATGTTCGGTGACCTTCGGCGATCGGCGAGGTTGATATTGGCCCTTTCTACCTTAAGTAGCTCACGACCGAACTCCCTATGTTTTCTCAATCAATTGCTCTTCGTGCTCCATACCTCAATAGCATTCCATCTTACCTGTCCTGAACTGTAGCGGTAATATCACCATGTCCTCCCCAACCTCCACATCCACCTCCCCCTCCACGCCCGGAGACTCAGACCAGGGACAGCCTCCAATCGACCCCTCCCTAACCAAAAAAGGCGCCCGCTTCTGGCTGATCATGCTAGCCCTAACCGTCTCCGGGCTGCTCGCGGCGCTAGAATCCACCGTCGTCGCAACCGCCCTCCCCTCCATCACCGCCGAGCTGGGCGACGGCGCCAAATACACCTGGGTGATCATCGCCTACTTCCTAACAATGACGGCCTTCCAGCCTCTCTTCGGGCAGCTCTCGGACATCTACGGACGGCGGTACCTCGTGATCATCAGCGTCGCGGTCTTCGCGCTCGGCAGCGGCATCTGCGGCGGCGCAAGCTCCATGGACATGCTGATCGCCGGCCGCGCGGTGCAGGGGCTCGGCGCGGGCGGGATCAATGTCCTGGTCGAGACGATCGTGTGTGATATCGTGCCGCTCCGCGAGCGCGGCAGTTACCTGGGGATTGTGTTTGGGGGCATCACGGTGGGCACGGCGATTGGGCCGGTCATTGCGGGTGTGATTGTGCAGCGGAGTACGTGGCGGTGGGTGTTTTACTTGAATCTGCCGATTGCGGGCGTGGGGCTTGTGCTGTTGGTTCTGTTTCTGAGGGTCAAGACGACGCGCGCGACGCTGGCTCAACTGGGACGGCGCCTCGACTGGATTGGGAATGCCCTTTTCGTGGCAGCCAGCACGTCGGTTCTGATTGGGATTGGCTGGGCGGGCGCCGTGCATCCCTGGGGCTCTGCGCAGGTTGTCGTCCCGCTGGTCCTGGGGATGCTGGGGCTTGTGGCCACGCTGGTGTTCGAGGGCGTCTTCGAGGGGACGAGGTACTGCGCGGACCCCTTCATGCCGCTGCACCTGTTCAGCAACCGGACCAGCGCGGTGGCGTTCATCGCGACCTTCTTCCACGGGATCACGACGGTCTGGGTGCTGTACTTCCTGCCGGTGTACTTCCAGGGCGTGCTGATGTCGTCGCCGATCCGGTCGGGGGTGCAGCTGCTGCCGACGGCGCTGTTCATGACGGTCGCGGCCGTGGTCGGGGGCGCGACCATGCAGAAGCTGGGCAAGTACAAGATCATCCACATCGTCGGGTTCGGCCTGATCACCATCGGATTCGGCATCTTCAGTCTTCTGGACGGGGAGAGCTCGACCGCGGAATGGGTCATCTTCCAGCTGATTGCGAGCGGCGGGCTAGGGCTGATCATCTCGACTGCCCTTCCGGCCGTGCAGGCCAAGCTGACAGACGCCGATACGGCCAAGGCGACGGGCACGTGGCAGTTCCTGCGCAGCTTTGGGCTGGTCTTTGGGTCGGCGATTCCGACGGCCATTTTCAACACGCGCTTCGATGAGGTTGCCGACCGAGTGGGTGATGAGCAAGTGAGGGCGCTGTTGGTGGGTGGACATGCTTATGAACATGCGACCCAGGCGTTTCTGAGGACATTGGATGAGACAACCCGGGCCCAGGTCATTGATGCTTTTACCGTTGCATTGAAGCGGTCGTGGCAGGTGGGGATTGCCTTTGCAGGGGTTGGGGTTCTGCTGGCGTTGTTGGAGGAGCAGGTGGAGCTGAGGGAGGAATTGAAGGGCGACTTTGGGATCCAGGAGGGCAGGGTGAAGGAGGAAAAGGCGAATGTGCAAGCCTAGATGGTGGAGTTGGCAGGTAGCAGGATGTGCATGCAGTGCAGTTTGGTCATCTTTATATCTCAGTATCATAATTGAATCTCATTGTTGAGTCCGGTTCAATCAATCATCCTGTGTCCCTCAGATTCATCAATGAAAACAACCAGTTTGACCCCGGTCACCCCCTCCCTCAACACCCTCAGTCCCTCCAGGACCCCCTCGAACCGCCCTTCGAGTACCTTCGCCGGGTGCGGCACGAACTCCCCCTTATCCAACATCCCCTGCACGGACCGAAACAGTCTGGCTGCAGTCTTTCTCAACTCGGGGTTAGCCGCTCGCTCATACCCATCGCGCAGCGCGATTTCCTTGCCCGTCGCAGCCAGGCCTACAACCATATCGACCTTGATGAGCCGACTACGTGGTAGGTTTGGGTTTGGCCGCTCCAGACACGCGTATTTCCCGCCAAGTCGGCCAAACGCGGTAAAGCAGGCCAGCTGCGACGGCATGTCGGTGATGATGTCGAGGACGTGACGGAGACGCCCGTTGGTGGCTCGCTTGATCTCGCTGCCGCAGGCGTCAGAGCGGTAGTTGAAGCATTCGGTCGCGCCGTGCGCTTGCACTAGAGCACTGCTGTGCGGAGAGCACGTCGTTATCGGCTTGTAACCGGAGCTGGGAGGGTCAGTACATCGGGCTACTTAAGCTGATGACCAGGCTTGCCTGCGCAGGATCTGCAATGCCGCTGTTCCGGTCGAGGTGCTGCCGCCATAGACTAGAACAGGAGTCGGGTCACCTTCCACCGGGCTCTCAGGCGTTCCTGTCAGCCCAAGCGAATGGTACAACGCGATGCTCAGGGTCGAGAGCACACTGCCCCCAAGCACGGCGCCCTGCTCCCAGGTCATCGTATCCGGCATCCGGAGTACGAGATCTGCGTGGGCGGCCACCATTTCGGCGAATGCGCCCGTGCCCGGGTCAATTGGATTGGCACCGTGGACGCCACCGCAGACCCGATCGCCCGGTCGCAGCGTCGGATGAACTTTGGCGGCGTCAGGGCCGATGGCTAGCACAATGCCCGCAAAATCGCAGCCATTCAGGGCGCCGGGGGCAGGAAACCGCAACGGGATCTTCCAGTCGGCGGGGTTGATTGAGACAGCGACGACGTGGACGACAACCATATCTGGTTCCGGGGTGGGAAGGGGCGCATTGGCGTCGATTGTCGATTTGCCATTGCTTTCCTGCACAATTGCCGTCTGCTTTGCGGCGGGCAGGTAGAGCACGGCCGGTGAGAAACCAGCCGGCAGGTGATGCGCATAGGAGGGAGCCATGCTTGCAGTCAATCCCAGAGCCTCTGCGAGAGTGCAGTCTGAGAGTTGACACCTCGCCAGGAGTGGTTTATCAGTCGCACTCGGAGCGGTCGGAGGCGCAACCGCTTACGGTACGCTCAGGGCTCGATGCGCGTAAGACAAGGCCCATCTTCGTTCGGCGGGTTGTACAGTATGCCCGGGCTCAATGCACGTAAGACAAGGCCCATCTCCATTCGGCGTTCTGCTCCGAAGAGCTGCCGACTCCGAGTCGTGTCCGAACATGCAGGCGGATAGCCTTGATACCTAGGTAGTTAAGGACATGTCCTGGCTGTCTAGTGATTCAATTCTGTCGATCCAGTGCCTCATTGATTCTGCCCGCCATGACACAGTCCAAGTCAGCATCTCCCAACGAGCCCATCGCCATCATCGGCAGTGGCTGCCGCTTTCCAGGCCAGAGCAGTTCGCCCTCGAAGCTGTGGCAGCTCCTCTTGAAACCGCGGGATCTTCGCAAAGAGATCCCTGTTGACCGCTTCAACTCCAAGGCATTCTACCACCCCGACCATAACCACCACGGTACCAGCAATGTTTTGCACTCGTACCTTCTCGATGAGGACCACCGCGCGTTTGATGCGCAGTTCTTCAGCATCAAGCCTGCCGAGGCGCACTGTATGGATCCGCAGCATCGTATTCTCCTCGAGACGGTCTACGAATCGATTGAATCGGCCGGATTGCGCATGGAGGACCTCAAGGGATCCGACACTGCTGTGTATGTCGGTCTCATGTACGCAGACTATGGGGACATGCTGTTGCGTGATCCAGAGTCGTTCCCAACGTATGTTTCCACTGGGACAACGCGCAGTATCCTCTCCAATAGGGTCTCCTATTTCTTCGACTGGCATGGCCCGTCTATGACGATTGACACGGCGTGTTCGTCAAGTCTTGTTGCCGTCCATGAAGCCGTCCAGCTTCTCCGGTCTGGCCGCTCTAGAGTCGCTGTCGCCGCCGGGGCAAATCTTTGTATACTCCCAGAGCCGTACATCGCGGAAAGCAAACTGCAGATGCTCTCACCAACCGGCCAGAGTCGTATGTGGGATAGCAAGGCGAACGGATACGCGCGGGGTGAGGGTATCGCAGCGGTTGTCCTAAAGACATTGCGAGATGCTCTAGCAGACGGCGATCATATCGAGTGTCTGGTGCGCGAGACAGGCATAAACCAAGACGGTCGCACCAAAGGTATCACTATGCCCAGCGCACTGGCGCAGACGGCTCTTATTCGGGACACCTACACCAGAGCCGGGTTGGACCTGCAGCGGCCTGAGGACCGCCCTCAATATTTCGAAGCACATGGTGAGTTATGCACAATGAGAATAGTACCCGACTAACTCGTTTCAGGAACCGGCACGCCAACAGGTGATCCTCTGGAAGCAGAAGCCATACACAAGGCCTTCTCGCAAGCCGGCTGCGACGGACACCTTTACGTTGGCTCTATAAAAACAGTCATTGGTCACACCGAGGGGACGGCCGGGGTGGCAGGGCTGTTAAAGGCATCGATGGCGCTGCAAAACGCAATAGTCCCAGCCAACATGCTTTTTGACGAGCTCAACCCCAACATCGCTCCGTTCTATACCAACCTTGAAATAGCCACAAGTGCCCAGCCGTGGCCGAATCTCGCCCCCGGTGTTCCGCGACGAGCCAGTGTGAACAGCTTCGGATTCGGAGGGACAAACGCCCATGCGATCGTTGAGGCGTACACCCCCGAGCCAGAATCCCAGGTAGAGAGCGATGTAGCATTCGTTCCATTCCTGTTCTCTGCAGCCTCTGACAAGTCCCTCGAGCGGTCCTTGGCCGCATACGCCACCTATTTAGAGGAGCACGAATCCGTCAGCATGAGAGACCTGGCATGGAGTCTCCATTCCCGCAGATCCCGTTTCCCGACCGTCGCTGCCGTTTCGGGCACAACGCGGGAACGGCTATTGGAAAGCTTGCGTGCAAAGCTTGACCCCTCTGAAGCGGCGAAGTCTGCGTCCCAGCCGCAGCAGATCTCCCGCGTAAAGGAACCCAAGATCCTCGGCGTCTTTACCGGGCAAGGTGCGCAATGGGCCACTATGGGCCGGGAACTGTGGCAGCATTCGCCGAAGGTTCGCGAGATAATCAAATCTCTGGACGACGCATTGCAAAGCCTCCCATCTGGGGATCGCCCCGACTGGACACTGTCCGCCGAATTAATGGCAGATGCCGCCGACTCCCGAATTGCATCCGCGGAGGTATCACAGCCCATGTGCACTGCAGTTCAGCTGGTCCTTTTGCAGCTCCTGCATGCAGCAGGGGTATCGCTTCACGCAGTTGTCGGCCATTCATCCGGCGAGATTGCCGCTGCCCATGCAGCGGGCTTTCTGTCAGCCACAGACGCAATCCGCATCGCGTACTACCGTGGTATGTGCTCGCGATATGCGCAAGGCCCGAATGGCGAGAAAGGTGCGATGTTGGCAGTTGGCACATCTCTGGCCGATGCAGAGGAGCTGTGCGGAGAGCCCGAGTTTGAGGGTCGAATTACGGTCGCCGCGGTCAACTCAGCCACCAGTGTGACGCTCTCCGGCGACGCCGATGTTATCGTTTTGGCCAAGGAAGTTCTGGATGAGGAGAACAAGTTTGCTCGACTGCTTGTTGTTGATAAGGCCTACCATTCCCACCACATGGTCTCAGCATCAGACCGATATCTCGCATTGTTGCAGAATGTGCAAATGTCTATCCACCAGCCTTCTGACACCGCGCCTCGTTGGTACTCGAGCGTAACTGGTAACGAGGTGACGTGGGATCAGGCCGAAAATCTCGCTGCCGCCTATTGGAATGACAACCTAGTCAATCGGGTACGATACACCGATGCCGTGGAGTGCGCCGTAGAGAGCAATGGCCCGTTCGATATCACCGTTGAACTGGGTCCGCACCCTGCACTTCGCGGTCCAACGCTGCAAAACCTCCAGGACCTTGGCCAACCCTCTCCAGTTTACACGCCTACGCTTCGACGCGGTGCGAATGGAGTGGAGGCGATGGCAGACTGCCTGGGCGCTCTATGGCAGACTCTTCCAATAGCTTCCCTCGACCTCGCCCAATATGATACTTTCGTCCGCGACGACGACACTAAGCCAAAGCTGCTGAAAGACCTGCCGTCGTACGCTTGGGACCACGATCAAGTTTATTGGTACGAACCCCGGGTGTGGAAAGCAACAAGGAGCAGGAAGATGCCATCGCATCCTCTACTTGGTGTCCAATGTCCTGATGGCGTTGAACAAGAGTTCCGCTGGCGCAACTTCTTAACTCCTCGTGAGCTACCGTGGCTGCTAGACCATCGGATTCAGGGGCAGATAGTCTTCCCCGGCGCCGGCTATGTGTGCGCGGCCGTTGAAGCAGCCAAGGCAATGTCTTCTTCCGATGCAGTCTCAATCCGACTGGTTGAACTGCTGGATATCGCTATCCCACAGGCTTTGGTCTTCACCAACGAGAGCGCCTCCGTGGAGACCTTGGTCTCAATCACGAACATCGTTCACGAGCACAAGGGCTCGAACAATATGTTAACGGCTAATTTCGCTTTCTACTCCGCTGTTGGCAGAGAGTCGACTGTCATGACGCGCAACGCCGCCGGTCGGCTTAGGGTTACATACGGTGAACCATCGGTACATGCCTTGCCGAAACAACGTCCGTCCCTGGCCGGCGACATGGTCGATGTTCCCAGTGAGAGGTTCTATAATTCGCTCGAGTCCCTTGGGTATGGCTACACCGGGCCCTTCCGAGCCCTGACAAATTTGAGGCGGAAGCATGGTGTTACAACAGGCTCCATACTGCAACAGCCAAGTCAGGAGACAGAGTCTTTGACGATCCGACCAGCCACGCTTGACGCCGCCATCCAGACCGTTCTTCTCGCCAGGAGCTTCCCCGGTGATGGTGAACTATGGCGTCTGCAAGTCCCCAGGGGTGTTCGCCGGATTGTAGTGAATCCCATGTTGTGCGAGGTCGCAGATGCGTCTGTCGAGACCGCTTTTCCCGCCGACTGCGTCCTGGCTCAGGCAGACGGTGTGGAAACCGAGGGGGACATTGACATCTATTCGCCTGATGGACAATATACCATGGCACGCATTGAAGGGATGCAGGCTGTCCCAGTTGAGGCCGCGACTGCTGAGACTGACCGGCCATTTTTCAGCGGCGTTGTCTGGAGGCATGTCTCTCCTGATGACGAGGCGGCTCCTTTCCTGGGCCGAGCCACGGCAGATAACTATGAACTGGCGTATGTTATGGAACGAGTCGCAGCTTTCTATCTCAAACAATTGCATCTGAGTTTCCCAGATGATGACGCCGCCCGTCACAAAGGCCCATACATCGGTCTTCTAAATTTCGCATCTCATATTACAAAGACAGTGGCTGCTGGCGAGCATCGATACGCACGACCAGAATGGGTGGAAGATAGCCAGGACTTGATCATGCGCGAGAGCCAGAGGTGAGTGCCGAATACGCGCCCTGCGTAGAAATGGCAATATTGATCCGTTTCAGGTTCCCGGAAAACGTGGATCTTGCTCTTATGCACATTATCGCAGAGCACATTGTCGATGCGGTCCGCGGAGACTCGCACATCCTGGAACATCTTACCAAGAATAACATGCTGGCTAGGTATTACGAAGAGGCCATGGGCATGCGGTACTATATCGAGCATCTCGGCAGAGTGGTCGGGCTTTTGGGACACAGGTACCCGCATATGAAAATTCTAGAGATTGGTGAGATCTGCTTGGTACTTACCCTGGCGCAAATGATGGAAACTGACTTGACTCCAGGAGCCGGCACCGGTGCAGCGACCAAGCAAGCTTTGAACAACCTGGGTGGGAGCTTCTCCAGCTACACCTTCACCGATATATCCAGCGGATTTTTTGACAATGCCCGCGAGCTGTTCGGCTTGCAGGACAAGATGCGTTTTCAGGTCCTCGATATTGAGAAAGACCTTATCTCACAGGAATTCCCAGAGCATTCGTACGACCTTGTAATTGCATCATTTGTCCTTCATGCAACTTCAACTCTCAAATCCAGTCTCAACAACGTTCGCCGCCTGCTGAAGCCCGGTGGGTATCTGATTTTGCTTGAAGTGTCGAACCCGGACGTGGCCCGTCTAGGGTATATTTTCGGGTCTTTGCCAGGCTGGTGGCTAGGCGCTGAAGACGGTCGGGTCCTTTCGCCTTGCGTGACGAACGCAGAGTGGGATCGTCTATTGCGCGAAACAGGGTTCTCAGGCATCGACACCGTCACGTCGGACGTTGACTCATTGCCATTTCCAGCGTCCACGATTGTGTCCCAGGCACTCGACTCCACCGTTGAGTTCCTCCGCGACCCTCCACGGGCTGGGTCAACACCAAGACTTCTCGATAATGCGACAGTGGAGATTGCCGTCCTAGGCGGCGTGTCCGAGCGCATGAAGGCTGTGCGCGAGGAAATCCTGCATCAGCTGACACTGCGCTTTGGTTCAGTCTCTGCTGTCGATAGTTTAGAGGATCTGCAATCCAACCCTGAGCTCATTCCTTCGGGAGCATTGACACTAAATCTTTCCGACTTGGACGCGCCAATTTTCAAGGACCTGACGACAGCCTCATTGGCCGGGATCAAACTGCTGTATGAGCAATCACGCTACGTACTCTGGGTGACGGAAGATTCTCGTGGCGGTAACGCCTATCATCATCAAAGTCTCGGGCTGGGACGCTCAATGGCTGTTGAGATTCGCCATGTCCAGTCCCAGTTCCTTGATCTCGATGTTGTCACCACAAAAAGCGCAAGTACTATTATCAGTGCGCTGTTGCGCTTTCTTTTAGTGAACGTGTCAGAATCCTCGGATCGTGCCCAGGAACTATTATGGTCCACCGAGCCAGAGCTGGCCATCGTTCAAGGCAAGGAAATGATTCCTCGAGTCAAGCTCAATCACGACGCCAACACCCGGTATAACGCCACACGGCGCCCTATCTCGGAGCCGATCAATATCCGAGCAGGTAATGGGGTGATCGAGGTGGCGCGGACGAGCAGCGGGCGGTATTCCGTCGTCCAGTCTTCGATCCCGAGCCCTGCTTCAACGCTGGCTGTCGCTGGGAAGAAGAGAATCCGCGTAGATACGTCGTCGTTGAATCCCATCCCATTGACGGGGAATGACTCTCTTTACCTTTTTGCCGGTATCATACTATCGACCAGGGAGAAGGTCATGGGCTTTGCTACCACCAGTGCTTCAATTGTGGATGTTCCCGACACCTGGATCATGCCAGTGGAGGGCGACGTCGGTCCCTCGCTAAGTGATGCGCTGTCGCATATTCTTATACGTTCCATCCTCACTCTCGTGAGCGACGGGGGCGTTTTGATAGTAATTGGGGAGCATCAACCGCTGACCGAGATGTTGCAGCGACATGCCTCCATCCGCGGAATCCGAGTCATCTTCATCGCATCTGGGGAAGCTCCAGGCATAAAGCCAATGATGCCATCGGCTCAAGTGACTTTTCATCCGCAGGCACACATCCGTACCATAAGAAATGCCCTGCCTAGCATTCCGGTCTCAGTGTTGGACATGGGTCTTGACAGTGGCGAAGGTGGCATTCTTTGGGGCCAACTTCGCTCAGCGCTGCATCCAGACTCTACCTTTGAGAAATTGAGCGCAATCCTGGATCGGCCAGTCCGGTACACTTCGTCAGATGTGGCAGCTCAAGTCATCCGCGCCATGTCTTCACTCCAGAGATGCCAGGCTTCGGCGACACCTGCTGACAGCCAAATTAAGGACCTGACAATCCAGGAAGTGCCAGGTTTACCTGCAGACTCCCAGTCACCGCTCCAACTTATTGACTGGACACGTCCTGAAACAGTGACTGCACTGGCGAGATCGGTCGGCGAGTACCCACTTATCAAAAGTGACAAAACATACTGGCTTGTTGGCCTAACCGGTTCGCTGGGACTTTCCCTGTGTCGCTGGCTGGTACAACATGGCGCCCGTAACATTGTATTGACAAGCCGTAATCCAAACATTGACGGTGAAGCCCTGATGGAAATTGTCGGCTGTTCTGGAGCAAGGGTTGAGATATATCCCGGGTAAGCAGTTTCCCGAACGTACTCGGCCAGTGCAGTTTCTAACACTCCCCAGCGACGTGACCGACCCCACCAGTCTCCGGGCAGTTTATGATCGAATCAACTCCACGCTCCCTTCGATCGCTGGTGTAGCTCAAGGTGCGATGGTTCTGGACGACACACTGATTAAGGACATGGACATATCATCCATGGAGCGCGTCATGAGGCCCAAAGTAACAGGCAGCATTCACCTGGATGCTCTCTTCTCACCCTCTCCGACACACGCTCCCCTGCCCCTGGATTTCTTTATCTTCTTTTCCTCCGCCACTTGCATCACTGGCAACATCGGACAATCCAACTATGCCGCGGCAAATATGTTCATGGCTTCGATGGCAGCCAATCGCCGTCGGCGGGGGCTCGCAGGGTCCGTCATCCATATTGGCGCAATCATGGGGGTCGGCTACGTGACTCGCGAAACGACAGAAGCCTTGCAACGGAATCTGCAGAAAAGTGGGCATGTCTGGATGTCGGAGGGAGATTTCCACGCTGTGTTTGCCGAGGGCATCCTCGCCGGGTATCCAGAGACGCATGCAGACTTCGGAGGGGGCCATGGTTGGGAGAACGGCGAAATCATCTGTGGCCTGCGACTGACCGAAACCACCGACGAGCAAAGACCGCTCTGGACGTATAACCCGCAGTTCCATCACCTGGTTCAGAGCGCTTCAAATACCTCGTCGTCGGATGAAGACAGTGCCCTGAATAAGCATATCTCGCTCAAGTCCCAGCTCCAAGATGTCAGGACGTCTGAGCAACTTTTCGACATTGTCAAGAGTGAGTTTAAACCCAAACTATCCACGACCCTGGCAGCCTGCCTAGTCCAGGCTTCGCCGGTCGTCATTTTCGTTATCAAATAAACCAGCTAACAAGCCAACACTCTAGATTCCTTCCTCAGAAAGCTTCGCATCTTGCTGGGTATCTCGCCATCAGAGACAAGCGCATCGGAGCAGCAAAATGTAGTTGAGAGAGTGGCGGAGGAACTCGGTATCGACTCCTTGAATATCGTGGAGATTCGCTCATGGTTCCTCAAAGAACTAAAGGCAGATATTCCCGTGCTAAGGATCTTGGGAGGAGCCACAATTGGCGATATTATCCGCTTTGCGTTGGAGAAGGTGCCGAGTGAGCTGGTGCCGAACCTCGTCTCTGAGGTGGTGGAGGATAGTGTTGTGCAGCAAGGCAAGGCGGCGACCGTGACTGTTGCTGCTTGAGGCAAGGATGAGGTACCGGCCGGGGTCCAGTGTGACGGATTTCTCTGGAATTGTTTTCTCCATGTGGATGAAACAGAGGACGCAAACGGAGAGATTAAGTGGACTGGAAGGAAGGGAGGGAGGGAGGAAGGGAGAGGACCACAGTTCTTGTGCTGAGTCAGCAGCCTGTCGCATGGCTGACATAAATCTGTGTATGCTGAGTCAGCTGCCCAATAATGCTTCGTCAAGTCTACCATGGTATTCCCTCCTCTCTCCTCCTACAACACTCTCATCCACTCTGCCATCTTCGTAACTCTTTCCATCGTATCGCATCATTTCCTCTCATAGATATGCCTGTCCGCTTGTCTTGCAACAGGTGTCATGCCCACAAACTGCGCTGCTTCAGGGAAGATGGGTGCTCTTCCTGCAAACGCTGCCTGGCCGCAGAAGCCGCCTGTAGATACAGTCAGTCCAGGCGCGGTGTCCGACCCCAAGGCCGAAAAGTAACGCTGAGAGACCGGGACATGTTGCCTTCTAGCCCAGACCCCCCTGCTAATCACATTTTGGAATCCATGGATGCGTCCTCGCTTTGGCCGTTGCTCCCCATGGAAGCACTCCCGAATCACGCCGTTGGGAGTGAGCAACCACAGCTTGATTACGGTGCCGGTGACCTGGATATCTTTAACTTCCCTACCGGGTCCGGTGTCCTTGTTCAACCTGAACTGAGTGCTCTTCCTGAACTGCCAATCGATGTCCCGGTCCTACCGCCCGCTGAATATATAAATCCGACACAGACGCAAAGCCCCGTCTTGGATTTGGAACGCAAAATGAACCAGCTATCGCACAGGTTGTACGAACATATGTCGCAGATTCCGTTGTCACCTACATGCGCTCAATCCGGGCATACCGAAACCCACCCCGTGGACAGTTCCCCTGACTTGATGGATTTCCACATCGACCAAACATTCACACTCACCGAGTCTGCAGTAGACGTGGCGAACCGATTCGCCCAGGTCTTACGACAGTCTCGAGAAGCTTGCGAGTCAACAGCCGTCATCACGCAGACCGATACCTTCCCTGGTTCTACACCCATACCACCAGTCGTAGGCCTGGCCTCGCTGTACAGCTTTCTCTCATGCCAAACCCGTATATTGGATGCCTGGAGTGTAATCTTCACCCATATTCGCAACTGCGCGCAGGCAGCTGAAGCTAGGTCAGCTGTCTCCGGTCAAGGCATGGTGGTCCGCGTCCCGAAGGTCGAAGTAGGGTCCTATAAGCCATCGACTTCGACCGCACTGCATGTCCAGTTGTCTCTCATGGTTCGCAATACTACGGCACTAAAAGAGACGATCAGGGTGTTGGTTCACGAACTGTCTACCCCGTGCGCCGCGAAGTCCGCCGATGTAGTTGCATTCGATTACTGCGGCTCCGTGGATACTGCATCGAACGCGACCAGTGGTCAAATTCGGGACACATTGGCTGTCTCCATGTGCCATGACCTCGAACACCGGGCAACTGCGATTGTAAGGGACGCTGAGAGGGTGAAGCAAGCCATAGAGGAAGTTGTGAAACGCGCAGAAGGGGATATTTTCGGTGGGTAAATCAGATTTCTTAAGCTTTACCTATCGCTTATCTTCTTTGTCACATATGTACTCCATATTCTGCGCTTTAAACCAGACTGCTGACCGAAACGCATTTGTACATCGCCAGTCTGATGTTCATAACCTCTCCTCCGGCAAATGAGCAAACAGGTTAACATTAAATCTATCTTGGATCCTCACTGCTGCCGAGGTAACCCTGTATATCTTTGCAGATCTTCATTATCGACTCCCGCATCTTCTCCTCAACCTTCCCCCCTTCGGCGATCCCGAGTGTGTGAAATGCATCCTTCAAGTTGCCGGGATCGACCTGACCGCTCGTCTCAAGTTTTATTTCTCGCATCGCTTCGTCAAGCTGATCAAAAAAATGCCTGGTCACCTGGAGCAAGATCCGTATCTGGAGAGCTTTTGCGCCCGCAACCTTGAAGCCGTCCAGTTGGACCGTGGGCAGGATAGGCTCGAAAGAGGCTCCCGTGCTTGCTGTCGACAAGGAATCGCAGATCATAGAGAAGACCCCTTTGCAAATGCGCATCAGAGTCGTATGGCAGGTCATGATGAGCAATACCAAGAGACCGTCAACAGGCTGGCTGTCCTGTTGATTATCTCCCAGCTCCATGCCGGCTGTAGTAGCCGCGGACGTCGACGCTCGGCAAGGGCGCCAAAGCGGCCCCGTATCGTCTCCAGTCCATTCCACTTCATTCGCTGCGTCCAGATTCGCACCCAGGCTGCCGGTAGAGGGCCAGGTAGGTCTACTACCAGATCGGACTCGCAGTTCCCGAAGAGCGCGGAGTAGGTCTTCTGCACTCTGTATCATCCTTCCGACCGCATAGTGCGCACAGTCGCTTTGGTTTGAATCTATGTATGATGGCGCCGATATCGATCCCGAGATGTGGTTTGACGGCGTTGCAAAGAGGATTGTGCCAGCCACCCTTCCCGATTCAAGGAGGCTCAAGTCGGCAAGGAGACCAGCACTTATTTGAGCAAATCGCTGGTTCCAGTTGACGGGATGATTGGACAATAACCCCACATCCTGCTGGTGCGTCGAACGTCGCTGAGGTCTTCGGGCGTTCTGAGAGGTCATATCCATGAACTCGGGAATGGGCGATGTGACAACGAGAGGGTTCGGCGCAAAACTGTCGGATGTCTGGACTGGCATCTCGACATGCGCGAGATTGAAAAGGTCTGGCGAGCCAAGCGGCGAGGGCGGCAGATGCATCAGCATCTCGGTCGGCATCGGCGGTTGAGCGGCGTACCCTGAGCCCGGCGGGGATGGTAAGGGTTGAGGCTCCTGGAGCATGGCGTCGATGGTCGCATCGCCGAAGGTGAACCCATGCGGATCTTTCGGACCCTCCCGGGGCTCATGGCCTGTGATCTCTGGAGCCGCTAACCCTACGGCCATGTCCGAAGCTTCAGGTCTGGGTGTGAAAGATGCGGAGAAGGCGCCCAATGGGTCCAGATGCGTGCCCCTGATTGTCGCTTCCTTGCTATGTCGACGCGCAGACGTGGTGAGGCAGCGGGTGCCTGCCCTCATACAACGGCGGCAGATGTCTTCCACTGTCGCGCTCAGACGCTCGCATCGCAGCTTTTGGGCACGGCAGCGGTCGCATGCAGACCGACGGGGCTGGTCGCCGATTGATGGTAGCTCCATGCTAGTCATGAATAGAATCGAGAAGATCAGTTGAGATCGAGATCGATGAGGCCCCTGCAGTAACCCATACTGCATTGGCCCAAGGCTAAGGGGCTTGATCTTATATGAGACAACCAAGCGCACTCTAGCTTCTGCTAAAGGTACCATCTTAGGTGATCATGCATTGAAACAGTAAATCCGTCCAAGCAGGTTTATTTCATTCAGTATCGATCTGCCTGGATTTTGCCCTAGCATTCTAGGTATCGCCTCCGCTTGCCGCAAGAGTGAGGTAATGGAATGGCCTCAGCGACTGGGTTACTGGAACATAGTGCCGAAATGCAGTGGATTAAAGGCCTCCCGACCTATCCTGGTCGAGCTCGTGAGCCCGAGCGCTGTTGATCTCCTGCAGATGCTGGCTTGTCGTGACCGACTCTTTTTTCTAGTGGGTTTCCCGCCAGCCGCCATAAGCACTACTGCAAGTGATTCAAGTCGTTCGAGTCCGGCACCTACCTTGAATTACAAATCTTGACACTGCCATAAAGCATGAGTGAGATTTTACAAGTGAGACGTGTCAGAGAAGAGCTGGGAAACTGCATATGACTCTCAGTCACGACCCGTCTCTATTTCTGCTTTCCCCTCTCGAACCATGCCACAAGTCAGCACAAAAGAAGTAAAGGTTACGAATAGTTTTCAATACATGTATGATCAGCAAGTGAGAAGACCCAGTAAGGTCCCGCTGACGCAGCTGAGCACCCTCTGCTCCGGTATGTCAATTCATGTTTCTCTTTTCTCTGTCCAGAGGATGCGTCCACTGATTCGCTTTATACCCAGCTGGAGGGATTCCTACAGCCAGCCATGGTAGGTCAAGCTTCGACGCGGTTTTGCTGTACTGCGTACCATGCATGGGGTATCGAAGACAGCTGCAGGGCGAAGAACCCTTGATGCGTAAGACGAAGTGGGAATCCAACCCCGGCCCATCGCGTTACAGCTACAGGGGTCTAGCCTAGGCTAAGGTTACGTTATGTTGGACAAACAATGACACCTGCCAAAGTCCACATGTCGGGACGGTGCGCAGAAGACGGGATACGGCTCCCCGCGCAAGTAAGAGTTGCCCTCCTGGATGGAGAGGCGTCCTTGTACTTGGGATAGCATAGCTTTTAGTGATAAACGCCCTTTGCCGGCCGGCGGCACGCCCCCATGCCGCGAGAGAGGTCTACTCCTACAGTTACAGGGTACCACTATCTATTGATGGGCCATCTCATTCTCCTGTCTTGGTGGACATCACTTGGAGAGCCTTTTCTTTTTATTTTTCTTCTTCTTTTTTGCTAGCTTGTTAATCACATCATCTGCTTCGCACTTCTCCGCGGGGTAGACTACTTTACAGGCCGTGAAGGCCATATTTTCTTTTCTGTTGCTCTGACACCTACGTCAGACAACCTACGGAGTTAGGGTACATAGATCGACAGAGCAAGAGCGGCGGAGCTCAAACTTTAAGTACGTTGTCAGAGTCAGACACGCCTGGCTTAGCCCACCTTGCTAACGGACGGCAGCCTTGGATGGCACTCTGAACAGGGTCACAAATGGAAAGCCCCATGGGATTTTGAACTGTGAATGGTGCCTTCACGAGGAGATAGAGGGAGTATTCCGGTAATAAGTATTATGCTTGAGGCGCAGCTGGTAAAACTAAAGAATTATATGTGTCATCTACAAAGACCATCTTCACCTTCGTCGGAGAGTCCATTAATGTCCATCCAAAAGAAACAAGTGATAATGAGAATGCAATCGATGGCGAAACCTTGTATCCCTCGAGGGGGCAATCTTTGAATTTCATGAAATATTAGTTAGGTATGGAGAAGAGTAAGAACGAGAACGAGAATCAAAAGCAAAACGCTGGTGCTGGGTGACGTGGCTCGTAGGCTGATTGGAGCGTCGATAGCTCGTACTCATACGGAGCTATGAAAGGGTATAGATATGAAGGGTCATGCTGGGCCAAAATGAAACAATAAGAGCATATGGGACATTACCAGGGAAGCTGAAGTAAACAAGTATGCTAACAAAACTGAACCGTCGAAGACAGATGGACATAACCAAGGAAATTCGTGAATCGTGATGTGAACGGAACAAGGAAAACAAATAAAACTGTCGCCTTGAGAAAAGTGAAAATAGAGAAAGCTAAATACGACCATCAGCATCAGGCACAGGAATGCCGTCATGGGATACGCGGTTCTCGTAGCCATAGCCATTGCCATAGCCGGACGAAGGCCCGGAAGCCGTCGGAGAGCCCCAAGCATCTGAGCCCCGACTACTGCGCCTTGTGAGGTTTCGGATCTTCGAAGAGAAAGATTCGTTTACGCTGCGGTTCCTCCGATGCTCGAGTGACATACGGCGGCCGATTTGAGATCCCACCTCCGTGGTCGCGGTATTGCTGCTCAGAGCTGGGCCGGCCGTCATAGCCCGTGGGAGTAGGCGACCAAGGTTCTCGTTGTCAATGACAATGTCAATAGTCCCTGAAGATTCACGCTGGGAACCGGCGCCCGAAAGTGAGGCGATTGAAGCTGGAATCGGAGGTGGTGGCGGCGGAGTGTTGTTGTTCAGATGTTGTAGCTCAGGGAGAATAGGTGGCAATACCTTCTCCATTGTCTCCTCAATGCTGACGGTGACAGGGGATGAGCCGTAGTCGTAGTTTACACCAGCGGTAGAGAGCTCGCGTGAGCTCTGGCGGCGATGGTGGAGGCTGCCCTTTCGATCCGAGGACCGGCTTCGAGGGATGGTCGGGTTGAAGTGGGGGTGCATTGGCATGTCCACGTGTCGGGCTGGGGGTTGCACTTCGGGAACTGGGACAGACATGGATCGCGGGATGCGTTCGGCTTCACCTTGGTATCGTGCATCGCTAAGGAGGAGTGGTGCGGTATCTATTTGAGGCGGAGCCGACGGAGGAGGGGGTGGAGGGGGAGGCATCGGCTCGGATTCAGAGGCTCCACTGTATTTCGGATGGCGCATTGCGCGAGGCGTCGCTGGGAGGCCTACGGGCCCGCCAGAGCGCGAGGAGTTCGACTCGGAGCTACTCGGGTAGTCTGGCGAAGCCTTGGGCGGAAGCATGGTGCGACCCGGCGTGCGAGGTGTAAATGATTGCACAGAGAAGGGTGGGCTCTCCAGGACACCTCTGGTATACTGGATCTCTCCCGGGAATGGAATGTTGGGAGCGGACGGGTTACGGGCAAGCGAGAGACGCCTTGCTTCGAGCTCTGCGGCAGCCAGCTCCTTCCTCCTCATCTCAGCCATGGCATCGGGTGAGAGAATGGAAGCCGGTATCACGTTGACTGCTGCGTCAGGTTTACTCTCGGCCACCTGAGGCTTTTGAGTGATGGTCGACTCGTTAACAACAATACTGATTTCGTCTCCAGTCATTCTTGAATCAGACTCCTGGCGGGTTCGAGAGCTTGGTCGAGTGCGGCGTCCGTCGGCGGAGGGTTCACGCCTTGAGGCAGACGGACGACGGCTACGGCTACGCTGACGTGTTCTTCGTTCCCTATCGCCTGACACAAACTTGAGGGCGTCCTCCGGGTTTGTCATGGGTACTGGCGATGGTGGCGACACGTTTCGCAAGCCTTGTCGATCGGAGCTGCGGCCTCGGTTCGACTGATCCATCGTATCAATGCGGTTGGCCGCGTGTCGGCTGGACGAGCGGTTCCTCCGGCGTTCAGACGAGTTTCTGGACCGTGGCTTTCGTACTCGGCTGGTACTCCGAGCTTTTGATGTTTGCTTGGCAGCGTATTGGGCCAATTCCTCTGGGGACATGGAGACGGGCGAGGAAGGTGATCGCTTCGCGGGCTGGACATACCGCTTCTCATTGCGTCCACGGGTTGTATCATTGGACGCTGCTCTCGACTTCGTCTTACGTGCGCTCAGCGTTGTCGAGTCTTCGGTGTTCCGCCTGCCACGGCGATGTCCGGAAGTCTTTCGTGAATGAAAGCTTGCTTCATCCAAACTGTTGATATACTGATCGATACTTCGCCCGCTGACGCTAGGACTCTTTGTAGTACTGAAGCTGTTGGCGGTAGAAGGAGGGCTTCTGAAGCTAGCCGCTAACGATCCAGATTGTACTTCGTCGTGAGAAGATTCCCCGGGCAGGAAGCTGAGGTGTAAGCCGTCTGGCTTCCGGTCCCTAGTACTCAGGCGGCTATCCGACCGCTCCCTCAAGGCTTCGAAGATACCAGGCGTTGGCGAGGGTAGGCCTTTAATCGTGGCAAATTGATCTGCGGTTGCCTGAACAGCTGTCTGAGGACTTGGTTTGAAGCCCTCTTCAGGATCGTATCGCGCAGACGGCAACAAGCCAAGATCATCTTCGGACTCTCTTGGCTGACTTTGACTAGTGTCGTCGTTTTCTGACGTAGACCCGTAGTCGACCAACTTTTTATTTTCTTTGAAGAGGAAGGTCGGGGGATGAACATCGACTGGTGTCTCGCCAATTGACGGCAGGCGTTGCTTTGGGAAGCCTGGAGTCCCTGATCTAGAGTTCATAGCGTTGTTGAGGCTTTGGATATTGTTCAACTTGTACGATCCAAAACCTCCTGGCGACATTGCGGAAGACCCAGCCGCTGATTCGGCGATAGGAGTGATTCCTGGAGCGTTGGTGGGCGTACGATCATCCGATTTCAGGCCAGGGAAACGGTAGCGCTGGTTTGAGTGTTCGTTGAAACTGGTTATTAGCTTAAGCGAAGGGGCTTTGAGGGATTGTCCATTGCCAGCCGCGGAATGTGGTTGCAGGAGACTAGCAGGGTTGGGATAGGCAGGTTCCGGCGATCCCATTGGCGACCTGCCGGGAATCATTTCATTATAGTGCGCTTGATGAACAGCTGGGGATGCCCAAGGATCAGACGGCTCCACACCAGTACACATGAAACAGCGGATGGCGAGCTGTTGCTGAGAGTGGGCGACAACATGCTCACCCCATCGGCGAACGAGGTACGACTGCCGTTGCCAGTCGGTTGGCATAACGAGGCAAGTCATGAGAATGGCCTCCATATAGTAATTCTGCGAGACATACACTTCGACGGCCTCGTCCCTATCACCCAGACCAATCAAGACCGTAGCCGCAGTATGCACATCACCGAGTTCAAGAAGTTTCTGCGCAAAGGCTTGACCGACCTTGTTTGCCTGAGACTGGCCATTCATTTGACTCAAGGCCAGTAGCATCCAGTCCGCGATTGAAGTTGGGCCAGCGCTAATCATTGATACCATATGATCCGTGTCTGACTCGTCAATCCATTGCGCGAGCAAGATCGCCGCTGCGCTGCCTGGGGGGTGCCGATACACTAGGAAGGTTAGTTGAAGGTTTGACAGCTTGGTGGTAGACATACACTCATCCTTGATCAATGCCTCAATATCGCCGTCCCAGCCAAACACCATACTCAACATTTGTCGTCGTAGGTCGTCTGGAGTGAGGCGAGCTTCATCAAGGGGCTGTTGAGTCCTATACGGCACGTCGTTTAGGCGGGCGCGGGTGAATGGAAAAAGGTCGACGTTTTTGTCCGCTGGGCTGAATTGAACTTCATTTCTTAGACGCGAACCTGGTCGGGAACTCTTCACAGACGACATTGACACGGACGAGGCGTATGCAAAGGATGGCTGGGGGGTTTCTCTGCCCCCACCGGCAGACGTCAAAGAGAAGGAAGTCGCAGTATGCGCCGACCGTGAAGGAGGAGAGTACGGGGGTTTGTATCTGTCCGAAGAGGCTTTGGAGCTGACGGAGGCGGCCCGACCACGGGATGATTCAGGACTGCTCAACTCTGCACGCTGTTGCTTTACAGCCTCAATTCCACTGGCATCAAATGGCGCGCGGCGTCTTGAAGAGTATGAAGAGCCCGATTCTCTCATTTCCGGGGCATCCTGCAAGGTACGCGGAGATTTTGTTCTCGCCCTCATCTGATCTAAAGCTGCGGTCATTGAGTTCGTTGGAGGGTGTTGCACGTTCGCCACCATTGCTGGACTTTCCAGGTCATATTGTTGGACGGTATACTGAGGGCCGAGGGTGAAAAGAGCGGCGGTTGGGCCGTAGTTCGCAATACCGAGTGGACAGTCAATGGTGGGGATCGGCTCGTACGTTATATGCTTCGTTTTGACGTCCCAGGCCCACGTTTCCCTGTTGAAGTTAGAGCAATGCCGTGGAAGCGCGGAGCGACATACCCATCTAGATATTGTATAATCTTTCCATTCTTGGACCAACCCATCCATTTTGGCTCCGACGGCGACGAGGTATCAGATCTTTTAAGCACACGAATCACACGTGGAACATCCTTGCCGGGAGGCTTCGCAACGCTCCATACCCTAAGGTCTCCATTCCCCGACATTGTTGCCAGCATGTCAGACTTTTGCTTCGATGATGATGCGTGCCATGCTAACGACACTATTGGTGAGGGGCCTCGTGATGTGGTCATTGTGTGTAGGATCGTAAAGGTCGGCAAAAGCGTAGCAATGAGAATTGAACCATTTTGGTAACTAAATAAAGTTAGTCTCACAGCTACTTCGCAGGTCTGGCCACATACCCAATGGCGTATGTTCGACAATCAGAGGCCGGTGCCAAAGCCGTAATCGGGTCGAATATTGTACGGCAGGAGACATTGTCTGAGGTTGACGGCTCGAACAGTATAACATCACCTTTTTCATTCCCTAGAGACTGATAAGCGGAGGCCAATCGTCATCAAGTATGGCGGAATTACCGAAAGCAACATTCCCATTCCGCATCCAGGAAGCAGCCTTCAATTGCTCAAACGAAGCAAAGCGGGCAATGACACTTCCCGTGAATAGATCCCAAATTATGGCCGTCTTGCTGGCATCGTAGCTGACCACCAGTCTTCCTGCTCCACGCTCGCTCACATTGTCAACGCATATGAAAAGTATGTCCTCCTTGTGGTTCTCGAAGCGGCGTTCGAGGGCGAGCGTGTCATGGTGGAGGCAGAGGACGGTAGAGCCCTGAGCATAGAGGAACAGCGATGCGGTAGACGCACACGCTTCGAATCTCGCCGCGCCCATCTGTGTCTGCGTAGGCATTGGCGGAGGCACCGACACAATCTTTGACGGCCGAGTATCCGGGACAGGATTTCTATTCCACGCAACTTCAACCATTGTTCCCGCCAACTCAACAGCAAACCTCCGCTAGGCCAGGTAAGCGGTTCACGAACGCCGAACGGGGCGTCTCAGGAGGTAGGCCGGTAACGAGGCTTGAAACGTCAGAAGCATCACCGCTCGGGCAGGAAACGCATCGGAGGATTGGCTAGCGATCTGGGGAAGGATGGAGCGGTCCTGAAGAAAGCTGCTGTCAGCACCAACACCGGTATGCGGAGGAGCGGAGGCGGAATACTCTGAGAAAATTTTCCAGACGCAAAAAAACGAGATTTCGAATCTGCAAGGCGAAGGCGACACAGATGCAGGAGATAGCTCGGTGCCAGCTGGGATGATGGAGGGGCGGGGAGGGGAAAGTGATGAAGATCGGCGAGGAAGGTGATACAGACTGCCAGCCGGATGATTATACGACGGTCAGGACAGCAATCTGCTTATGAAGATATCAAGGTCGCTTAGGCGTCGAGCAAAAGCCCACAAATTAAGATTTCCCGCAGTTGGACTCGGAGACAGCAGGCGATGAAGGCAGCGGACCAGCGGTAAGGGTCGATCGAAATCTCCAGCCTTGAAGCAATCGGAGCTGCTGCCAAGGGGCCGATGGCGCTTCTGACGGGACGGGAGGCATGCAAAGACAGGTAATTAGCGGACGAGAGACCTCATGGTGAGGCATGGTCTCGAGATGAATACCCAACGAGCATCACGAAGGCATTGTTCATTTGGTGTTTGCTTGGTTGCCGTCCAATTGTCGCACCAGCAGCGTGCCCGAGCGAACTCAGAGACTGAGCACATCGCCAGTTGTGTTCTGGCACTGGTTTGCGCTCTGCACGATCGTAAGACCGAGAATCAATCATTTCGAATCCTGGTCCCCGCACCGCTGATTGGCTGCATGACTTTCTTCATCTGCAGCTTCGTCACTCAGCCCACCAATCAGACATGGCACCTGCAGCCTTGGCGGTGTCACGGGACCCAGCAGGGCGCGTAAATTGATGGCTGCCAATGACGAACTGGCCACGCTCATCTTGCGCAGTCGAATCACATTCCACACTCGACTTCTTCCCACCGTCTCCGCGCGAGAGGAGGCAGCCAACTGTACCAAAGAATGCGCCCTGCCCCTATTTAACAGGGGCGTCCGCGGCAGCGAGTTCCCTGGTTTCGCATCTCCAAAGCTGGGGAATGCGACACGTGATGTCACTGCAACATTGTGACTGTGGGTCTGCGGGGATATCCGAGAGCTTGGACGTGATGAGATTCTGCTTGACAGATGTGATGAACTCCACCCCGGACAAAGAAAAGACGCGCTAACTGACCGATAAATCACGATGCAGCCTCAGCTACGAGTCGAAATTTCTCGGAAGCCACGCTCAGACCACGGTCGACCCTCGTTGAACCCGGACGAACCCCTCAAGGATCTTCGACATCACATTGCTTTCACGCCTAGCTCAATCCTTCGGCTGTCAGCTACTCGGAATACATGACGCAACGCGACTACCGGCCGTTGGGCTTGGTCGGTTGCGGAAATTGCTGGATCAGCGGACGCTAAGATGAGCTATCCAGCTCAAGCATCATGCTATCCAGCCTCCCCTGGCCCTCCGCAATAAACGGTGTGCGGAGTTCTCGGTCAGCCTCTGCTCGGTTGCGCTGAGGCTGGGGACAAGCCAAGGCATGGAGATATGGTCATAGCGGCTTGGAGATGTGCAATTGCCCGATCACCTGCTATTTTTGGACTGATACCGCAAAGCTAGAACTCGAAACCCTCCCAACACCGGTGAATGACAGAAGCTGCTCCTTGTTCACGAACCAGCTTTGACCGAATCATACTTTTGCCGCGGCCGGTATGACGGTAGGCTTCGAGGTCACCAGCTCCTTCAAACTCTTAATCCGTATACGGCGCCCGATTGATGCGAAACGCCACACGAAGGTCAAGAATATATCTGTAGATAGATTGTACCATCGGCTTGAAGCTCAGCGTGGTGCGTCGAGGACTCTATAATCGACGCTTTGTTGGTCCAGCCAGATATTCCCAATGTGATCCTTCGGATCAGCCATTCCGCAGGCTCCAAACGGATATTCCTGGGCCCAAGTATTTGTTTGCTGCCTCGATTCAGGATTCACTCTGCTTTGCGGAAATTCCGTCACTTGACACCGCAAGACGTCTCTCATGGAGTTTGATATTAGTTATCGGTTCCCGTGCGGTAATGCTATTTATCGCAGTGCGACTCCTGGAGACTCGGATCAGTAAATGCTACACTTCCCATATCTCTAGAGTCCGCTATACTTAGATCACTAGAACTGGATCTTATCTTCTAGTCATATATCGTCCATGTTCGAAATTCATACCAACCTCCGCACGGTGGTGCCAAGAATATATATCCAATAGCCCCAAGGATCCTTAAGCATACTCCGAAAATACTTTCGCCGCGTCGACCTGGTTATTAAAAGGGAAGATGTCAGATATTACCGCTACCTATGCTGTTTGACGAAAATTGTCAATGCGAGTCGTAGTGGCGCGAAAGAAGCTCACCTCGTACCCATTCGGAGAATTTGCCGGATCGGCGCGAGAGCGGAAGCAACCGATAACACTACTGCGGAGTCTATCCAGCATCAAAGTGACAACGATCAATTTGATATCATGGTCTATGGGCTTGGCTTGACTATGGCAAGCGCCGTGACCACCGACGGAATACAAAGCGGCTAGTCTCATAGGCTGCCCTCCGCGGAGTTCCATGGACGTTGAAGTCTTCCGGTGCCACCCCATGTTTCATGACGCTGACATGATGGTGTAGGAATCAGGTTCTGGCTTCAACAATGGCCATTCAGGCTTCAGCTCCGCAGCGCAGCTCCGATGGCATGACGCCGGCGGCCGAAGTATAACCTTCTCACACAAAAGACACTGCCGGCTCCCGTTGATATCGCATAGTGAGCTCGGATCTATCTCCATTGAATCACTAACGCAAAACACTATTTACTCCCATGAAGCACAGCTTTCGTTATGTCCGCAGCCAGCACATCTGGTACTGTCTGACTTTTACTCATCCTGCTTTCTCAACCCGCTAACCTCGCACAGAACTACCAAAGTACCCCTTCGCCCGCCCCGAGAAATCCGTCGACCCCCCGGCCGAGCTGAAGAAGCTGAGACAGCAATGTCCCGTCAGCCGAATCCAGCTATTCGACGGTACGCCCGGATGGATCGTTACGAGGCACAAGGAGGTTTGTGAGATGTTGCAGGATGAGAAGCTGTCGAATGTGAGCCTCCACTCTACCGACCGGGCTCAAGGATGTTATTGGGACTGCGATACTGGAGGAACATAGGGCTAAGATTTAACAGGACCGATACCGCCGCGAGGGATACCCTGAAATACACCCCGGAGCGAAAAAGGAGGGCATAAGGCCGACATTCGTTCACATGGATGATGAGGAACATGCAACACACCGGTATGATTTGAATCCTACGCCCCAAGTAGACAAACATACTGAGATCGCATAGAGCAATGACAGAGCCCTTCTTCACAAAGTCCGCAAGCACGGCCCTCAAACCGCAGATCCAATCCATTGTCGACTCCCTGCTCAACAAAATCAAGCAGAAAGGCTGCAAGGACGGCCCAGTTGATCTCGTCGCCGAACTCGCAACACCGCTAAACCCCAAAGTCCTCCTCCTGACCATCTTCAAAGTTTCCGAGAAAGACGCCAACGACCTGCTAAGCTCCAATGCTTCGCTCGGCGGAACAAGCGGAACGGCCACTGAGTCGGGACCCTCGGACGTGCACGAATTCATCACCAAGCTAGTTGACAGTCGGATCGAGAAGCCTGCAAACCCGGAAGACGATCTCATTAGCAATATCGTTGTCAAGCAGTATCAGAAAGGGAAGTTCGACCGAGACGGAATGATAAACCTGCTCTATATGGTTCTTGTTGCGGGCAACACGGCCATCATGAGTTCCGTTGCGCTAGGCGTTCTTACGCTCCTGCAACATCCAGAGCAGCTGGACGAGTTGAAGAAGAACCCGGACCTTGCGGAGAATGTCGTCGAGGAGGTTCTGCGGTATCATACCCCGTCCGCACTGAATAGTCGACGGGTCGCGAGGGAAGATACCACGCTTGGTGGACAGGTACGCAACACCTTTACCACCATTCCGACCTACACGTCATCATCAATCTAACATAATTCTTCTAGGAGATCAAAGCCGGCACAGGCATAATCGGCTCCGTGCGCTCCGCAAACCGCGACGAGCGCGAGTACCCGACCCCAGACAATTTCGACATCCACCGCAAGATCGACCAGAACAAGAACCTGGCTTTCGGATACGGCCCGCATAACTGCCAGGGTCAGTGGTTGTCGCGATTCGAGCTCCAGGCCGTGTTCGCTACGTTGTTCCAGAAATTGCCGAACTTGAAGCTCGCTGTCAAGCCTGAGGAGCTGGAATATACGCCGCCGACGCAGAATGTGGGCGTTACAAAGCTGCCTGTGTGGTTTTAGCGGAGTCTCAAGTGAGCCTTGTGTCTGTCAGTCTTGAGTTCATTCTGGTTTTCTTAGTGCGCTATCTTTCCTATCTTGAATATCTGAGAAGCATGTTATATGTAAGATCACAACAGAATGAGTTGTTAAAAGCACAGAATTGAAATTGTCCGCAAGACGAAGCCGAGGGTCTCGCTACTGTGTCTCTGCCCAGCTGTAGAACAGGGACAGACGTAAGAATGATGAGCTTGGCCTGTGGGTCAGATGGCTTCTAGATCAAGTTTCCCCGTAGATCCAAATGCTTAGCCTTCCTTGACGTTGGAAATCAAATGGCATTTGATGGATCCTAATGCTCGTGAGTGACGTCAGAACGATGAGCACTACGATCGAATCGCACGCGTCTACACCCATCAAGTCCACCCTGGGCATATTAACTGCAACCTGCAGTCTCGCCGAAACCCAGTGGACCTGGGCAGGGAAAGCCGATAACTACGCAGATGCGAGTCCCTTGTCCGACTTTCATCGTTCCCATCTATATAGTATCCGCGGACTCCGAAGCCACGAACACCTTCACAATCTACTAATTGCATCCTTTCAGACTGCTAAAGCATCATGCCAGGCCTCACGAAATCCAAATTCCAGCACCCAACCTCCGTCCCGACCTTCCATCCGGGCTCAACGCCCCACGAAATCGCCAACGAGCCGGACTGGTCCTTGAAGGGGTGGCACAACCAGCACAGAATTGGCTTCCGGAACGCCAGCGGTCGGTACGCAGGTATTACACACATCGGCGATGAACTAGCTGAGGATCCGGACAAGGTCCGTGAGGCGAAGGAGAACATAAAGGAGCTGAAGGACAAGGTGCGGAAAGGGGAACTCGTGGATTTTCGGGAGATGATTGAGGATGAGAAGAGGAGGGAGGTGCGTTCTTGACTGTCAAGTTTGCTGTAGGGTAACTTACTGGTTATGTAGACGTTTCATCTGAAGCATCCGGGCAAAAGACCGCCGGGCTGGCGATATGTGCCGAACTTTACGGAGGATTGGGTGAAGATGAAGCAGGATTGGCCGACGAATGTACGACGGAAACAGAAGAAAGAAGAGGAGCACGGCGAGAAGGAGAGGCAGGAGAAAGAGCAGAAGGGCGAGGGCATGGCGGTTGGAGGCGAGAACGACGAGAAATATGGCTACATGGTCGACGGGGAACAGGAGGATAGAGCGAAGGCAGGAGAAGAAAAGGAAGACATGGACGGCGAGCAGGAGCAGCCAGAGGGCAAGGATGACAATAGCCGAGGTGTAAGCGAGCAACAGGATCAATATACCCCGGAAGAACGCGCTTTTCTTCGAGCACTGCAGCACGAAAAGGAGCACAGTATCCACCTGAAGCAAAACAACGGCAAAGGGAGGTCGCCGGCACAGAACAACCCCTACACCACCATCGACGAGGCAGACCAATTCACGCCCGACAACTGGGTTCCCCGATCGCCGGAGCTGGTTCGACTAACCGGGAAGCTCCCCCTAAATGCTGAGCCCAATGTATCAAGGCTCTACAACGCTGGCCTAATCACTCCAAATGAGCTGCACTACGTCCGCAGCCATGGCCCTGTCCCGAAACTCGTCTGGGAGTTCCACGAGATCGATATCGAAGGTGGCCGGATGAAGCTCAGCATGGATGACCTAACGACCAAATTCGACGTCATCAACATCCCCATCCTATTGGCCTGCGATAACACGCGACGTCGCGAGCTGAACATGGTCAAGTCCACAACGGGCTTCAACTGGGGTCCAGGAGGCGTGGGCTGCGCATACTGGAAAGGACCGCTGCTTCGAGACGTCCTCCTTGCCGCCGGTGTACCGGAGCGCATGCCCGACCAAGACAACCAACGGTATTGGGTGCATTTTGAAGGAGCCGACGAGCCGAGCGAGGGTCGTTATGCGACATCTATACCATTCGAACATATCATGGACCCCAAGAACGACGTGATCCTGGCTTATGAAATGAATGACATGCCGCTACCGCCAGACCACGGATACCCTGTCCGATTGATGATACCGGGATACGTTGGAGGGCGCTGCGTGAAGTGGCTACACAAAATCTGGATCAGCAACAAGGAGAACGACTCGCACTATCATATCTATGATAACCGGATGCTGCCGACTTTTGTGACGGATGGAGATAGCGAATTTGCAAAGTTGCTCTTCTCGCATCCTGATACCGCGTGCTATGAGCAGATCCTGCAGTCGGTCATTGCTAAGCCGGCCCAGGGCGAGAGGATCGCAATGAGCGATGCGCGGAAGGGGAATATGTATCGCATTGCAGGATTCGCGTATAGCGGAAGTGGCCATCGTATACGTCGTGTGGAGGTATCTCTCAACGGCGGCAAGACATGGCTCTACTGTATCCGCCAATATCCTGATTGTCCCGTACGCCATGACAACAAATTCTGGACGTGGGTTCATTGGTACGTAGACGTCGAAATCCTCCAGCTCGCCAAAGCGGAGAGCATAATTGTCCGAGCTATAGACAGTTCGAAAAATACTCAGCCTGAACATCCGCGCTGGAATATCTCGGGCTCAATGAATAATTGCTGGTACGTCGTGAAGCCAGAGATGGTATACGACGAGGACGAGAATAACACGTCCCAGCTGATGTTCCGGCATCCAGTTGAGCCTGGAACCGGAGACGGGGGCTGGATGGAGCCAAGTGCTGAGGTACAGATGAAAGCAGCGAAGCAGGATGCGTCCGCGCCGCAAAAACAATTTACGCGCGAAGAGATCGAGAAGCACAACACTGAGGAGGACTGCTGGATTGTCGTCAACGATAAGGTCTACGACGCAACTAGCGTACTGTCCTGGCATCCTGGAGGAAGCGCGCCGATTCTTGCCCATGCAGGTAGGGTTCACCACGAAACGTCAGAAGAGTACGCGAGTATACATGACGACTACGCCACGCAGAAGCTACAGGGTACGTCTTCGCCGGCCTGGTCTAGACTATCACTAACAGTACGCAGAGTGCATCCTAGGTGTCGTAACCGACAAAGCAAAGAATTTCATCGAGAAAAACGCTGAAGAATCTAGGAAACAAAAGGACCAGTCCCCCGGAACAGACAAGCAAGCGTTACAGAGGCACCGCTGGGTCCCTGTCAAGTTGACCGACCGTAAGGAAATCAACCGAGACACTCGCATCTACACCTTCGAGCTCCCCAAAGGCAAACCCCTGCTGAACATCGGCGCTTGCCAGCACATTGAAGTCGGGTTCCACCTGAACGACAAAATGCTCATCCGTCCTTACACACCAACCCGTCCGCTTCTTCCCCCGCTAGAGGATGAATCTAAGAAGAATGACAAGTTAAGCGAATACCGCGACGGCCAGGGCTCGTTTCAGCTCACTATCAAGACCTACTTCCCCAACGACGATCAGCCAGGCGGCGCAATCTCCAACATTCTCGACGTCCTGCCCATCGGTGAGGATGTCGATATCCGCGGCCCAACGGGCGACATCGTCTACGAGGGCTTCGGTAACTTCACTGTCGCTAGCCAGAAGCGTACATTCAAACGCGTATCACTTGTCCTCGGTGGCAGTGGCATCACACCGGGTTATGCACTCATCGCCCGAATTCTTCTGACGGAAGGCGACAAGACCGAGATCCGGGTTATCGATGCAAATAAAACGCCTGAGGATATCTTGTTACACGACGAGTTGATTCAATTCGAGAAAGACCGGCCAGACCAGTTCAAGATTGCGCATGTAATCGCAAGCCCGGGCGATAATTGGGATGGGCTGACGGGGCATGTCAATGAGAAGATTCTCAAGGAACACCTGTTTGACCCGAAAGAGGAGAATGTGGTCATCCTCTGCGGACCACCCATGATGATAGAGAAGGCGGTTTTGCCAGTTCTCGATGGTATGTCTACCTTTGTCTTGTGTGATGTTCAACTAACGGTGCCAGATTGGGGCTATGTCCGCGATGTAAACATGCTCGGCCTCTGATTCGCCCATGTCGAACAATGCCAATGATGGATGCCTAGGCAGTCCCCTTGGATGCGGGGGACAAGCCTGGTCTGGGCAGTTGCCCTTATGTCTCTAATAGGCCCGCTAAGCCTGTGCTGTAACCCTCCCTCGTATTCACCGCAGATCCCCGCTCCTGCGCCCCAACCACCGCAGCAACCCTCCGTACTTCATCCTCGACCTGTGGAAGACAAGCAACCAGCAGCAAGTGGACCAAAGTCCACAGTGTCCCGTGCCCTGAGCACACCTGTCATAAAAGCCCAGGTTCTTGTGGTCGGGTGGCCTCAGCGCTTTTAGAGTCGCATCCTCGCCGAGCCCTTGCATGGCGCAACAACATCGGCGACATCGCGACTCCAATAAGAGCTGCCCGTGCCCTGTATACTAACCAGCTCGAGCATCGTCCCGTCCGCCAAGACACAACTTGCGCTCCTCAGCCGCGCTGATCCTTGCAAAATGCCAGCATAACCACGAGATGTGACACTGGCTCAAACGCTCAAATACTACCGTACCTTCCGCTGCCTGATCCTCATCTACCTAATCCCCAGCTCCAATTCAACTCATCTCAAGCCTAACTGTCCTCGAGATAATCGTCACACAATGACACCACCAACCCCCCTCCTCCTCTACCTGGGCCTCTCCGCCCTCCCCCTATCCACAGCATGGACATTCACCTGGCGCGACAGCACCGGCAGCGCGTCCACAGAATCCGGCACCGGACCCAGCGCCTGCATCCCCGTAAACCACGCAAAGGGCCAGCTCTTCGTCGCGGACGGCGAAGGCGAAGCGGGCATCAACATGCTCCTCTTCAGTAACGACCAGTGCTCCGGAGAGCCAGCGGGGATGGCGACCGAGTCGTTCGCGAAGGAGTCCAGTGTCGATCTCAAGGGGTTCCAGGTCGTTGAGTATGAGGCGCCTGGTTCGAGTACAGCGACGACGACGACGGGGAGCGATGATCTTGATGGGACTGTGACGCTGCCGACTGTGCCTGCGACGACTGGGAATGGGAATGGGACGGTCACTGCGACGAGCACGGATGACGATGGGGACCAGACGGTTACGCTTCCGACTGTTCCGGCGACGACGACGGATGGGACGAGTGAGGCTGAGCCGACTTCTACGGCTGGTGGTGATGGAACTGAGACGGATAGTGCGACTACGACGACGGGTAGTGACGAGACGTCTTCTACTGAGCCGGCGCCCACGGACTCGGACTCGGCCGGTGGTGAGGAAGAGCCGACTCCTACGGGCGCATCGTCGAGACTTGTTTTCTCTCCGGCCGGTCTCGCTGGGATCGTCTTGGGCGCTGTTGCGTTCGTTCTGTAAATCCAGCATGGTGCAGGGTTTATGATGGTGGAAATGATCGTACTGGGGTCTATGATGTCTTTTACCCAAATGCTTCAATACCAAACGCGTGTCCTGAAATGAGATGTATTCCCGCTAGGTGCTGTACAAGTTCGCTTCATGAGAACAGTAGATGAGATGATATATCCAAAATAAACCGAGTAACCGCATCCGCTCTATCTCCACCCCCCGCGTGACCCGCGCGATCCACCATCTGAATCGTCTTGCTGGTGCCGTTCGGCCTCAAGCATCCGGTCAAACTCGGCTTGGGCGCGCTCTCGTTCTCTATGGGCATCGCTGCCTGAGTCTGCGGTGGGCTGTGCTCGTTCGTATCTCGGTTGCGACGGGTATGGGGATGTGCTTTGATACGGAGACGGGTTTCGGGATTGCATCTGATTTTGTTGCCGGATGCGTTCCCAGGCGCTTCCAGCCGACGTGGTATTTGTATCTTGGTGGACCGGTGCGATCGGGCTGGCGTCATCATCGAAGAATGAGGACTCCTTGCTCTCGTTTGCGGCGGGCGCGCCGTAGGTGTACGTTCCGGAAGTGGATGATGGCCAGGCGGACATACTTTGGTCGTTTGAGGTGCTGGAAGTGTACGTCTCGAGTCTCCTTGACGGAGAGGCGGACGTTTCTGCCTGGTTAGAGGGAGTAGTCGAGGGTAACTCCTCAAATCCATTCTCGTTGGTGTCCTCTCGGCTAAAAACATCAACCGCCTCCTTACCCTGCAGCATACGGGCATGGTCAATCAGAGCAATGCGCCGCCGATTGTCCGCCTGTTGTTTATCCGCATTCCTGAGATCCGCATTGTGTTGTTTCATCCGCGGATCATCCCTCATTCTCGCAACACCCTCAGACATTGACGACGCTACTTCAATGAGGCCTAAAACAATCGCCAAGGTAGCCGAGCAGTTAACCGGTGCAAATAAAGTCCGCCTCCACAAAGCCGGGTTCGCTTCGCGCATTTTCTTGAGTGTGTCCAAAAACCGATTGAAAAACTTCAGCGGGTTATTCTGATCGATTGGCGGTGCGTATTTCTTGAACGCTGCGCGAGGTTCTGACATTAAGATACTAGATGGAAATCCTAACCCAGCGCCTATCAGGAAAGCCGTTCGTGTAGAGGATGCCTGTTGGCTGGTTGTTTCGACGTAGAAGTCGAGCTCATCCTGCGTAAGTGGACGGTTGATGATGGCGCTGCCCACTCCCACCAAGTCTGAAACTTTATTACCGACGTGCCGGTGGTAATTTCTCGTGCCGAGGAAACCAGGGTAGCGAAAAAAGCCGGGGTCAAAGATCGAGTCGGGGTTCAACTTCACGCCGGGGGCTAGAACTGGGGATAAAGGGAAGGGTCTCTGGCGGGAGGCAAGAATGGCAATTCTTTGTGCCAGAGGGTCGTCTTCGGGGATCACTGAGGACATTGCGACGGTCGTGGGGTAGTGGGATGGCTGAACGGATGAGAGGTTGGAGTAGGAGAAGCTCCGAGCTCTCAGTGCGGAGTGACGTGGAGGAGCGTGTGTCACGTGATCACAGCCTAAGAGTGCCTGATTAGTCAACTCTTGTTCTGTTCTCTTGGCATCAAACCAGTCATCAAACCATGGTCTATCGCTAGCACAACAACAACCTCACCAGGCTGGGATAATCTCTCCGGTGCTACAATGGCCTACAACGGAGATCGCTCACTCATCTCTATGCACTTTTGGCTTATATTGCCGATGGAGACAGCTGGTCTCACGAGGTCCTCAATGGAAGGTGTGAGGTACAGGGACCAGGTTTTGTACAACTCCTGACATGCGGAGATGACTGCGTTGGTGATTATCATGTCCATGTGAGAGTATTCCAATTGTCTGCAATTTACCTCTCTTCAAGTGCCGAGTATCCTTGATAGAGGGCGAATGGCAGTGTGGCCTCGATTCGATAGAATGCCTGCAAAGCAGAAAGAAGGAAACTGGGCTCTAAGCCACACCTTCTACTCCAAGCAACCTGGAACCTGGGGAGGCAGCGAAGCGATGTGAACTGGTTACACGGCAGCGGCGTGGGAGACACCTTCCCCATCAACTGAGAGCTCGTCATCCATCCGATCGCTGCAGGTGGGAGGAATCCTTTATAAGGACACCCCCCCAAGTCACAAGTATCTGTTTCTCGTCTGTTGTCTATCTTCTAATCTCTCATCCACCATATCCTGTCCATGATGAGATTTTTCAATCTACTTCTCGGCCTCGCCTGCACCTCTTCCGCCCTTTCTTGTGTGGCGAAGCCCAAGTCTTCTTGGAGCGACTATGTCATTATCGGTGCTGGCCCGGCTGGATACGTCCTTGCCACTCGGCTCTCAGAAGACCCTGGAGTGACAGTCACCCTCCTTGAGGCTGGACCAGACGGCGAGAATGATCCAAACCTCTATACCCCCGCATTCGCCGGTCGACTCCAGGGCTCCAAATACTCGTGGAACTACACTTCTCAGCCGGATCCGAGGCGTGGAAATATCCCAGTACGCTTTCCGCAGGGCCATACCCTGGGTGGTGGTACATCAATCAACTTCATGTCTTACTCCCGCGGTGCTGCCAGCGTTTACGACCAGTGGGCGGCGGAGTCGGGAAACCACTTATTGAGATTCGAACATCTCATTCAGCAGTTCAGGATCTCGACCAACCTAACTGTTCCGTCCGACATCGACTACAACATAGCTGCCAATTCCTCGGCCTACGGAAGCGGCCCTGTGCAAGTGAGCTACGAGCGAAAGAACACTGGGACTGAACCGTTCTGGGGCGATGCAATGGCTGCGAGCATATCGTCTGCGGTACCTCTTATTGATCCAACGGATGGGCGTGCTCTCGGCGAGACAAAAGGCGGGCCGCATACCATCGACATCCGGACCGGGCGACGGTCTTCTGCACAGGCAGCTTATGGACCTATACTCGCGACTAGAGCCAACGTCAAGATCTTGCCGGGCTCCGAGGCCACCAAGATTCAATTCCGGAATGGGCGAGCGGTGTCTGTCGACTATGTTTCGACCGAGGACCATGCGAACCATACTATCTGGGCGCAGCGGGAGATCATTGTCAGTGCTGGAGCGATCGGATCGCCCAAGTTGCTGATGCTCTCTGGCCTCGGTCCTAGGGACCATCTCGAGAAGCTTGGGATCGCCGTAGTCAAGGACCTTCCGGAAGTCGGCAACAATCTACACGATCATCATAATGCAGTCGTGATGGTTCAGATCCCAGACAACATCACCACCGCGTTCACACTTCGAGCAAACATTACTCAATTTGCAGAGGCCGAGGCTGAATACAGCGCCCACGGAACGGGTTTCCTTTCGCAGACCCAAACCTCGAGCTGGGTGACTGAGCGGCCATCCGATGCAATCCTGGACAGTATCAATGCAACTTTTCACAAGTCCCTTCCCAAGGACCGACCTATTCTATGGTATCAATATACAACTTCTCCCATGGTCCCCGACCCGCAGAATAAGAATATCATTTCCGGGTATGTGAGCCTCATTCAACCTGAAGGCCACGGATACGTTCGACTTGCGAGTGCCGACTATCGTGACGCACCGCTCATTTACGCCAATTACTGGAACTCGGATGCCGATCTTGCCTTGGAACTTTATGGCTACAAAAAGCTACGCAGTGCAATGGCATCTGCCATCCTCGCACCCATAGTCCAAGGCGAGCTCTTTCCCGGACCACTGGTCCAGACTGACGAGCAACTGCTCCAGGCAATGTTTACCAGTGCATGGCCCTTCCACCATCCCAGCGGAACGTGCTCTTTGGGCAAAGTCTTGGACGGCCACTTCCGAGTGCCCGGCATCACGGGCTTGCGTGTCGTTGACTCTAGTGTTCTGCCCTCTCAACCAACTTCCCATCTGTCGGGACCAGTCTATGCTGTTGCTGAGCTTGCGTCTCAAATATTGCGAGGATGGCACTGAGGACAGTCGACGGCTTTTTATAGACGTCTATCTTTCCCGCTTTGACCATCACTGGCGAATGTCTGGCCCGGGTTAAACCCCCGATGGCTATGTATCATTACTTTTAGTTCGGCGTGACCAGTATGTATGTGTTCGCCATGCACAAAGTCTATTCCCTTCAGATGATTCCAGCGGAAATGCGGTCCGGAGGGTCTGACTCAATATGAATTTGTTTCTTCTTCCCACAGCATCTTCATCATTCCTCACGATCCTGACCATTCCAACTGATCAGTATGGCTTTCTTTACTATCTCCAATAGACAAGCATCCCCTCTCGAGGCAAGACGCCTCAACAAATTCACCGACCACGTCAAAGGCGTCATGCCCGTTGAAGAGTACCTCGACCGAGTAGACCCCTACACCACCTCAACCCTCAGATGGCCCCGTCCCTTCGATTCAACTCCCTCGTCACCGGTAATAGTCCAACAAATCGAACCCCATCGCGAGGATATTCTCTCCATTCTCGATGCCCACAATCTCCCACCCCGAGCCTACCTCCGCCTTACCGTGCACTCCGTCACAAAACGAGGCTATCCCTCCGCAAGGCCTAGGACCCTCCTCTCCCTCACATACATAACGGACCCCTTCCATCGGCGTTCACCGCAAACACCATCAAAGCCCGAGATGGACACAGCCCGCGATAAAGTCGTCGAGTTATTGAAGACAAAAGGCATCGCGAACATCGACACCGAAATCGTCTTCACCAACCAAGCCTTCAACCCCCTCCTCTTCGACCTCCCAGATCCAGATCCCCTCTTCTCACCGTTCAGATACACCATCCGCCCAATTATATGCAGCCGCATCCTCCCAAAATACACAAACGCCTGGCAGAAGGTCGGCCTCTTCTACATCGGCCTCACCGTCGAAGATAACCTCAAGTACCCAACCCTCATCATCCCCGTCTCCCCCGGCACAGTCACGAACTGGGCGGCACTAGACCACGATATCAGGTCTCTGCTCAGGGATCAAGGGGTACCAGAATTCGACGTCGAGTTCTGGCCCGGCCCGCTGCGCGAGACGTGGAATGCTGACGCTGAGGTCGTGGACGAGTGCGATCGGAGCTTTCAACGCGTGAAGATCGAGGAGCGGGAACGGTGTATGAAAGGTCGGTGGCGCCCGAATCTGGATGTGCTTGATGGGCCTGCTAAGACGAGGAAGGAGGAGAAGGTGGGGGGTGATGAAGAGGCCGTTGACGAGTCTGGGCTGCAGGGCTTCTTCGCTATCCCGCGTTCTGAAGAGCCGGGGCGGTGTTTGACGCCATGTCCCCTACTTGAGGATGTGCTTGCGAATTATAAGAGTCCGTTTGTGGGTTAGATGTAGTCTATTGGAGATTTGGGATCTTGGGGGTTGGTCAATCTGTATCCGTGTCTTGATATCTTGTCGTTGGGTTATATTGCGCTATCTATTGAATGTGAATGATTCATGTTGGAATGAGCGACTTCAACTAAATACTCACATCGTCATGTTTTCCTCTGCTTGTGTCTTTACAATCAATGCTATTCCTAGCCGTATCCTAATGTACCATAATCTCAAGATTGCTCTTCTGGGGTCATAGTATCACTAAGGGTCTTCAATTCTCTCTCCATTCCACCCGGTTCACTTGCCCTTACTCTCGTCCCGCCAATATCTTGTAAAAGCTGCTCTTTTTGCCGGCCAGTGGATAGCGCACTACATCCCATCAGGGGCTTGGTCTTGCTTACCCTGCTTACCGGCCCCGGGACAGTCAGAGAGATAGGGCTTAGGTGGGGAATGCCTAGTTGGAGTACACTGGCTATATTGGGACCGTAGTACCAGTCACATCCACGAATACTGCCCAAGAGCTCTGCATTTTGTTTTTTCTTTGGAGACGGCGGCCAATGCCGAGTATCATCTATCGTACCGGGAGCCCTAGCAATTGTCCCAGCAATGGCACGGCCAGTGTTGGGTGGTGGCTCGATGGGCGGTCGGTGAGAACTAGTAATGCAATGATTAATTTCCATTTCGAGATGTCCTGAGGCAGATCCAGGAGGGTGTCATCTTCTCGACCAGGTCGCACGTCATGCCTGGAGGCGATTGGCCCGGAATGGATAGACGACGGCCCTCCTATCCACCAATATAACCATAACCCCTCTGTCAAGGATCTTTCCCAGCCAATAGAAACAGACATGGACGAGATAGACGAAGCAGACCAACTCCCCGTCCCAATCGCGTCTCCTAAACACGAACCCCTCTCCAAAATCTGCAATTGGGCCATCAAGTTTGAGCAAAACCCCAGACTCGCCTCCATCGTCTACCACGCAGAAGGGGACGAAATCACGTCCGATCGACGATTCTGACGGCATCAGGCGTGGGATCGGTTTTTCCGCATGAGTCGGCCTTGCTTTTCGCAAGTTCCCCGAATTAGAGACCAGACTCACATCAATACAGTCACATCAATACAGCCCTCTATCACCCCGCGAAGCAGCTCTTCCAGCTCTCGGGTGTATCGTACTTCACACCGTAAGATGGTGCCTTTTATACGCTCCAGGTCCCCTGGGATGAGAGCTCGGGGTTAATTCGCCGACATCCAAGAAGTCGAGATCGGAGTCGAAGTCGAAGTCGAACGCCAGCGCGTCCGCAAGTCCAAGCCCGATCTTTCTCGCACGAGCCCTGCGGGGCGTGCCGGGTGGTAGGCTGCCTGCCCTGCCCTGCCTTCTCTGAGAGAATATTCCTGGGAGAGTCGGGCGATCCTGACGTCTCTAGACCTGTTTCGCAGTTCTCGTATCCAGCGGACTATTCTTCACGCCTGGCGGAGGACGCACGCAAGGTTCGATATAGGGGCTTGGGGATGCGGCACTGCCCACAGTTCCGAACCCTCAGACTCAATCGCTTTCCGGCGGAGATCCTATTCCTGATAACGAATCAGCTGGGGAGCCTTGACGTCGTCGGAATTAGAGATGCAATGCGATGGTACTTGGGCGATGCGTACTGGCGCTCGCGCATCCCAGCGGACTTGTTCCATGAAGTCAAGGAGCAGTATTTGGTTAACCAGACACTGTATTGGGAGTTCCTCTGTGTCGAGTTTGAGCGCCTGAATTCGGATTACTACTGGGGACCAGAGCATAACGAGTTGCTAGGGAGGCCTTGGGTGCTGGAGCAACGGGATGAGATTGCGAAGTTTGTGAGTTCTTAGGTGCTAGTGACGTTGGGTTTCGAGAATGAAATAATCGATCTTGACCATGTTTCGTTGTCTTACGCTTGGTGGATGTAATCCTGAGCACTCTATAGGCTGGGTGAACCATGGCGGAAGGAGAATAGTTGGTATTCAGGCTCGTCTTCGTGACCATGTAATCTCGAGATTCGAACTATTCATTATTATTGCGTGGGTCATATCAACGCTGCTATCTCGGCAGAATGAAACCTTCACGCTTGCATCTAGGCGCGTGCGAGATAATCTACCACTTCTCAACGTACGGCCTCAGGTCCAATTCGAATCCAAACGTCGTACGTGGCTGCGTGTGGAGATGCCAGTAGGCGTCGGCAATCTACATGTCTCATTAGCATCATATCACCACCTATTTTGTATGTAAAAGACGAAGGAAGAGTGTACTTACAGCGTCAGGGTCAAGCTTGCCATCCGGATGCTCATTCGCCCACTCCTTCGTCCGTGGAATATCAATCACGCCGTCGATAATAACGTGCGAGACGTGCACGCCCTTCGGTCCGAACTCTCTTGCCAGCGACTGCGCCAGCGCACGGAGGGCAAACTTGCCCGATGCAAAAGCAGAGAAGTTCGCAGAGCCCTTGACAGACGCGGTCGCGCCGGTGAAGATTAGGGTTGGCGGATATTGCAAGCCGGTGGCCTTTTGGAGAAGCGGAAGGGTGCTCTTTGCGAAGTTGAACGCGCCAATTCTGCATTCGTCAGTATGCTCTTTGCACAACATTCTTCTCCACGCAAAGGTGCAGAAAAAGATAAGGGAACGCACCCCTGACTCTTAAACCCATTCGCGAACTCCTCCTCGGTCAGCTCGAGGAACGGCTTGCGCACGAAGCCGCCGCCGGAGTTAAACACTGCTGCCGCAAGAGGCGTGTCCTTGTGCTGCTGGGCGATCTTTTCAAAGGCGGTCTTCACGCTGGCGCTGTCCGAGACGTCCGCGCTGATCCCGAGTGCTTGGCCGCCCGACGAGTTGATCTCGTTCACGACGCTGTTGTAGTTGGAGGGGTTACGGGCGAGCACGACCACGGAGTAGGCTTGGGTGAATTTTCGGGCAATGCTCGCTCCCTAGACGTCTGTTAGTATCTAGTAGGAGGACAGTTGGAGATAGGATGAGCTGTGGGGAAGGGCAAGACTGCGACGGTGAGGGGTAAGTTGGTAAGCAGCGGACATGGATGGACGTACCGTTCCAGGGCCGACACCAGCGACGATTGCAAAAGGTTTGGTGGCCATTATGCTGTATTGATCAAGTTGGAGCTGAGTTGGTATTGGTAAGTGTATGACGAGTAGAGTAGATCCGACAACCCGCGGGTTGCTGCCTTTATACCCCAGAGTTGCAGGGCAGCCAGCAAGGTGAGTAATCAGATCATGAATAATTGAGACATATTTCGCACGATGTCGTGATGTCGCGATCCATGTTGTCTTTGATTTATAATCATCGGCTTCAAACTTAAGACCGAGGAGCTCGAGATGTTGGTGCAATCAATCCGTGGAGAGCGATGACAGCATTTATGCCTGACTAACGAGGCATCTACCTCCGGCTGGTAAGGCACCAAGGCAACGAGCGCTATCGATAAGCGTCGCTTTTTTCCTTCTCCAACTTCGCTTTGCAGCTCGAAATCAACCAGCAGCTCAGCTTCTCTTGTCCCCTCATTTTACTATTCATTCTCTAGCTCATCGATTATCGCTTGCATTTTTACGCATCAACTATCCATAAAATGTCTGACGAAGATTCCCTCCTCACAAACCTCTGCGCAATCTGGTCGGTCCCCCATCCCCAATCCCAGCTTCGTCGCCAGGCAGCTAACACCTCTCTTACTTGGACAGCCACATTCAACCTCCCAAATACCGCTGTCCCCGCTGCTCAACCCGAACCTGCTCCCTCCCCTGCACCCGCCGCCACAAGCTCTGGTCGCAGTGCTCCGGCATCCGCGACACAGCCGCATACCTACGACGCACCGAGCTAGCCACCGAATCCGCCTTCGACCGGGACTTCAATTTCATAACGGGCATTGAGCGGCGGTTAGAGCGGGCGGGCCGCGATGCGGAGAATAGGGGCGTCGCTGTTGATGGGAAGACTGGCGTGAAAGATCCTGGGGTTGTGGGGTTGGACGACCAGACTGAACAGGAGACTGGGGCGAAGAGGAAGCGCGGAGGTCCTGCTGCTCAAAATGGAAATGGGCTTGAGAGGGGCCTTGCGAAGGGAGAGGCCGGGTTTCTGAAGAGGGCGGCGGATGCTGGGGTTAAAGTCATCAAGGCGCCGAGGGGGATGAGTCGCGCGAAGGCGAATGGGTCGAGGTGGCATCCGAAGTGAGTTATCCACTGTATTTCCAGAGTGCTTCCCTTTTGTTTTGAAATTCTGCATTTGCTGATTGGTGTCGTTTTACAGGCAGAAATGTTTACATTGGACGATCGAGTGGGTGACTGACAACGGAACGAAGAGGATGAATTGCGCGGAGACAGCGACTATCGGCGAGGGCTATGATCGAGCCTTTCCGTTGACCAGGGAAGAAAGGCAGTTACGCGCTCAGGAGTTGGACGCTACAAAGGAGACCGAGGCCGAGGCAAATAAAGACTCAGATTCTACTCAAGTACAGCTACAACAACAACTCGAGTCCACCATACCAGCCCCGGAGTCTGAGACGGTTCCGCAGTCAACAACAACAACAACAGACTCGTCTCTCCCTCCAAACAACCATCCAACGGGACCGTCACCCGCTCAAGACGAAACCGAACCGGTCTCACAGCAGACACCGACACCACCATCAACGCAGAATAACCCCGTTACGTCGCATCGGAACGTCTACTTCTACATCCACCGCCCCCGCACCGCAACAAAACAACCCGTCCTCGCCGCCCTCTCCCCATCAACATCTCTCACAGCCGCACTAAAAGACCGCGTCGTCCTCGAGTTCCCTACAATTTACATTCTACGCAGCCCACTGAGCCTCGAATCAAGTACTGAGACAGAAGAGTCCAACGCAAAATACATCCTAGAAGCCGAGTACCTACGAACGCACCCCGATGAAAATGCAACCGCGCAAACCGGCAATGTGGGTGATGAGGAGGGATCAGAAGATACAGATCCGCCGCTCTACGGCGCGGGCGCGGTGGATATACCGGACGTGGACGAGGGAAAGATGTTGGAGGTTCTAGAGAAGGATTTATTGAGCAGGTCGGCAGGGGCGTTATAGTTGTCATGTAATTGTGATCTGGAAAATGTCTAGTCGAGTTGGGATATATGGATAATACATAACCTGTGGATAATACTGCTGTGACATACTATACTGATCGATGCATAGGACGGGCTTTACCTGAGTATTTACCAGTCTGAGAATACAACTGGAGGTCTCATGTGTACTGTAACGAGCTTGGGGTTAGCTGAGATAGTAGTCGAGTGAGAGCGAGGCTACCAAAGCACGAGCGAGGTCTGATCAGAGCTCGCGACGCTCATACAATGATTATGGATACGATACGGTACTCCGGGCTAGTCAAGCGCGAGGCGAGCTATACGGTAGCTTCGTCACGACACGACACGGTCCGGAGTGCAGCGAGTACGGAAGCGAGAGCTCGATAGGTCAACGATGCAGGCATGCAAGTACGGGTACTAGGTGTTGTTAACAAGGATCACTCTTTGTTAGCTAAATCAAAAGCAAAAGCAAGTACGCCGGTATAAACAAATGCAGACTCCAAAAACCGAACAATATCCAACAGAAACTCCAGTGATGCAAACATGTCATAATCCAAACAGGGTATCTTTCCAAAAGCTCAGGCTCGAGCTAAAACCAAGACGCCTTATCTATGCTTGTCCGTAAAGGCATGTCTAAAACCGGATATTTCCGGTAAGCACTTATGTGCGAATGTGCGGCTGAAAGCAAAGTACGTGATTGCCGTCAGTGTAGTCCGTTGATCGGTCTTATCCTCTGCAGCCTTTTGTGAGAATGGCGCGAAGTGGAAAGACTTTGATCATCGAAGAGCCAAAGGGATGTGATCCTTGACGGAACCACAAGGCTTGTGGCATCAGAGCGGGACGCAGATGGCTATATCATGTACATGCAAATTTTTCGGATGCAAATTTTTCAGCAAGATGGCCGCTGGGGGCCATAGAGGGTGTTTCTCCAAGTCCGAAGACCGTGCAGTCCTTGTCGGACGAGCAAGGTTTTCACACTCAAGAGAGACGCAAGTGACAGTCACTATGGAGGTCGTCACTTGATGCAATGGACGTCCATCCACCAAGTTTCAAGCGATGCGGCCCTGGACGGAATCGCAAAGCTCGATAACCTGGCGAACGGACACGGGCACCATGATGCGTTTTATCAGCATGATGACCACGTAACTCGAATCATCGACGCGAGACGTCTTGAATTCGAACATCGCCCAAAGCGAGGTACGGGTGACATATCACCCAGAGGGAGGAGTACAAGGTCGATAGGCCGGAACATACCAGAAAGGTAGATCCCCACGTCCCTGTTCCAAGACGAGAGGCGCTTCTCAAAAACTTTGAAGCGAACCATGGTCTGGAGGGTAGTCGGGTTTAGGAAGGCCTAGACTTTCATCCATCGGCAATCCAAGGTTGTTTCTCAGTCGTTGAACAACAGACAACCTTGTGCTCGTGGAAAACACGTCCGATGTAATCGGACACGTCCAAAACATTCACAACAGCAGTGTGAAAGTATACAGCGGTCAAATCACTTCAATGAAGTTCACGTCGACACGCTGGTGGTTTCAGAGGCAGTATCAGGGATGGTAGGTTCAATCTCGACGCCTAGCCTCTGCGCGATCTTCCTCGAAGACAGCGAGACAAGTTCAGTAGCAATCGTGTCCGGGATGGTCGGTTCCAGATCCCTCTCCCTGACAGCGGGCGCTTTCTCATTGCGAGAGCTGGAGGAGCCCGTCGGGCTCATCTCCATACGCTCAGATCTGCTAGGCTTCATCTTTAACCGGCCACGTTCCAAAGCCCGGAGGATAGTGCCGACTTCCTCTGAAACAATCCCGCGGAGCTTGCTCATTGCGTCGTCTGAGAAATCAGATGACGCGTTTGCGTTCCATCCCAGCCGAGCGGATTCTTCCGATGTCAGTGACTTGGACTCCATCGACGGTCCGCCGGTGATGAGTCTGTGAAGGGCGGTAGGGGAGAGATTCGTCGGACGGCGGGGAATCTTGACGGGCTTCTGCTTAGAGCTTGATGAGACAGAAGGAACCTCTTCCTGCTGGCGCTTGGGTGGACGCTGGATAGGAGACAGAGGCAGGTTGTCTCCAACCTCGTTGCGGATCTTGTAGTAGACAAGGCCCAGGGTCGCGGCCAGGGCCTGGTGGGCGGCTTCCGGGAACATGCGAACGGCTTCAGCGCGGCTCATGTTCGAAGAGCAGTCGCTGGAGTCACTAGAGTCGCTGTCGTTGAACATTCCGTCGGTCTGATGCATGCGGCCCCAGCATTCGTATCCACCAAGCTGATAAAATTCGGCAAGTTGTGCCAGGCGATGATCTAGCTGTATATTAGAAGAGGGTCGGAAGGGGATTTACTTGTCTTCTTGACTCACGTCGACTGCGTTTCTTCAGACACCAGAACCTCCAAACGGTTCTAGGGAAATAGTCGGGCCATCGCATGGTGCCATCTTCCTCAACAACCGGAACAGGTGTAACAGGAGCGTGGGTTGTATGAGCCAGGGAGTTAAACCGGACACGTTCAGAATGCTTCATGCGCGATTCCATAAGGCAGAACCGCTCAGAGAACCGCTCAAACATTGAGTTGAGATGTCGCGATGTCTCGTGTTGCAGGGTAATGAGATCGGTGCGCAGCTGGCTGATAGTCGAGTGCAGTTTACTGATTTCCACACGGCACCCACAGACATCAGTCTGCATGTGTTCTAGATCGTCCTGGATCTGGTCGACATTCTTGGACAGGCGGTCCACATCGCTGCGAAGCAAGACGGTTTCGTTGCCGGCTTGCCCTAAGCTGGATTTTAGCTGCAGGATACCCGACTTCAACTGGCCGACGTCCGCTCGTAAGGCGACCACGTTCAGATCGATTCTGTTGCTGATGGACCGGTTGGCTTCGAACTCTCGACGGATATGTTCATCTTCTCGGTTGCGTCGATCGGCGTATCCGTCCTTGGTCAGAACAGTTGATCGTATTTCGAGGAGGCGTGAGTCGATGACGGAGAGACGGTCGTGGAGATGGGACAGGGACGATTCGGAGATGGGAGTCGTGGCTTCATGGCGGAAGGAGATCATGGGTGACAGGGGCATGGAGACGCTGGATGTGCGGGATATACTTCGTTCTAGGGTGGCGGTCATGATGGAGATGGAGATGGGGATGGGGATGAGGGTGGTATGACGAGACCGGTAGTCAGGATCGAGGATACGGCGTTATTTGTGGACATGGACGGGGTATAGTCATTGAGACTCTAACAACAGCTTCCGAGGTCCATTTTGACGATGGTAGATATGGCAATATCGATGGTATGACGCTGGTATCGATGGCAGTGACGGTGGAAGCGGTGGTGATGGTGAGGCAGAATGGGAGTCAGGTCAGCGGATTGAGCGGATTGAAAGGGTCGGGGCGGGTTTGGGTCTGCGTTGGGTTGTGGGAGTCTGGCTGATGCGAGCGAAGAAAGGAGGCTAGGGCCGTGCACCCCTCCTTTCACTAGCGCGCTGCCACTTGGCGTTGGCACAACAACACAGTCGTCGACTCATCTTTGCTCATCCAGCTGAGGTTAATCATAATGAGTAAATGATTTGATCTCTTCATACTGCTCCAATGTGCTATTATGACTGATAATGATTAAATTTTGATGAGTTGAGAGCAATTGATGGAGGCAAACCTCCCCTACCAAAGAATCGTGTGATGTTACGTCGTACAATACGAGCCTGTGACAATACGGCCAGCGCTCGGAAGATTCAGCCAAAGAACCGGAACAAGTTTAGTGGAATTCTCAGCATCCAGCTGACCGGCTGCTTCCAATCACCGCTTCAACCAGCCGTATCGCCATCACGGTCGCATCGCTCAGCAGCCATCCAATTGGTTGACAGGAATAGCCAACGCTCCGCCTGAGCGTCAGCCTACGTAGCCAAATGTATGTGTCTTTCCATTGTTCTTGTATTACACAGTGGCGATAATCACCAGAGTCAAATGCAAGATTCCATTGCATTTGAACAACCCTATATCCAGGTAATTTCATTTTATACTGATGCCATAGTTAGCATATAGCGCTGCTCTGGCAAGACGGCATTCCTGAGGTTTGCAAGGACTGAATCCTCAAATCCCCAGTCGCCCGCCCACAGCGACATCCGACAGCCTTCCTTGAAATGCGTCGCCAAGTGGTCTGCGCGCGCCGACCAGCTGGGTAAAGACGCTGCACAGAAACCACAGCGACTGAGAATTTCACTTTGTGAGGATTTCCACACTTCAAGGTTCGGCACTGGGTATCGCGTGCATCCGTGAAACTTGCGCAAATGCTGCCAGAGGTAGTCTTTTCGACTAAACGAACGTTCAGGTAGAGGCTTGGTCGCACATTCCCTGAAGTCGTGGCTTTCCCAGTGCTCCGGGGTAGGAGTCTGGTGGTCGCAGAACCTGCATTCTGCGAGAGGTAAGTTATCTTCTAGTTCTCTAAGGTTTGGCGTGCAGATCCAGACATCGAGCGGGAGATGCACGCTCTTCTCGTGTCTGGACCAGTCGTGCTTCTTCTTGAATGATTGCAGGCAAAAGGTGCACTGATAGTGCCCATCCTCTGCGATGCGCTTCCGTCCTCCTCGTCGTCCAGATGATGGTCGGCGATATGGCCGTGGTCGTAAAGGTCCTTCTCCAGATTGATAACTCCAAGCGGACGAACTACTATCAGATGCATCTGATGCGAGGATGCCGAAGCTTGATAACGACGATGCAAGCGAGGACCCCTCCAACCCAGACGAAATATCCGTCGCTGGCGATTCCACCTGGCTCTGATGACCAGAAGCATCCGACCCCGCAGACGTAGCAATAGCCTCTCTAATCACAGCCTCAGACACGGGCTCCTCATCTGGCGGCGACGCCTGCCATCGCTCCATCGGAGTCAAAGAAGCCACATCGCTCGTCGGCATCGGCGATCCAGCGCGGAATACCTTAGTCGACGCCCTCGCCTGCCGCTGCTGCTTATGCCGACGCCGGGCATTCGCAAACCAAGTCGAGATCCTCTGTCTCGAAAACCCCGTCTCCGCCGCAAGACGAGCCTTCTCCTCCTCGGACGGATACGGGAAGTCCTCATTGCGATAGAACCAGTCCCGTAGTACCCGCGCCCCTTTCCTGACAAACTGCTTCGTCTCTTTCGAGCCCGGTTCTCGTGACGCCTCGCCTCCATCCCTATTTCCATCCCCCTCTTCAATGACACCATGCAGATGCCCAAGGACCGGCGAGAGCGTCTCAAACCCCGACGGCTGGCGCTTCTCGCCGCGCCCAAAGCTACAAGGACGGAACAAACCAACGCAACTCGAGCACGACGGCACCGGATTCGGGTTATGCGTTGTCCGCCGCAGAATCAAACACTGCAGCCGATGTCTGCGGCAATGGTCGCAGGGTTTCGCAGGCCGATACGCCCCATCTAACCACTCGGCAACATTGTTGAAGCCCGGCAACACGATCGGCGTACTCCTAGTATCCGCCTGTACTTGCTCCAGCGGTTCAGGTTCAGGGTTGTTGAGGTTCGCTGGCTCAAATTCACTGATCGCCCAATCCCTTCCCACTGCAGCTCCAGAGAGCGGGGTTGGGTTCACGATCGGGGGTGTCTCAAACTGCGTTTGTGTAAAGTCGAGCGTTTGCGACGACCATGATGTCCTTTCGCTCGGTAAGAATCCGAAATTTGGGTCCTGCACCCCGTAGAGAGCGTCCCAGTCGAAGAAAAGGTCGTCCTCCGTCGGAATCGGCCAACTCCCCGCTGGGGCAGCCGGGGCATCTGCGGTTACCCCACGTTCATTGAGTTGGGGATGTTGCAGCGATTCGAGAAAGGCGTCATTAGGCACCACTTGATCGTCCATATCCCGCGCTGTCTGGCCAATAATACCAAGAGATAATGTGACCGATTTCCGCGCCGCGAACCTGAATTTGCCGAGCTGGAGAGTTGCCCAGTTGTTCAGGTTCTTTTCTGTTTCTTGCCAGCGCCGCTGACCCGATGACTCATCATACTGCCTGAATTTTCAAGGCGCCGAGGTTTCTGCGAGCCAATCAGAGTAGACAGGGTCATTTCCTAGGGCTCGCTCGGGCTCGATTTCAATCCTTAGCCCATGCCCTATGTATGCTCAAAGGTGTTGTCCCAGATTCAAACTGCCTATATGCTAAGTATCTCCTTTTTAGATTATCTGACGGTCCTTAAGTACATACAATCTCCGCTCCCGAAACCTAAACCCAAGCAAGTCGTCCATGTCCAGGCCAATCGACTATTCGTCCATAACCTATTCGGATGATCAGGCGCAGAACTCCCTCGCCAGCTTCTCATACACATTCTTCAGCCTCTGCAAACTCTCCACCTCAACATACTCCTCTTTCCCATGTAGACCATGACCAGACGGACCGAAAACGACAGATGGGATGCCTGTCTCACTCAGAAGCGCAGCGTCGCACCAGAACGGGACGCTTTGAATAGCAGGTCTCTTCCCCATCACCGTTTCTGCGCAATCGGCCACCGTCTGAATAAACGGATGATCAGCGTCGATCTTGTGAGCAGGACGGCAGAGCGTAGCCCTAGGCTCAGCGAATTTGAACTGGGCGTTTCCGGCCTTGGCCTGGATGTCCTGCAAAAGGCTCTTGATGTCGTTTAGAATTGACAGCGCCGTTTGGCCGGGCACTGTCCGGAATTCGATCGTGGTCGTGCACTTCGCTGGGTATGAGGAAGCCTCCTCTCCACCCTTGATTAAGCCGCAGTGTAATGTTGCCGGGCCGAGCACGTCATCAACTGGGAGCGTCTTGCTATACTCAGCCATGGCCTGAAGGAAGCGCCCAGTATGAAGGATCGCGTCGACGCCATGGACATGGTCGGAACCGTGCGCAGCAACGCCGAGAATATCGACCTCTACCCAGACAAAGCCCTTATGCGCGTGGGCCATGGCTTCACCTGTTGGCTCAGGAATAACAGCGCCATCAGTTTTCCATCCTGCAGCGAGAATATCCCTTGTTCCCTGTGACGCATCCTCTTCGTCCGAAACAGCGGCTACAATGATATCTCCGCGCAAAGAAGACCCGGCTCTTATAGCTGAGACGGTCGCTAGTGCACTTGCAAGCCCGCCCTTCATATCTAGACTGCCTCGGCCGAGGACCACCTGCTGGCCATCTCTGGTATCAACGGCCCCGGAAAGTGCATCTGTTTCGTAGCTCGCTAGGCTGACGGTGTCAATATGTCCATTGAACATAAGCGATTTTCCCCCTCCGGTTCCTCTGAGCACGCCGACGACGGACGGTCGACCGGGAACTGGCTCAACGCGGTGCGACTCGATGCCGCGATGCGCGAACCACGCCTGTAAATAGTCGCATATTTGGGTCTCTCCCGCGCCATCGGCGGTGGACAGCGTGGGATTCGAAGAGTTGATCTTTGTGAGCATGCGCGTGATTTCAACCTCGTTGTCGGGCGACACATCCAACGGGATGGGGTAGTCGCGGGGTCCTTCTGTGCTCAACAGGACGACGACCGAGTCCTTGGTCAGGAGGGACTGTGAGCCTTCTTTCGTTAGGCGTCTCAATGCCGCCAAAGAAGCAGCACCACAGGGCCCAGCGGAGACTGAGCGCAACGCTAGATATTTCACGGCTTTGTGGCTCTCGTGGCAAGAAACCGTGACGCTAGCGTCTACGAGACGCTGGAGGTTTGGCCATGCGGTCGTTGAAACTGTTCCGCAGTTCATACCGTCCATGATGGTGAAAGATGTCTCGATTGGCGTTAGCTTTTCTTTAAGCAGGCTATCCTGCAAACAGGCGGCTGTGTCCGGTTCGACGGTGACGACGGAAATGGGAGCCTCCCTCGACTTGCAGAAGGTCGAGACGGTGTTTGCGAGACTTCCAACTCCCACAGGTGTTATCATGGTCGTCGCGACAAGACCCATCTCAGCCAACTGGCTCTCGATCTCGAACATCATGGTTGAGTACCCGTCCACAATCCACGAAGGAACCTCTTCATACCCATCCAGTGCAGTATCCTGGATGAGCAGCGCTCCTTCCGTCTCCTTAGACACCTTCAGCGCCTCCAATACAGCTGCGTCGTAGTCATCCTTGATGATTGTCACCTTTGCTCCCTCCGATCTGATCCTGTTCTGCGTGGGCTCGTCCATCGAGTCCGGCACAAAAATGTTTGATTCGATACCAAGCGTACGCGCCATGAACGCGACAGCCCGGCCATGGTTCCCCTTCGTCGCGGCCAACAGTGTTATCGTTTTTTCTTGTGCTCGGGCAGCCATCTCCTCAAGGCTCACAGTCGGCGGTAGATCGAGGTAAGCGGCTACCGCACGGTAACAGCCCCATGATGCGCCGAGGACTTTGAAAGAGGGTAGCCCGAGCCGGTTGCTTTCATCTTTGACGAGAACGGAACGGACGCCTAGCTCGGTCGCGAGATCAGGAAAGGACGTCAGAGGGGTCGGAGTGTAACCGGCGAGTGACTGGTGGAACTTGGAGAGGCCTTCGACTTCAAGGAAGTCACTCTGTGTGCCGGCCGAGGCGTTGAAATAGATTGGACGTCGGGGAGACATGGTCAGAACTATAAAACAAGATATCGAGAGAGGATAGATAGTGTTTAGAAGGCTGAAAATGAACAGAGGGGGAAAGCAGCAGATGATTGTGGACAGTCAAAGTCAGACTGTGGACTCTCCAGGCGCCTTCCAACAACATACACCAGAAACCCACTTCAACCAGGCAAACTCTTCTTCCCATTCGAAGTTGTAGCGGGCAGTAAAACTGTTACGAAATCTCTTTTCATTCGCTATTGGAAATCCAATATTTGGTGTCGTGCTCGAAGTGTATTCTCAAAATTCTATTGCAGGTATATATTGTTCCGTTGCCGCAACTTCTCCTAGCAGAATACACAAAAGGGCCTATACTCAATGGCTTTTACTGAAGCAATACGCCATGACATCCGGTAGCGGTCATCAAGAGTTACCTCTGCTCTACATATACACCGAGCTCACTAGGGATGCAGACGGCAGCGCAAGCGTTGAGGCGTGCAAAAGTCAATGCGGGGGCAGCGTTTTCCCATACAAACTGGGCCTGGGCAATCTACACAGCAACAACAGCATTAATGAGCACTGAAATTAAGCATTGTACAAAGCTATGAACTATACGACGAAGGAAATGAGCTAGCAATACTGTTCTCGGTCGAGGCTGGAAAGCACCTGGCGACGCTCCTTCCCAAGCGACGCATCTCCAGCTTGTCTTCTCCGCGTCTTCTCTGCATCATCCTGGAGCACACGATGAGCTGATCCAATTCCTTTCGTTCCCAAACTATTGATATCGAGTCATTGCCTACTTCCTATCTTACCAATGGCGAAGCTCACCCTTTCACTTTCTCTCCTTCCTACGCTCTCCCTAATAGCACGCACGGCTTCAATCGTCCTGCCTCCCATCAACACCACCTTCGCAACAATCGACAGTCACACTCCGAACCTAGCCCCTCGAGTGCCCGGTCACTATCCTTGCGACTGCTATATCGTCTCCGGTGATGAACCAGGCTACTTCACCGACTACAAGTTCTGGGACTTCCGCGATGTCCGCCTCCCTCACAGCCTCAATAGCGGTGCCTACCGTCCCTCGTACGCCAATATGTGGGAGATGGAAACAATTCCGCTGAGCCAGACGTCCTTCAAGGAAGACTGGCAGACGCAGTCGTGGAGCCGGCAGGAGACGACAGACAGCACGGTTCCCATGGTGAACGACGACGCGAATGCCTTCTTCGCGAAACATCCCAACCTCCCGGCCGCCAGCCAGCTCGTTCTCCGTACAACCAGGTTTCCGACACACTCGTCTTCCGCGGAAGTTGAAAGCCAGCATGGGAACTATTTTCATGCCTCGATTCGTGTCCGTATGAGGCTTATGTCCCGGGAAGCGATCTCCAGACGTCCTTGGGATACCGCGCCGGATGTCAATGTGGTTCCAAAGGGTGCTTGCGCTGGGATCTTTACCTACCGTTCAGCGACCTGCGAGTCCGATGTTGAGTTCCTCACCTCCGATCCCCCCAACACAATCCACTACGCAAACCAGCCGGACTATGACACCGAGCACGACCTCATCATCCCCGGTGCGAGTGAAGTCGTCACAACTGTCCCGGTACCCTGGTCGGACTGGGTGACACACCGCATGGATTGGTTCGAAAATCAGACACTCTGGTACGCCAATGACGATCTGCAAGCGGTCGTCTCCTTAAGCGTTCCCGATCGCCCGAGTATCCTTGCCATGAACCTCTGGAGTGACGGCGGAATGTGGACGGGCGACATGGAGATGGATGAAAGCGTATACATGGGAATCGAATGGATCGAGGTCGCCTACAACACCTCAACTGCAGGCGACATGCCCGTCGAAACCGGCCAACGCCATCGTATGCGGCCCTCGAAGCGGACAAGAAGGGATCCCCACGAGAAGAGACAGACCTCCGGTCACGAAGCCAGGGAGAGGTGCGAGAAGCCGTGCTACCTGGATAAGATGCAGCGTTATTAGTAGCCTCCAGTATCATTATCATTATCTACCAATGAATACGTTTACTCTCCAATCAGCTCCTTGTAGCAGTCTCATGGCTTCCAATCTTGACTCATTCTGCAATGCCCGTCTACTCCAAGACTCTGGACTACTCCTATCGGCCTTCGTAGCTTCACTCTCTAGATCTTTCAATAAGATACGTTTACTCTTCGATTCGACAATCAGCGACCGAGCAATCTTCGTGCCTTCCCGCATCCTCACTCTTAAGAAACACGTTTCCTTCCCAAGGCTCAACTATTTCTATCGTTCATCGTACCTGTCGCTATCTGCTCTGACTGTCTTTCCTCAACGACTTTCGAGCGCGATGTACGAAACGTCTGCTACTTACTTCGTCGCTACGGTAGCCTTGGGATATCATCGCTCGACATCAACCGGCAAAAGATCGCAGCTTGTCAAGGTACGAGCTTAGGAGGTTCTAGAGAAATATTCTACGGGCGCGTCTACGTCTTGGAACATCAGTGTGAGGTGAAGTAGTTCATTGACATTTTGTTTTGTCAATGGAAGTGTAGTTGTGGTTGTGGTTGTAGTAGGTACAGAGGTTCTAATACATGAAGCCTACCCGTCGTGCAGGCGCTGAGGGACCCGTGGCATGGGTTGGCGTAAGGGTCTGATCGCCCGTGGCGTGGGTTGGCGTAAGGGCTTGATCGGTGGACAGCGCCCACACGACGGGCAGGAAGTCTAAGTACATGAAGAGAAGAAACATGAAATGAAGCCTACCCCTTCGCGCGGGCACTGAGTGACCCGTGGCATGAGTTGGCGTGAGGGTCTGACCACCCGTGGCATGGGTTGGCGTAAGGGTTTGATCGATGGCCAGTGCCCGCGCGAGGGGCAGGATGCCTATATACATGAAGAAAAACGCTTGTTGGGAGCAGTGCTCCCGGGGTATCTCAAAAACAAAAACGCCGCGCTATGCCAAACCCCAAACGAAAGTAAAGAAACATAAAGCAAAACACAAAACCCAAACCCGAAGCCTAAACCGAAGCAAAGCACAAAACGCAAACCCAAAGCCCAAGCCGAAGCAAAACACAAAACCCAACCCCAAAGCCCAAGCCGAAGCAAAAGGAAAGACGAAACCCCAAAGCCCAAGCCGAAGCANCAAGCCGAAGCAAAAGGAAAGACGAAACCCCAAAGCCCAAGCCGAAGCAAAACACAAAACCCAACCCCAAAGCCCAAGCCGAAGCAAAAGGAAAGGCGAACCCCCAAAGCCCAAGCCGAAGCAAAAAGAAAGACGAAACGACGAGGCGCCGGGCCATGGTCGTAAAACGCTGATAACGATACAGCTCATAATGATGCAGCTTGTAAAATGCAGTATGACGATGCAGGCTGATGATGTTGTTGATAAAGATGAAGTCATAAGAATACGACCGTTGAGGTCGATAAAAATGCGGCCACGGCCGATTGAGCGAGGCCGATAAGTATGCAGTCGGTAAAATATGCAGTCGCTAGAAGATGCAGTCGATAAAAGATGCAGTCGCTAAGAATACGGCCGCGGCCGGAATGGAGCGAGGCCGGTAAGAATACGACCGATGAAGTCGATAAGGATACGACCGATGAGGTCGATAAGAATACGACCGACGAGGTCGATAAGAATACGACCGACGAGGTCGATAAGGATACGGCCATGGCCGATTGAGCGAGGCCGATAAAAATAAGACCGTTCAGTGAAAAGTCGATAAGAATGCGACCGTGGTCGATAATGATAAGGTCGATAAAAATACGACCGTGGTCGGTAATGATATGGTCGTTTGGCAAGTGTCGTTATCGATTTTTCGTTGTTTTTTTTTGTTGTTGTTGTTGTTGTTGTTGTTGTTGTTGTTGTTGTTGTTGTTGTTGTTGTTGTTTTGATTTTCGTTTTCGACCATGTTCAGAGCGAAGCAGCCTCGAAGCGGCCGTTCATGAGTTCGGCAACAATCTTCTGCCGCAGCAGAGGCGTATCCTTCGCACCGTAAGCGAGAGGCTCGATGTTCAAGGCCACTGCCTTGGCCGTGGTCAACAAGAACACTCCACAGTCGCTGCCGTTGTTTTGTTGAGGGGACTTCGACGGCAGGACATTCCACTCTGCGTCGACAAAGAGGTCACCGAGTTCACCGCGGAGCCAGTCCTTGACAGTTGCAACGTGGCGCTTCGAAAGCGAGCCAAGCGAGTCGAAGTGCTCGATGGTGCGGGCCGAAGGCTTGACGACAATCAAGGTCCAATGAGACATGTCATGCACCGGAATGAACACAGTATCAACATCCAGAAGATCTGGTCCTCCAATTTTGGCCCTCTTGGCCCAACGCCGAACAGAATCGTAGCCCTTGTCTCGAAGGTTGGAAAAGAAGAAAGTGTTGAACGCGTGGTAATGTGGCTTGGCGTGACGACCAGCATTGTGGTGCTCCTCGCGCATGTGCTCGACGATCAGCCCAAGGTACGAGTTGATCACCTCATCGTTCAGCCACTTCAGCGGAGTGTAGCAGGTTGCAATGTCGCCTCTGGTCAGAGGCTCGCCGGTGTGAGTGTGGGCAACCTCTGCGTAGTCCGGCTTTTTCATCGCCTTCTCGAGGCGAGCTTTCCAATCATCTGCGAGAGGACGTACGACGACACCCTCAGGAATCTGCCGTCCGACTGGTCCGTCCTTGAGTCGCTTCTCCTTCTCAATCTTCTGGAGTTCCTTTGCATAGACGGACTCGCTTCGGCCTGAGGGAACTGGCTCTGAGGCGGGCTTGACAAGTTTGATTGCCGACCTGGGTGTTCCTTCGGCAAAGTCGCGTTGGCCCCATGGATCCACATACGGGTCAAGAGAAGCCGCCAATTGCGCTTGTAGTTGGGCATCAGGTCCGTTGAGCTGGTCGACCAGGAGCGCGTCAAGTCCAGGTCCTGGCTGAGCGGATGCTCTGGCCCAGTCGTGAACGTTCGAAGGCGAAGACTGAACGATAGGAGAGCGGAATTGCACTCTGTGCTCGAGTCCAACACGGTGAGCTTGTGGCGTGATAGGGCCAGGCAGCAAGCGACGTTGTGTTTCCGGGCTCATGGTCGGAACCAGCGACCTTTTGAGAATGCCGTTTCTGGGTGCTTGGGGTCGGTCGCGATCATTCACAGGAGTTGGCGGCAGACCGCGATGTGTGCGGGAAGTCGAGCGAGAGACATCATCCACACGGCGAGAAGGGTCGCCTTGAGAGAGAAAAGAGGGGATTGCGTTGATGCGGGGATCATAAAATGCGGCTGCCATTCTCGATGCCTCTCTAGATGCTTCGTCCGGGAACGGGAGATTCTCGTTCACAGGAAAGCCGTGTCTTCGGCGCCAGATGTTGCGTCGCACATTCTCCTGCTGCTCTGGCGAGAGCGTTGCAATGTTCACGCGCGGAGGAGAAGCACGAGCAGGCGAAACTGGTGGGGTTGCAGTATCGGGCGCAGGAGCAGCAGCCGCACGAGCCGCACGAGCCGCACGCGCGCGAGCATGAGCGTCGCGACGCTCTCGCCACATGGCCGTCACCCTCTGAGCTGCAGTGCCAGCCGCCTGGTGAGTTTGACGAGTGAGGGTGCAGGCAGCAGCCAGTGCACCATGGAAAGCATTTGCGACAGTCTGCATCATCGCACGTTGAGCAGTGTATGCTTGTCGGAGAGTGCCATGCACGGTGGCGTAGTAATGAGCCCAAACGGGAGGCCCGTTGTCGACAGGACGGGCGACCTCCGGAGCGACATCTGAAGCGTCTTGTCCTTGTGGGCTGTCGTAGTGGCCGGGCATCAGGGCACCCGACATCAAAGCCGCTTGCGGAGTCACGTGTGTCTCGGTGACGGGCTGTGGCTGATGTTGAGGCGAGAAATGTGGCGCACGAAGCAGCTGTGGCTGCGGAAAGCGCTGAGGCTGGGTAGGCTGCTGTGGCTCGGAAGGGCCTGCCGCAGAACCTGGCGTGGATGCAGATGGCCAGCAGCCAGGGACAATGCCGTTCGAGTTCACGGTTTGTTCGACTGGAGTGACGGGAGCGACAGTGTTCAATGGCACGGCGGGCGAGTCAAAGGAAGTGCGCTGCGCAATAGGTTGAGCTGGATCCTCAATGGATGTCTCAGAGTTATCGATAGACATGCTGGAGGTGTTCGACGCCTCTCCACTGACACGGCGGAATTTCGCGATCGGACTGCCAGCATCGGTCGTCATAAGACGGGACTCGTCGTTCCTCGTGTTGTCATCGGCACTGCGAGCGCGCGGCGCGAAGAGGCTGCCGGTATGATCCAGAATATTGCCTTCCTGGTCGCGCTTTCTGGGCTTGATCAACGCAGCTTGCCGGGTGGGGTCGTGCACAGAGAGTGGTTGATCGCGACGGCCAAAACCAGCGCCTAAGGCTGAACTGTATCCGGACGGACGCGACGAATTCATAAGACCAGTCCTGTAGGTTGTCGCGGCGTGTCGATATAACTCGACTTCGTTGGCGCGTGGCAACACAAGTGGCCGCTCGTCACGTTGGAATGCGGTTCGTGCTTGTGAGAAGCGGAATTGAGAAGGGGAAAGCATCGATCTGGGCCGACTAGTCATTTGAGGTTAGTTTCGATCTCTCATGGCTTGGAACCACTTACTTGATCATTCCCATAGGACGCGCGGACCTCTCAATAGGCCTGACCACTTCCGGTGGCCTGGGACCGAGACGCGGGATGGGACGCCTAGTAGGCGTTTGCGAGGAGGAAGCAAGGGTAGGTAAGGGGTGATTAGTTCCATCGGAAGTTATTTTCTTCACATCCGATGGATTCCAGTTGGGCACATAGTCTCTTGCAGGGTCGGCGAGATCTTCTCTGCTGAACTGCAGACTAGTAGGCCCGTAATTGAGCGCATCATAAGGAGATGCATCGGTCATGACCGTATCCTCAGGAGAGGCCTGATTGTTCGAAAAGTAAGACATGATGATGAGCGGAACTTAGAAGAGGGGATTCGAGAGGAAAAAAGGGTTTGGGATGGTGTCGATAGAGAATCGACAAGAAAAGCGCGAATAACACAAAGCTTGAGACGGCTAGAAGCCTCTGAAAGGGAATCACAACAAAGCAGATCGCAAGAATCGCGTGAAGTTGGTGAATCTCCATGAAGATTGTGTTAGTGAGAGAAGGAAGAAAAAAGTTGGGGGGAATCGAGAAGTATTCGACTTTTAAGGCGTGTTGTGGTAGACCAAACGGGAAGGAAAGCTCAAGCTCCCAGGACTTGCGCCGGCGGAGGATGAAGAAGTGCGGGAGGTGCGGTGGAGGCCTTCACGTGACCTGGCGGCGCGACAATGGCCCAAGCGCTGGGAAAGCTCCGATAGCCAGATTCCAGACAGCCGCGCCAGAGCCTCAAATACGTACGGAACGGTGTGGAGGAATAATCATTCTTGAGGTCTATATAGAGACTACCGTATCGCCAATTACAGTTTATATCGCAGAAGATGTGAGCAAGAACCAAAATATGTACAAGACAGCCGGCAAGCATGCTCAGTCTGCCGAACATCATTGTCGTAAATTCGTCGCGCATGCTCAATTACGGGCCAGGCATGAGTCCTATCCATTCGAACAGCACGCCAGCCCCGTCAATGACAATCCAAGCAATCCCTATGAAAGGTTAGCGTCAGGCGGTGTTATGGGTAGCTATTAGCTCACCTGAATATACAACCAGCTTCGTGATAACCTCAACATCATATCGTACACGAGGACGTTTTATTTGTGCAAAAAGCTCTTCCTCTTCTCGCTCATGATCGACGAACTCGGGGAACGGCTCTGTGCCTTCCGGGGACTGAGATCTTTCGATTGCGGTCGTACCCCTTCCCATCATGTGCTCGTACTCGTCCAGCTTGGACGGTTTCCGCGACAGCTTTGGCAGGGCTGTCGCAGAAGTCGAGGCGTCATCCTGGATGGCGTCCAATGCAGGAGAGCCCCGGTATGGACTGGAAAGGCTGTCCCGCCTGCGTTTCTCGCGATATGCTAGAGTCTCGTATGCGTCGGCTTCGGATTGCGGCCCGATTGAGATTGCGCGGCGTCTTGGATGGCGGATGTTCGCGACAATGGAAGGGATATCGGAGAAGCTCGGCATTACTTCGTGGTCCTTCAGTTGCGCGGGAACAGTGGTGTATTGTCTTGAGCATGTATTAGCGGGCTGTACTTATAACTTGCGAAGGTTACTCACGAGGCGTTGGTAAAGAAGCGGCGAGGTAGGATCAACCCCAGCTTCTCCAGCCCACGAAAAACCGGCGGAAGAGTGCGCAACAAAGTGGGCTTCATGGTTTCTCTCCACGCGAAGAGTAGCACCACTCCGATAAGAAAGCGGAGACCCATGGTTGCCCAGCCTAGACCCTCATATCGGGAATGAGGGAGAGTCGCGGGATGCGGGTTGTCCCACGTCGCGTTCGCCCTAGCCAAATTCCAGTATGCCACCTGCGCCCCGATCATTACACCCGCGAAAGCAACGCTATCATCAAAACAAGGACAATCGTCGGCCGGTTCCGGATGGATGCGCACAAGAGCTAGGATGATGAGAATGACGAGCGCCACCTGTTTTCCGCTGCCGACCTGGACGTATTGATCTATAGCCGTCTCGAAAGTACAATGCAAAACAGCCAATATGACACCCAACGCTGACCCAATAACGACGTCGAAAAACCCATGCATACCGCAGTACAAACGGCCTAGGACGATTGACGTGACGTATAGATAGGTAACGACCTGGAGGAACAGATTTAGGCCGTCACTGAGTGCCGACTCGGGAGAATTCAACAAGTATAGAGCGTAGACCGCGACGGATACCGCATTGGTCGAGTGAGTCGATGGGAAGCCATACTCCAGCGCCGCGGAGCCAGACATTGTGATTCGTTGCAACGGAGGGGACAGCGGTCGTGGGAGGCAGACTAGATCTTTGATGAAACCGCTGAAGAAAACTCCAGAAGCCAATAGATGTACCATCCTAGCAAGAGCGCGCCGTTAGTCACTGAAGCATTGGTCGGTTGGATCGCGTCAACGGATCTGCTCGGATGACCTACCCCCGACCCAAGCTTGGGTAACCGCTCCAGAAGAATATCGGCAGAAAGACCATGAAGAACGTGTGCGTCCCAAGGTTCGCCGTGAATGCAAAGTATGAGTCCAATGCCGGCGTGCGGATTTTCTCCTGACACCAGGCGAGGTAGGGGGTCTCATATCGGATCAGCGGGAGAAGCTTTTGTCGGGGCCAGTATCGCCAAGGGGGAAGTTGGTTCCGGTCTGGTGAAATCAAGAAGTCAGTCTCGGGTTCGTGAAGGTTAACTTCAGGAACCACGCGTACAATGATCCAAGCTCCTCAAGCCAGCGTCTGGCTGGCCCTCTATTATCGGGTGCCCCATGCTGCCGATGACGATTCGAACCGAGGTTTTGCGCAACGATCTCTCTCATTGAACGTCTGCGGCATGCCCTTGCGACGAAGGTGGTCGACAAATCAGTAAGCGAATCGGTCCCCCGAGTCACCGATCAAGTCCCGAAGGTGTAAAGGGGAGGGAGGGAACGACAGATAAGCGACAATCGCGCAAAGAAGAAATCTAGAAATGAAGCCCGCGGCGCTGAACGGGCTGACTCTTGGCGCTCGCGTCGATATCAAGCTGTGCGCTTACTCAGCGATATGCGCTCTGTGCTGCGGTCGTTAAACAAGAGCGACGCGATAGCAGGTCCGACTTCGTGTCGAAGCCATTGCTCGCATGCTAGCTCGTTCTCTTAATGGTCGAGGGATTGGGTTAGAATCGGGTTGTGTGGCTGTGCGAGTGCCAAGTATGCTACTGTACTGTATGGAGTACTCCGTACGGAGCTATACTCGAGCACATGCAGCAGGCGGCCAACTGATAAATCGCCAGCCTTCGCTTTTAGATCTTGCTTTCAGAATCTGAGATATATTCCGCATGCTTGGAAGAGGATCCATAATGACGAATCTCCTACGCTGCTGGTCTAAGCCTACCCTTGGAGCAGGTGGCAGTCCGTGCGTGGACGATGATATATTTCTAACGGCAGAACCAACACGTGGGGCAGCTTTCGTTGACATGGAGCGTAGCGTAGGAGTGAGTCTCGTAGATGAGTTGCATTTCCCATCAAATCTCAGATGCAGCGATCTTAGATCTCAACACCGATCTACTCTATGATTACATTGCAACATCGAGGAACGAGAGCAAGATCTGGTTTCAAGCCTTGTCTACGGGCAAAACAAGGAATGAAGAGCCAACCCCTCCCTTTTCGAGGCTTCGGCTCAGGCTCGGAGTGCTTGATCCCCAGATCCAACCGAGCAGGAGCCAATCCAGGCACAGCTGCCCGAGATATGCCGCGATCAAGTGGGCGAGATGAGATCATGGCGGCTCGAGGTGGGCGAGACCGAGGGCCAGGAATCCAAACGCGTCTCACGAAACGGCTCGAACCAAGGCCTCAACCAACCGCGGCGGCTGAGAACGGACGGCCCTTGCTAAAAATAGTGGATAGATCGAGGCACAATCGTTACAATTGGACTAGACTTGGAGGCGTGACAGCGGGGAGCTGAGGATTGAGGTCATGTCACAATGCTTGGAGCCGCGGCGTTGCCCAGTTGCCATGGCAGCCCGTCCGCCCGTAAACATCTGGCGGGTTTCAGGCCCAGCCTCACTCACCTCAAAGTCGCCATATTATTCAAGATAGCGGGAGGCCAACCATCCCTTTGCTTCTTCCTCTTTTCTTTGTTTTGGAATCAATTGTCTTTGGATCTCTATTTCTCCGGATCGCCGAACCCTTTTCCTCACCAACCTCCCCCCTCGATACGCCGCCTGTCATCCCAATAATTGCAGCTTGAACGTGCTGGCTGTGGAGCCTCGGACAATACTTCCCATCGTGCTGTCGCCGGTATCTGACGAAGGGTGCCACATTCCAGAGAAAAAAAATCCCGTCCGCCATCATGTCTGGCTCAATGTACGATGACCAATATTATGCGAATTCGCGCCGCCATTCTCTCGTCACTCCTCCGCCCTCGATGGCTCCGCGGCAGAACAGGATGCGCAGCCAAAGCGTCCGAGTCAGCAACGGCACAGTCAGTACAGATAACAGCATGTCCAGTGGGAGGGAATCGGAAGCGACGAATATAACCCAACCGCCGGCATATTCCAAGAAGTTCGTCGTGGTGGGAGACGGAGGATGCGGGAAGACGTGTCTGTTGATTAGTTATTCGCAGGGTTACTTCCCAGAGGTACGTCTCGTCAATTGGTGGGTGTAAATGATACTGATGAGCGCAGAAATATGTCCCTACAGTATTTGAAAACTATATTACACAAACGCTGCACCGAAGGTCCGGGAAGACCGTGGAGTTGGCGCTTTGGGATACTGCTGGCCAGGAGGAATACGACAGATTGCGCCCTCTCTCATACCCCGAGACCGATCTCCTGTTTGTGTGTTTCGCTATCGATTGTCCTGCATCCCTTGAAAACGTTATGGATAAGGTGAGCCGCCCAGTTATCTCTCACAGGATTACCTAACAGGCATAGTGGTATCCCGAGGTGCTACACTTCTGCCCTACAACTCCGATCATCCTAGTCGGGCTGAAATCAGACCTGCGCAACAAGCGAACGTGTATCGAGCTCCTGAAGACACAAGGCTTGACGCCCGTCACGCCAGAACAAGGGCAGGCGGTGGCCGGCCGGATGAATGCATCCTACGTAGAATGCAGCAGTAAAGAGATGCGAGGTGTCGACTCTGTTTTCCAGCTCGCAGTGGATACTGTCGTTGCCGTCGAAGAGCAAAGCTGGGATACTCGTCTACCTTCATCGGCTGGGAAACCTGGTGGCAAGCCCACCGGTGGTAAGAAGATCAAGAAGCGCAGCTGCAAGATCCTCTAAGCCTTCTCATCTGGAATTCTCCACGCCACGCATCAACTTCAGTTCCGATTTATGTTATATGAGTACAAAGCCTGGTTGCTTTGACGTTCCCCTTCAGCCTCCTGCTTTCCCCTTGTTCAGCTGTTTTCATGTTAGCGCAAGTTGGACAAAAGTGCGAGCTATATCTGACTTGCTACATTATCCCTGTTTCCGCCTTTGACTCCGGCCTGGATACGCCAGCCCCGGTCAGGATTGGGGCGGCCTTTTTTTGTTTATTGACCTATACTGTTGCGAACTTGCGATGTCTATGCTTCCCTCACGACCCCCGACCCGACCAATGTATCCCTCCACCAAATTCTTCCTTGAATGACTGTTACCCTTGGCGACGATTGATTTATGTGTTTATTAGTGATGTTGCCATGAACTCGAAACGGCTGAAGGCCGCTCTTAGCATGCATGGGATATGGTGTTTTGGCGCATGCGGCTGCCTATGTACTTAACATAAATATCGAAAATTGTTCCTTATCCACCGCTTCAAGTAGCTATAGAGAGAAGAGTACGGAGTAGAAACAGAAGTAAGAAAGTCATCATTCGTAGCACTTTGTAAGAAGGTATCGGTCTCTATTACTGATGCATCTCGCTCTGACCCTCATCATGCTCCTCCTTCGGCCTGTGGTTCCCTTCGACTTCTTCCTGCGACCGGCCCATGAAGTTCTCAAACTGTGACCAGAGCGCCTCCACAGAGCCAAACTCGTTGCCCACCTGTTTCATCGTCAGTCCCAGTGAACATTGTGGTTATGGAGCGCATGGGTCAAGTCCTCACCGCAATGACGCTGTCCAGATTCCGACTTAGCCGGTTGATGTTTGCTAGGACTTCTTCCATGCTCTGGAGTCAATTAAACGAGGTTAGTTGGGTTCGTGATCTCAGATGCGTTGAAGAGGAGCATTGAACGTCAGCCACTAACATTTGCAATTTCTCTGACTAGTTCTTCGCGCTGCTCCTCGAAGACGGTGCGAGGGGCTCTTGTTTTGCCGCTGGGAGTGGACATGTTGCCTGGCTTCAAGTCAGTCCCAGAGACAGTAGATTCACTCGAGGCCTCAAGCACAGACTAACCTAGCTATCTAATTCAATTGATCTGACTGGACGCCTTTGCTGTGGACGCGACGATGTTGAATGTTTCTGTGGCTGATGCGGGGCTGGTGCAAGTCTTCCAGAATAGTTTAGCTCCGACATGCCCGGACGGACTCTTCACCGCCTGCTTGTTCCTCTCCAGTACCCCTCTTCAGCCAGCACCCGTTTCAAAGCGAAGCTGTCTAGGAACTACTACGGAGACATAATCCTTGCTCTACAACCTGCTCGAAAACATGCTCGGCAGGATGCATCAAAGCGTCAGCTGAGGGCGAACAGCAGCGCAGCACTCCTTGCGAGTTGAGCTGAGAGGCTCGAGGCCGGCCACACGACACGGAGATCCAGGTCCGCGTCCAGCCCCCTAGTTCTGAATGCGGGGAAAAGTCCCCAAAGGAAGCTTGCTAACTCTATCAGCCCGAAAATTCGGAAGTTCACAGTCGCACCGACCTCGCTTGTTTCCTTTCAAGATCTCCAGCTGCGAGCTCCTGCAAACTGCGCATGTGATGGGCCTCCAGCTGGCAGCCTGCCAGCCTGGCACTGGCAGAATCCATCATCCCGAGCACCACCGGCTCATCCTATTTCCCGGGCTGCAATTCCGAGACACACCCTGAATTATGCACTCTGCAGCACAAACTTCGAAAATCTCCTACGGTGTGTGTTCCGCTGACGAGCCGTTCCCACCGTCCATGCGTTATCTTCGCATGTTAGGCATGATCTACAAACTCCGTACGCGGCATTTGCTCCAGGTCCCGGTGCTGGCTGTTTCACTGGCACGAACTTCGTAGAAATGCCGAGGCCATTGGTTGCGGAGCGAACTGCGGGCCCTGCCGATCATCAAAAATCTCATGGCCCATGCCCCATCCCATCCCCGTGGCCGGGCCCTAGAAGGCTAGAAGGCTTCGCTAGGGTGTCCATCTGGCGGATTTCTTCCGACAAGGTTTCATATTTCCAAGGCTCTCGCAACGGTCCACGAGTCTTCGATCCACAGACTCAAAGCTCGACTGTTCGATCAACATTCCCCTGCCCATCTGTTGTCTCGACTGGGACCACGTCCATGGTAGCTCGCTAGTAGTTGTGAGCTCCAGTCTCCTGCGGAGTTGGGATACTCTGGATGATTCCAGAGCAGGTGCTGTGCGACATGAAAAAGTCTTCATTTTGCATCACTTTTGCCATACGCCAGTAAGGTGACACCGAACTCTTAGCGGTTACACAGCCAGGCATCACTGCATACTCTACGTTGAAAATGTTTGATTAATATCGGACGTGTCTTTCTCCAAGCGAGTCAGCGAGACTCAATCACCCGCGAAAGCGGAAATTGGCAATTCCACGGGATTGTGAATTGGACTATGCTCGCAGTGTCTCCGTCCACATTTAAGGTACAGGGAAATGAGTGCGATACACAATCTATGCAATACAACATGGACAGGGGTATCAAGGTCAAAGGAACGGTAAGCAGAGCACAGTCATCTGGCAAGCCTCCTAGCTGTCTTCATAATCGTTATCGTATCGTGATTCGTTGAGTCGCGGTCGTAAGGACGGACGGTGCGGTCGTCTATCGGAGGGTAAAGAAGGGGGCCGGCCTCTAGCGACAGTCTTCTCTTTTGTATGTTTTTCTTGGATGATTTTCCCGGTCAGACTCAGTCTGGTCGTCTCGTGACGGTGAGGATCTGGCTCAGTCGCTTCCAGCGTTGCGACGGCGACGTAGGCGAGGTGGGCGATGATGGAGATGCACGGTCCACCCGTTCTCGGTCGAGACTGACCTTGGACGAGCTGTGCGTAGATGAGACCGGTCGGCTGACGATGGCTTCATGATCGGCCAGGACGTCCTCGAGACGCACGTCCGAGTCAGAGATGCGCGGGTGCGCATCCTTGAAGTCGAGGATTTCGACGAATTTCGAGGGCATGTCGCGCATGGTTGTTGTGGTTATTGATAGTAGATGGGTGGGGTGTGTTATGAGAGAGGCATCAGCGGTAGGTCTTGACTCTTGAGGCGGAGGTGAGCGTCTCAGAAGAGGAATTCGAAGACAATAAAGTAAAATCTAAAGATCGAGTGATCGAGGAGGAGGCGATCGATATATGTATGTTTGCACCGACAAACAGCGAGCGCCTGTGCCAGATAAATAAGGGACTCGGATGGACGATCAAATAAGGGACCTCCTTTTAGTCGGCTGTGGAGATGAGCAGGCGCGAACAAAGAGGAAAGAGATTGGTCGATGAAGGGCTGGACTGCAGCTAGCGCCCACTGACTGGCCTGGCTTGCGCTAGTATCAGTCTGGCTTGGTGGTTGATATTATCGTCTGGACTTAGTGGTTGATATTCTCGTCTGGACTTGGTCTGGGACCTGATTTCTGCCTCTGATGTGTGTGGCGGACTGGACGGCCACCGGAGGCGAGCTCTTTATCTAGTACCTAGCTTCCTACCTACTCCGTATCCTACACAGCGTCATAATCCGTCAGACTCGGACTCAGACTCACAGCCACAGCCACCTCATCCTGGGGTACTTGGAGCTGGTCTTGCTCCCGACATAACCGGGCTTTGCGGGGGCACAAGACCGATCAGGTGCTGCTCTCTGCAAGTGGCGCTCACAGAGTTTTGTCGCGCAGCGCGCACTGGGGTTCCCGAGGGAAGATCAGTGGGTTTCTGCTTTCTGGCAAATGCAAATGCAATAGCAAAAAGCAATTATATGCACCCTGCGCTTGCTCCTGCTTCTCTTCTCTAATCTCTTTCTGCAAGGCCATGTCGTCCAATCGCCGCTGACTTCTCCGGCCAGAGAGGTTCGTCGCCCGCCCTCCTTCAGTAGTCAGCATCGCCGGAAACCCACGGTTAAGGCAATGACGTTCATAGCAGAGCTATATTAAGCTTACGGAGCACTCGTAGATAGAGAACCCTGTTACCCTAGTCATGCAACTTGTCCAGAGTATGTATAGAATTCGCCCCAGTTTCCTTTCAGACAGCCCTATGGATAGCCAGTAGCCAGTAGCCACAGTACAACAATCTGATGATCGCGATCGCCGCCCGGAGTCGTAGAGGGAGACGTCAAATTCGCCTCCTCCAACGCGTAACCCAGCTGTATGAGTTCATGGCCGACAAAGCAGATTACGAAGCTGATAACGGTCATGAGCTTGAGCTTAATTGTTTTTGTTATGCTGACTGCACTCCGTAACTCAGGGCTGTAAGATAAGATGTCCGCTTCCGCTTACACTTCCGGTTCCGAGGCAGCGATGTTCGCTATTAGCCTATTACGGAGTATTGCTTGGCGATCGCTTTGTCTGCTGCTGACAGGCATGGCCGCATGGATTCTCCGAAGTATGGACCCCACGTGCTCCCCTGCCCGTCTATATATATTTCTTTGACGGAGTACGGGTACCGGTAAGCGGGCATCCCCGCAACAAAGCAAACAACACAGAGAGGATTTAATCTGCAAGTTTTCGCAGCTTGACGCAAACCACTTCAAGTCGTCAACTCCATATTCAGGGAAAGTAGCACCTCGTGATCGCGCTCAGATCGGGCAGAGACCACGATCAGACTGGTCACTGAAGAAGATCACCGCTTTAGCGCGGGGACTGGGCCTTAAGATTCAATAATGCCGTTTTCTACCCCGCTTTTTGTCTAGCTTCGACGTTTCTCTGGTGATCTTTGATTTGTATAGCGTAGGTTGTACGGAGTAGCTGAATATTTAGATGGGAGACTACTAGTGCCTGGGAAGAGGGATAGGGATAGGGACAGGAACAGGGGCAGGCTCGCTTCCACTCTTCTAGAATTCATCGCCACCCCGCATTTCTGGTCCTGGAATGAGGCACTCGGAGTTGTTCCGTCTGTTGTTCTTTGGAAGGCCAGTAGGAGTAGGAATAGATTTGTGGTGTTGCTTCGAATTGGCTTGTTCAGGGTGCCGAGGATTCGTTGCGATCAGGTGCCTTCCTCGTCCATGGTCCTCGAAGTTATCGTTCAAATACACTGACCCTGATTCCGCATTTGCTTGTCCTTCAAACCAGAGGATCCTCATCGGCGCGCGACGGGACTCTACCATGTCACCTACGGAGCACACAAGCTCGTGAACGCTGGATGTGAGATGGCGGACGGAGGACTGGGGCCAGGGAGCGCTGAGCAACACAGTATGGCCAACGCATATCTCAACGCGACTCCAAGTCCCCAGCAACGTTCACTGACGTACCCTGGGCGCTACTGATTGCTGAATGATGACCCTCCTTGCTAGCTTATGAAATAAACTAGGTACGTTCTTGAGACCGGACTGGTACTGCACTGGACTAAGATAGCAGCTGGCTCGAACCACAGCGAAGTTATAGTTGTCCCCGAATTCGAGTGATCCTGTCGAGGCTTCACCCGTCGACCATACACTACATGTATATCAGACTGTACCCAATTGCAGATCTCGAGATGCTCCGCGTACGCACACCCGTCTTGAATCGATATTCCATCGACGAGCTTACACCAGCGATTAAGCATAACTTGACGGAAGAGCAACCTCGAAAGCTCTCGTTCCTTTTACCCCTTTTCAAGATTCGGGACATCTCTATTATGGATGGTGATGGAGAGAAATTACGGATGCACCGCGTTTTCCGGGCCGACCGCGGACTCCGCGGCGAACACGGCTCCCGCATCTATACCCTTCAGGAGGATATAAAATCGAAAACGTGGCACTACAATGGCATTACGACGCACGAAAAAGAGCTCTATCCACGGTATAGGAGTTGCAGCCAACATGTCCGCTTCACTTGGAAGGTAGGTACCTGTTCTTCTGTCTTTCCGTTCAGGCTTACAATGTTAGCCCCGAACTTAGGAACCGACGCAATGGCCGCATCCACGAGACCAAGTCCAAAGCGAAAGCAGTCGAGAAACCGCACTTTGAGTTTGGCGGCCCAGTTGGAGTCTCAGCACTCATGATCGGTTTCCCTCTCATCATGTACTACATGTACATTGGCGCAACCTTCTACGATGGAAAACTGCCTCTTCCTGAGCCCGACCAGTCGATCCCCCAGTTCCTCGGCCGTCTTTTCGATTTGGTCTACACCCACGCATACCCACACAAGAAAGCCTGGATTATCTACTGGTCCTTTCTCATCTTTGAGGGCTTTGCATACCTCTATTTTCCCGGCGTCTACCGCGTTGGCAAGCCGCTTCCTCACCTGAATGGCTATCAGCTCCCCTACTATTGCTCCGCGGCTTGGAGTTGGTTTACCACGATTGCGCTTGCACTCGGATTACACTTCAGCGGTCTGTTTCGCCTTGACACCCTCATCACGGAATTCGGTTCGATCATGTCCGTCGCGATTGCATCAGGGTACATCGTTTCAATCATCGCGTACGTATCTGCTCTAGCGAGAGGCGCTCAACACCGGATGACAGGATCTCACATCTACGACTTCTTCATGGGCGCCGAACTCAATCCGAGACTCTTCAAATGGATCGACATGAAGATGTTCTTCGAGGTGCGGATTCCCTGGTTCATCCTCTTCCTGTTGACGCTCGCGACGGCGTTGAAACAATTCGAAGAGCTGGGATATGTCTCAGGCGAGGTATGCTTCCTGCTGATGGCTCACTTCCTGTACACCAATGCTTGCGCGAAAGGAGAGGACCTGATCATCCCAAGCTGGTACGTCCACACCAACCCCTTCCCATTTAAGCCTAGAAGCTAACCTCCTGTCTTCGTCAGGGACATGTACTACGAGAAATGGGGCTTCATGCTTATCTTCTGGAACCTCGCCGGCGTCCCCATGAGCTACTGCCACTGCACCCTCTACCTAGCAAACCACGACCCCTCGCGCTACCGCTGGAACCCAATCATCCTAGCCATCTGGGCCGCCCTATACCTCTTCTTCTACTGGATCTGGGACACAACTAACAGCCAGAAGAACGTCTTCCGCGCTGAAGAGCGCGGCGCAAGCGTCGACCGCAAGTCCTTCCCGCAGCTCCCCTGGCGCAGCATCAAAAACCCGAAGACCATCAAGACGCCTGATGGAGGCTTGATCCTTTGCGATGGGTGGTGTACGTCCCCAGCCTCTGTCTTTCCTCCCTCCTCCTTCCCTGGTTGACGCGCGCTAACTGTTTGTTATTAAATTGGCAGACGGCATCGCGCGCAAAATCCACTACACATGCGACTGGTTCTTCGCGATCTCATGGGGTCTGATCACGGGCTTCGACTCGCCGTTCCCATGGTTCTACTCCGTGTTCTTCAGCGTTATGATTGTGCATCGCGCGCGGAGGGATATACAGCGCTGTCGCGAGCGGTATGGCGATGCTTGGATCGAGTATGAGAAGCGTGTGCCGTGGTTGTTTGTTCCGGTTAGTACTTCCATGCCCTTGAATTGGAGATAAGATGGATATTGATGATGTGTGCTTCTTTAGTATGTCTTCTAGAGGAGAGAGGAATTTGATGCGGAGGAAGACCAGGATGGAGAGAGATATATGCTTAAAGGGAAGTTGTCCGTGGACGTGTATGCGAAGGTGAACCAGGTCCAAGTAGATTTGTACAGTATAAGACACATATAACGTACGGTGACTTGAATTTCTACTTCCACCTAGCCATGACCGTCTCAGTCAAGAACCTTGCTATGCAAACCGCCCTGCACCGCCAACACCCCCCCTCAAAATCTCCACAGCCGAGCGTCCCGTCCCAATAAAATCATTCAAGAACATCCCAATATCAATATCGAATTCCCCAGGTCCCTGTCCCTGATGCTCCCCATCAAGAACACCCAGACCCTGACCCCCAAACAAATCCTCCGGCCAATTCAAATTCACATCCGGCAACGAAATATCTCCTCCCGTCCCATTGCCATTGCCCATTCCCACCGCACCCGCACCAGCCCCAGCGCCACCCTCCCGAGAACCAGCACTCGAAACCGCCACAACAAGACTCCCATCCTGCCTCGCCGCAAGACCCGTAAGCGGCTGTCCCGACGTAACGAGGACCGCCGCGGCGCGGGCGAAACTCGCGCAGATGGAGTGGAGATGTGCGGCGGAGTGGGAGACGCGCTTGATGAGGTCGAGGCTGCGGACTGTTTCGTTTAGGAGGGTGAGGTCGGGGCGCGAGGAGGTTGTTATTGCGTGTGTGAAGACGATGATGAAGGGGGTGAAGGAGGGGTAGAGGAGGATTCTGGAGTTTGTTAGACGGGGACGAGGGAGAGGGAGAGGGTGTAGGACGCACGAGTTCACGTATTCGGCTTGCTTGTGGGCCTTTAGGTCGCGGAAGTAGGTTATTGCTTTTAGGTGGCTGTGCAGGGCTAGACGGGCGGCTTCGTAGCATTGTGAGGAGATGGCCATTGTTGGGGTGCGGGTCCGGGGTTGGCTTTGGGGTTGTGTTTGTGTCTGTGTTTGGGCGCGGTAGATTACGGTTAATACGGAGTAGGCGATGAAGTCTGCGCAGGCGGTCATGCCGTGGAGGGAGTCGGCGTAGAGGAGGTTTGGGCTGACGTTGATCTGCATTAAACGGAGGTTAGCCTGGGATCTTTTCATTGTGATCAAGGGGTGGCAGACCTCAAGTAGTCTATTCCTAACGGCCATCAAGTCTGCTGATAAAGCCGTGATCCGTTCCAACTTGTCCTCCTCGGTTATCCGCATTGCAGAGATCGAATAAAGCTGGTCGTAGACCTTTCCCTGGATCGTTGCGAACTCAACGGTCATGAGATTGATCAGGTCCCAAGAGTGCTGCTTTTCGTCTGCTGACGGTGAGTATAGAGCTGTGTCGATATCGTGGTCTTGGAAGTGGGAGGTCACCCCGATGTTCAGCGAGACATTCTTATCGACTGTATACAACGACCAAAAGGCATGGCGTTTGGACTCCGCCAGGGCGAAAGGATCGGCTTGAGTGGTTGCGTTGCGGTGGAGGCCTAGCATTTGGCACATGTTGAAGGCGAGAGAGAGGTATGTCCAGCACCGCTGGACGTTGGATTCTTCTTGCGCTTTTGTAGTCTGCTTCGTTAGTCATTGAACGGAGCACTGAGAGGACAGGACGTACTCCGATTAACAGAGCTTGTACTTTTTCAAGCGTCGGATCGGATAGCATTTGCGGATGGTCAAGGCCGGCGGAAAATTGTTGCTCACAGAAAGATTTACTCGACGGGAGATCAAAGCGCGCAAAATCGGGGTCTCCTTCGTGCATGTAATCGCGGATAATATAATACAGCAACCCGTGCAGCAGTGTAGTAGAGCCAGCGGGAATTGGCTCGAGGGGGAAGTAGATCGATTGGCAGAGGGATTCGAGCTGTCGGGGGTCTTTCCAAGACTGGCTGACGAGGTAGAATGGAGGCTGCACTACGCTGCGGTTAGCCAAAGCAGCTCATACATACCGAAGTCGGGGCGAAGGAAGTGCGTACCCTTGACTTTCTTCACCACCGCAACAACAAGATCCACAGGAAGTAGCGGTTCTCGAGCACGGGCCTCGGACGACGGTGAGGACTTCTCTGCTGTGGGCATATGGCTGTCCAAACTATCCTTCAGCGACAGCAACGCAGATGATACCTGATCATTCAGTTCCCCGCGGGCCGCAACAACAGCCGAGAGGGCCGCATCCCTGGCCACAAGCGTCTCGTGGTGGAACGAGGACTGCCCTTCGAACGGCGGCACCGTTTGACCAGAAGACGCAGGAGTGGACACGGTCAACGCCGGAGGCGGCGCCAAAGCGGAAGCCGAAGCTGATGTCGCAGTCGAAGTTGAAGCTGGAACCGGAGTCGGAGACGTCCGCGCGATTTGTGCTAGCGCCTGCTGGATGGAATTCAGCTGAGCTTGGATAGTCTGGAATCGTTGCTCGCTGTAACCGATCAGCAGGACACCGCTACCCCAAGGAGTTGTTGGTAACTTACTACTCATCATCCTGGACTCGAGGCTCTGCAGTTGTGGAGACTGCAGCAGAGACAGCGACAGCTGGAGCGACGGGCGTCGTTCCTCCCGCGCTGCATGAGATCCCTAGCGCATTGCAGCTGGAGCAAGGCGCCGCTTTGTCGCATTTGATCTGCGTCGTCAGCCCGGATGTTGCCTGCTGCTGCTTTCTGGCAGGTAGGTACCTTTCGGAGTCGGCAATTGTCACACTGCGGGCGATGTCAGTTTGGAGGGCGATGGAGTGTAGATGGCGGAGGTCGTACCGCGCGGACGCGAAAGGAGCGCGCGGGCGTTGATGAGGAATCCCTGTCTGCCATTGGCCTCTGCCGCGCACTGCTCAGACGGTCGATCTGAGTACTTGGTAGAGTAAAGAAAGCTGCAGAAAAAGCGTCGTGACTGCGAAGGATTACAGTGATTTGCCTGAAGATTGTAGCGAGGAAGGTCAGCATTGAAGCCACGCTAGACCCGATTGGGTGTTAGCAGCGAGACAGGGTGCCCCGTCCTACTGATGCCTGATGCTGCCTCAGGCACCACAAGCACCATGAGCCTACACCCTACTTTGAAACTAAGTAGAACGCTCAGCAATGCTGAGGCTGAAATGTGCCTTACTAAGACCTGTAGATAGCGCGCGAGATTATTCCTAGACCCTAGCGTATGGAATGTTAGTCGCTCGATATACGTTAGCAGGTGAGACAAGACGCAGACTTGGACGGTAAGGGAGTGCTACTTGGAAGCTGGAATTGTTTTCGCCTGGACGCCGTCTTGACAAAGTGACGAGTAAATAGGCGAGATGCTGGTCGTCCAGTTGAGGAAACGAAGTCTTCATTCGTGCACCTGCAAATGTCGAGTCAGCCAGCTTGTGCCGGATACTGACGCCTATTTACACCAGGCCACGGATAGAACAATTCTCTATGTTCCTTTCGGTTAGTTCTGCTTGCTATTAGTCGCAATTTGGCTCATTATCAGCCTTTCTAGCAGAGGTATGTCATGAGAACGTATTCATATATCGCTAACTCAAGCCTCCTAGGTACAAATAACCTCCCGGGCCACAACCGCGAGGACGCAGAAGCCTACTCCTGCACCGTAATCTTGATATCCGTGTGTCCCGTCGCTGGCTGATAATCCGTGTAATAGATACGGTTATCCTCAAACGGCCCATAAAACCTGCTGCGCTCATACGGCGCAAGCGGCGTGTCTGTCCTCAACCGCTCCACCAGGTCGGGATTGCTGGTGAAGTATCGACCGTACAGGAGGGCGTCGTACCGGCCGGACTCCAGAACGCCCCATGAGTTTGTCTGGTCCCAGCCACCCGCGGAGAAGAAGGGTGTGGCGCCGAAGATCGACCGGAAGGGACTCAGGTCGATGTCGCTTAGGCCCCAGGAGGATAGGAAGGAGTCTTTTTCGGCGGTGCTGAAGATTTGTTCGTAGCGCTGGAGGTAGTTGTCAGTGAGGCTTTAAGAATTAGGCGTGGTAAACAGGTAACGTACCGGTTCAATGAAACTGACGTAGGAGAGAGCTGGGAGGGTGCGCTTAAGCTCCTTGCACAGATGCGTCCATGTCTCCATGCGCTGCTCCCCGCGCGCCTGGTTGAAAAGCCCAAACGGCGAAAGCCTGATAGCCAGGTTCTCCTCGCCAACCGTCTTCGCCAACTCGTCCATCAGCTCAAGGACAAAGCGGCACCGCTTCTCCGGCGAGCCGCCGTACTCATCCGTGCGCTTGTTGATATTCGAGCTGAGGAACTGCTCCGGCAGGTATCCGTTTCCGCCATGGATTTCCACCCCGTCGAAGCCCGCTTCGATCGCTGCCTTTGCGGCGGCGCAGTAGTCTCCAATTGTGCGTTTGATGTGGTCGACGCTTAGCTCGATTGGCGGGTGTGCGGAGTACGGCACTTGCGCGGTCGCGCCGACGGGCGGGTGGCTGTAGCATTCGGTCGGGCTGTCCCAGACAGTTGCGGATGCGGAGACGGCGGGCGACCCGGTCATTTGGGGGATTGTGGCGCGACCGGCGTGCCAGAGCTGGGCGTAGATGTAGCCGCCTTTTTCGTGGACGGCGTCGACGACTCGTTTCCAGCCGGCGGTTTGGGAGGGTGTGAAGAGGCCCGGGACGCCGGGCATGCCGTTGCTCTATGCCATGAGCTGTTAGCTTTCTCCTTGCCGTATAGCCTCGCAATTGCAGTTTGACGCACTTCTAACGAAGGAGGGATTCCCTCTGAAATGATCAGCCCGCCATCCGTTGCTCGCTGCCGGTAGTATTCGACAACCAGGTCGCCCGGGTACCAAACACGATTGGGCTTCTCGGGAGTGCTGACGGGGCTTTCGGGGACACCGCGGTTGCGAGTCAATGGTGCATGGACGACGCGGTGCTTGAGTGTGATCTTGCCATTGTTGATGGCGAGGGGCTCAAAGAGCTTCGAATCTTCGTGCGCCATCTTCAGGGACCCTGAAGAAATGCAGGAAAGTGGGAATTGGAAAGATATTATGCAACCACAGTCCGGGTCTGAACTGAACTGAATCCCCGGGTTCTTGTCTTGTGTCGGCCCTCCCACTTTTGAGTCTTGTATCTGATAATCTTGCAATCATCCTGCCCAGTGCCCCTCCTCGTCCTCGCCCATCCCCTCATCTCCCTCAATGCCGCGCAACAGAATACTGGGTCGGACGTCCGACGGGCTCACGGGAGGTCCGGAACGGCACAGAAATATGGGCCTTGATAACGGGCTGGAGACTGCAGGGCCAGTAAGAGAAAGCAACGAGCGCCGTGTGGATGTTAGTGCCCGCTAGTCGGGGGCCGGCTGGCTTAGCGACAGCCCGCGTTTCGTTTCGCGGTTTCGCCTCGGTGGCCGATCTGATTGCTGCTTCGACTTCGGACTGATTCGCGGGGTCTGACTCTGTGACATTGCGAATCCTTGCAGGATGCAGGAACTCGCAGGGGTGAAATCCTGGTACTGTAAAGGAGCATTTGGGGTTGGGGGCGGGGTGTGCAGAATTGGAGACGTTGTGACTGTGAGACGGTCGACTCGGGAGTCGGGATCCAGGCTCAGGCTGGCAGGCGCAAATAATAGGAGAATCGCTGTGGATCCTTTCCAATCAGACCTGCCAGCGTAGACTAAGTTCACATGACATGACATTGACAGATTTGCAATAGGCCAGATGAAAAGTGGGAATTTGGAGTGCAATTCTGAGGATAGTTTGTCTCAATTGTTTTCTAGGCAGCACTGCAAATCAAACCCGGAGCAAAAGTACCTTCCACTTTGTCTTGGTATCTTGGGTTCCTCATTATTAAATGCAGCGTACGACACTAGCAACTAACTGTAGACATGACTGAATCATGAGAGATTCGTATCTCCTGGAATTCTTCACGCCTTGTATGATCCCTCAATGCTTGAGAATCCTTGGTGCGTAGCCACCATGCATGTAAAGGAACGGTGGGGAATAAGCAAATATACCTAGTAGATCAAATGCAAAGGCGAACTATGGAGCAGCTGAAATCGACTATACAATCTAGAGGGGCGTAGGGGCGACCGAGAGACCGCCATAGCTTCGAACAACGAGGTTGTCCAACTCGATAGTTACGCAATTGACATATAGTATGAAGGGCTCCGTACTGTGTAACGAGCTCGGGGTGCGGAGAGCGCCTCTTGTTATCCCTGTTCTCTCACAAAATGGATCACAGAGAGACGAGCTATTCGTCCATCCTCGTTCCATTCCCTCGGAGACCATGCAGGGCACCAGCGCCACCGATCTATCTCCGTATTTTGGGGGCCAAACTGAAGATGAGACTCAGGGGTAGGATCGAATTTGAGCCCCTAGCTCAGCCTCTATCGTAAATCGTAAATAGTAACTGCTTGGTCTTCCAACTTATTTCCCCAATGCGTCTAGGCAATAGCAGCTGCGCAAGCGCGTTTTCCAGAACCTCCCTGGTCTTCGGCGTAGACGAGCACTCGGGCCTCGTCGACGGTGGGCACTGAGTCACTGACATTGACAGCAGGGTCAAATGGTCAACCCGCCTGGACTGCGGAAACCATCGATAAAGAATTCCCGCGATGCTCAATAGTTCACGATCCTGCGATCAGGGTAGCCAGTCAGATGCACAGGATATCTGTTCAAAGTCCTGCACTGCGTCAGTGCGCTGGCATTTTGAGATCGTCTGTCGTTCTCAGTACCTCCCCCCTATTCGCGCTAGCCCTGGGCGGATATTGAGGTTATTTCCGAGAACAGTTGTTGCAAGGACCTCATGGAGCGACGTCGGAGCCGACTGCCCGCGAATGTAGCCGACGTTGAAGTAGAGCGGGCAGGAGGTTTTGAGGGCGCAGAGGTGTGTATATACTTCGCAGCTCGTTCCTGTATCACCGGAATATTAACTTGGCTTCAAGCCACCTGCAGGCGAACATCCTCTTAATTCGCTCGGAGGGTAAGGGATCTCCTGTTAGGTACGGCCGTACGGAGTAGTAATTGCAGGCTGTCCTCCAATCTCCGCCTCACGAAGCGAAGACCCACCGCAGAGACGGTCGAAGTTTGAATGATGAATCCGCCCAATGAACCGGATGACTTTCTTAGCGCGACCGAGTGAATCGGATGACTTTTTGACAAAAATGGCCTAAAGGAGTTTAGCGCCGCGTTTTGGCTAGTAATCGTAGACCCACAAAAAAGCTCGTTGGCCAATAGAACGCCGCCACGGCCAACGTCACCTCCTTCACCACCAAGGCCTTGGATGAATATCGAGGAGTTTGCAAACCGCCATCGTCCCGGTCACCTCCGCTACAACGTCGGCTCTGAATAGCCTCAATTTGGCCGTGTTAGGAAGGACTGGCGGGCGTACAAGGCCTCCGCTGCAGCTCCCGCTACGACCGCTACAATCTCCGCTCTGAATAGCTTCAATTTGGCCGTGTTAGGAAGGAACTGGCAGGCGTACGAGGCCTCTGCGGGCGCGCAAAGTTATTCGTTTCAGATAATTACCCCTTTTTGAATTGACCAATGAGATTCCTGCATTCTATTAACGTAAATATAACTTTTAAACGTTTGGAATAGCTTCAGAATGCTCAGTTTAGTTAGGATTGTGAAGAATCGATTTTGTTAAACAACGGTACTATTCTGTTTGGCCGAGGTCGAGCCTCGGAGAACAATTTTACTAGTAAATTACTAGGCAAGTTGTGTGACGGGGCCAAAACAGGGCTCTGTCAGAAAGTCATCTCGTTCACTCGGTCGCGCTAAGAAAGTCATCCGGTTCATTAGGCGATGATGAGGCCACAGATGGGGCTGGGTGGAGTGGTTGGGTCGCGTAAGCCAGACCTTACTACATTAAGTAAGTGGTTATCAAATAACTTAAGCAACCCCCTTTTATTAAATTTCCACCTAGTATATAACTTACCTTTTTACATATTTTTTTACTAGTTACTTAAAAAATTATTAAATAATTAATTATTATACTAAATAACTAATTACCATAGTTAATAACTAGTTACCCCTAGCTATATACACAATAACTAGTCTAAAACTAATTATTAGCTAACATGCTAATCACGGGTAAAACTAAAGCTTAAAATATAAGTTATACTATAACTAGTTATGCTATAACTAGTTATAATTTACTAGGACTAGTTACTAACTAAATATAGGTGCTAAATAAGCTAAAAACTATTATATTTAGTTTATTTTTATACCAGCCTATTACTATATCTTAACTTTAAATATACTTTGCTTTACTAAAATATCTTAAATTTAATATAACAGGTCTTACCTATATTATTCTTGTATAAGGTAACCTTAACATAAAATAATAGGGCAAATTAATAAAATATATAAGTTTTTTATTTAGTTTTTAATTAAATACTAACTAGTTATAAATTTAATATAATACAGCCTAATAATATAAAAATTAAATCTCTTACCTATATTTTAGGTAATAATATTACTATATTTAGTATAAATATTTAAGTATCCAGGCATGTGCAAATATATATCTAAATTTTAAAAGTCTTTATTATTTTAAGGTTATTACTAAAAACTAAAAAATAATCCAGTAATATTGGCTTCTTGTTAAGGTAATAAAAAATAAAAAGCTAAAAAAAAAATTTATTATATAAGTATATATTTAATTACTAACTAGTTTATAACTAATTATAATTAAGACCTTTAAGTTAGTTTAGAGCCTTTTTAAAAGGGGGATAGCTTATTAAAGTAATTAGCTTAATATATATTAGCCTAAAGTAAATATTAAAGGGATAGTATATATTTTTAATTAAATATTAACTAGTTACTAACTAATTATTAGCAAGGTATTGGGCATGCCTTATTCTTTATTTACTACCTTAATAAATTATATAAAACTAGAAATAAGCATTACTTTTAGTCTCTTATAGCTAAAACTAATTTTAATATTTTACTTTTAGCATAAGTATATAATAATCCAGGGATTCTTAAGCCTTATTATTATAGTATTTTTAAGAACCTAATATTCTAAAAGCAAAAATATAGTAAGTTTTATTAAAACTAATTATTAACTAGTTACTAACTAGTTAGATTTTTTACATAAAAATATACTTAATATTATATTATAACCTTGCCAGGTGTTATTTAATATTATTATTTTTTTTAATTTAAATATATGTTTATTTTTTTTGTTTACCTTAACTAGTAAACATGGCCATCCCCCTCCTCCTCTAAATAAGATACTAAAAATCTACTTTTAGGAGGTTAAGCAAATTCTTTAAAATATTTAAAATTTAGATTTAATAGTTAATAAGTAACTAGTTACTTTTTTATTATATTTAGTTATTAACTAGTTATAAGTTTATTTTAAAAAAGTCCAGAAATTTAAGATCTTTATTAAAAATATAATAAAACCTAACTTGCTAAGATTTACCCCTTATTTACTAATTTAAATTAAATATATGCCTTAATTTTTAAGGAACGGCTTCTAATATACCCTGGGGGTAAAAGTCTTAATAAGCTTTACTTTAAACAAGCTTAAAATACCCAGCTTTAGGTAAGTTACTTTTTAAACTAGTTTATAACTAGTCCATAACTAGTTAATATTTAAGACTAACTAAATATAGAATTATATCCATAAGATATACCATAATAATAATTTTTATATTATTATTTATAAATTAAAGAAGCAAATTCAACTTTTATAATCTTTAAAGTTATTTAAAATTAATATATTATATAAACATGTGCAAGATAATAGCCTATATAAAATTATTTTTATAGTATTTTACAAGCTATATAAAAAGGGTAAGTTTATTAACTAGTTATAAACTAGTTACTAATATTTAATAACTAGTTATTATACTTTTTTAGGCCTTTATAAATTAAAAAAGTGCCAAGGCCTATAAAACCTTATTTATAAAGATTTTTAGGATTATTACTAATATCTTAGAAAGCCCTATTAAATTTTATTATTTTTATAAAAGAGAAATTAAAACCCTTG